CCGCGGTATACTCCGATGTATGCTTTATTGCCTGGGTTACGTTAGATACTGAATTTGCTGTACCTAGGAATGGGGATCCATATGGAACCCTGGTAGATCGAAAGCTGCCCGACGCATCAAAGCCATAGGATCAGCTCTAAGCTCGTTCAACACAGCTCTTGTACTGACATGCAAAGCCTTGTTGTAAACCGATCTGGTAGGAGCCCGGGCGCAAGACGCTCCCACGATCATTGCATCCATTATCGGGGGAGACTATTACGGACACAACGGTTTTTGCGATAAGTCATGTTTGGCTGTGATAAGAGAAGGCTGTCTTGCTCTACTAGGTAGAAAGGCACATTGGGTTATATCACATCAGCATCGTTTGCCTCTGTGAAACAAGGGGCCTTCTTGGGTCGAAAACAATTCATAGTGCTCATCTCGGAGATCAGTAGCTTTGATTGCTGACTGTACACTCTTTGGGTCTGTCAGCCATAAAGCAGCCCAGTGCAGCTCACTAGAAAAGGATTCGGACGCGCAGCCTATCTCAGCTGGGTTGATAGGGGACACCAGGGTGCACTGCCCAGCTCCATGACCGAATCAGCCTATTAAGAACAAAGAGAGATGCCCGTAATCCCATGGTGGCTTGTGACACTGAAAGACTCTCTGCCTCTTCCTGGTATACACAGTAGACGCAGAGTCTACCGTCTCTCTGACTGATCAGCAGGCAGGATATCCACGATAAAGGGTTTTGTATGCATATGGTCCGATTCGCCATATGATTCCGAAGCGAATTGACCTGGTTCAACGCTAGCTTTGTCTGAAGCCGTTCTCCTTGCTTCTTCAGCGCTAACATTTGCTCCTTTTGTGGATTGTGACATGGTAGTTCGAGAATACCGCGTGGCGTATGATCTTTGTGACCTGGGACAATGGTTCAAGAGCCCTGGCTGGAAGTGCGCGAGTCACTGTATGCTATTAGATAAGTGTATGACAACCAAGGCACGGCCATCCACCTGCTCGGCCTTCCTGAAGCACGTTGATGAACTTGTGGTGGATACACCAGGATGGGGCAGGATCTCTGCACTAAGCTTGACTGTGTTGGACAAAGACTATCGTCAGGGGGGAGAGGGTCTCCCTAAAAGAGGGTGAAGAGGAGGGAGGAGGAAGTCGAACTCGCGGCTTAGCCGCAGGAAAAGGCCTTTCGTCGCGGGCTGTCCTATACTTGTGATTTAGTAGAGAGCATGGGATAAATGGCAAGACGTTCGTGCAGCGTCACCAGTACAAGTGACTATACATGTTGGCCTAATAATACGACTGACAGGAATGCAAAAAAAAACAATTGCTTTGGGTGCTGACAATGTAATGTGCAGACGTGTGCAATTTTAAGGATCTTTTCCACATGTACGAGGTGGTCGGCAAAAGTAAGGGGATAATGAAGTCGTCAATATATGATCTGAAAAAGGTGCGGTATTTTCAGAACAGGGTATCGATCATACGTTCCAGTTGGACGTACGGGACACTGTTGAATAATCCCATTGGGCCGACCTTGGAGAATTCCTGACCGCGGTACGAGACAATGCCAGCAAGGGGCCATGCTGACGGGTTGTAAGGAAGGTCATAAACAGGCCAGAGTAATGTTACTTGGGCACGGGACAACCAATTACTTGAAACCTGCGCAAATTTCTGTGGAGATCCGATCGAGACGAGGTCCCTACGTAGGGTTAGAATTTCCTACGCTGACATCAGACGATATTTTTCGTATAGCCTGCATGGCCCCTCTGAGCTTTTTGCGGGGCGCCAGGGACCATTGCTAAACTGCATACTTGGTCTATATCCATAGATGCAAGCATGCCGCAGCTTCTGTTAAGGTAGATGTTAGAGTATAGGTTGTGTATAGCACCTAATGGGGGATCGGTTGGACCAAAACTGTTTTAAAGATGAGCCTACCAGCACGTCCCAACTCTTGGACAATTCGACACCTATATTCCCAAGAGGAGATAGTTCAAGATGCTGTATTGTTCGAAGCGTGAGTTCTCACATGTCCTATGGGACCACAAACATCCATTAGTGTATTGCCACATGGAACTCCTCAGGCTCCTCCGAGTCGGGGTTTATAACCCGGCAATCAGTCACTGTTTTGTACATAGCAGCCCTATTTTAGTCTGTGACTGTCAAGTGCTGAGGGTTAGGGCTTGCTGCACCCAACGGCTCTTTGTCTTGTTCACCACATCTCTTTCAAGTTAGCAAAACAGCTCACGCTCGCGATAAGTGGGGATTACAGATATAGATCGAACTGACTACAGGGCTAGCTGAGCCATCTGATAGTATGTCTGGAAGGGGTGTTCTAACTGTCATGGGTCATGCCCTCCAGCAGTTTGGATGCTCGTTCCTAGACATTTTCGCATTTGTCCAGGCCTAAGTGCCGGATCTTGCAAACCACAATGTTGTTAGGGCTGTAGTACCGTTTGGAAGGAATTCGACGTAAAGCCTCTCAGAGACTCGTGGGAGGCTGTTAGATGTAAATTAAAGAGGCTCCATAGGGAAAAGCGCCATTATATGAGACATCATAGTTACCAAACGAGAAGGTTGGTGGTTAGGAAGGATGACCGTAAGATACAAGCTATGTAAGAGACTCTTTTATCCTAGACTCAATCCAGCAGTACGAGGAATTCTACTACTTCATTCAATCACCGTTGTGAATACTATATTCACGATACACAAGCCCCTACAATCCCCTATTTCATTTCCCAGATATTCATCCGAAGCCATCAGGCCACATTAAGTATCAAACATTAACATAAAATCGAAGAACCCCATATCCGGTCCCTCACAAATCCAAGCACCGCCAAACCACGAAAAATAAAATATCAAAAGAAAACAAAAGCGAAGAGAGGAGAACAGAAGAAAGTCAAACATTCAAGCCCCGAAACATTCTCACCAAGCAATCTACCGCGCGATCCCACCCCGCCTCCAACCCCAACCTCAATCCCCCCTCAATCCTCCTCTCCAACTCCACCTCCCACTCCGGAATCACCGGGCAGGCCTCCAACGCCCGCGGGTAAAGCACCCCCGTCTCCGGATCAAAGTACTTGTCCAGCCCCAGCGGGGTTCTGGTCCTGGGCCGCGATGCGGGGAAGAACAAGGACCGATCCTCCTCATCGGTTGAAGTCGAGGCCGCGTATGAGGGGGCGGAGGGAAGGTAATCACACTCGCTGGGAGTGACTGGCATGCTGGTATTTGTTTCTTTGTTAGTTTTTCTTTCTTTGTGTCTTGATTGTTTTTGGTGCTTTTCTTTGGTTTGTTTCGGTTCACCGCGAGTGTTAGGGACGATGCATACCGTTGGTAATTAGGGTTTTCAGAGGAGTCGCACTCGGGCTCTGGCTCTGGCTTAGGCTCAGGCCCAGAGTCGGGGTCGGAGTGAGCGTGTAGTTCGATGTATTGGTTTTCCGAGTCGATAAGGTGAGCACAGTTGGCTAGGAGGCGGATTATCAGGGTTCGGTTGAGGAGGAGGAGGAGAATGACAGAGACGATGAGGCAGGTGGTTGGGTAGAGGATTATGATGAGTGATTCGGTCATGGTGGTCGCTTTGAGGTTGTTTCCCTTTGACTTGAACGGGTAAACCTCTTGACTATGTGATTATGGAGCTTGGTTTGGTTTGCGAGATAAAGAGATTGCCAATGGATGTATGTTGTTTGTTGTCGGGGGTTGAGGGTATATGGAGAGTTGGCTCTACTGGTTGAGGTGAACTACGCTGTTGTGACGGGGTTGCTCTATTAAATCTATTGAGATATTGTTTCTATATTCTCTATTGTTTGGGGTGTTGTTTCAGGTTATCTCAAGGTGGTTGTTGTTTGGTTCAGGGTCTCTGTTTGGGCCTGAATCTGTAACACTAGGAAAAACAACGCCCAACTGAAAGGCGGATATAAGGACGCCAACAATATATGAATAATATAATAGTATACATGAGTGTCCTGCTAACAATAGTTCTCCCTAGAACAGAATTCATTATCCTGTTTTTACGCACACCCAGTGATAGGGTCACGGACACAGTCATGTGGGGAAAGCATTTGACGTCGATCTCGAATTCCAGACAGACGTCATGGGCATTGTTGCTCTGCTAAAGCGCCAACACAATAATGGTTATAGACAGGCATAATAATTACTTTTCTACTCCGGTTTCATTCTCTTTGTCTATTTCTGAAATTCAATATGCCATGACGGCGGGATATCACCATAGGCGTCCAACACCGCGTACACGGATCCATTATAAGCTGACCGGCTATCAACCGGACCCCCGAAGCCCAAAAATAAAGATGGAGTTTTCAAACTTTAGCCCCGGAGCAAAAGGAGCAATGGTATGCGTCTCGTCCCTCAAAGTGGATTAACGATGACACTGACACGAGCAGAATACCGCCATACAAGAAGCCCTAACGTGCACGACCTGCAGCATCGACCCACTGGAGGCGATATCCGGTCTAGATCGCGGCCGAGATAGAGATGATCAAGGCATCTCTTTTGCTACTCATAAACGCGGCTGGCGCGAGGAGTCTCCTCTAGGCACAGCAGCAGCAGCAGCACACGCTGAAGCGATATCGTTTTCTACTCCACCAACGACAGATATAATGTCCTGCTACGAGCCGCTCATGACGCCGTCCCAGAAAGAGTTTTACGATGACTTATTAGACCGGTTCACCTCCCAAGATCCACAGAGAGATGTAAATCTCGCTCGCTATCTTGTCAACTACCATATACATGTGCATTATATGTTTCACCGGGGAGTAATAAGTCTTTGTCGCGACGGCAGAGACAAGGATGAGCTTAAGAGCTGGACGTGGGGTATGACAAGGTTGAACGACGACGAGCTGAAGTCCAGAGCTGGGTGTAGTAATGAAGAGCTAATCCCCATGACGGGGGAGTGGGAAGTACAACTGCCGGACTTCAGCGTACCGAAAGGGGACCCGTGGCCCGAGAATGCTGCCTTTATGAAGCATGTGGAGGATCTATGGCAGCAGAGATACCCGCTTCGGCAGAGACGCCTGGGAGAGTCAAGGATGAAGTGGAAGAGGATCATGGCTGAGCGTGAGAGGCAGAGAGAGTTAGAACTGGCACAGCTACAGTTGGCGCAGCGAAAGACAATAGTGAAGACAGTGAGGATCTATTGGGGGCAAGGGATAGTAAGAGAGGTGGCGCTGGACTCGCCATGGGTGACATGACCGAATGTACAATTTGCTCTTGATTGCGACGACTATTTGCTAAGCGCGGCGTTTCAGGGTTAGCGAATTGAACAGTATAAATAAGGAAAGCTGCCAAGTGGTGGCATTTTGGTACGTAAAGAAACCCGAGAGTGACACTCCAAGATTGCGTAGCTGGTAACATTCAATTTGAAAGATAAAAGAAAAGGTATCCAAGATCCCAGAAGGAGAAAAAAAAAAAAAAAAAGAAAAGAAAAGAAAAACGCCGACACTATCTTCACTCTCAACAGAGGTACGGATATCAAAAAGGAAAAATATGTAGCAGACAGACGTTTATATGAAAGATTGTCAAAGAAAAGTCGACCACGGAGATAAATGAATGAAAAGGTCCGAGATGTTAAAAGACGTGTACCATCAGCCGGTGATCCGGCATAATTTCCAAACTCGAAAGTTTGAAATATTCCGTAACCTCACCAGGCTGGCAATGTATTTCTCAGTGCCCGCTGAGCAATAGCTGAGAGATAATCTGGAAAATGGGGATTTTCTCTTGCGCTATGGCGTCTATACCTTCTCCTCTGTCCCTGTCATCGGGACATCTTGGGATGGTTCGCGGATAGGCTGCTTGACATCAGCCGGGAACGATGTGTCGCGCGACTCAGGCGGTTGAGCATCGTTTTGGTTCTTGCTGTCGGGCCGCTTCTTGCCCAACCTCTCGCACCACAGCTCCGCGCTGACCAGGGTATCATTGACCACTCCGCTGACCTGCGCCATCATGTCTAGGCCTTCCTGTGCCAGAACTAAAATGCGATGAGCGCCGATCGTGGCGTCGGACGATGCCGCCGTCGAATCGGGGGGAGGGTTTGACGTCGAAGCTACCTGGAACCGATGGGGCAGGGAAGTGAGATGTCGGCGAACTAGGTTGCGCGCATTTTCCGGCAGTGCACCCCCGGCATACTTGGAAACAACATCTACAACCTGCTTCAAAGTCGACAAAACGTCCTCCTTGACGGCCTGGATACGCTGGGACAGCAAGGAGGTGTCCTGATTACCATCATTGTTCTTCTTTGCATTGTCCCACTCCTTCAACGCCCCCTGAAGCGCCAGTATGGATTTGCCCAGTCGCCCGTTAGCCCACCGCAACCAGGTCAAGCAATACTGCAAGCTACGGAGCGACTCCTCGCTCATCGCTACCCCCAACCCCGAGGTAGAAATCACCAGTCGGCTTTGCCAAGTGGCATTCTGCCGCGAGCTTTCCCGACCTACTTCCTCGTAACTGGGCGATGTGTGGTCGTCATAGGGCGGGAGGGGTTCACCCATGGACAGGTCGGAGGAGCCCCGGACGTGATGGGACATCTTTTCTTCGGGGCCTTTCTCCAAATCAACTTCACTGGGATGTTTGTCTCCGCTCACTTTGCGACGCTTGGACCGCTTGGGATCCGTCGAGCCAGAAGCACGGCGCTGGAGAGCCCATCGAAGGCCGCTCTCGACTCCCGTTTTGCGGCCGACAGAACCAACGGTATTGGCGACGGGGGAGCCAATGTTCCGTTCGATGAACTCGGCTCCCGATTTAAAACGAGGCGAGTAGGATTTGGAGCTGGTGTAGGCGGAGACCGATCCGTTGATGGCGGAGGATATCAGCGGATGGGTCGAGGTCAGTAATGATAAGAGGGGTTCGGGTTGCGGTTTGGATTCGGGACTCGACGTCTGCTGCGACAAGTTTCGAGGCGGCTGACCGTACTCTTTGGACGCCACCTTGTGTCAGGATACTTATATGATTCCCACGGGGGGTGAAAGGTGGAAAGAACCAGAATGGACGCACCTGTACGTAGCCCCTCCAGGGCCTGTGCCGCTTCAATATCATCCATGGAGAGAACACTCGTCGCTCGACGTGAGCGATCCTCCGCAGCCGCGTGATTGTCGAGATCCATCATGGAGGTAGGGACATTCTGGAAGGAGGGATGAGCGGATATAGGAGCGGGGACTGAAGCGGACACAGACACTGAGGTAGTATGAGGATTGGTGTTTCGGCGTGAGGAGACGGACGAATCGTTCGGGGCAGTAGCGCCGCCTGAACGACAGTCCATGGAGGCCTAAAACCGACTAGTGAAGATAAAATTGGGCTTAGAGGGTAAGTTTGGAGGGAATTGGGAATTTGGAGTAAAGGGACGACGATCCTTTGGGAAAAAGCGAAGAACGAGTCAGTCAGAGAGAGAGAGAGAGAGAGCCTCTCCCATGTGCTCTTCACGTGAAACCAAAAATAAAATAAAAATAAAAATAATAAAAATCAAATCAAATAATTAAACTAAAAACCGACGGGTCTCACTGCAAACCCGGCAAACCTCCACGGCAAATGAAATCGAATCCTATCTATCAAAGAACATAACTAAAGATTTATATTTAGTATTGCGTGAGGCGCCGGATAGGGAAGTCTTTCTTGGAAATTAATGGTGTCTGATATGATTGGCATTATGAGCATCTATAACCATGATTCCCCTTATTAAAAGTGACCCACGGAGCATACATGCCTCAGACTAAACCTATGTAACAGTTGAGATGCAATGCTTCATATGAAGTAATGAATTTTCTCCTAACCATAGTTCTCCTCCCACCTCTAGCCAATACTCTGACCAGACCGTGGAAGCGAATGCGACATTGGGTAGAGAGTTGAAGTCTGACTGACGATCACATGCCGGCAGCTCGGAAGAACCAACAAAAGATCAAACACTAATGGAACCTTCTAATCATATTTTTACATGTGCCGGAAATGGGTCGTGGAAGAAACTACATTGGATTGGATCCAATATCACATCCACATCTGATTCAGTGAAAATTATCCTTCAATCATGATTCATGGTTCACTGACATGTGAACTCCCCCAACCCGCGATAATTAGCCGTCTGACCGCCTGCCGCGCTTGGCATGCTACACGTCAAGTTTGTCGAGTTTGCCCGTCCCCACTTCATACGAAAACGAAGCAAAAGTCCCAACAACTTTCACTGACCGCCCGGAAAGACTCCGCCTGCCTCAATAAGGGGACCTGCAGGCAGAAAGAAACCTTCGCGGACTTCCTTGCTTCATTCGCCCCAGTAATATGCACTCGGTCGACTTTCCATTGGACTATATCGACTGAAGCACCATTTGTGGGCGTTACATGCATTTACCAGGCAGGGTAACCTCCAGTAATGGTTTCCTTCGCCCGCCCAAGGGATATCTTTTGATTTATTCCTTGTCCTTTGACTTTACCCCATTATCAAGGGTCACCGGCTGGTCAGAACCGACAGTTGCCAAGATACGAGGTCGGAATTCCGTTTCGCCATAACACACCTTCTATGTCAAGACCAATGTCTTACGCTACAGGCATCCTGTCTTCCCAGTCATAAAAGCCCCCGGGAATTTGCGTTCCACGAAGCATCGCTACGATAGCTTCTTCTCCTTCATACACATCCCCACCCCCATCGGGCGCGTCGTCTTCCACTACATCTTTGACGGTCAACCGGGCGACCATTTTCTGATTGACTCGGTAACAAGCTAAGATATCATTCCTCACTGACCGCGACGGGGCAAGGCTGGCCTTCAATTGGCAGAGTGCTTCCCCAAACGCATGGAGAGCAAAACTGGACTGCGGATACGTCTTGTACCAGTACGACGCTAGCAACTGGAGCCAGGCATCCTTGCTATGACGCCATACATGGACCATGGGATGTTCACCCTCAGGAGGTGCGATGCCTCGAGCCTGATCGGCAATCTCAGAAGAGGCGGCTGAAAATGGGATTTTATCGCGGACCGAGTGGACCCATCGGCTATGGAGGTCGTGGACCTCTTGGGTGACTTTTTTTAGTACTACGTGAAGTTGTCCGCCGTCGCTTTCGTCTTTCTGCGCTTGCTCGCATGCCACATTCCACGGTCGAACAAGGTCTTCATCTTGGATGTTCTCCGCCTCAGGAAACGATTCTTCCAGTTGCTTCAGAACGCGATCTCGCTCTTTTCGAGCAACCTCGAATCGCAAATAGTCAATGATATTCGTGGGCTTGTATCGTCGGTTGAGGTCCTTGTATGCAGGCAGCTGCCGTTGTCGAGGGCTTATCCTTTTGCGGTATTCTCGCCACGCCTCTCCTGACAAGCGGACACCACCCTTCCGTCCATCCACTAAGTGACTTAAGAGACAAGCAAGCTCCTTAGCTTTATCTGCATTAATCGATTCATCGTAGGATATCATCTCATGTTCGACCGTACATAGGCCCAGATTCGACAAAGTTAGGTTGAAAGTAAATGTTCTTTCGAGGAACTCGTCCCATGACTGGATATCTTTCATGGGCACATTATGTTTCTCGAGTCCGAAGTGCTCCGGGGGATAATTCTCAGTGGGCAGGTTAGAATTACAAAACTTCCGGACAATGTTTTGGTCCCAGCAGACCCACGGCGTATCACCGTCATAATCGCCACCGGACAGCATGTGTGCCAAAGGTATTTCGCCAGCGGTCGGGAAAACAATGACATCTTTGAAATGGCGAAGCTCCGGCTTCCATACAGCTCTGCGTCGCTGTACATCGGACGGGAGATGTGCGGGAAGCCGAGCGACGAGGACGTCCATGCCGTCGAGTAGATTGTCTTCGAACTGACCTTGAGGGTCACGCCAGTTGTTGGAGAAACCAAAGTGAACCTCGTTTTCTTCTAAGACCCCATATGGGTCTGCTATGCAGAATGCGTAGGTGGAGAGGGGTACTTCAATATGTAGTTCGTCTACATATCGATCTAGCAAGCCTAATAGACATTTCCTTAGTCGCCTCCGAAGGGGGTAGAAACGGCCAGGGGTAAACCCGGCTTCCGTCAGTCGGACAACAGCCTCTGCGTCATTGGCCATCCACTCGTCTAGACGTCTGGTTTTCTGAAGCATTGCCGTGTCACTGTCGTCTGCGGGCGGCTTTATCTTTTGTATCAAGCTACGACAGAGAACAGGACTGTCAGACTCGACGACCTTAGCAAAGGCTTCAGATACAGCCCTGATCCCCGCCCGGGTGAGATCGGCAATGTATTCCTTGACATGCCCCCCATGTTCCAGGATTGCTAGAAGTTGCGTGTTTAGATCGACCGTATGTAAGGGCTTGGACCATTTAACAACTTCAAATGTGAGCTTTTCTTCATCCACAGGGTCTCTCCAATAACTGGGGTGTGGCTTGATTTTCAATTGCGAATCAGTTATTTGAATCCACACCTCGCTGCCCGTTGAGATAGCGGAATCATGTTTATCTACCATCCACAGACCCTTAGCTCCCGCAATCCGTCCTTGGAAGGCACTGGGGGTAATGCCAGTAATGCCTAAAGAGTCACAGATCCGGTTGGCTAGGCCTCTGGACATCAGAGCGCAACCATCATTCATTACCAGCGGGCCAGGGGGGTCTCTTAGGTGAAAGACCTGCGATGGCTTCAACGCGATAGTGGCACACGTCTTCGACAGCCCTAGTGAAATACGCTGAAACAGCTTGCAGTTATCCTGTCGGATATTGTCGTCTCGAGACATATGCCAGTCGATTAAGGAGTCTAGGCTCATTGAGGTGTGATTCTCACTGCTTTGTTTCGGAGGCGCGAGGAGTGGTGGGCGGGGGCTCGTGTCAAAGTCCACGCCGTCAATTGCAAAGAAATCCACCCTGAACTTTGGCTCGGCCTTCACTTTACGCCTTGACTTGACTTCTTCTACAAAGAAGGGCTTCCATATCCTTCCAAGACATCGATGGACATTCTGTGTCAGCCACAGAGCTAAACTCTCCCGTAACAGGGAGGGAGGATTGGATGGCAGCCGGAGATGGCGCGGGGGCCGCGACGGTGCGGGCATCGTCAAGCTAAGAAACCTATCGGATCCAAAACGGCGATGGAAACGACATGTCCTCTCGGTCTTCAGCGGGTTCAAGTTCATTTTCAAAATACCAGGCTCAGATTCGCTGCACCATTCTAGGTCTCCCGTGAGGACAACCACTTCTGAATGTTTATCTGTCTTGAAGCTATCAGTCGCCGCCTCCCAGGCTTTGTTGGTCGGCTTTTCTGGGAGCGGCTTTCCATTGCGCTGGCTATGGCCCTTAATCCAATCCCAGAAGTTGTCGCGTGTTTTGAAGGATATGATGCTACCGACTAACATGCGGTCAGAGGAGACATTCCAAGCTCTACCTATCCTCTCCAACTCGTACCGGTACCGTAAGGGTACTGTGCCTGGGAAGGACTGTGTCTGTGCAAATGGCCCGAACTGAAGAAGCTCATCTATTATTTGCTGCTCAACCGAGTAGCGAGGCTCATCAATGAGACATTCGTCCGTGAGGTGGGACCTATCGAATGTCGTCTGCAATTCTTGATTCAACACCTGTCCCACCACCGAGTCTTCATAGTCTGAGTCAAACATAGGCTCGGTAGCATCAGTGACGGTCGAGATAAACGAAGAGTTCAATCGGTCATTGTGGGAATCAAAGATAGAGATTGGCTCAGTAGATGAAAAACTGACGTTCGGGTCATCTTGTGCGGGCTGCACTGCATCGTATCGCCCGAGGTTGTCAGGTGCCGTTAGTCTCTGAACGAATGCGGTTGGGCCCTTTGATTTTACATCCCTGGGGTTTTTGAAAATGTGTGCCAGTCCACCAGAGACTCGATCAGGATCTAGGCTCCATCCCCCTGTCTGATTGAGGGGGTCAAGAGAGTCGACAGTAGGGCCAGGGTCGGGGCCGGAATTCTTTACCGGAGAGTTTGGAGCAGTATGAAATTCATCCTCTTCTTCTGACATACTCATTTTCAAACATTTCGATGGGCTTAGGGCGTCTGTGCTTTTCGTGAAGGTCCCTTCTTGCGCCTCGGAAAACGAGGGAAAAGAGCCATTGGTCGAAAGGGGCAACTCATTGTTGAGGAGATTCATCAAGTATTCGAGGCGCTCACCTCTCTCATCGTCGGAGATACTTGCAGGAGCATTATTCGTCAATAGCTGTTTTCTTGACACATAGCTTGCCGTATGACCAGCATTGGCGCGCAATACCGGCCGAGATGACACCCAGTCCTCGAAGCTGTTGAGGACCTTATTTAAATCAACATTATGACTGAAATGACATCTCTTGATGCCGAGATGGACGCGCCATCTGAGCGATTTTGTATCCGGCTCGAGGTATGGTGAGTGGATACGAGGATTGGCGATATCTAGTCCGAATTGCTCGTTTAGCGCGCCGATCAACTTGTATAAATCTATTCCTCTCCTAGGAGTGTGAGGAGACGCCATGGCCTTGGTATGCGGAATTGAATAAGTGGCTCTGGGGCATCAGTTCCTTTCACCAGGGCTTTAGGGTGTAGCCAACGTATGACGGTATCTCAGTCAAGCAATTTATGACAGCAGTTGCTGTTCATCTCGTTAGTTTCTTTGGCCGAATGGTCCCGTGAGGGTAAGGAGACACAACGTATATGATCAGAGATGTCGCGGGGCTCTCTACCTCTCCTATAATCTCGAGTAGTGGTTAGTGCTCCACAATGGGAGGCAGGAGGAAAATAGAAAATGCAGCCTTGAGGTGTGCACAGCAAAACATGGGGAGGGGACGAGGCACCAACTACACCTCAAGGTAGCCTTTTCATCCCACGATTCAGCGAATCATATCGACGGGCCGTGACGCCGGCGGCCACTTTTGTTCAAACCACTGGCGAGTCTTCCGACGACCCCCGTCAACAAAAGGGAATGGAAAAAGCAATATGCGGATACCGTGTCATTCACAACGACCTTGACCAATATTGCGCACCGTTATACCACAACAGCCGTGTGTTCTTTTTTCCCTCGGTTGCCCTGTGGACACCCTGTCTCCCCACATTGCCAAAGAACCTAACCGGCAGTTGTATTCAGATACCTAGAGAACATTCTTACTAGATAGACGTTCTGACTCATTTCTTATCTGATATCTAAGTACCTATCAAAAATGCGGGAAAAGGTCATGCAGTGTGTGACACTATCAGCGTTGCTGCATCACAGTCAAACGAAACCGATTCAGGTTCAACAAACGGCACTGATATAATAATAGACAACTGACGACACGATAACTAAATAGAATATTTCCACGCAGCCGCAAACCAAGTCTATCCACGGTCAAGATTTTGAGCGGTGTGCGCCATCTTCGGTGTTACTGCATATTTTCCGAGACACTTAGTGCCTCTTGCCGTCCTATTGGCCAGTCCGAACCTTGGGTGGATGAAACGCTCCCATAGCCCTATGTATTAGTTTGGGATTCCCACTGTCAGCGGGACCGGAGGCCAGCGATACGCAGTTTGTTGTATCTCTATAAACGTATATATACTTACCCATTTGGCTGTCCAGGAAAGCATATATACGTTTACAGAGATACAATTAACTGTCTCCGAAGATGGACAGCTATATTACCCACATTTTTATTTTTGTATTCGATGACTAGGAATATAGAGTCTTCGCTTGGACTTATCATAACTGCAGTGCCCGGGCAGAATCATAGATCGCCTTTGTGCCCTCACCTGTTCCCATGGATAGGGATAAAGTAGTCCAAAGCAGTTGCACAATGTGAATAGTATGAAGTACTGAGAGCCATCCCTAGATGTCACCTTACTGTGCAACATATGCCAACGTTACTCGGATCCCTCAAATGTGGATTGTTAGTGTCTACCTTACACTACTATTTAGTATGTATATCTTCCCCTTCCTATCTACGAAGCCCGGTTCTTATATATGAGTATATACCCAGATACACCATCTCACGCTCATCACAATATATCCCTTCTAGACCTCCAATATCACCATAACATATCAATCACATCCTCCCCTCAGCATCCCCTCCTGCCACTTGAAAACCAGCACCTCTAACCAACGCATCCCACGTACCCTATCCCACAGTCAGCGTAATCCAACCCAAGAAAAGTTAAACCAAACAACCCATCTCCCAAAGCATCCCCACCCCAAAACGCCTGAACCTGCGCCCCCAACCCACCCACCTCAAACAACGGTCCCTTACTCCGACTCCAAGCGTCAGTTCCAGGCCCAGTCCCAGTCCCAGTCCCCAAACTAGAAAACATCCCAGTCAGCACCCGGTATATATCCCCCGCATCACCACAAGTTCCCTTCGCCTTCTCCCACAAGCACCGTGTGCGGGATGTCTACAGACACAAGGTGAGACCTAGAAAAGAAGTATTTTCATCTTTTACGTTTCAGTATTATAGCCAAAATAAGGAATGCAGCTGAAATAAAAGCTGTCTGAGTCCCTCCCATTAGAGCTGGACTACATAAGCCAAACCCTCCTCCCACTGACGAGATCTGCTTCCACAAGTTGAACCCACTTCGTCCAATTCCAAAGCTTCCAAAAGACCGCCAACATGACAAACACAATGATAATAACATAGTTCGTGAAGAAGCTCTCAATATCCCAGGGGGCAAATGTCGTCCTTCCCTGAAAGAAAAAAAAAAAAAAAAAAAAAAAAAAAAAAGACAGATATTCCACCAGAACGCCTCCTTATATGGTAATATCGATACGGACATTCTGTAGTTGCATTGCCCGACGGACGCGGATGTGGCAGAGGCAAATTAAACTCCCTAGGTCACCCAAGTTAGCATAGTAGTTATCCGTATCCTCCCTGGTTGTGGCTTACATGTAATAAGGGTAGAAACACCCGTCCGGGAGGTAATCCAGGTATACACCTTCCCACCCCCAGACGACAAGCTAAGCAGCGACAGGAACCCAATGAGGTTAAAGAAAACCAGCGCAACAATTCGGACGCCGTTATTCGTCGTATACAGGAACTATCTAGGCGCTGCACCCTCCCTAGCGAGTCCATACAGCGTCCGCGACCCAACATAGAGACCACTATTGAAGGCTGAAAAAAGCCGTCACAATAATAATCGAATTAATAGCCTGCGCTCAGGCTGGGACCCCTGCTCGTGTAAAGGTAATGACAGACGGCGACTGAGCAGTCTTATTGCTTCCATTCAGCAGAATAGAATCACTGTAAGGTACGGCGATAGTAAGGAAAAAAGATGCCGCCTAGAATTATGATCACAATCCGCCATAGAATACTTCTCACGGCTTTAGGCGCGTTTCGGCTTGGGTTCTGCGATTCGCCTGCTGTGAGTCCCATCATTCCTGTGCTTCTATACTGGAGGCCGGCAAAGACGAATATCTTGAAGACTCCTTTGATGCCGTCGGCGAATGCGCCTGGGTCGTGGTAGTATCTGAAGCCGATCTTTTGGCCACCGGCCACGTTAGCCGAAATAGTTTGTGAAGTGGCCGGGCTGAAAGAGGTAATATTCCGGCTTCTGCAAACAGGCCAGTGTATGTGAGGTAGATAGGACACAGGGGGCAATGGGGCAAATCAGAATATCAATATCCATGCCCAACGTGGCAAAACAGCCTTCCAAAAGCTCATAACTATTCCGAGATCGTCCGAAAAGAAGGTTAGGGCTCGATCAGTGAGACCTAACCTAAGAATAGAGAAAGGTCAAGAATGAGGAGAAGAAGGTAGGAAAGGCAATTTAACTATACTCCGCTATAATAATACCAGCCCACAACAGAGAGTAGTTCCATCCGAGAGCGAATCCCCAGGCCGGATCAACAAACCGCGCAGTGTAATAAGTGAAAGACCAAGAAATAGCAATAAAATGACCCGAGTTCACCGAGAGACTGCATAACCATCCACAGGAGACCCCCTACTACACCAAAACAATTAGAGTTCCTGCAAGCCCTGCAGTCGACAACCCGGTACCCATGCCCACAAAATACCCCGGCCCTATAACTCCCCCAATGGCCATCATGGGCTGAGTGCATTAGCTAACCATAATGCTTTTCACAAGTCAAACATGTAAGCTCACCAGGTGCTTCTGTGCAAGAGAGTGGTTCAGTTCACGACCTTACTCCACTTCCCCAGTTTCTAACTGCATGTCGTCTTGGGGAGCACAATCTCACTCCTTAGGCAACTTGTAATCCATTGTGTGCCGATAAAGCCTGCGTCGTTCCTGTAGTGAACCTAGAAAATAACTGAGTCGGCGTGAATAGGACCGAGTCAAGTGGATATAGCTCAAAGGCCATGTTGCTGTTATTTACCTCCTCATATAATGCAATTTATACTCTAGCTCTGTTTCCCCCTTATCTGGCTCGGCTCACGGAAGGAGTTTGATGAGAGGCTATCGGTACCAGGGGTAGGAATTGATAACAATGCCGTAGGTTTCCAGTTGCCGTCAACTGCCGACATATGCTAAACAAGATGAAGCAGAAAGGTAGTTTATATTTCAGTACTCCGCATCAACCAAACGGATGATAGTCATTTGCGGGGTGCGTTTGGGTGACTCGGCTCAGTATGGGGATCAACCGGGATGTGCCGTCGTAAAGCCCAAACATCAACCCAAGCCGTGGGAACGCCTTTGGGCGTTTGTTGAACGTACCTTGGACTAGCCCCGGTGCGACTATGGCTACCGCCATATTCAGATCCAGACCTCTCCGATTATTGTGGAACGGGATGGGCAGTTACAGGTTTGCTTGGAGGTTACTGGACGACAACGCTTGGAGCGAGGCGAGATTTAGTCTAAAACGATCGGATATAGCTGCTAACTGGCAAAAGAGATGCTCCGATCAAGGCTGTGGTAATCCATAAGAGACAGCTTGTCCTCCAGACTATCATCACTGTGGCCAATTATGAATACATCTTTATGTGGTGTTTCGACCAGTTTGGTGAGCTGACATTCGAAACTCGAGCCACTGGCATTCTCTCCACACAACCGACAAACAAGGGTGTGAAGATTCCATAGGGAACACGGGTGGCAGACGGTGTGATGGCACCCTGCCACCAGCATCTATTCAACCTACGCATTGACTCTACCGGCGGGGGTCATTGGATCGGTTTTGCATTGACCAGCAGTGTACACATGCCCTGGGATGAGAACATCAACCCCTTAGGAACAGGATTCATTACCGAATAGACTATCTTGGACTGTACTGGTCCCGTCGGGGACGACATCTCCAAGGGCAGGGTTTTCAAATTTTTGAACGAGAATGTCGAGAACCCTGTATCCTTGAGACCGATTGGGTACAAGCTGATGCCTCATCGATCACATGTAAGAATCCGCAGAAAGAATGAGATAGGCAACTCTGGCCACGTAATAGATGTCATTAGCAAAGCCAGGCTCGTGGCACTAGCGGCGTTCCAAGTTTTGTGAAAACCCTGCGTGGGTCACTAAATACAGAGATCGACACCTATTCCCCGCCGGTGACTATACCAATCAGTCTCTGGAAGGAACCGGCGTCAAGACTTGAATTGAGAAGGGTCGAGACATTGTTCAGAATGAGGATATTGTGGTCTGGCACACATTTGGCTTAACCCATAATACCCGTGTGGAAGACCTTCCCATTATGCCAGATGAGATTGCTCAAGTCCGTCTTGTGCCATACAATTTTTTGTCTCTATAACCCAACCAATGATGTACCCCCCGCCCTCTCAGGAGTTCAACCAGAGAACTGAGTACAAGGCACCTGAGCGTGCTCAGCCCCCAGGGTCAAGTGGCTGCCCTGGCGCTTTGTCGGAGTCACCTGTGAACCAGTTTTTATATGACTTGTATAAACGTGACGATGTTAAGCTGGGGATTACGAAAACAATCGTGTCTATGAGCCATCCTAACTAGTCGAAGAAAGAGTTCAGAGAATATGATGGCTCTTTAATTGGCTTCAGTACTCTCCTGAGCCGTTTGATTCTTAGTGACAAGTTTATGACCGATAATTAGCGATAAATACAAAGGGATCCCTATGTATGAAGTGATGATTTCCTTACCGTCGACTCCGCCATCATTCCTATCACTGTCTATTGTATCAAAAGCCCTCACGACCGTAATAAACAGGCAGAAGGCTAGGGCAATCCATGACCCAACCACCCCAAAGGGAGCTCTGAAAGTTTCGGCATTTATTTTCCGGGCTCGTGCGAATGAAACATGAACCACCAGAATTGAGATCCAGGTAAGAATACTGAACATGGTGACCACGTTAACGAAGTAGTCAAATAGACTCTTGGAATCTTCCTGGATATTTAGATAGGCTAACGAGGCTAGCGCAGAACACACGAAAAAGGTGTAGATCGGTGTTCCTCTTTGATCGAGGTGAGACAGGAACGGGAAGGCGTTTCGACCGAGAGATAGACCATAGAGTGTCCTAGTTGCCATGCAGAGGGAGTTATTTGCTGCAGATATTATGAACAAAAGAAAACAGGCGTTGAGGATATGGGGAACCACGGTAATGTGGGCCATCTGAACAGCGACTACAAACGCGGCGGCTGAGGCGGGTGGTTTTTGTGTATCCTCCGTATATGCAGAGGGATTTGAACTTTTAAACACAGCGAATTCCAGCTCCTCAGCATCAAATGGAACTAGCATGCCGATGAAAGTCACGGTAACAATGTTCACCACCAGTATGCGGTAAAATGTGAGCTTGGTTGCGTGTAATGCGGTCTTACGAGTGTTCCTCGTATGCAGAATACTTATTCCGATCAACTCACTCCCTAAATATGCAAATGTAGCCGAAGGCATCGTCCTACTTATAGCACGGAGCCTCCCAAGAGCTGTATTATCGCCGGCAAACGCACCTGGCCTTTCCCAGTACCGAAATCCTTTTCTGTCATGATCAGGGCCACCTCCTAGTGCAAGGACCAAAGATAAGACCATAAGCCCGAGCACGACAGTAATTTTGAAAGAAGAGAGAATGAACTCATATTGGCCCATGAAGTGACTACCCCAGTAGTTCACACCGAGTATAACCACCATGAAAACAGTTATCCATATGCCGGGGTTAACTGTCTCAGCATCCAGCCAGTACGATACCACCAGTGCTGCCGCTGTCAATTGATTAGGGGTAACAACCACAAATTTCAGCCAGTATCTGCCCTACTGTATTAGTAGAGAGCAAAAGAGAAAGATTGCTTCGCTCACATCCACTCGATTGTGAACGCCAGAGAAGGATCACAAAATCGTGCGGCATGATCAGCGACCGTAGATGGTTCTGGGGAGGCCACTTCCGCTAGGGCGCATAGGACATGATAAACCAAGACTCCGACAATCGTATAGGAAATAAGGACAGGTGCAGGCTAATAGGTCGATGGGTCAATCAATATTCTAAATTATCTCCAGAGAAGGAACGGCTCGCTTGGGGTACTGACTCCGGCCCTAAGAAGTTGTCAACACCACCTATCATGTTATATCCACGATAGCTTACTTTGCAAGGGCATTGCCAGATGCTATCATCAAACCAGTGTTGATTGCTCCGCCGATTGCTGTAGCCAGGAGTCAGTCCAGGGCCAGGGGATCTAATCAAAACCTGTCGACAAACCGATGAGCGTAACCTGGTTTGGCTTCACGGTCCCATAGGAATTGAAAATGCTCTGGCTTTCACTGCGACTCGGGGAATAACTGGGGATTCTACTATTATTTTTGGGAAGCGAGAGTGAGAGTAAGTCGGAAGACGTCGTGTGGTGCTGGTCTGGTGACATGACGTTGATGGGGTAACTAATCGCATTCATCGACAAGAGAAGATTGAGTGTTTTGAAGCATAAGTGGGGAATTGAAATGGAAATTGCCATCAGATATCGAGAATGTTGCCCTTTGATGAAGGCATGACAAGACTGGAAGGCACCAGGAAAAGGGCGAACAGAGTGCCTTCCTGAAAGAGTCAATGGTACTATTTCAAATATCTACTGGGGAATTAACTTGTGAACCAACGCTTCTCACACCTAGATTGAATTTGGATAAAATGAAAGAGAAAAAGTACAATGAGATTTGCAAGGGTATAAAATCTGCAAATAAAACCTATGACTTGGAGAACAGAATGATATATAACCTGTTTTGCCATTCTCGGTGGAGTGGTGATCTAGTAGCCTGAGGCCCAATCGTGGGCCTGCTCCCCCAGCGAAAACAATAAGAAAACGCCAGTCTAACCCATATCGCGGAAAGGTGAAGAAAGGAAACCCCGTTGCTTCGAGGCGAATCCGATCGTCTCAAAGACAACTTCATAATACTTCATAATCAAAGCGGCGCCGCATATGCGAGCATGTCAATGCTGGTGTCTACCGCATGTACAGAGAATCGCTGGACTCGGTCCTGGGGAATATCCTAGTATACAAGGAATCGGTCGACTCTGTGCGTGGGAATGCCCGCTGATGGACCTTCGAGACCATACGGTCGGTGTATACACCCTTCGCTGTGCCCCGGACGACGGTCTCGAGGTAGTCCCTGAAATCCACTGGTATGAAGTCCGGATAGAGCTCTTTGGCGTCCAGGTAACCAAGGTATTTTGCGTTTTCAGGGGTGTTGTCACCGCGAACGCCCCAAGATAATTGGTACTCGGCCAAGTACCGGGGGATGAATTTGACGGGATCGAAGGGGTAGGTCTCGCTGGACTGTCTAGCGGCGAGTACGCGAGTGTAGACACTTTCCTCCGGAATCTACAAGGCGATCAAGTCAATAAACGTCGCGATGCCCGAGAGCGTTCGGCTGACTTACGTAATTCCTTTGGATTTTCTCTTCGCTGATCTCTTCCAGAAGGTCGTAAATCTCATTTTGTGTCTTAACCGTGTTGTATGCATAGACCATCTTGTTCAATGTCCGGTCATCAGCAATGATTCTAGCGACATAGCGTCCAATGTCTCGCAAGTCGGTCAGGCCCATGGGGGTGTTGCCGGTACCGACAATCTCGTTATTGGCGGAGGTCATAGCATAGTCTGTTCTTCCAGAGTCTAGCCTGGGGTAGGACAGTTGGTACCACCAGCCGACATCGATGATAGTGTAGGGCAGACGGAGTTGTTTGACGTGGTTGTACACTGTTTCTTTCTACAGAAAGTGAGGTCAAAGTCAGCGACCGACGAATTTTTCCTTCGCTGGCATAATGCTTACTTCATCCCTCAACCACATGATACCACCGGCTGGCGCCACGGTGATGAAGCCACATGGAACAAATCGCTGAACTCCCGCCCTCTTCGCGGCCTTAGCGAGAGGGATTTGATCTTGTTGCTCGGCAGGACCGACACAGCTGATGACGACATCAATTCCCTCGAGAGCATCGGTGAGGGAGTCTTCGGAGCCTCTCAGATCGCATCTGCGGATTTGTACCCCGCGTTCCTGGAGGGCAACAATAGCGGGTTTCTGTACCGACCGGGGGCGGACAAGAGCGTAGAGTTCCTAAGGGGTCACGTGAAGCGCCGGTCAGAACAAGGAAAGCCAATGCACGAATCGGAAGAGTTGTTTCTTACAAAGATCGGATTCTCCAAAAGTCCATTGGCGATCGAACCACCGGTTTCACCTGCTGCTCCGACGAGCAAAACTCTTGTTTTCGACATGGCGATTCTGATGAGTGGCGAAATTTGATACTGGGGAGACGAGGGGGTGGTGATGCGGGTGTGAAAATCGAATAGAGAGCTAGGAAAGGAAAATTCCGAGGGAAGCGGGAAGTGAGAGAAAGTTCGGAAGAGAAAGGAAAATAAGCACAAGAATTTTTCCTTCCTTCTTGTCTCTTTTATTTCTGTTTCAAGATTGCCTTCTCTTCCAACGCAGGAGTGAAGGGTCAGTCGATGTTATAAGGGCCAGCGTCCCACACACTACCCACACTGCCTTATCCAGATTGGACGCCGGTGGGTCGACAGTGGATGTTAAGCTCCCCAAAATGAGAGGCGCACCTAGTGAGTTGTCTGGGAAGAGAGGGGTGGGTATTCTGTGTGATTTGACGTTACGACCGTACTGAGAGGTAGTATCGATCAATATGGTGGGATTTCTACGAGGAAGATCTGGTGACTTTTTCTACTTTTATATGATTTTTAAAGAATCCTTTCGTTTTTTCCAGACTCTCTTACCTAACCTTCAGTTATCGGAAAGTCGGAGGGTTTGGGTTTACATTTTCTGACTACGGCCCGGTGGCTTCGGGAGCAATACGGTTACGTCATTTGCCCACGGCTTCCCGGGCACAGAACAAAAACTGGCCAAGTGACGATATCTGTTCCACGCTTTTCGTCTCTCTCCCCCTCTCACCATCATTATGATATCGACCTCTTTTCAGCAACTTCTTATTTGAGTTGCTTGCGAACTGACCTCCCAAATCCATCCATGCATTCCACAAGACAAAATCCACGCATTCTTTTCTCCTGTTTCCACATCGCTTGAATGCGGGGAGGGGGCCCAATTCCCCCGGGATTTCCAGAATAGGGCCTTTTTTCTGCAGCGTACAATTCACATTATTAGGTCGCCTTTGTCCAATGATTAAACCCCCACGTCAGAGATCTTCGGCGTGGCGGGCTTGGAGAGCAGAAAGGTGTTTGTAACCCTGGAAGAATGACGACATGGGACATGGCCGTCTCGGGGTTCGGCTATCATTGGTCGGACCCTCTTTGCAGATGGAGTAGCTGTCCCATGGTTGCATACTGCCGTCCCCTTGAGCCTGTGACTTTTCATTAGATAGATTATCACAACCAGCGGCTACTGGAAATCGACCTAACCTAGGCCGCTACCAATGCAGAGCGACACCCACTTAGGTACGGAGCACCGAGCGTACTTCTGATTGACGCATGACGAAGCCGCTGTTGTTCAATCCGATTGCTTTCATCCTTGATCGTTTGACCGTCCGACTGAGATGGGTTTTCTCCCCCGCAATCGTTGAGCTGCAGTTAATCTTTTGGGGCTTTGAGTTTCACCTAGAGATCTCCTGCATGTGCGACAGCCTTGAGAGGCGCATAATTCATTTGAAAATGTGGAATAGATAATTATTAACTTCACGTGGTAAATGCCATCGAGAAAATTTCTTCTGCTTACTTAAAAAGAAGGGATAATATTAACGACAAAGAGAAAACCAAACACAGAGACGTCGAGGGAGAAAATTTAGTCTGCGGCTCTCAATGAAGAAATCCGAGGGTTCGGGACATGGATAAGCATCTTTTTGCTGTTCCTGACAGTGGGCTTAGCCACTCAGACTTCTGGATTCCCAATGCGGATCTAGAACTATATACACTCCTAGTTCATTGACAGGCCGATGGAAAGATAATTAATTGTATCCAGATCATGTAAACCTGACCTGTATCCCTCACCCCTTTCTTGAATGCATCGCATAGTCCGCGCGACCAGTCTTCAGGCCATTCACAGCACTGAAACTGTCATCTCCAGTGTTGGATCATATTTCCTCCGGAGTCGAGGGACCGGACGAGACTCCTCCGGCAGGGCAAGTGCCCCGAACATCTAAGATGACTACGTCGTACTAAAAAGAGCTGTCCAATGAACTGAGCGAGAAGACCGGTGGATTAACCGCTAGAAAACAAACCGCGTTCGGCTAGCCGCGATTAAGCATAGCTAAGAATGGTTTAGCTGTGAAAGCATGTGAGTTTTCCCCCTCGTAGTAGTAATGGATTCGATCTGCAGGCAATTCCACTTCCGCCAATGATCGGCCGGACCCTGCACACACTCACTCCCTAAGAAATCGATGATACTCTTCCAGGTTTCAGGATGGTAAGAATGTCGGTGTGATCCATTATTACACTGCCACGGACCCTCGGAGAATTGACTTGAGATAATAAGAAAAATGATGATAACAATATACTACTCCTCACTAGGGACTACTTCTGATATCCCTACATACCAACTATCCTAGTTCTTACTAGAATAGGTTACTAGTGAACAATAGTTACCTTGGTAATAAAATGCAGTACCTTGATACCTGACTCGATCAGACCCGGCCGGAAACCCCAAAAAGGACAAACCCAGAAACGCGACCAAGTAAGGCATGTAGTCGGCGTAGCATGAATATGAGATATCTCAATTTGTAGACTTGACTTGACCTTTTAACTTACCCATATGGTCTGCTGCCATAAAGAGGGTGAACCTTAACCCAATTTCCACCTCCAAGCAACCAGAACCAAGATTCGAAACAAAGTCTTAAATTTCAGAGTGCGGTGGCCATTCGCCCCTACCTTATTCGAGGCTAGCGCTGTTGATGATGGCATACAGAGACTTCCCCGCTCTCCGCATACCCCATAAAGATTCTTTCCCCTCCCCGCAGCCGCTACCTGACATATCCGTAAACAAACCTCAAGTCTCCCATAGCCTACTCTCCTCCCTTAGCATACAGAAAACTGCATTCAACAGATGATCTGCATTGATCCGGCTGGGCTTGGTGGCAACTTGTTAAACCATACCGTGCCGTGGGGCAGTCTTCCAACGGAGTCCGGGTTCCAAATATTTAGAGTATAATAGGAATCATATCGTTAAGGCTTAGGCGGGAAGGTCACATCTCTGTCCCGCCCGAATGAATTAAGAGTTCATTAGCTTAAGTAACGACTGAAGCTTGTCAGATAATGGATAATATTAATCATACTCATACCCAAAGAAGAAGATGGTGCAGGTTACTAAGAGCCGAGCACAATGCGGAGAGCCTTTTATATCGCTAATAGCGCGTACCGCGCACGTGAATGTTAAGTCTTTTAGCGTTAATTCCACTGTCTAGTCTACGATTTCTGTGAATGAGGAAGTGAACATGGTAATATTCTTCACTACCTTGACAAGAGCTAACTGGGGGTCTGAAGGTGTGCCGAACAGCTGAACCGTTTTTGCATACTAGCCGTCACGTACGCTATCGTACTAAACATCAGCCGACTTACTAGAAGAACTTGGCGCTCTGGGATGTGTAAACCTATGCCCTGATAGCAGAAATTAGTGACTACAACGTTCAAGTTCACTGAGAGCAAGGGCAATTGCCGCTGCTCAAACATCCATGCTACCATAATCTCATCTTGTCCTCAACCGTCCTCTGACGGAAAATCTTTAACAAAGACGCAATGAAGCGATAATTACCAAATATGCGCCACATTAATGCCCGTCAACAGCCGCCCTAATGAAATCATTTGCCTAGATCAACCCGTCGAAACCAGACGTACCTTAATTCTCAACCATACGACGTGTGAAGACCATGCTCCTGGCTCTCATAACTAGTATCCCATCCTATGCTTCCACCACTCGAGAACTACACGAGTCCCTCCAACTGCCCTCTCACATAATCCTTCCTCCCCTCATACCCCATATCCGTCTTACTAACAATCCCCTCCTCCTCCAATTTCTCCAAAAAATCCAATACCCAATCCTGACAATTCCACCCATGAACCTCACTCCGAACAGGAAGCTCCCTCGCAATAGCCCTTACAATACCCGTTTTGGAATCTTCAACATCAAACAAATAAACCAACTCCTCTAGACCGACCAAGCGCCGCGCATTCCCGGGTTCAGGCTCGTAGCGAAACCGACCATCGCTGCCTCTGACTTGGAGTACGATTTTGTCCGATTCTTGGGGTTCGTCGAGGAAGATGCCCCAGTGTTTAAAGACGCCGCTGTCGGAGCTGACGGCGAGGTAGATTTTCACCATGGCGGAGTGGAGTGGAGTGGGTTTCTGTAAAAGGGATTAGTGGGGATTTGTTTTTGGGGGAGATTATCTTGGGTTAACGTACGTTTTTGTTTGGGTAGAGGGGGTTGGTTTTGGATTCAGTTGGGAACTGTTCTGTTGTTTAGGTAGATTTGATGGAGCAGGTAAGGTTGAGGCCGGGTCGTACAGGGAAGCAAGGGCTTGGGGAGGGGTGGTCAATTGGTAAATAAATCTAAACCTAATATTAGTACTCAATGAAGATTGAGTTTGAGGATCGTTATTTGGATATGCCTTTAATGCTAAAGTGTGTAGCCACATGAACTTGATATTCCGGATCCAGGTACGTATACAAGCTGGTATCTAGATGATCCTGGACTATAGAAAGCCGTTGCGCTAAGTTCTAGGATAGCGAGAACAGAAACTTAGGCGGCAGCTGACATTCACGCAGTTTCATAGATTAATCATCTACTAATAGTTCATTAAGAGCTGCACTCAAAGTGACCGGTGGGAGTGAGCTTTTATAACGTAGCATGGTGTTAAGGATGCACAATGCGCATGAGTTCCACGATAGGTAGAAACCTCAAGTCGACTAATTTCTGACAATGCTTCTGGGTGTAGCTTGACAGCATCTAAACATATACCATGATAACACCAAGGGGCCAGTGGATCGGCCAGCTCGAGTAATTCAATTGTCTTAGACGCTTGCTTGTCATAATATATAGTTTGGGTATAGAGTAGTTGATTATATATGAAGGTCTATGGATAGGGAGTTGTGACGTAAAAATCATGGGTAATGAAAGTTGCTCCTCTGCTTTTTTATACCCAAATTGGGCCATGTCGAATGCATGAAGTATGAGCGGTAGATGCCGGACCTAAACAGACATAATTAATTACTATGCGCCCTTGCAGCATAAGGGCAAGCGGTCTTATGACTCTCATCATCTGGCATTGCGAGCCTCCTCTGTAACAGTGATAATGTGTAGTATGAATTATGCCTGGGCAGTGTAGCCATCGTGCAGGTGTTCCATTGACCCGGTCGCTTTCAACCTTTCCCTTCTGGTTTTGCTCTTGCTCATCTCGTAGGAGACACTGCCATAGGTTGTCAAGCCAATGCCGTAGGGCTCAAAGTCGCCACTGGTCTTGGTACTCGTACTCTTCATACCCAAAGCTCTTTTGACATTACGGATAACGCGTGTCTCCTGGAAGATCTTGGGAATGCAAGATAAACAGACAATGAAAAATCCACAGGCTACCTCAGTGGTGACACAGAAGATCAACGGCGCTAGGCTGTAGATAACATCGGCTGCTCTACCATGCATGACTGGCGTATCTAACCTGAGGGCTGCTGAAGCACAAGCGCTGTGGTATCATTGATGTTAACCTTAAGCTTCGAATTGAGGTAGAGCTCAGTGCTTGAACTTGCAGCACACCAAGCTAAAGACCAGAGAAACACTCAATCTCTTCCTCCATGTCATCTTCAAGGCCTAAATCACAAGTTGAGGCAAGAGCAACATGACGACGTAGCATGTAAGGTGTATGCTGGCTGATGCTGCTTGGATATAGTATAGATCAATGCATATCCCTAGAACGGTAAAGTCATAGATGGCTTTATAGGGAATGCATTAAACATTCAGAGCAATAATGATGGCGATGCTCCCGGTGATCTGAACGAAAATAACGGCCAAGCTGCCCCACCAGAGGATGGTCCTAGAACTGAGCCCTTTGGGGGCGAACAGTCGACACCACTCTACCAAGATGGCTATCTTTAGAAACGAAAGAACTAATGAGTATCAGGAGCTGTAGGTGAGGGCATACTAGCATCAATTAGATACTGCGCACATCAGAGATACCACAATTCGCATAGTTGGCAGGTATGATATCCCGGAGGTGGATATTCCATTCGTGATAGCCTGGCGTCTTAATCATTGCAAAACGTAATGTATATTGCCTCCCAATATCACCCCTAGAGAGGATATTGTCAGAGCAGCGTATAAATGGCCTGGACAATAGGGGAAACGAACATAAGCCCGCGTAACTAGTATTATGTTGAATGAAACATCAGCAATAGGTAACAGCAGAATGCCTCAATTGATTATAGAAAGTTGGAAGTACATTTGACTAGACTTGAGTAACATGACATTCGTATGTGGAAGTGACTCACTTTCCTCAAGTTGTATTTTCCCTAGCAAGTAAACCCTTAGCATATATGCGCACGGTAAAACACATTGTCGCAACTGTGGTGCATGCAGCAACTACGCCTATCATAAATGCGTTTCGGTTCGGGGGGTTGTCAAACTCAGAACTGACTCCATCTGGCGGCATATGAGCAAGCCCGTCGAGGTCCATAGTAGGCTAAATAGATCGTAAGAGGTTGTTCTCCACCGGCGCTCAGGGTATGCCAACCTGATTGATTGTTGTAGTGATTTTGAATGTTCGTTCATCCGTCCAATTCAGTCGCAGATGAGCAGCTTTTATCTATGAGTTCATGCCGTGCTTTTGAACCTGATTAAACCCTGCAACACCTTTGTCTTCTACATGTGGAGAGACCGTTTGGAGGTCGTTCGAGTCCGACTTAGGCTTGGCTTGTGGCTGACAATAGTAGTATGAACTACACTCCTTGGGTGCGCCACGAACCAGAACCCGTCGAGCTTGTGACTGCCGCTCAGCACAAATAAGAGTCATCTTCATGGAGATGCCCCCTTTGTGCTGCGAAGAGTGGCCCCAGAATATGTCCTATTGTAGCATGGGTTATTAAGCTCAAAATTCCATTAAAAAATATTATGTGTCATTAGCTTTCAGCTGGAGCCTCAAGCTCCGTAAAGTTTCCGGCACTTGCTTCCATGTCTCCATCCTGCTAATCATGCAACAAAGCACTGCGGAGAGTTTTATATACGGCAGCGAGGCACTAGTCAGCCGTGGCGTCTTGGCTGTAAAGAGTCATAGGAATACAAAACGTAAGAGCATTCACTCTATTCTTTGACAGGTCCATTTCCCTCAAAGAACGTAATCTTGACTTAACTATAGTCTTTCTAGAGTCATAGCTTAAAACCATATACATCTGTATATATCTGAGCCCACCCTAGTTCACAAGAAAAGGACCACCCTCCAGACAAGTTCTCAGCCAAATAATCGTCACTAATGATAGAGTTAGGGGTCTGTAAAATGGACTACGGGGCCAATGCGTCCGTCAGAAAACCCACTAGGACTACTAGTGCTGTTAGTGTAACGCGCATATCACGATAGTCTGACTAGATGCTGGGGCCGGGTTGACACTGCCTCAACACGGGATATCTCGTCCTCTCATGTGCTATATCACTACTCCATTAAATTGCGTTGTTGGTTTCAGACCTCGGCTAATAGCATCATTCGCTGACACCCACAGAAACAGTACTACCTCTTGTCAGCAACATGGGGCCGGGTTTCAAATTTTGTTTCTTCCATATGTTGCTCGATATCTACTCTCTACTCCATGGTTAGAGGGTCCACTGCTGCTCCAAATTCACATACGTTTCAAGGCGACAGAATCTCTGCGATGCCAAAGCAGGAGTTATTTCCCCTACATCCGTCTGGCTGGGAGAATGATCCCGACGAGGAAAGGTTCAAAGTCTCTACCCTCGACTATCTGGCTGCTTGCACTTATAACAACTATGCGTTATTCTTCAAACTGGACGATACCGAAAAGGGCAAGGCAGTTGATGTTCTCAAAGCAGGCCTTGAGCGTACGCTTAGCCAAGCACGACATCTTTGCGGATCAATCGAGAAGGATCCAACTGGCGGTCATTCGTTCGTGAAGAAAAAGGATAGTACAGTCCAATTTTTCGTTCAATGGCTTGACTCTCCAGGGGAGGAATACCCGTCCCTGGAAACCATACAACAGTCCCACTTTAGTGCTACCACACTGGGCGACCTCAATCTTTGGAGCGTCGCTCCGATGACATATGGCGAGAAGCCAGAAGCCCACCCCAATAACAGTCCAGTAGTCGCCGCTTATAAGGCAAATTTTGTCCGTGGAGGGCTGGTCTTTATAATGCATCATCACCACTACGCTAACGACGTTATGGGCTGGGCCGGCCTCACCCACCAGCTTGCAGAAAACTGCTACGCCGTTGTTAACCAAACTGATTTTCCTGTTTGGGACCTAGCTTGCCTTGATCGCTCGCGTCTTACTAAAAGCGAAGTGCCGGATGAAGCAAAAGTAAACGGCCCGGTTTCGCCAGAGCGTCATCCGGACCATACTGTAGCCCTGTCACTTCTCTTCCATCTATCAAAGAGCAAGGCCACTGAGCTTAAGAAGCTGGCAACACCCACTGATGGCTCATGGATTTCAACCTATGACGCCTTTTCAGCTTTTATCTGGCGTACTCTTTCCCGGCTGCGCGCTCCCGTATTCAAGCCGGACATGTCGTCCCACTTATTCTGGAGTGAGGCAGTTGACATGCGCCGCCGTATGGACAACCCCAAAGTTCCACCACGTATCCAGGGCAACGTGATGTCCGCGGTCCTATCCCCTATGGCACCGGTGCTGCAGCCAACACTAGCCGAGGTCATCTCCGAGTGGCCTTTGTCCAAGTTGGCATCGTACATCCGGCAACTGACTAACAGCGTCACCGAAGAAAGTCTTGACAAATGGCTTGATATAGTGGCAACTATCCGTGACAAGACTTCTATGAATATCCGTATCAATTCATACCCGCCCATGTCAATACTTCAGACCGATCACCGCGATGCAAACGTCACCACAGCCGACTTTGGTTTCGCGACACCTATCACATACCGCCACCTCCTGGACTGCATAAGTGAGGGTGTTATTATTATCTACCCGCCGCGCACTGCAGATCCCGACTCAGATGAGGGCTGCGAGTTCGCTATTTCGTACGAGAAGAGGTTAGCACAAGGATTGATTGATGACCCTAAGTGGAATGAATTTTTCGAATACAGAGGTGTAGATGCAGAGGATGCAGCTCACTCGTCTGTGCTCTAGAACTATAGCTATCTAGGTTGAGTTCGCAATGTTAGCTTCGGGTTCTTTTGGCGTACATTGTTGTGGGAGAAAAGTCGCGCTTAGAAACCCCGCATTTTCTGATCGAGGTTTCTTGATTGCACACGAGCGGTAACCTAGGGTTTGACCTCGCATTCTATAACGGTGATGCCCGCGATGGATAACGTAAACGACAAGAAGAGTTTGGCGACAAATTGCATGATTAAAAGGGGCAGTATAAAAAACTTGTTTCGCTTTGACTAACACGATATCCTATCTACGTAATTGGATCAATATTTTCTGATGCGCCAGGTATCATTAAGGGTGGTCTAGTAATAGAGTGAGTATGAGTATAACTAAAATATTAGTATGAATTGGTATATAAGACAGACTTTGGGGTTCTACCATGCTATATTATAGTTAAGTGTCATTTTATATATCCGATAGCAGTAGTCCATGCTAGTATTTCAAAAGGACAAATAGAGTGTCACTTGAAATGAACTGGAGCAGCAGCTTCAGTCGTGACTTGCAGACTTAAAAGATCAGGCCGAGAGTAATGCCCGACAACATCCAGGTTCTGCTTCGCCTTGATTCGATCTTTGAGGTCAATATCCGCGTAAGCAATACCCTCCACACCAGTATCCAATGGTTCAGTCAAGGGAGCTCCGTCGGGACCAAAGATCACCGTGAACCCTCCGCCAGGGAGTTTCATCCAGTCAAAGTCCGGCAACTTTGACCTAGCCTTGCCTTCAGTCGTTTGGATCTGTGTACAAACTAGAACAAAGCAAGCCCCCTCCATTGCCATAACCTGACTGAACCGGCCACTCGCTTCGTCAGAACTATGGTATGTCCAAGATGGAACATTCCACATGCAAGGCCAGCTTGCGACATGAATGTCGACGTTTTGCAAGTACTCGTAGTACCGTAGAAGCGGCTGGGAATGCTCCCAGCAGTTGAGTCCTCCTATGTTTCCGAAAGCACTGGGGGCTACGGATATAAGGGAGTCTGCTTGTCCATCTCCCCAGTAGCTTCTCTCGACATGGGTCGGCTTGATTTTGCGTCGGTGGTGGACGATGCTGCCAGTAGAGTCGATGAATGACTAGGTACTTTATCTTTAGTACAGATAATAAGACATGAGGACTAGCCAATATACCTGGGCGATGTATAGAGACCCTTTGTATCTCTCGCTATAGCCTAGTACGATGAAGACACCCGATTCGCGCACAGCAGCTTTAATGCGCTCCATCTCGTCTGATTCTTTTTCCATCGAGTTTTCAAAATACTCATTCATGAACGAAACGTTGCCAATTGCCGAGTTGGCCCAGATGCTCCTTGTCAGTAGTCAATGAACAGGAGGTACTTGGGCGGGTTCCTATTCCTGATACTCACCATGGATACCCTGGGATAAAGACCTCAGGAAAACCGACCACGTTGGCGCCATTACCGGCAGCGTCCTTGATGATTGAAATGGTCTTCGCAACCCCGCCTTGGAGGTCATTCCAAACAGGTTCAGCTTGAACCGCAGCAACCTTGACCTTGGGGGACATGATAATAGTTGCGAAATTATTCTTTGCGACACTTCCGAATCTTAGGAGTGAGGTAGTCAAGCAGGAATAGAGATGCAAGTTCAACCCCGCTTTGGGGCTTATATATGTACAAGTACCCCTCATATCTGGGCAACCACGCCATGCCATCATTATCCCTGGATCCCTGGGAATAGTATGAGTATCCCACGAATCAGTCCACTTAGCTTCGATATAAGACGTCGTCAAAAGAGTTAAGTCTATGACATTGGATTGTGTTCATTGTCCTCACTTTCGAGTTACACAATAAGTATATTAATACATTGCAGGTTCAATTGGCGGTTGAATTTTTGTTTCCCATTGCCCCGATGTCCCTTACATTGCGCGCTCTTGTTTGGATTTAACAACTATAGCTCTAGGACTATTTTCATGATTGGAGACTAGATACTAACTAGTACTTAGTTTTCTTGTTTCAACTGTCAGGCGTTGACAAGGGCTTGTGGCAGTCATGTGAGCCGAGAGTGAGTTGAAAGTGACGAAGCAATACATTGACTTGACCTCACTTCAACTTACTCTCACAAACCAACTCCTCTCAACTCATCTGCAAAACACATCAACAAACATCGCATTGAAGTCTCCCAATCTAATCTACAAAACTTTAGATCGGCCACAGCCCCGAAGGAAGCGGGGCGTTTAAGCGATGGTTTCTGGGCGTCAACCCCAGTCGGGAATTATCGCCCCCGTTTATTCTTGGCGAGTCTACCGCAATGTTTGGGATATGGAGAATCATCCCACTTGATTGGTCACTCGGTGTCTCGTGTCTTGCAAGTGTATGGCGTTGGTGCCAATGCTTGGGATTTATAAACGTGACCGAATACCGTCGAATATTGTCAACCTAAGGCAGCATTGAACTAGCCGTTATTAATCTCTAATCCCTCTCCTGATCGGATTTTTGAGCTTAGAGATGAACAGCGACGTCGTTTGCTGTTCCTCCTCAGGCGACAATGGCGAACGTGAAACTCCTCTTTAGGCAGATATGGACGCTAACTCTAAAAAATCTCCTGCTCGTGCTCGTTCGCCCGGTCTTTACAACCGTTCTCAGGGCTCTAGTTCTGCCAGTGATTTTCATCGCGTTTATGTAAGTGGTTGGTCCCCTCTCCATAAAATAATAAAGCTTGTAGTTAAACGGGGATCCAGATCATATGCGCGAAACTTATTCATTGAGCCTGCAACTTATGGGATTGGTGATCCAACCCCTGTGCGGGCTCTGTCGAATGCTCTGGATTTTGTAACTGGTGGAAGAGATAAGCTAGTATTTGTTCATAATGGCCTTATTGGCGGCCCTATCGAAAAAGTCATAGACTCGGTCACTGAGTCTATCCGACCCGATCAAGATCAAGTCTACCGTTTATCCTCCGACAAAGAGCTACGAGAATTATGTCGAACATCACTCAGTGGAGAGTCTAAATGTATAGCAGCTGTGGTGTTCTATTCATCCCCAACAGAGGGCCCCTATGGGGTTTGGAATTACTCGATCAGGACAGACGCGTCCTTGGGAGCGGGGATTAATGTTGATAGTAATAAGAATGACCAGGAGATTTACCTTCTTCCTTTACAGCACTCTATTGATTGGGCTATCGCCCAAGCGAATGCATCAACTAATCAGAATGCCCTACCCGATGAGGTACGTTTATCAGTGAACCGCACGTACAGTAGCCCATCTTGAACTTGACTGACGAATTCATAGATCATGGAGTATCCGTATACATCCTTGACCCAGGAAGAACGTCGAAATAAAATCCGAGTCAATTATATGGGTGCAATTATCAATATCATGGCTATCGCCATTTTTATCGGCATTGTAGGAGTTACGTATCAGCTAACGGGTCTAGTTGCCATGGAACGTGAATTGGGAATGAGTCAGTTGCTCGACTGTATGATGCCAAATGAGTCCAGATGGCAATCGCAGGCAGCCCGTTTCATGGCAGCACACCTAGCACTAGACTTAGTATACGGCATTGGGTGGATTATAACGGGCGCTATCTTGAAATATGGCGTCTACAGCAAGACCTCTGCAGGGATTACTATAGTCTACAACATTCTGGCTGGGCTCGCCTTGTCGTCCTTTTCTATCTTTGGGGCATCATTTTTCAAGAAGGCACAACTCAGTGGCATCTCCGTCGTCATAGCCTGTTTACTCCTCGGTGTTATAGCCCAGATGGTTCCAGCAAAGACTAATGGTGCGGTTGCCATACTTAGTCTTCTATTTCCTCCGATGAATTATGTCTACTTCCATATATTCATGGCTCGATGGGAGAGGCAAGACCAACCCACCGACCTTGTACATTCAGCTCCCGAGAGCCCATGGTCTCTCCCCGGAGTCATTTTGTGGATACTGCTCATCATTCAAATACTCCTGTATCCATTGCTTGCTGCTATGGTGGAGCGCATTCTTTACAGTACGGCCTCGAAAAATCGAAAAGCCACAAGGTCCAATGACCCAACTGCACTCAAATTGGAAAATTTCACAAAGGCCTACAGACCTGGGTGGTTCTACAGGCATGTGGCTAAACGTTTTGGTAGCAACCGTCAAACAGTTTTGGCAGTTAATAACCTCACTATAGATGTCGCGAAGGGGCAGATCATGGTCCTTCTAGGGGCTAACGGATCAGGCAAATCTACTACACTCGATTCTATCGCTGGTTTGACGACAGTTTCCGACGGAGAAATCAGTATAAATTACGGGACAGAGGGTGGAAAATTCGGCCTTTGTCCTCAAAAGAACGTTCTCTGGGATACCCTAACCGTTAAAGAGCACGTTAGAATCTTCAACAGGCTCAAGGCTACTCAGGTTGATACCGAGGAGCAGCTTTTGAAGCTATTATATGATTGTGACCTTGATAAGAAGGCCACTTCCTTTGCGAGAACACTTTCCGGTGGCCAAAAGCGAAAGGTCCAATTAGCGATGATGTTCACTGGTGGCTCCTCTGTTTGCTGTGTGGATGAAGTGTCTTCAGGCCTTGACCCAATCTCACGGAGAAAGATTTGGGATATCCTTCTAGCTGAAAGAGGTTCTAGGACCATATTATTGACAACGCACTTTCTAGATGAGGCAGACCTCCTTTCGGACCACATTGCCATTCTCTCAAAAGGAGTGCTCAAGGCACGGGGATCGAGTGTCGAATTGAAGCATCGATTAGGTTCGGGATATCATATCCACGTTTTGAATGTCCCCGGGTCGGAGGCAGCATCGTGTTTCCTCAATAGTGTTCCTCGCGAGAGCCACTTTGAAGAAACGGTGTATACTGTCCAAACCTCGGCAGAGGCTGCCTCATTCATCTCAAAGCTCGAAGAAGAAGGGGTTACGGATTACCGTGTAAGCGGACCTACCATTGAGGATGTCTTCTTGAAGGTTGCAGAAGAGCTAGACTCCCAAGCCCCTCAGGGCCCTGTTATGGATAATGCGGAAGGGGAAACTCAGGACCTTGGCAAGAAAGACCAGAAAGTTACCCACGGAGGTTTACATCTTCTTACTGGACAACGCACCAGTATGACTCTGCAGTCATGGTATCTCTTCCATAAGAGAGTCACAATACTACGCCGCAATCCTCTTCCCTACCTCATAGCGTTTCTTATTCCTGTCATCGCGGCTGGTCTAGTTACACTCTTTCTCAAAGATGTTGGTCAAACCGGCTGTTCTGCGGAAAGCATGACGACAACACCAAAGTTTCAGTCCCTACAGTCACTAGGAGATTTTCAGATTGTACTCGGTCCCTCTGACAAGATCTCAACTGCCACTTTGGAGAGTTTCATCAGTTCCTTATCTGCTTCGGGAGAAGCTAGCACAGGGAAGTCTGGATCCAAATTCTACATAGTTGATAGTCTTTCTGCGTTTGACGACTATCTTAAAGCTAACTATCATAATGTGACCCCGGGTGGCTTTTACCTCGGAGATGCATCATCAAGCCCTACCTTTGCCTGGAAAGGCGACAACAACGACCTCCCTCTCGCTGCCGTCATACAAAACCTCTTTCATCGTCTACTAATAGACATGCCTATCAATCTCCAGTTTCAGTACTTTGGTATACCTTGGCTGCCAAACGCGAGCAAAATTCTCCAGCTCATTGTCTACTTTGGTCTAGCCATGTCAGTCTATCCGGCATTATTTTCTCTCTATCCGACTATGGAGCGGCTGAGAAACGTCAGAGCACTTCACTTTAGTAACGGTGTTCGGAGCTCGTCTCTTTGGCTTGCATATGTTGGATTTGACTTCTGCATTGTCATTATGTCCAGTGTTCTTGCCATCATCATATTCATTGCCGTATCTGATGTTTGGTACAATCCAGGATACCTTTTTGTTGTCTTCTTTACCTACGGTCTTTGCTCGACTCTGCTATCGTATCTAGTCTCCCTGTTTTCAAGATCACAACTTGCTGCCTTTGCGTTAGCAGCCGGGAGTCAATGCGTGTTGTTCCTTATATACCTCATTGCATACATGTCTATTTTAACTTATGCGCCCTCGGAAAGAACTGACACTTATGTTGACATCGCTCATTTCACTATCGGCATCATCTCACCTGCGGGCAATCTCCTTCGCGCCATGTTCACGTCTTTGAATGTGTTCTCCATATTATGCCGGGGAAGAGAAATTGCCTCGTACCCAGGGGAAATCACCCTCTATGGTGGGCCCATTCTTTATCTCATCGTCCAGTCCTTTGCGCTTTTTGGACTGCTCCTATGGTTTGATGGAGGTCCCACATTCACCCTTCTACGCGCCAAATTCAAGCCTCATGATGAGGAAGAAAAAGCCCTCAAAGACGTCACTCCTGAAAAGCCACGGACTGCAGACTCCGACGAGGGTCTTCGCGTCCTTCACCTCACCAAAACCTTCCAAAAATTTACCGCTGTAGAAGACATCACTTTTAGCGTCGGCAAAGGCGAAGTTTTCGCCCTCCTCGGCCCCAATGGCGCAGGAAAAACAACAACTATCTCCCTCATACGCGGCGATGTCCAGCCATCCCGGAATGGAGGCGATATCTTCGTCGACAATATCTCCGCCTTGCGACACCGTGCGTCCGCACGATCTCATCTCGGCGTCTGCCCCCAGTTCGACGCAATGGACCAAATGACCGTACTAGAGCACCTTATATTCTACGCCCGAATCCGCGGCGTTCCCAACGTATCCCACAACGTCAACGAGGTCATGCAGGCCGTGGGCCTCATACCATTCAAACACCGCATGGCAACTACTCTATCCGGCGGAAACAAGCGCAAGCTGTCCCTCGGCATCGCCTTAATGGGTAACCCCACTGTTCTACTTCTCGATGAGCCATCCTCCGGTATGGACGCGGCTTCCAAGCGAGTCATGTGGAAAACGCTCGCTGCCGTCGCTTCTGGCCGCTCAATTGTCCTCACTACCCATTCCATGGAGGAAGCAGATGCCCTCGCCCACAGAGCAGGTATTATGGCGAAGCGCATGCTTGCCCTCGGAACTACGAATTCTCTTCGCTCGACGTACGGGAACAGATACCACGTTCACTTGGTTCACAAGCTGGCGCCTCATACGGCTGAAGAAGATATGCGGAACGTCCGCAAATGGGTCGGTCAGAATTTCCCTAGAGCTGCTATCGAAGAAAAGACGTATCATGGTCAGCTCCGCTTTACTGTACCTGCTACAGGGTGGGATTCGGCTGATTTCGACGGTAATACCACGACCACGCCGCAATCTATGAACGATGTAGAAACATTTGATGGGGACAATGTAAAAGACAATCATAGCATTGTTAAGCTCTTTTCGCGTCTTGAGGAGAGCAAAGCGATCTTAGGTGTACAGTTTTACTCTGTTAGCCAGACAACATTGGATCAAGTATTCTTGACTATTGTTGGACAGCATAATATTGCGGAGGATTCTTAGCAGGTGACGTCGCCGAAGTGATAGATTTGGGTCTTTTTTTGTTCCGCCTCTTTGAGCTGGTGGTTTACTCTTCGCTGTGGAGTACTGGATTGGAAATTGTGTTTCCGTGAGACTGCTGGACATACTTAATCAAGCTAGATGTAATTATATTAGCTATATTGAATATATCCATTTCGAGTTGTAGCCTTTCCTCTCTCCTTATAATGTCTGCTATCGATATAATGGGCAAAAGATGTCATATTCTTATAGAAGTTCCGATTAATAGATATACCGAAAGCTACATAAAGGTAAAAAGTGTTAGCAAAAAGTCGCACCTGGAAAATGAAAAGTCAAACATACTTTAAATTCTCCCGATCTGTCAGATCCATAAAAGCCGTAGAATCTAAGTCTCTACCTTCTAGCCCGCCTTCCATCTGAGACTGAATCCTATCCCTCTTCTTATTCTCCCAGCGAAGAAGAAGACCCAAGGCAGTGATGAGGACGGCTTCAATCAGATGCGAAACAATCATAGACCAGATTCCGAGCTCGTAGGTCGGCCTGTTCGCGATAATAGCTTAGCATCGGATACTTTAAGGAGTATACGGCGGGGATCACTCACTTCTGGCTATCTTTATAGAAGAATGGGCCAGCGATGTTTCCGGTGCAGTAGCCCAGGAAAAGGACTGCGTTTGTGACTACTTTTTTAGTGTGGCCTGTAGTAAAAAAGATTAGTTATAAGTCGGGGTCAGAGGGGTGAGAGATTTTCGCGTACCAGCTGTATTGGCAACTTGCATACTCAGGACCAGAACAAAGGCCGCATTATATGGGCCTGTCAAGTAATAGCAGATGAGTCGGCCGACTTGTTGATCCAGCGGGACAAAGCGAAGGCCAAAGGCTCCTGCTATATTTGGGATGAGGAAAATTACTATAAAAAGACAGCGTCTGTTTTCGAAGCGATCGTTGAGATATACGCAGGCTAGAATGGAGATGGCGATCAGGGCACCGTAAGGTATCTAGTTCAGCGAGACTCAGCTTCTGGATAATTTAGTGTCATTTCTATTACGGCTTACCTGCATGAGAGTGGTAACTAGAGTGGAATATCCGAACCCTTTGATGATGATGGTTCCGAAATTGGAGATGCCGCCGTTTGGGATGTTGCCTGTATGAGGTGTATGTTTAGGTATTGCTATTGAATAAGCAATGGGTATACTTACAAACCAAACCGAGAATGAAGAAGAAATATATCTTGTAGTCCATAAATGCTTCCAGAATCTGATAAGGCTTGAGATGCTTGTTCTCGACACCGGTTTGGTTGTCTCGTAATCTTTCCACTGCGATTCGGCGTTCACGTTGGCTAAGACCAGGAGCGGAGACTGGTGAATCAGGGAGGAAGATAAACATCACGATTCCCCAGGCCGAGCAAAGAGCACCACTGTACGGTATTTCTACATTAGCGGGGCACTCTAATAGTAACCAAGCGCAGAAATCGCTTACATTATAATGAATTCATACTTCCAGGACGGAAGAGCACCCTTAATATGACCGATTCCATAGCCTAACAGGCCGCCAAGTGCAATTCCCAACCCATTGGCCGTATACCAAAGACCAATACGGACAGGCTGCTCGCGTCGTGTGTACCACATACTAGTGATTAGCATAAAGGCAGGGTCTGCACAAGCTTCCGCAGCACCCCCCAGAGCTCGAAGCACAGCAAGTGTGGTGAAACTATTGCATGCAGCTTGGATCATGAGGAATACGCCCCTTCAAAATTGTTAGATTGGCCACACGGGGAAGAAAAGCGTCATCTCATAAATTGGGTAGTAGACGTACCACATGAAGATATTTACTCCTAGGTATTTTCCTAAAATAGTTCAATTAAGCCGCACTTTGAACGTCATCGTCCATGAAGAGCATACCGATGGGCAACCTTTGCATAAGAAAGTTGGTGGGAAACGCCCAAGCGAGAAATCCAAAGTAGAAAATACTACTGAGCCAACTATATTGTGTGCCATGAAGGTTGAGGTCTTCGTTGATCCCAAAGATCGCTGCGTAACTAAGCGTTGTCTGTTAATGAATGCAGTTGCGTGTTAACTAGGCCAATATGATGTTTGCATGATGCAAGGAATACAGGACTTTGATACCTTATCAATATAAAAGAAGGCGTAGCAAACGGCAAGATACGGCAAAATCATGAAATCGATCTTCCAGAGCAATTTTCTCGTCTCAGCTGGGTCCACTGGTTCCTGGAGATCCTGGTCACTGAACAGTGCCATTGCCGTATCTCCATCTTTCGGCTTTGGGACTTTCCAACCAGAGCCAACATTGGTATGCTCGCTGTGGACAACTGTTGGTATTTCTGCCGAGCCAGACTTAGCACCTGGAGCAGGCTCTAGATTATGTCCGCCGCTCATTTTGTTGATTTCTATTTATTTCCAAGGCGTCAGGTAAGCCATCAAATTCCAGCCTGAGATAGATGTGGGAAAAGTTGCATAAGATGAGGGGTCGTTTTTGTTTTTATGAAAGACCCAGGCAAGTCTAAGAGAAGGACATCAGACGATCTTCGCATTATCACCGACAATGAAGCTTCATCCAAGGTCACATCCAGTCTTGTCTTCGAGATAAACTCCCGTTCATTCGTTATGGGCTGGCTGGGGTAAGCTCCCTTTCCCCACGCGAACCCCACATTCTTCGGAGCTACTCCCTTACTCTCCACAGCAGCAGATAAACCGTTCGGTTGACTATCTGCGCAGACTGACTCGTTGAGTCAACTTTGAGGTAAACCCGACGTAGTAATAGATGTGTGGGGGTGTGGACTTCTTCCCCTCGTCTGTTCGAGAGAAGGTTGGTATCTCGTTTTTGGCCCTGCTTTATTGGTCGAGCACTATCAAACCCCGAGCTACGTTGGGTAATGCGACAAGGATAGCTCGGAGAAAGGCCGAAAATAAACGGGGGTAGAAGCCCAACAGCATAAAGGATCATAGGTGGAAAATCCACATCCCCGGTGCCGATCCTGCCTGGTAGAACTAGAAGATGGAAGGGTACAAAGTTGTGGAGAACTGAATAAAGGTTGGGGTAAACGTGGGGGTTGGGCCAAGTCATGGGCACCGTCTAACCCTATAGCTTTTTAGACTTTGGTTGCAGGAATTTAGCTCCTCTAAATGTTTACTCTTCTCTGCCCACCGCTGCACCGCCAGCTTCCATTTTTTGCAAGTTGCGGTATATTACTGCGTGAAGTTGCAAGGATTTCACCTGAAGAGTCTCAGGTATATCTGTACTGGGTGTCCGACTATCCTTGTCGATTATAGTATTAGTAGCGCTGCTATTTCATCATAGCATGCTCCATCTATCAAGATTGCTGCGACAGCGTACATTCTGCCGACTTTATCAATGTCGGTTTTCTGTGGTCTTCGTATCATGTCATTTCTTCCTGACCCTGTTGCATGTGCTCTGCGCTGATCTAGATAGACGGAAGATTATCCCAGTTCCAGACAAGAAATCCCGAAGACAATCGTCACGTAATTCTCGATTGCGTCGGATTTTTCTGAACTCCGCCATGTATCCCCCTTGGTGGCATGTTAAAGTGTCGCCCCAATCATGATAATATCAAATGATTGTTGAATGGTCGGATAATGCTTGGTTTAGATGCCCCTTGTAAGAGACAGACAATATCCCCAAGTTGACGGATTGTGCCATGGCTCGCAGGGCCCATCGGGTAGTGCGAGTCCGGGGACTTCTCAAATATTCGATATATTCAAACGATCGGGCGGAGTCAGTGAGGTCAATAAACACGTATTGCTTATCCAGTCGAGATTTGTCGCCACACGCTGCAGTCACCCTTCCCAGTCTATATCCCATGCCCTTGACTAACGCTAATCCCTTATCAGGCCACCATGTCTCTATTGGTACACTTTGTGATAGGGCATGCCTGGTGATCCGCTGGAAGAGAATATCCCAAGGAATCTCATAGTGAGGCAACAGCCCCTCTGCCTCCAGGTTATCCGAGCACATACCAAGCAGTCCAAATACTTTATCAAGCCGTATGGTAGCTTTATGAGTATGATACATATCGAGAAACTCTCCCAGAGGACGCCCGGAGAATACCCTCCCGTATTTTGGGCGGAATATCGCTCCTCCCAAGAGATAAGTTACTGAACGTACAGCATTGACCAAATTTCGCAAGCTTGGCGATCTTGCTTCGAAGGCATCCAGATCACGCAGACTAGAAGAAAATACATAACCATTTATCTCCACAGGGCCACATCTAACCTGGACAGACCGAACGATTCCAACCTCTTGAAGAACCTATTTTGTGGTTAATCGAGACCCTTCGTATGTGCCATTTAGTGTTCTCTTACCCAAACCGTTTGAAACTAAGGACGCCTCAAAAGCGCTATAGCCGCTTCATCACTAACTTTTACCGGTGTGTCGCCTTCCGTAGCAATACGTAAGCTTTCAAGTGCCTCCGTGCTATCATTTTCTTCCTCCCCAAGCCAAACGATAGCGTTCTTAGCTTGTCCATACATTCTTGCCCTCAATTGTATTTGCTGTTCCTTTTTTATGCTATTTTCCTGATCGATGCAAATGGCATCAACCCACAGAAGCCTCGCAAACTGGTGAAGCCAGAGACGGGATAGCGCTGCGTACAGGTTGGACGTGACTTTCACACTTGAATTATTGAAGAGGAGTTATCTGTAGATCCCCAGACATATGATAAGACTTCGTATGCTCCTCTTGTTGCTTGAAGGGGTGTTCGAGGAGCTCACATTCGATTCTAGCAGCTCTATCTTTATCCGGAAGTGCTATGTCCAGTCGGAAGTGGTGAATAGTTGTAGGGAGACATGATATGGAAGGTATTATTGAATTGGCATTCTAAGTTAAGCTGAGAGATCAATTAGAAACCCCGTAAGGCTGGATTTACCCCATGCACTACGGCAATAGGGCGCGGACAAAATCACTAGGAGTGGCCTCACCCTGAGTACTTCCAAGCAGAGCACAATCTTAATAAATATTATAAGGGACCTTAGTACTTGCTCCTCATATGACCCTAATGAAGTGGAGTTAATTGAGGCAAGAGAACCGAAGTAATATACTATAAGGCACTGAACTAGACATATAAAATTAGTAGAATTAGTTAGTATAGAGTGGAACCATGTACGGTGTCTACTCCGCAGGGTAGGTGGCCTATTAGCTATTCAAGAATACGTAGGAGACAGAGAAGGAAAACATCTGGTATTCTTAGTGTAGTAGAATACTAAGGATAGTGGCCTATTCTTGCACTTTTTTACTAGTAAACGGTAGGATAAACTAGGCCCGGGGTGTTGGTCCTAAACCTATAGAGATCAGACGACGGGTAGACCAGTACGACTTCAGTGGCCGAGTGTTTATGCAAAAGATGCCGGGTATGTCGTACGCTCCCTAAGCCAGTTCTCTACCATATCCGTGACAAGTCACCAGGACCAGAAGTAGAATCAACAGAGGCAGTAGAAGCAACAGACCCGGGATCGAAGTATGGCAAGATCAACTATCGAGATATGTGAGTACAGCCGTCATCCAAGATCGAAAATCACCCAGAGACTTGAGCTACTTAATCAGAAGACAGGGATCATGCCAAGAAATATGTAAAACGCAGTATATCCCCTCACGTGATCCAAATCATGCTGTGGAAGCAAAGCCCTCGAAAAACATACCCTATATTGATCTCTATCAGAGGTTACAAGAAGTAAATCAGTAAACGTCAATGGCCATATACATGTGCAAGTAATAATACAGTCGCCAAATGCAAACCCCAAATGAGCAGCGGGTCCCCTAACGCCGTTTCTGCCCACGGCCGCCCCTCTGGCCTCCTCTCTGGCCGGTAATAGCGGACTTCTGCCGGAGGTAGTTCGATACGATGTTCTCCACGCTGCGCATATCGTGTCTGGGTTGTCTGTAGAAAGACAATATGCGTTAGCCAACACAAGTAGGAAAGAGACAAAATGCCAAGGGACAAACCGAATACGCACCTCATATAGTACAACCTTGCTCTTCTCTTCCGCTTCTCCGTTCTCTGTACGATTTCGACACTCTCAACATTCGGGCTGAAAACCTTTACCCACATCTCAACACCCACTCTGCTGAGCTCATTCCGCAGTAAGAACGTGGTGTCGACGCCGCGCAGACGGATACTGAGACAGACGCCGGAAAATGGGTCCCCGTTCTTGAAGGTTACGCGCAGAATGTCGCCGACCTTCACACTACGGGGGTTCCGTCGGTAGTCGAAGAGTGCTTTGCGTTCGCCAGTCGGATCAAGAATTGCCAATTGCGATTCGGTCACTGCTGCCACGGGGTCTTTGCACACAGTCCGGGTTGAAGGCGGAGCAGGGTAGATTTTGATCTTCTTGGAAGCTGTTGAACACATTAGCTACATGCCAGCACTTAGAAGGAGATAGCAAAAGGCGCATAGCATACTATTGGCCGGCTGCAGGTGAGAAGGTATTTGGGAGAGGAACGATTCGGGCAATTTGCTTGGAAGAGGTACTGGCTCTTGCTTCGCGGTGTATGTAGTGGTGATCGATCGGCGAGCGACTTGGGATGACACCATCGGCTGGGGTTTCGCGAAAGACCGTAAGCAGCCCAGCTGCCGCAAAATTGGTGAAAAGGTCGCCATGACCGCAAGAATTGTGGTGTTCAGAGCAGCTGGCGAAGAGGCAGATGTCAGGAGCAAACGGACCTGAAGTTTGCGGACCGGCAGAATTTCCGCCAAGCCTCAAATTGCCTGTTTAGGTCAACGTCCAGAACTCGACTTTCGGGAACTTTTCTGCCACCGCAAACAAGCTTCACTGTGTTGATCGTGTATTCAATCTTGTGGGAACGAGGTTTGCTTCTTCATAGGAGGGTTCTTGCTGGCATTATCTCACGATCCAATTCGCTTGAAGCCTAGCTCATCTCTACCAAAATGGCGCAAAACGCCATTGGAAGGCTCTTCCGCGGCCAAAGTTCCAGCACTCTCCGTCAATCCATTAGCACCATCACACAGAAGCGTAGCTATTCCTCAAAAAATGGTGCGATCCCATGCCATACTCCCAATGTGTTCATCACACTAACTTCAGTAATACAGCCATCCCGACCTTTTCCCCGACTTCCTCCCCCGAGCTGGACCAGGCCCTCAACCGTTTCCGCGAAGAACTCTTCATACCGTTCGGACTAGGAACACCGCAGAGGAGGATGATGTTCCGGCAGAAGTATGCCGACCGTCTAGAGGAGGAGCCCGTCAGCGTACCTATTGGTGAAAATGACGAACAGTTCCTACTCCGCCCTATGGACCCGCAATCAAGGCCGACGAAGAAAGAAATCGTGGACGTTCTTTCGCTTATGAAGACGACAAAGGATTGGCAGAACTTAGTTCCTTTCCTATCTGGACTGCGAATGTCTCATCGAGTCATTAAATCCGATCGTTTGCAGTGGTTGGTACGCCGGGCTGGCCAGGCGGATGCTCTTGGCATGATCCTAGAGGCGGCAAAGCAGAGCGAGCGGACTGGTTTCCATCTCCGCGATCAGGATCTTGTACAGCGCATTTTCTTTGAACTTCACTGCAAGGCTCAAAGAGGAGAATTTAAGGATCCTGATGTGTCGAAGGCTCTCAGCTTAGCGAAGCAGTTTGCCTCCCTGATGGAGGCTCCCGAACACATCGAGCATAATCTCGAGCTGGACCCAAAGCGAAAGCCGTTTGTCATCGGTACGCTCCTTGAACTGAGTGCTGCCCGTGCCATCAGCGAGCTTGGAGGCAATGATGATGGTGGCTACGTCCGTGCCTATGCTCAGCGTCTCCTGGGCAGCTGGCCACTTGGTAACTTCCGTCGTGACGCTCAGGATTGGCGCGAGGTTGACCACATGCTGCAAGAGAATGTGCCCATCTACAATGGTATGAAGCTTGCACTTAAGGTGAATGGTATCTCGAATGATAAGTCTGTCGCCCCTGGTCTAAAGACGCGCGTGAACGAGTTGGGAACTTTGATTGCGAACCAGAAGAAGGCTGCACCGGAGAAGGTTGTGCAACGACCAACCTTGGGCCTTCAGCAGAGTCACCTCCTGCATCAGGGTTAAGCGGTCATTTCTTTTACATATTGTCTATGAACTGTATATTACTACTTAGAATCATTTGGAGCTGTATGTTATCTCAATCTAAAGATAGTGCTAATCCTTTCCTTCAACAAGCTGTACCACCGGTTGATCTGTGTGATACTTTAGCAGCATTTGCATGGGTAGAGGCAATCTAATACACCGTTCGAAAGACAAAACTGAAGTCAGTATGCAATAAAGGTCATGAAGTCGCGGTGTCAACGCTGAAAGCGAGTAGATGAAATATGTAACCTAGCACAACTCCAAGGTGTTATCGTCACGAATCCGGCCTTGACCCGAGAGTGTAGCTTTGCCAGAGACAACGGCAGGGCCAGAAACGGTAATCTGTTATGAATAGTTAGCAAAGAAGATGGAGCGAAATCCAGTACAGCTTTGTCACTTACCTGTCCCTCATTTTCCTTGTCCTCGGAGACATCGGTGAGAACAATTTCAACGCTACTTAAAGGCGCTCCAAGATGACTCTGTCCCTTGTCACGCCTATAGTCGAAGATGTTGGTCTGGGAGACAGCGCCTGCTACACCTGGCCCAGTCAGGGCATACACAACACGAGCTCCGGTGAAAATCCTCAGATCTGTCAATTGTGCATAGCTCAGGCGAACTTGAGGGTCGGCATCAACGCGGTGCGATATACATAAAAGGCGAAGCTTGTCGAGCGAGAGTTCGGCAGTAGGTCCAATATTGGCAACCTGACTAAACATGCCATGGGACGGTTTGACTCCAGCATCCAATTTTCTCACATCAAACCAACGAGCAAGGGAAGAAATGAACCCGGAGTGTGGCTCCATGAATCTGTCATGGTAGTCGGACATTGTGCGAGATGAAGCAATGACTACGGTGGGAGACACTCCAATGGTAGCCAAAGCGAAGTCGACACCTTCCCCGGCAACAGAATTAAGGGCAACGGAGGCATTTGAGTAAAGAGCGGCCATTATCTGACACAATGGGTATGACCGAGAAAGAGAGTCAATTGAAAGCACCAGGTCGCTCGGGCCAACCCGCTGATTACGGGGCAAGGAATAAGTCAAGCCAGCAATCGCGGAGATCAAGTTCTACTACATCGTCAGCCTTGTATCTGAATCAACACAAGAGAGATCATACCTCGGGTTGATACTCGATGAACTCGCCCACTTGTGTGGCGGATGGCCAAACAGTAGTGACGGAAGGTGTTGGGCTGGTTGGCTCCCAGCTGGGGACATCTAGTCCAGCCAAATCCTTCTTTTCTTCTACCACTTCATGCCAAACAGCGACATCTAGAGTGCCTTTAACGTCACCGGGCACATCATTCCAGTCCATATGCCTGCTGCCAAGCTTTGCAACCCAAATGACCTGGGAGAGCTGCTTGTTACTCTCAGCCACCAAAGACAAATCGAGAGCGCCTGCTTCCGCAATGAGAACATCTGCCTGAGATTTTTGCAAGAGGGTAGACAGATCATTGGGATCGAGATTGTGGGGAATGAGAATGGTCTTGAAACCATAGAAAGCACCAGCTGTGCCAAAGCTTCCGTCAGTAATGCAGTCATCAGGCGTACGCAGGTTGAGGGAGCTCTAACCAAAGATCGTTGCTAAAAGTTCAACCGAGTCTGTAAGACAGACGGCAACTGTTGTAGCCTTAGAGGACTGCAGGCGAGATCCGATAACATTGATCTCTTGTGTCACTTGTTCCAACGAATGCTCTACCGCCCTCCTTCCAAGCACAGTATAGATCTTTCCCTGTTTGCCAGATACCTTGCCATCTTCGGCGGCTCCACGAATGGCAGCTTTCCAGACGTCGCGCAGGTCACCTTTTCTTCCAGAAGTCCATTTCGGTGCTCCCGGATCTTTGACGTTCAATCCGGATCGAAGGGGGAAACCGTGAGGAGTCTCTAGACTCCGGTAGGCAGCAGATTGACCAGGATGGCGTACAGGGAAGGCGGTTGACTGGCGGGCCAGCAGAAAGGGGTGGATATCCGGTTCCTTGGATGTGACGAAGGAAAAGATAAGGAAGGCGACAATAGTCCCTGCAATAAGAGTCGTGTATATGTTCCAGTCAGCCAAGACGTCAGCGACCAAGGCGTCTAGTTTAGCCACTAGCGACGTTTCCGAGGCCATTTTGAGGTACACCTATGGCTTAGGAGGTGTCGTCATATAGAGTGTAAGAAGTACTTAAAGCTCAGGACTCGACTTGGTTCCCTTTTTTCCGTAATAAGCGCTGGAGTCTAGGCTGCAGTGAGATGGTGACGTGACCTTCAGCTGAGTATGATTGTGGAGACGATGCGCGGGTGCGGCGTTAAGTCTACCAAGTTACCGGGCTAGTTGAAAACTCCGCGCCAAAGGCGCTTGTTGCCAGTGAACCTGATCATCAAAACAAGCAAGTGTCCCACCACAGTATCTGAAGAGCCCGTTGCGCTGTCCACCACGATTTGACTATGCCTCCTTCTGGGCTCTCTCAGTAACACCGGACTAAATCAGCATACACAAATGCTCAGGTGACTTTTTCTCTCCCATCGTCACACAGGTAAGTTAAGGTAAGTACTCAAGCACTCCTAATTCACGGTTAGTTTCTCCAAATCTCGAGTCGCAAAACTGAAAATATCATACTTATTCTACTGTAAGGTTTCACTTTTTGCCTTTGTTCGCATCCACACCTCTTTGTGTACATCAATGGCCTCCCTATCTGCCCCCTCTACCCCTAGGGCGGCATCTTCGCCTGCACCAACCTCAGATGAGTCCCGGACGCCTGGGAAATGGCGCCATCCACAGTTGAATGAAATCGTTCGACGACAGAATGCTGGAACATTCGGGGATCGCAATATCAAAAGGCTCGCGTGGAACGGTACTGCTCTAATCGCAACTTGGGTGTTCGGAAACACCTTCAAGTCCTAGTGAGTAGTGACACGGTGATCATTGTGTTGCACACCCTAACAGACTCGGCACAGTTCTCTTCGACTTCAAAATTCGAGCCAGTACTCTACGTATCCTGATATTTCCCTCCTTGTCTTGCAACTTGTCTTCGTTTTCAATATCCTCATGGCACTGTACCCTCTCATCCGACCAAAGGACAACCTCTCTGATATTCCCCTAACACCTACGCAACGTGCCCTATTAGGACTTGATCCCTCTGCTACACCGCCGCCAACGCCGGGGTCTACGTATATAACTCCACCAAAATACCGGCTTTCTGGGTCGCGAGCAGCAAGTCCAGCCAGCAGATGTGCATCGCCTTTGTCGACAAGTGCCAGTGCTTCCGGACGTAGAGTGTCGTCGGGTGCATTGTTCTCACCTTCAACAAGTCCATTACTCCATAAAGCAGTTTCAAACGGAGGAAGAGATAGTGGGCGGAGACCGAGTTTCGGCTCTCCGTCACCACTTGGCCGGAGCTCACCTTTCAGAGAATCAACTTTTAGAGAATCAAGCCTGGGGTCGAGCCTGGGACCTGCGACTCCGTCGCCAGTGGGGGGTAAGCGTGTTAGCATCGGGTTGAGTAACAAATGGTTATACGAGCGGAGCAGACGGCTGTCGGCAAGCAATGGTAGTCTTTGAATTGCTTTGGCTGGTGTTTGGTGCAATCGGGGGAAGACAAATCATGTATTCATATGCTTATTTTAAGGGCGTTCAGCAAGCACTGTGTCCTTTATATTATATTTTTATTTTTTTTGCCTTTTTCCTTGCGAGGTCAATTTTTCCATGTTCATTCTAGACAGTTTACTTTTTATGGGTATTTTTCTTGGAGCTGAAATGTATAAGTATGATACGCATTGTAGGTTTGTTCGGAAATTTTAAGGGGAAAGAATTGAAATTGATAAAATTTGGAAGATAAAAAGCATGGACCGCACAGCCATTTCCCACGTTCCCCAGTTCCCAATCTGATGTCGGAGTCTCCGCGGGTCTGGTCTTGTACCAAGTTCTAGTTCCCGCTCCATTTATGCATTGGCCCCAAGGATGCCAACTATCTACCACCATTAACATTTAATCCATTCACACGCGGCCTTCGCCTATTGGGGTAATTCCCAAAGCACTATTTTCTGAAAGGCGTCATACCCAACTCTGAATCTGTATAGTGAAGATCTCTTGACTGCATGAGGCTGAAACTTCCGTGAAACACAGGTGGTGGCTTCACAATGGGAGCTTCAGAGTCAAAGCTAGTCTTTAAACAGGGCATCTTCCGTCTCTCAGAGGAAAAGGATATTCCTGCGGATGATCCATACTGGGCCAGAGTTTGTTTTATATCTCTCCTACCACTGCAGGGGCTATGTGGTTTCGCTGACTCTTATAATGTAGTTCTGGGAGCTCCCAGAATCAACCGAGGATGTCTTCAGTTTATTCACCCCCGCCGATATACGACGGACTCGCGATAATGCGTTATCGAACTTCGAAACCCTATTACTTTCGGTATCATCTCGTCTCACTATCTTAAAGAATCACCCCTCATTTCCGGATCCTGAGCTTGCCCCCGACCGTGACGCGCTGAACTGCATCCGCATTCTCACCCGTATTCTCCCCTTCGTTTACGAGGCCGATCACCTAGAGGACTGGGAGGAGAAATTCTTTTGGGGTCGTCGGAAGAAAAAGACACGGGAAGCGCAAGTGGCAGCTGAAATACTCTTTGACGAGGCCCAAGATGAAGGCGGAGAACCACGACTGCCCAATGAGTACGAAGAGGTGAAACCTTTGGCTGAAGAATTGATCGATACTCTATTTGATCTCCTCTTTTACGCAGACTTCACTATCCCAAAACTCCCGACGGCCAAGAGCAAAATTTCCTACTCAATATGGCAGAGTGGTGTTGGGTGCAACACGTCCATGGGCTCGAACAAGGAGCTGGAAAACAACCGGTGTGAGGTGATTCGGCTATTGCTTACCATGACAGGAAAGGCAATGTACATGCCTTCAAGTAAGTGCTGTCGATTTTAACCAGTGATGGCGTCGGCTAATTTTCTTGGAGGTTTATTGCCAGTACAGGGTGTAAAGGCCATTTCGTACATGGCTACATGTCCTGATAAGCAGGCGGTTCTAACACTGCTCTGTTCACTCTTAAACACGGTACGTGTAAATGTTCGACCAGACGTCCGGGTATACAGCCTTGCTGACGTCCGAAGGCCATCAAATATAATCCCGCTTCTTGGAGGGTGCCTTATGACCATGTTGTCTGGAAAGATCCCAAACAAATATTGGTTATATATTGCTTACAATTCCTCTTGGTGCTTCTCTTATATCCGATTCCGGAAGATGGGCGCGGAGCTCCGCCCAAGAATTACTACCGTCATTACTTCGGAAGGCTGCACAGACCGCAAGACTTCCAATTTCTCGTTGATGGCATGACCAGAATTTTAAACCAACCTGTATGTTCCTCCCCCTCCCCCTATTTTGAGGTATTTTCCGTACTCATACTACGATTGGCAGATGCAAGCAACGAATTTCTACCTTCCTGGGAGTCAGAAGACTATCAAGTGGGCTCCCGAGATGATGATGCTCTTCTGGGAAGCCTTACAATGCAATAAGCGATTTAGGTCATTCATTATAGACTCTAATCGCTCACATGACTTTGTGATTCTTTGTTTATTCTATGCTATTGTATACAAATCCGATCCTTCGCAGCAAGGTTTGGTCAGGATGTGTATATTCATTATACAGACTATGAGCGTCGAGCCTAATTTCGGGAAGAGTTTGAACAAGAAGTTCGAAGCCCAAGAGACGCTTCCACAAAGCATTCGTATTCTTGGTTTCAAGGGATCATATGCTGATTACTTGGTCATGGTTTGTCATTCGTTTATCCTAAGAATAGTATGATCCAACTGACACAGGCAGTCCATTCACACCCTGATCACAGGAAGCAAAGGAAAATTGACCGCTGTCTACCCGGCGCTCCTAGCCATCATCAATAACATAGCTGCCTACGTGGAAAACCTGTCCCCAGCTGCATGCTCCAAACTTCTGCAGCTCTTCTCGTCGATGGCTGCCCCTAGTTTCCTACTAGCCAACGAGACGAATCATGTTCTTCTTTCCTCGGTACTTGAATCCATCAATGCGATTCTGGAACATCAACTTACCAGTACGTTGTACTTTTTCTGCTCTTCTCTCCAGGCCAGTTACTGACCTTTCCAGAAAATTCGTTCCTGGTGTACGCCATCCTTAAACACAGAAAACGTTTTGAAGCAGTTCGAGAATTCACTCTGGAGAGTGGGCAGCAGGAGATAGAACGCCAAAATGAGAGACGAAAATCGGAAGGCGGGTCTTACGATTTTGTCTCCAGTCCAGTTCTATCTGCATCTGAAGACGATTCGCACACAGCTTCCGGCGCGCGGTCACCGCTTGGCCGTATTCCCGAAGAAAATAATCCTTTCGCAATTGGCGGAGATGATTCGGATGACGAGCAGGAAGAGCAGAAGACGCCGGCACAATCATCTCCATCTGTGCAGAGTTCCCGAAGGCCGTCAATTTCATCTGCTGTTGACGAAAGTGTGCCGCTACAGCTACGGGGAATGTCTGAAAAAGCCCGGGGCAAAATGCCTGCTGGGCAGCCATCATTTTCCAGACAAAATAGCATGACCAGCCAAAGCAGTATGTCGGCGGTCTTTCCAACAACTCCCAGTGGTTTCACGCCAACTGTGGCTTGGGTGAGTAAACGCCTGTCTCCGAAGCATCGTTCAGATTACTAACGGCAATTTTCAGCTTGAGTCCTGGCTTCCCGAGCTACCACTCCACACCATCCTTACCATTATCTCGGCTATCACTTCCCACGTCCCCGAGTCTGCCTTCCAAAGTGCTTCCAGTCCGGAAGCTCGTACTCTAATCACTAACCTCCCATCCTTCGCGGAAGAACCGATGATTCAAAGTATAATTTCCGAGCCCCCTCCCACCCGCGTACATTCCTTTGAATGGTCAGCTCTTTCGATGGGTTGGTATGAATCCTTACTGTGGGGATTCATCTTCTCGAGTGAGATGGTCGTCGGCTCCGCGTCGGGCGCCACGCCGGGTACCGTTGGAGTATGGAATGGCACCGGCATCAAACTTTTCAAAGTTCAGGAGGCCGCAGCACAAGGTCCCACTTTACTTGCTCCAAAGGGGGCTGTTGACGCTGTTGGCAGTAATTTAGTCCAGCGACTCGGGAACCTAAGCCTCCGTAGGGCCAGCGCGCAAGATTCTCAGAACAGCTCCAGAGCTCCATCTGTCCGGGAGGTCTAATATATTCGCAAGTAAGGCTTTTTATTCTGTCCCAGCTAGCCGAATCAGCGTTCGTTATGCTATTATATAGAGCCTAGCTTTTTTTTTCTAGTGATATGTTCATGTTCATTTTTAATGATACCTTGGTGGCGTTTGCAATTGAACATGTTTGCTCGTGCACAGAATTTCTATCAGTAGATTCTACAAATCAAAAATCAAACTAGATTCGCCTGTCTCTGTTTTCTCGTATTGTCTTTCTTTGTCCTGGAATGGTAGCTCTCCTATCCTATATTTATTTCCTCAGTAGCCCACGACTGAGTCCAAGAATTATGCACAGTGACATGGCACTACATATGATACCTGACTTTAGGGCCATAAATAAGCGCATCACCAATTCTTCCTTCAGGGAGTTTAGGGTGTGCAGGTGTATGTTGTTGGCCACGTGAGGTCGTGATTGGCTGTGGACCACTTCTCAGCGTTAGGTTTGTTCAATTAAATCTCCTGGAACACAACAACTAAACAAACGATATCGAGCATATCGAGCATATCGAGCATATATATAGACCGTGTCATACATGTTTTTTGGGGAGATTTTAAGTTTCAATCAACTATTCTTATCTTCTCATTAGCCCTTAGAGAAGCGTCCACAAGTGAACATGGTTCTTTCTCTCTCTCTCCTTGTCGCGGTATCCGCAGCGCTCTTCTCTCCGGGCCTGGCTGCCGGGGTCTCCACTGAGCTTCAGAGTGTTCTAAAGAATACACATGGCAGCAATGAATATGGATACCCGACCGACTTTACCCGGGGTATTCTGCCAGTGAGTTTATCTTAGTCACCTTTGCGATGTAAATGGTTGCTTCGTCAGGGTGAACATCGAAGTGCTGGAAAAGGAGATTTGTTGATACCCTTGGCCTTTCTCTTAGATTCCAGTCCATTCCCACAAGTGAGTCACGGTCTTGTTTTAATAAGTGTGTTAATAGTGTAGAATTGCTGACTATGTGTTAGTGATTATTGGAGAGATATCCCTTTCTACACTGGTATGATGGATTAAACTCTCCCTAATACAAGCCTAACGCCGTCCAGGTCTCTCGAAGGGGTGTACGTCAACGGAAGCCGACGTATGGCTATACAACGGTACACTTTATGTTCGTCCAATGCTTAAAGCCCCTGCATAAATGGCCTACACTAACGAGCATAGGTCGGGCATGACGAATCGTCCTTGACTGAAGAGCGAACCTTTGAGTCACTCTACGTCAACCCGATGTTAGACGTGCTGAAGCGTCAAAACCCCAAGTCTCGATTTGTGACTTCGCCCACGAAGAAGTGAGTTTACTGCGGATGCCCTTGAGCATTCCTTTCAGCTGCTCTTGCGAATATTAATATCTAAACAGCGGTGTTTTCGACACGACTACTTCGCAAACCCTTTACTTCTTTGTCGATGTGAAAACATCAGGACCCGAAACATTCAAAGCTGTTATTGCAGCCTTGGAACCACTCCGTCGAGAGGGCTACCTCACCACTCTCAAAGACAACAAGACGGTGACCAGTGGGCCTATCACCGTCATCGGAACAGGCAATACGCCTCTCGATATGGTCGGGCCAGTCGCTGATCGGGACTACTTCTTCGATGCTCATCTAGATTCACTAGAGGAGAATCCTGAAATGACTTCCCTGATTGCTCCTATCGCATCAACTAGCTTCCAGGAGGCCATCGGCTCTCTCACGTACGGTGATAATGATGCTGTTCTGAACGATAAGCAGCTGGCTACCCTTCGGTCCCAGATCAGTGCCGCAAAGGAACGGGGAATTGGTGCTAGATACTGGGAGACTCCTTATTACCCAATCAGGATCCGTAACGCTGTGTGGAGGACTCTCCTCCAGGAAGGCGTTGCTTTGTTGAATGCTGACGATCTAGATGCTGTGGCGGCTTATTTCTGAGAATGTACATACCAGAGTCAAGTTTTATATATTTAAAGGAAAGTAGGATGCTTGGAAACTGACTGTATTCGTCTGAGGGTTAGAGTATAGAGACTGGGGAGTAATAAAGTTGTTATGGGTGTTAATTAGGGAGATTCTGGCCTGCGAAGCCTCCATATTTTTAGGCTAGATAAAAACTCGTTCGTCGCATCCAACGGATCTAATCACGGCAACATTCATTTAGAGCAGAGATATCACCAACTTGGTGATTGTTCCAGACGGCTGACGGTTCTCAATAGAGCCTCTGATCAGCTGAAAAAGGTCCAGCCCGCTGCACGTGACCGGCCTGGGAAAAAGGAAAAAAGGGAGCAAGAAAGGGGATAGCAAGAAAGAATAATACTAGGATTAACACGCGCCTATTAACTCTAATCCCTGTTTTTATATGAAGCCATTAGTCTAGTTCCCAACAGATCCCGATGTCCAAGGTCGATGTTGATCTGGGGGATCTCTTGGCTAAGGAGCTCCCCACCGGTGTCAAGGTCACCATTCGCCATATTTCGTCAGCTCCAACGCCATGTACCGCGCTCTTTGCGCCTCCTCCAGGGGAAGAGCCTGAATCAACATTCTGTGAGAATCACTTTCTCTCGGCCTCTGTGGATTCCGATGACCAGGATGGGTCCGAAATTATCGTCTTTGGAATCGAAGTGCTGGTCTACAGCACGGCGCATTTGACGACCGTCTTTGTCTCCAAGGCCGACTCTACCGGGTTTCTACACTTAATGAAAAATGCGCCCAAAGTTTCGCTTATCAGGCGCATCTCTAATGGCTTTCTGTCTTTTCTGGTGCAGACACATCAACGCCCGGGTGTCCGACTGGTTGTGTCATTGTTCGCACGGGCTCAAAACCAGTATCTGTTCCCGGGTAGCATTGAAAACCCGGGAAAGCATGTCCTAGACGATCGGGGGCTGATCAAATGGTGGTGTCGCGTCGTCGATCCTATCTTGCGCGAATATGAGCCGGAATCAGGATCTCACGAGAAGGGCTTACTCGACCGGGCGATGGAGTCGGCCAAGAGCTCCGCAACAGCATTCTTGATTGTCCCGGGGTGCGATAGATTTGAGACTCGGGGGTTCTTTCCCAGCTCGGCAAAATCCGATGATAAAGAACGCTCCAGGTGGCTGAACAGCTATCCGCTTCACCAACTGTGCGACAACATCAACGCGCCTCCGCGCTGCTTGATTCCTCGCTTTCCGGATGATCCGAAGACGCGCTTCCTCATTGACCTCGATGATGAGCTCCCACCACAGTCGGAGGGGGGCCACTCCAACGAAAGCGCCGGTCAGTGGAAGAGTGTCAAGTCACTAGATCAATTCTGGGAGATGATGTCTTTCCGACAAGAATGCTCCTCAGGACGACTGGTTGGGTTCTTGTGGCTTGTTATCAACCCTCCGGGGCTTGTCAATTCGGTTCAAATGACGAGCTCCAGGCCTGTTCTTAAAGAGAAAACGGAGGGTGCCTCGACAACGGCCGTCCCTGCATCTGACAAGCGGGACTTAAACCCCCCAGGGGCGGAAATTTCGACATCCACTACTTCCCAAACTTCAGACCCTGCGAAAGATTCTACGACGGGACCAGGCGGTCATCTACATGGATTTTCCTCCGAGGCTCATCCCAAGGCCCAGCAGAACACGGACCTGAACGCCTTCTATTGGCCAGAAGCAGGGCGGGGACATGCCGTCATGAGTGAAGAAGATTACAAAGCGGCGGTCAATTTCCTTCTCGAGCAGGATTTCTACAACCAAGAGGTCTCTATTGCCAGCACTAAGGCATGGAGCGAGAAAGTCGCATCCATCGTGGACCAGCTCTGGGTCGGCCAGCAAGTCACAGGAAGAAATACAACTGGAGAATCCGCCGATAAACCCCTTGCGACAGCAAATATAATCGATACCGGATTTGTTCGCAAACGGAAGAATGATGATGGGTTAAGTGGCACAGCAGTAGCCAATGAAGGACACGAAGACAATGATACAAGCTCAGGGACCGTGACGGCAGAAGCCAGTGCAACTAAGAGCAAGGTACCGTCTGGAGTCAATATGCTTCAAGCAAACTTGATCCGGAAGAAAAAGAAGGCTTAGAGCCCATAGCGATTGCATTGATTGGAGTTGTACACAGGATCTCGGGACATTTCAGCGATTTGGGAATCTTCTGCTTGGGAAAGGGGTGGGAAAGGACCGCTAAAAGTGATATTAGAACAGCGATTGGCCTTTGGACTTTATTTCATCTTAAGTTATGCTATTCTTGGATCTGTTTCTAGATCCGAGCCGTGGAACCCGATTTAATGGTGGTGGTGGACGGGCTACATTTCTGGAACGAATGGGATTAGTTTGGTCTCTTACGTGTAATTATAGATATGATTTCCCTTCTATTTTTATTTTTGAACTTCTTCAATTCCCTATATTTTTTGAAGCAAAACTACGTCGAAACATCGATCGATGCGGCTCCACGGGAAGGGGCGACATTACAGGAAATTGGAATCCGCCGCGTGATGAAGCGCCCCATAAATATCAGGTTAAGATCCGCTCGATCCGGGACTAATTTAGTTCTTACTCTTTCCCCGACCGTTGGGAAAAAAGCAACGTCTGAAACACTCTCGAAATCCTAAGGCCACGCCGCCAAACATTCACTGACCGCAATTGCTCTCTACCGCTCCCCGTCCATAGGATGTTGTCGCGACCCTGAGTCCATACATCTGTCCTCTACCTAATCGAATCGTATTGTCTCTCGTTGTGTCTATATCCGCCTATGCTAAAGCTTCAATCGCGTTCGATCTCCCTCGGGTTTGGACCGACCATTAGTGATGGCGGGTTCCAGTGGCCAGTTATCGTGGGTTGGGGGTGTCTAATCTGGTATACAACGGTGGTTGTGGTTTGCTACCTGGGATATTTTCAGATGTATTGCGCCCTTATTTTTATTCCCCTTGTCTGTTTTGCTTTCTATTGGGTGTAGATTTCCGCTGTCTCAGGCCTGCTGTAGCACAAACTAATCCGATCTTAAATAGATGGAGATATTTTCTTCAAAGACCCCGGAAATCCCACTCCGCTACAATCTCAGACGCGCCGCATGTTACTGCAATCCGACCCGTCAAAGGTCTCGAGCCGCATCTGTATGATTGCCTGGCTTCGACCTTCTATCAGGACTATCCGGCCGACAAACTGACCGTCTACTTCTGTGTCTCGTCCCGGAGTGACCCTGGTTATCCGACCCTGCAGAAGGTTGTATCGGATTTTCCACACGCCGATGCGCGCATCTTTGTTGAAGAAGAGGATCCTTTACTCCAGCCGAAACAGACTTACAGTTTGGGGCCGAATCCAAAGATCCGGAATATGAGTCGGGCTTACAGAGAGGCGAAGGGCGATATTGTCTGGATCATAGATTGCAATGTTTGGGTGGGCAACGGGGTCTGTGGGCGTATGGTAGACCGGCTCTGCGGTCTTGGTGCTACGTCGGGCAAGAAGTACAAATTTGTGCATCACTTGCCGCTCGCGGTGGACGTTACTGGCGGTACCGATTCGACAGAGGGGCCAGAGGCACTTGTGGGGTCTTATACAAATGGTAACGCAGCGCCGAACACTTCAGCAGCGTCCATCCCCAAACAGGAAGAGGGTCCTCTTACAACAGGGGGGGGCCGCTTAGAAGAATTGTTCCTGTCGTCTTCCCATGCAAAAATGTACACCGCGATTAACACGGTCCTCATCGCTCCGTGTATCGTGGGCAAATCCAACATGTTCCGCCGGTCCCACCTCGACTACCTGACGACACCGTCACCTACCGATCCCCGCCAACGCAATCCTGGTATCGATTACTTTTCGGACAATATCTGCGAAGACCATTTGATCGGAGATCTTCTTTGGAAGAAGCAGGTCCGCGAAGAGAAAGAGCAAGGCGAGCGCTTTGGCAAGCACGGCATGGTCTTTGGAGATCTAGCGATTCAGCCTGTCGCAAATATGAGTGTCAGAGACTATCTCGCGCGCCGAGTCCGGTGGTTACGTGTCCGCAAGTTCACCGTTCTCCTGGCGACATTGGTAGAGCCAGGCACGGAATCCTTGCTGTGCTCAGGCTACGGGGCTTGGGGAGTGACCACATCCCTGGCTCAGTTCTTACAGGAGAAAGGGTTTAGTTTTGCAAACTACATGACTACGTGGACTGCCTTTTTCGCGTTTTTCTTCCTCTCTTTGGCCATGTGGATATTCACCGATTGGACTCTGTATATCAAATTGCATTCTGCCAAGTCCGTTGAACTCGACAAGCACACGCCGTCATTTGCACGACCTCCGTCTCACGTTTGGACCAGACGAAGCTTCCTGCAATGGTTTTCGGCCTGGCTTGGACGCGAGTTCTTGGCCCTGCCCATCTGGATCTGGGCCTTTTACGGCGGCGTGACCGTCACCTGGCGAAACCGGCAGTTCCGAGTTGGATTAGATATGAAAGTTCGAGAAGTCGGCAGTGCGAAGCCATCGCAGCCTCACCCCAAGCAGACACCGACCACCCGAGAAGACTAAATAATAGACGAGATGAGACATGGCACGCCGAAACTGCGAGGAACGAATGTACGAAGATAATCTGAATGAAATGAAAAAAGAAAAAAACGAACTTTTGAATTTAAACATTCACACGCATCTATAAGAACCCGTAAAAGCGTAAAAATCATTTCTCATCAACCTGCATAGATCCTTCTCCCGCTTCAGCAGCGGCAGTATTGTTCTCCCTAGCACCACTCTCCAACTCACCACCCTTCTCCGAGCTCAACAACCACTCCGCCACTTGTCTCCCCTTGGGCACCTCTTTAGCCTCCTCACCCTCCTGTACCTCTGCCTCTGCCTCCTCACCTTCCTCCTCACCCTGCTCCTCAGTGGACCAATCCGCCCTCTCCGCCAGGAAAACAGCATCTAACCCAGCATCGTTCTTAACGGAGATATCAGCCCCAGCCTCAACAAGCGCCTTCACGCACTCCAAATGCGTATTCAACGCTGCCCAGTGCAGCGGTGTATTCCCCGAGTGATTCCGGTGATTAACAACAGCCGCAACCTGCGCCTGCTCAAGCTTGGTCTCACCCTGAGACAAAACTCCCAGAAGGAAGTTCAAAATTGCTTTAGCATACCCAATTAGCCTCTCTTTCCCGTCCATCCACAGCTACATAATCATAAAACACACAAATAAAGAAATAGAAATACATACTCTCATTACCATTCGCGGCGGGGAAATGCAACAGGCTCGATCCAGTACCACCCTCCTCTTCGGGCTCGGCGTCGAAGGCCGAGGCCACGATCCAGGCCTGCGGGCAGCTGTGCTGGGTGCTCAGTGCTGCCAGGTCTGACTTGAGGGCCTCTAGATCGCCGGAGCGGGCGTCGTAGATGAGGTCGTCGATTGCGTCGACGGTTAATGTGACAGGTGTTTGAGACATCTTTTTCTTTTGTCGCTGATCACGTGGCGATAGGGTTATTTGTTCAAGTTGGAGTTTGGGTATCTGGGATATTTGTTAGTGAGGTCTCTTTTGGTGGTGGGTTTTGATTTATATTGAATTTGATGCCTAAAAATTGCGTCGCAATGTAAAACCGAAGGGAAATACACTATCAAAAAAAAAAAAAAAAAAAAAAAAAAAAAAAAAAAAAAAGAAAATAAAGCTATACAAGACCAACTGGTAGATAAAATAACTCGAAGCCAGATCATGCGACTTGGTATCTTGTATGTACTCCCTCTCTCAGTTACCTCGTCGGCCTTTTTTTTTTTTTTTTTGTGATAGTATATGAACCCCTCAATCTTCAACACCCCGCAGAGGCACATATAAAAGGCATAGAACGTAGTGCTTACGCGGGGCATTTCGACTATATAGCAAACAGCAAAACCAGCAAATGAAATCTACTAACCTTGATTTTATTGTTTCGAGGGTGCTATACTCGATTTCCGTCAAGCATCGGATGGCTGTTGAGAACTTTGATGTCAAGTCATGTGATCCGGTGGGTCGGCCTCTGATATCTGGGGGTCCTCAGCTTTATTTACTCTTTGACTCCGTATAGAAAGAAGGCAATTGACCAACGGGATGGAGCAGATGAATATGTTACATTTATTGTAGGAATGAAAGTACACGCTGCTCTATCGTATGCGACCCATAACTACGGTACAAACGCCCAAGCCCATCCGTATAAAACAAAAGGTATCTCAATGATAACATATCAATCGCGTAGCCATGCCCTTCGCTTTTCTTCCTTCTTTTCTCTCCGTTTCTCCTTGAACATTTTCAGTTCCTTTTTAGTGAGCTTTTTAGCACTCCGCTCGGCCCGCAGGCTCCGTCCATCATGACTATTGGCCGCCGCGTCCACATCAAAGAAGGCATTCATCTGCCGATAGGATTTATTGTGATCATTATGTTGTTCAGGGTTCTGTGAATCGGCCTGCCACCGTCCGGTGAACCGGTTGAACGCGCCAGCCGCAGTGTATTGATCCACCCCGGGAGCCCCGGCAGGTGTAGCCTCGGTGGGCGGCTGCTCGTACTGCTGGGCGTACGGGGCTGTCGGATCGTAGTCCCCGTGGATCGCAGGGTTATAGCTACCTAACACGGACGCGGCCTTCTCCGTAGGCGAAGCACTGGCCTCTACGCCAGGAGGACCTGCTGCGGCCGCATCTGGCACGCGGGGGTTCTCCCACTGCGACACACCCGTGAGGCGATTATAGAAGTAGTATGATCCAACGTTGGCATCCCAGACCGGTTCCCACCCATCGTCCTCCCGGGGAGGGGCCTCATTAGGAAGCGGTGGTGGAACCTTTTCGTCTGGTAATGGGGGCGCTGAAGCTTCCTCTTCCTCCTCCTCTTGACCCTCCTCCCCTTCGGAGATATATCCTTTATTTACTTCCTCGCTTTCCTCACGCTCTTTTCCTTTCTCTTGTTTTCCTTCCCTTGTTTCCTCCCTGGGTCTATCTGTCTGTGTCTGTGTCTGTGTTTCTGTCCGGTCTCCTGTTGTGCTGTTTTCTGCCTGGGTCACTGGGTCATTCTGTCTCTCCGATGGAGATCCTGACGGGTTGTCAGTTGCAAGCTTGGAGGAAGTCTCGGACATATTCTTTTGATCCGCACTTCTTGCCTCTAGAGAGTGCGCGTCAAAGCCGTGGCAGGAGTGTAGAAGGGAATCCCTACTCTGGGTTGAGTGGGAATTGAATAGAATTATGCCCATCACGGCACTAACCCGTTCAGGACTAGCCGCCTTTTCCCCAGTATATCGACGAGTATGTACTTTACTAATAAAAACAGGTGAAGATGAGCCTCACCATGAACCACCCTCTCATATATAGAAACAAATAAAACGCCCGACCCAGTCCAACCCCAAACACACCTCTATATCACCCACACAAACCCCCAAAACAACGAATCCCTCATCTTACCCATCCCTTAAAACCCCCTCCCCTCTCAAAGCCTCAACTGCCTCAGCAACCCACTCCTGACACCTCCTCAACGGCATATTAGGATAAAGCCTCCTCACCCCCTGAAACTGCTTCGGGGGTACCTCAACCCCCTCACAAATCCCCGGCACACGCCCGTACTCCCCCACCTGCACCACACCCAGCTTCTCCTTCCCACAGAACCCCGGGATCTCCTCCGGCGGTTCGCTCGCCCGGTCCTCGAAGGCCATGCCCTCTTGGATGTTGCCCTTGACGTGGTAGATGTGGCCGGTGGTGGGGCCGTTCTCGTGGGTCTCAACGAAGATGGCGTGGTGGTCGCGCGGGAGGCCGCTTTCGGCGATGAGGTAGACTGTGTAGCTCATTTTCTTCTTTTGGGGTTGCTTGTTAGGGATAAGCTTTTTGGTGGGGTTTGGATTGAGGATGGTGACGTGTTGATGGGGAAGTGTAGTATTCAAGAAAGTTGGTTTTGGATGGCAATGATGGTTTGGTTTACTGCCTAGGTGTTGGATGGTAGTAGCCTTGCGGGTGGCGCGGGTTGGGTTAGTTGGGCCTTGTAACTCATAAGGTTGACGAAGTGGTTCGATGTTACGTTGGGTTCAGTATGGATGGGGTTGGCTGAGGATCTGCGAATGTGTGATTTTCCTAGGGGTGGATGAGTTGTAGGGTAGTGTACATGGTGAGGTGGTTTGATATTTAGTGCTGGTGGGTTTGTTTATATGTAGTACAAGTATAGGGAGGGTATACATATATATATATATATATATATATATATAATTGGCGGATTAGGAGCATAAAAAGGATCTATACAAATACTATATGGGTTTTGTATGTTGACTGTTTTTAGAAAGCTATAGATATGTACTAAATACTTTCTTTTTAGTCTTCTGTATAAATATATAAGGGGATTGATTGTTTTATTTCTTTTCCTGTGATATTGGCACTATACAGGTTCATCATAACTTGTGTACGAGATCCAATCCAGTATGGTCCTTTGACACCGACTGAAAGTATATATACATCAAGTCAATAGAACGAATTTAGACACGATACTTTAAACCACGTATATATGGTATATTTCTAATATGTAACGGTAAATATAGTAAATAGCTTCAAATGTACATACATAGATGAACTCCCATCACGAGACTTATAGCAGAATGATTCCTGAGTCTAAAATCAGGCACCACCTATTCAATCACTCACTACAGACCAACGTGACCCTAAACCCAGAATTCTACAGCATAAATCCTAGTAAAAGCAGTCCAACTGCTCAAACGAGGAGACAACCAACCCCCAAAACTCAGCCCTCACCAAACACACCACAAGAAACCAAAACAAATACCCAACGCAGAAACCATTCCTCGCCTCAGAATGCGACCCATGCTCTAGTAGAACCGTGACCCAGGCAAGCGTAAGTATCTATTTCCCTTGGATATGAATCGAGTGCCGATCATCCCTGTGGCTAGGAGGCATTTGATTTGAACATTGGGTTCGGCTCGGGCAAGGGATGGATAACGGCCCTTTGACGCGTTCTTTACCCCTGAAGTCACATCACATAGCAATCTTGACTCATAATATCGGTGTAGAGCTCTTATACGATAGCAACTGGAGTAATGTTGTTCTTTCTTGAGCTGAATGAGAGGTTAGTAGAGCGGTCTAGAGTGTTGTGAATGAGTGCGATGGGAAGTATTTTCTGGGGAAGTTTGATTTTGCATGCATTCATGTAGGCTGCAGGTACGATGTATGTATATGTATTTGAGATTAATCGGTGCAGGACCCTTGCCGGTTTGTTGTTGTTTTTGTCGTTGCGGTGGTGATTGATGCCTAGTAGAGTATAGGCACTATGGGTAGACTAGCTATGTTGTTATGTTGTTCGGAGTAGAAGCGATAGATAGCTGGAAGGCAACTGTATTGAAAGAATATTTTGGGATGCGCAAAGTTTCTCGTGGACAGTGTAACTGCCTGGCGAGTAAATAAGGGTAATTCATGGATGTATAGTCTATTGGTTTGGTCTGGGTTCTAAAGGGTATTGGCCACACGTTCCGAAGCACAATTGACGGCTATAACTATCTACTCTATGGGGAGTGGCTAAAGAAACTAAAGGAAATTGGAAGATACCGAATTCTTGGCTACTTAATTTACTGTGGAGGAATATTAGTATATACAACTAAGTCAATCAATATCGTTGGTTTTGCAGAGATGTGCTTCATTCTGAGTCTAGAGAGAGAGAGATATATATATATATTCACTCTCCGACCAATACCGCAGTTAAACTTCACCTCCTAGGTAGATAAAATATTTATATTAGTTTTCTAGGCGAAATGCTGCCTATGGATCTCGGAATCAAATCTATGCTACTTCACTTCTCAGTGGTTTGGCTGGAAGGTGGTAGTTTTGACAGGTCCATGGATGGATCACTATCTATGATACTAGTGATGGATCCATATCTACTTAATTTTGTACCATAGGGCAGGCGTATTGGCCACCGGAGACATCGAATGTCATGGTTGTATACGCAGTCCCAAACTAGACCGACAATTACCCAGCGCAGGCTCAATGAGATGAAAGGCAAATCTCGCCAGCAAAAATCTCTTCATCGGCAAAACCTCATCTGAGTGTCTTCAGGGACAGTACATTGACTTTTGTTAACTGTAGTTCATCAGATATTGTCGGAGTTACTTCTCACCCGCCAAATCGCTAGCAAGGCGAAAACGGAAAACAGTAAGAAGGGACTGGACCCGTATAATTAGCGTGCATAGCAGCTGGCCAGCGAATTGTGCAGCTAGAGTACGGGGATTATGAGAGCTCCCTGCATGCGGAAATTAGAGACCAACTAGTGCTATGACCCCTTGCCTATAGCCCCTTACCCACATGGGCGTTGAGGAGTGGCGAGTCGGAGACAAGACAAGGGAGACCAATGAATCCGAGAGTCCTTGCAGGCCAGAAGTATGCGCTGCAAACGCCCTGCAACCTTACTCGCTAGTCTAATCCTCGGGGTATGGCACTCGCATACCGCACGAGTGCCATGGTACGAGGTATACCACCACAAAAAGCTTCGTCATCAGGTTGATGTAAATAGGAAATATGAGTGTCATGTACTACTGATTAGAGCCTGGTAATAATGTCATGTGGCGTTAAGAGCCATCTCATTTTTCCCAGACTCTCTAAGTGTAGGGTATAGCTTAATGCAACCCAACCAACTGGATCCACGGGCTGCATAGCAATTTATGGGTCAAGCGAGGAGGAATGAGACACGGGCCCGCGTGCAACGCAAGATGAAATCTCGTGCCTGCACGAGTCTGGTATGCTCCTAATCTTGCAAGCTGCAGCTCAAGCAAGCATAGGGTAATTGTTTGGTAGATCCATGCCGCTGGCTGGGGCAGACGACTTCTGGCCCAAGGTTCCTGGCCACTATGGGTGGGAAGCACTGGAACGAACAAGGATCTGTCCTTGCGTGTTGCATTCCTGAAGGAGTGGAGGGAGGTCTCATTCCCCACGGCGACATAGTGTTTGAGTGCGAAGCACTGGTGTTGAAGGTAGCTCACAGACCACCCGATTTGTCTATATAAGGAGTCATCTTCATCGGTCAATTCTGTTTTTCATCACAAAGCAAAACATCCACTCTCATTCACCCTTCTCTTCACAGTTCAGTCTTCTTAAGACAAGTCTTTCTCTTGTTCATAGAACATTTCTCCGAGTCAACTCTCGTTTATTACCAAAGCCACCGTCACAATGCAGTTCTCCATCGCCGCTGTCCTTGCTCTTGCTACCGCCGTTGCTGCTGGTGCCCTCCCCCCTGCCGGTGTTAACTCTGGCACTGGTGCTGGTGAGAAGGTCGGCAACAATGACATTCGCTTCCCTGTGCCCGACAGTGTGACCACCAAGCAGGCCTCCGACAAGTGTGGTGACTCTGCCCAGCTCTCTTGCTGCAACAAGGTCACCTATGCCGGAGACACAACTGATGTTGACGAGGGTCTCCTTGCTGGTGCCCTCAGCAACTTGATCGGTGCTGGCTCTGGCTCTCAGGGTATTGGTCTCTTCGACGAGTGCTCCAAGATTGACATCCCTAGTAAGTACCCCGGATCGATCATTTTCTTTTTGAACTGAACTAACTGTTAGTAGTTATCAACTTGGTTAATGTTCAGGACCTCCTCAACAAGAAGTGCCAGCAGAACATTGCTTGTTGCCAGAGGACCGAGTCCAGTGCCGTGAGTATTTCCAAGCTTCTGTGCTGTCCACAACTTGTACTAACATTCACAGGATGGCTCCCTCATCGGCGTTGCTCTTCCTTGCATCGCTCTCGGCGCTCTCCTCTAAGCGATTTTACTTTGGAAATCGGTAGCTCAAGGAGCGCGGGATGGAAATCGGGCCTAAAATGTTTCTATAGTGTCCTTGTCAAGTTCTTGTACCAACATCCCGTGGCGTGGCACCCTCGGAGCAAGAAGGCTGTTCTGTTTTATTCGTGATTACAATTATTTCGCCTAATGTACCAGTTGTAACTGGAAATAGTGCATGGCGTGCCTGCTTAATACATAGACTTGTCTTTGAACTCTTTTCCTACCATTCTTACCGTAGTGTTGTGCCTCAATCGTAGTAGTTCACCTTACCAATTTGTAAAGACTTCACCCTGAACTTGTTCTTCAGCTTGCAGCTACCTAGGGCCTAGAGCTGTGCATCATCAGTAAATGGGCCTCCTTAATGTGGTGCTCCACTTGGAATTCTCCCATCTTTTCGCTAATTTTATCCCGTCACCTTTCAATCCAGCGATCTTGTGAATTCCAAATTGTCCCTTATGGGCACTTCATATCAAGTTGACATCGCTGATAGCTTAACAAAACATACGTTGGGGGTTTATACTGCTCGGCCCGACATCTGGAGTGCTTCTTCCCAATGCAGCGCGATATCTTGCAAGCCTCTGGTTCTTTTCATGTTGTGCCAAACACCACGCTGCGAATGAACTGCTGCTTCTATTCGCGTCCTTCGCAGCAGTCCGTACCCGTCGTTCAAAATCAGTGAGCCCATCCGCTTTAACTGACTAGACGTTCAAAGTTGAAGCTGTCTCCCATTCCAAGCCAGCCTTTCCTAATAGGTATGTAAGTTAGAATTGATAGTTGCCGCCTCGTTCCTAGGGATTACTCCCTTGATATTCTTCGAACATGGGAATATACATTCTCCAAGCCTCCGTGTAACAATGAAGTGCTGCATTGGCACGCGCAACCTATGTCACGCGCAACCTATGTCACAGTGCCTTATTTTTTGCTGCCGTTTACATATAGCAACGACTTTCTTGTTATATCGACCAGGATGTATGCTCTCATTTGAATTAGCTAATTACTATTAATACACAGTCGCCAACAGAATACAAGCCCTCATATCCTACATGCACTCCCCAAGCCCAAAAGTACTTATACAAGAACCCAAAATTGTATACAACCAATGATATCCGACCCAAAACGCACCCAACCGAGCAATGGTCACACCAAAAAGCTCCTTATAAGGGAAGCAAAACCCCCCGATATCGACCAAGCACACCAAAGAAAAAATCCCGTACCCCAAACGCCATTCCTAGCAAAAAAGAGGTTTTTCCTTACCTGTTGTCATTGTAGCCGCCATCGTCGCCGTCTCATCCGTCCACTTACGAGTCCCAAACCGCACACCAGGGAACACCACCGCGCCCATCCTCCGTTCTTTCTTGGGATTCGGCGGCTCCTCCCCCGTCACCGTGGCCGAAGATGCAGTAGACGCCAGCGATACGGCAGAGCCACGACTGCGAAGCGTCGATTTCGGCGGGACAACAGGGAGTCGGATATGAGATAACTTCGGCGCCGCAGCAGCCGTCGCTTGGAGGAGGTTGATGATTTCAATGAGGGATTTGCGACGGCTAAGACGCCATGCTGGCATTCCCTTCTCGTCTTTGCTGGGGATTGTAGAGTTTGCTTCTGCTTCGTCCTTTTCCTTTTCGTTTGCGGGCGAGTCGGCATCTTCAGGCTCGATCTCCGTCTCCGTTTCTTCGGGGATATCTTCGATCATCCGGCTCTTTACTTCAGGAAGCTTGTTGGCCGTGATCGTGGTCGTGTTCTTCCGCTGCGGTTGCGAAACCTTGATCTTGTCACCCTTGTCATGGTCCTCTGGGTCTTGACAACCGCCCTTCACCTCAAACCCCGTCTCCCCTTCAACAGCCACAATAGTATCCTCAGACACCTTCACAGCCATCTCCCCCTCACCCTCCTCATCAACCCGCCCCCCACACCGACACTCGCCCCCAGCGTCCGGTTGCTCCATCTCGTCCCTCTCCACAACCCGGATAGAAGGCTTCTTCATCAACTCATGCTTTTTCTCTCCCGCTGAATAGGGATACGGGGTCGTATCCTTAGGCGGTACGGCTGGTGGCGACTCGCCCTTTTTGTGGTTCTGTTTCTGTCTCCGTCGACCCTGGAGACAGGATCGGAAGACTTCGGATAGGATGCTCATTTCCCTTTCCCCCTAGATATTGGGTTATTGGATGGGTTTGAGGTGGTTCGTTGGTGGGTTTGAAAGAGGGGGCGAAGAGGGGTTTATATGAACTATTTGGAGTATCTTATGGAGATGGCAGGGAGGGGTGTGTATTTGTTTTGGTTTGGTCAGATTGGGATATATATGGGTTCTTCGGTGCGGGGATTAGATAAATGATCGGGGATTTTGGTAGATGTGATTATGGGGATTGACGAGGTGCTTGCTATATTGCTAAAATGCGATGCGATGCAATGCAATGCAGTGTAGATGTATAGGATTTTCGTAGTAAGAGGAGTGAGTGGTCTTTTTCTGGGCGGAACAGGGGAGGGAGGTGGTGGTTTGTTGGGGGGAGGTTGGGTTATATGAGATTGAGGCTTGGTTGGTGTTGCCCGTGTTACTTGCTTCTTGCTTTTTGCCTCTTGGTTTATATGTTTACTTTGGGCTTGGGTTTATCTGTAAGGAGTGAGGTAGGTGTGATTGATGTAAGGATGGTAAGCTTGTAGCTTGCTGTCAGCGTTCTTTTTTCTTTTCTTTTGTTTTTTTTTTTTTACGTTTGGTGAGAAGACGATGGATTCGTCGGGGAGCGCTCTGTATGTGCGGGACATGTGTGAATGCGAGGTTATTATGGGGTTTACATTTAGGAGTAAGGTTGATCTTAATTAGGAGTTTATCGTTGTGAGTGTAAGGAGTTGGTTGGGGTGGTGGTTGTAGGTTGAACGTATCTTCATCTTCGGGTTAGGGCTAATTCTACATCTGGGACGGGCTCGTGAGAACAGTCATTGTCGTGTCGTACAGAGAACGTGTACTATTTCCCCTGGGTTTGTTTTGTCGTTTTTCCGACTTCGTGGGTGTCGGAGTTTATGCTCCCTTTCTCCTTTGCTTTTCTCTCTACTCTCTTTTCTTTTCTTTTTTCTTTCTTTCTTTCTTTTTTTTTTGGTTCAAGGGTTACCCGTGAGGCAGTAAGGGATGGCCGTACTATTTACTTTCCATGTCATCATTGCATTGCAGTACAACTAGCTCTATGCCTTACATGCGGAGTCTCTTTGAGCCGAGTAACAAACCATCAAATAAAAAGAAAGCTATGGACCAAATAAACAACCACTTATAGCTTGCTCTGCGGCGTTGCCACGTACAACGACTGGGACCGCTGCATCGCCTCTAGGGCCTCCTTCTCAATACGCTGGAGCAGCTGAGCGCAGGTGGGAATATCATGGATCAAGCCGATGACCTGACCGGCCGTCCAGACCTAAAATGGACCAGTTAGCAAGGATTCTACACATTTCCCCGGAAATACGGAAGGAGGTAGGGAAAAAAAAAAAAAAAAAAAAAAGGTGTGTATGCATACCCCGAAATCGACGTCACCGTTCAAGAAGACCTCCCTACCCCTCTTACCACTGACGAGGGGGGCAACGTCGCTGAACTCCCCGGACTTGCTCTCCTTCTCCACCTTCACCGCCTCCTTCGAGACCTTGTTGGCAAACAACCGGGTTGTATTCTTCCAGCGTCTGAGCACCAGTGCAGTGTCCGTCTCCTGGGCCTTGACGATGGCTTCCTTCACGTTGTGGTGGATCGGGGCTTCGATCGTGCACATGAACCGCGTGCCCATGTTGATTCCTTCGGCACCCAGTGCCAGGGCTGCGGCCAGGCCGTGGCCATCTGCGAAACCGCCCGATGCGATGAATGGGACGCCCAGATCCTGACGGGCACGGCTGAGGAGAATGAAATTTGTGATGTCATGCTCGCCGACATGGCCGGCACATTCGAAGCCGTCGATCGACAGGAAGTCAACGCCCAGCTTGACGGCTGATTTGGCGTGACGAATGGTCGTGCACTTGTGCAGCACGGTTGTGTTGGCCTTCTTCAGCTGGGTGATCACCGGTCCGGGGTTGTTTCCAGCCGTCTCAACGATCTTGATGCCCTCGTCGATGATGACCTGGGCGTAAGCGGCGTAGTCAGGGGGTACGAGAGCAGGGAGGAGTGTGAGGTTCACGCCGAAGGGCTTCTTGGTCATGGAGCGACATTTCCGGATTTCTTTGCGGAGGTCTTCGGGAGTTGGTTGAGTGAGAGCAGTGAGCTGAATGGTTAGCCGTCTTGTTCTCCTTATTTGCTTGCGAATACGGGGGACGTACAATTCCAAGTCCGCCGGCGTTGCTGACTGCGGCTGCGAGTTCAGCGTATCCAACCCATTGCATGCCACCCTGGACAACGGGGACTGTGAGTGGTTAGCCCAGCTTTAAATTATCTGGATTGAACTGTATGTGTACCTGTGATGCCCAGCTTCCGTGTGAGTGCGGTGTTGAAGGGCATGTTGTATCTAATACCTCTGAGACCGAGACTGAGTGTATGTATATACGTCTTGATAGCAAAGGATCGGGCTGTATTCCGATAGGCAGTATGAACAAAAGAAGCGACCCAGTGAATGTAAGATCTATCAGCGAAGGGTATCACAAGTGGTAGTTTATTCAAATAGGAAAGAAATGCGACTTCTTTGTACCCGCGGGAGAAGTTGCCGAGGTTGATTTCTGGACCGACCGATATTCGGGTCAAGATTACTATTCAGATTGCCACCCCCTGGGGAAGAACAACAGTGTGGGGGAATGCCGACCGTTAACAGCGGGGTAAGAGATACTTAAACATACTTAGAATGAGGCCATTTGATTGTCTCTCGCTGGATGGGGTGATGCTTGCAGCTGGAAATTTCTCGATTTCAACCCAGATATTGTTTTTGTTTGCCGTCGCCGCATGTGATTTTCTTACGCGGCGAATTATTGATCAGACGACCGCATATGATAAGATACTACTTTATTGATTTATTGAGATCCCATGACTACGGATATTACTAGTAAAACTGCATACACCGATAAAATAAAATGAGCAAAGCACATCCCGAATTGTATGTGTGTATATAGATTCCTGTATGGCTGGGGGAACCAACAAAACGCCATCAATGCATAGGTATAAGCATATGTAACCAAAAATGAGCAAAGATATTCTAGACCATTTTATTTTGCTCCCATCTCGCTGGCAAGCCATTGCTCGTGCAGCTTCTTCTGTCTCTCCCAGTCTTTCCGGAGTTTCTTGGCCCGGCTCTTGGCAATATCCTCGCCGGCTGCGTCGCGAGTGGGAAGGCCTTCGTCATCCCAGGCGCTATACTCGTTCGTCCGGAACATTTCCAGATGGCTGAGCTTGCCCTTCTGGAGCCTTTCCAGGGCCTCCTTCTCCTTCTTCTCCTTTTCGATCTGCTTCTGGTGCGCCTTCCGCGCCTTCTCTTCCCGAGCCTGGATCAGTTCGCGAGTCACCGGACGGACGAGGGCAGGCAAGTTGTCTCGATCTTCAAGATAGACACCAACATCGAACAAATCAATATCACGAACCCGGTCACAGAGTGCCAAGACCTCCTTGCTAATGCTATCCGACTCCTCGAGTGACGACACCTTGGCGCGGAAATTGCTCAAGACCTCAGCATAAGGTTTGCTGGATTCGGTGATCTCTTGCGTCGGGAGGGCTTCACGTTCGACAATCTCGGCGATAGTCTTGGCATCGACTCCTCCCTTCGCCCGTGCGGCTTGTCGCAGAGAATCACGGATGGAGGACAAGGGGTAGAGGAACGCCTTGGCCTCTTCGGGAACGTCAATGCCAGACCAGCCGATTTCCTGGCTGTCGGGGGAGGCGGTGCCATTGAGACCAAAGGTATTGACCATAGAGGTCACCCATCGTGCGACAGCCTGAACGTCCTTGGGGTTAACAGTCGACTTATCGGCGCTGTTGTATTTCGTGATAAGCTCAGAGATGGCGTACATGGCTCCGGGAGTGTTGAAAGAGTCGCACAGGTGCTCGTAGACGGTCTTCTGGGCATCTGCCAAAGCAGTGGCAAGACTATCATCCGAGCCTGAGCCTTGCAGGGTAGCGGAGTCCTTCATCTTGATGAAAAAGTTGTTCACCTTCTCCTCCCACGAGCTGCCAGCGCTGACAAGGTCATCGGTAATCTCAACACCATCCTTCCAGCCGCCAAGCAGGAAGACGATTCTCAAGCTCCTTGGGGTCCACTCTTTCCTTTCCAGTGCCTCACGAATGGTAGTAAAATTCTTAAGAGACTTGGACATCTTGGAGCCCTGGATGGACAGGTGTCCCATGTGGAAGAAATAGTTCACCCACTGATCGCCATGGGAATGACCATCTGCCCAGTACGCCTCACTCTGCGCAAGCTCGTTGTCATGGTGAGGGAACGCAAGGTCGACACCACCTGAATGGATATCCATCTGCTTACCGAGCCTTGCGGAAGCCATTGCAGAACATTCAATATGCCATCCCGGCCGTCCCCGACCCCAGGAGCTCTCCCAGCTAGGCTCACCAGGCTTAGAAGCCTTCCATAGAGCGAAATCAGATGCCGATCGCTTATCCGTAGTCTTCTTAGTCAACGATCCCTCTCCTTCAGCCAGAAGCTTGCTATCCGACCGATTCCAGGGTTCAAGCCGGGCGTAAGGGTGACCAGCAGTCTCGAAGGAGTCGATGTCGAAGTAAACAGAACCATCTTCCGTAACATAGCCGAAATTATTCTTCACAATCTTCTCCACGAAGTCAGCGATCTCCGCGCCATACTCTGTGACCCGAGTGATTTCGTTGGGGTCGAGGACGTTCAGATCACGCATGTCCTTCATAAACCGATCCTCGTATCTCTTCGTCAACTTGGTGAAAATTCTATGGTCATCTGCGTTGATCGATGCCCCCTTCAATGAATCCAGATATGGGAGGAGGAGATCTTGGGCTTCCGTGTAGAACTTCTCCACAAAGCCCGTAGGCTGCTTAGCCTCGCCCAAGCGTTCTGCCTCCGCGATCACCTTTGATGCCGACGCAACGGTCTTGATGTGCATTTTAGTTTTCGCTTCATCGTCACCGGCCCTCTCGTTGCCGGGAAGGGGTCCTCCGTTCAGCACGACGGCGTAGGTCTTCTCCACCTCATCCTTGTATTGAGACGCGGGCAGGTTGGGGTTCAACAGTGGAAGGTTCTTCTTAAGGTAGGCAGTGTACGCTTTCTTGGCGACATCCAGAACTTCGGCGTCGATCGTAGGATGCTCAGAAACGAACTCTGTGAACAGGTGCTGTTGCCGGGCTCTAAGGATAATCTGTGACTCATTAGCGTCGCATTCCATCAAGTACTGTAGACAACGCCTATCGTAACATATACGATGCAAAGCGTACCTTATCATCAACATCTGTGATATTCATGACAAAGTTGACGTCAAATTTGAAGTAGTCACGCATGATACGCCGAATGATGTCTGTGCTAACATAGTTTCTGGCATGGCCCAAGTGGGCATCGTCATAGACAGTTGGCCCGCATGCGTACCAGGAAACTCTCTTTCCTTCCTTGTCGATGGGGATGAACGGGTTCTTCGAGCGTGTTAAAGAGTTCCAGACTTTCAGAGGAGGAAGACGCCCTTCGGCCTCAGGGTGGAGGGGTGGCTGTTGCCATGGTGGCTGTTGGCGCGCGGTGGCCATAGATCTAGATCTGGAGAGAAGAACCACAGGAGAAAAGAGCGACAATCGTTGTTTGGGTCTTCTTGTAAGGAAATGGGAGAACACTCGAGGAAGTCGGTGACAGGTGAGGGGCATCAGGAAACGGAGCTATAAAAAAAGAGGGACAAATAATGCCAACACGGGAGGGGTTCACTTGCCTCCAGACGCCAGCATGACAACCAACCTGAGTCAAGCATTCAAAGGATGAGCCAGCGGCCAGTGGGCCAATCAGGGTCCTGGTTTGCAGTGCGGTCTGGACAGCACCCTAATCTGCATACCCTAAGCCCTAAGAGTAACCCCAGTTGGGTCTAGATCTGCTCTCCAGTGACATCCAATGCCCCAGAATGATAGAAGCTTTTGAGCTTGTCCGAGATTTTGCGCTTGCGAAAGCCGCAACACCACAGGCTGTCACAATGCCGTCCCCCTTTCTAACTCCCGGCGCTCAGTCACAACTCGATAGCCTTGCTCTTCTTTCACTCCGCAGGGACCAGACGATTCCAACTATTCTCCAACTTCACGACGACAAAGCAGGATACAAAGAAGGAAAAGTCACCAACACCCGTTTCGGCTCATTCCCGCATAGCACCCTTTACGATCAACCATGGGGTTCCCAGATCGTCGCATCCAAGGTAGACACGGGGTCGCGCGGTCGCGCGCAATCTAAGAAGTTGAAGCGGAAAGCGGACGACTTAGATTCGTCCACCCAAGCCGAAGACAAGCCTTCTCCCCAGGCTGCAGTTGCAGCCGCCAGTGGTTTCCTTCACCTCCTTTACCCTACGCCGGAACTATGGACCGCGTCGCTCCCGCATCGGACACAAGTTGTTTACACACCGGACTACAGTTACATTCTCCATCGGCTACGCGCGCGCCCCGGAAGTACTGTGATTGAAGCAGGAGCGGGCAGTGGCTCTTTCACCCATGCATCTGTGCGAGCAGTGTTCAATGGGTACCCTTCGGATGACCAGCGGACACATAAGAGAAGACTTGGCAAGGTCTGTAGCTTCGAGTTTCATGCGCAGCGGGCGGAGAAAGTACGAGTTGAGGTGAAAGAACATGGCCTCGAGGGGCTAGTGGAAGTAACGCACCGTGATGTCTACGAGGATGGCTTCCTCCTCGGTAACCCGAAGACGGGCAATTCCCCGAAGGCGAATTCCATTTTCCTTGATCTACCCGCTCCTTGGTTAGCTCTTAAACATCTCGTTCGCAATCCGCCCTCAGGCGTGGAATCACCGCTTGATGCATCGTCCCCAGTCTATATATGTACTTTCTCCCCCTGCCTTGAACAGGTACAGCGCACTATCAGCACTCTCCGCCAACTCGGCTGGTTGAACATCTCAATGGTGGAGGTCAATCACCGCAGAATCGACGTGAAGCGAGAACGGGTTGGATTAGATTACGAAAATGTTCGTGGGACGGTCGTCTTCCCCAGATCCGTCGACGAAGCTGTTGAAAGAACGCGCGCTCTCGAGGAGCGCTCAGTATTGTTCCGTGCATCTCAGAATCAGAGTGACAGCGAGAGTACCCCTGCTCTCCAGACTGAAACCGATGCAAATAAAGGCGATACGACCAGCAAACCCGAGACGGATGTCCCCGCTCGCCCGCAAGAGCCCGAGATTCCTTTGTATAAGCAGGGTCGCCTGATAACCCGGTCAGAGATAGACCTCAAGAATCATACCTCCTACCTTGTTTTTGCTGTCCTCCCTCGGGAATGGACGGAGGAAGATGAACAGCGTTGCCGTAAGAAGTGGCCATCAAACCGGGTAGTAGAACCTCGGGGGCCATCGAAAAGCAAGAAGCAAATGAAAAAGGAAGCAAAGGAGCAGCGCAATCAGCAAAAGGAACAACAGGGACAGCCAGATACGGAGTCCCAGAAGGAATAATGGTTAGTAACGCTACTATTCCAGTTTATATATTAAAACCAAATAGAGCATAAGTAGTCAAAGTAGTTAAAATAATTCCATTCTGGCTATTTTGAGTAGGCGCAAGATGATTATCCCGCAAGACCGGTCCTACCGGTCCTATTATACCTGCTAATTTTCTTTTTTTATTTTTTTTTATAGATTTGTAAATTCTATTAATACTACAGTCTCTGGGGTCAAGGATAGTATGTAAATTATACTGAACCGGCAGCAGATCTGATTTCTTTGCGTATTGCCAAGGGTGGGGAAGGACATTACTATAGAAATATATTGTTAGTTTATCCGATCTGGTCTCCATAATGCATTCTACTTCCCTCTATTTCTATACAATGATTAGATATACTCGCCATTGCAACCCCCCAGGATAGAATAGAGAGACCCACTTAGCCTTGTAACAGTCAGCGGGATAGTGATATTGCTTGGAGGCCTGAGGTACTGCAGTTCATTCAGTCATGGGTCATTATCAGACGTGAGATTATGAACGTTTAAAAGAATACTGCTACTGATAATGGACAAGGGGGCTCGTGTTAGAAAAGCTTCCCATAAATGAGCTTCCTTGACCAGAAGGAGAGAAGAAACAAAAGGTTGGCTACATCGCGGCTAGTGTAAAACTATCTATGTACAACGTGGGTCTATAATCATCAAACCTTCCGCGGTTCCTTCAGTAGCACATAGTAAAATGAAAAAGAGAATCCGGGGAAAAGTGGGTATTGCATTGAAGAATAGAATATTGTTCTAGTCAACTAGAACCTGAAGATACGAGACCGATCTTTATAGATTGTTCTCTGCCTTAAATTTGTCCCACGCTTCATTCAGCGTACCGAACACGGCACCAGCGATCATCCGCTGTTCCGTAGTGGCAGTGGTAGAAATCTTGGGCAATCGTTAGCTTCTGTAATATTGTGTTCCTCGAAAATAAGCATACCTTGTCCGGGTGCACCTTTGCAATCCCCTTCATATACTGCAACTTGACTTTGTTCGGCATGATCAACTCTGACATGTTGATCTTCTTCCATCCGGCGTCCGGCCACAAAACTGTATCCAAACTCGCCAGAAGAGCTCGTAGATTGTCCTGCTTACCACCCTTCCAAGCAGTCAGTCGAGCATCGACACTGTCGGTAAGGGCGAACTTTTCTTCATCGGCACGCTCGGCAGCTTTATTAGCCTCTCGCAAACGGCTGACAGCGGCGGAGTCTACAGATGAAGAGCCACCCCCTTGTAGATCGTCCAATGCGGATTTCCTAGGTGCTTGGGCTGGTGGCCGTCTAGCAGGTGCTGAAGGCTTCGGAGCAGGTTTGCTAATGCCAGCAGCCTTCTCGCAGCGGTTGCGGCCTTGGATACTAGTGCTACCCCCGTGACCGTTCTCAACTGCCTGTCTCCACGCCTGCGCAGCATCTGCCCATCGCTCCAGTTGCTCCAGGGCTTCGGCCTTGCGCATCAAGGCCTTGCCGAAGAAGTCTTTCATCGGTTTATTAGGCTCGCTATTTCCGATTTCAATATTCTCGCCCTCCCCTTTCAGAGGACCAATCAAATCCAGAATAATGTCCGCATCGCCAATCGCCACCTTAGGCTCACCGACTTTGAGCGCGGTCATGGCACGATTGCTACGGATGATAATTGTGAGAGGATGTTTGTCGGGAAGCATTGACAGAGCGGAAGAAAAGGCCTCATGGGAGGCTGCATAATCGCCTCTCTTGTAAGCCTCGGCCGCTTTCGTCCGGTGGCGATGTGTATATGCAAGAGCTTCCTGAGACACTTGAGGAATGACTCGAGGTGGAGCTTTCGGTCGTACAGGTAAAGGTTTAGATGCTGCAGCAGGCCGCGTGGGCTGGGCGGGCGCGGGTGACGGCCTCGGACGCGCAGCAGGCTGCGGAGCGGGGGACTCGAACAAATCAACATTCTGTGCAGGAGCTGGGGACTGTGCGGTTGGCCGTTTTCTCCTTGCTGGGCTGACATATGCTTGCGCTGACTGCTCGTCCACTGCAGCCTTGGTCAATCGACTTCTGGGATCCTTAGCCTGGCTTGGCTGCTGTTGCCGCATAAAAGTAGGCTGTTGCATACTTCTATCACCAACTGGAGAGGGTTGGTTCCGGTGGTTGTTATTGCTAAGGACGCGAGGTGAGGGAACATCGTTCGACCGGGTCGTCTTGCGTGAAGCCCGGGGATCCACGCCAGATTCAAGAAGAAGAGCCTCATCCGTGAAGCCGGCTGGCTGCTTTTGGGCCTGATCAGGAGTCCGCCGGCGTTCACTCGGGGATGACTCGTCGCGAGCTGGCGGTTCCCTTAGCCAACGGGGCTGATTCGGATCATGATCCGTGTTAAGGTCATTAACGACTTGCTGAACCTTTTTGCTGCCGGTTTTCCAAAGAGAGTTTGCTGTTTTCAGCAGATTATTGCCGAAGGCAGCGGCAATCTGTGATGGATCCTTATCTGGTGTCGAAGGTGACCGATTATCGCTGCGACTCCTTGAAGCATGGGATCGTTCCTGCTGCATCCACGACGGAGTGTCTCGGTCAGACCTCTCAGCTCGGTCTCTACTTCGGCCCTCGTGGCTTGGAAAGCGATTTTCAGCCGCAGGTCTACTCCTAGACTGCTGCCGAGATTCTTCGTGCGCCTGTGTGAGAAGCAATGAGACAGCAGCCTGTATATCAGTTCCAGTCGACGTCATGCGTAGAGCTTGGCTAGCTTTAACTGCAGGAAACCCCATATCGACGAGCTCCGCAACTGCTCGGTCAGTTCCATTTGATGGCTTGGGGGATGGAATATGGTCTGCGGGCTCAGGAGTAGGTGATTTCGCCGGTGGTTCTGGTCTGCGGACTTCCGAAACGGGCTTACCCAGTAACCCCAGAAAATCATCATCGTCAGATTGTGCAGGTTGAGGTGGCGGCGGGCTTGTCTTCGATTTTAACTTGTTGAGGCCGAAAGGGTCATCATCGTCGTCTATGAACGACATTCCAATGCCTTGTGTTGCTGGGGCGAGCCCATTGGAGACAGGCTGTGACGACCGTATGTCTCCCTGCGGCGACGGGCTAGGACTAGGTATAGGGAAGTGAGTCGATGCATCTACCGGCGCTGAAGCGTCAAAGGCGGCAAGGAGATCGTCCTCGTCAGCGGTCTGAGCTTTCTGGTGAGTAGAACTCGCGGCATATCCGGCAGGCGAGTTGCTTCCACCCTTCTCCATGTTATCCCAAAATTGAGCATTCCGCGCACCGTACTGCGACTCAAATCGAGATCGGTTCTCTGCCTCCTTCTTGGCCCTCTCTTCTTGTAGCCTCTTCTGCTGCTCGACAAGGGGCAGGTTCTTATTCTGATTGGAGGAATTGAAAGAAACTAGGTTGGCAAAGCTGTCCTTGTCTTTGTCCGGTGTCGCAGACTTAGAGGGCGTGTTCGAAGCCCCCGAGGAGGCAGAAAGGGGAGTAGACCGGCCGGAAGTATCATTGCGCCTCACATTCGGAAACAAGAGGCCGGAACTCATAGGTGGGGGTCTCCGGGCGTTATTAGATGGTGTGGAATTCCAATTCAAGCCGTTTAGATCGTCCATGGTGATAGTTAATCTAGTAAGAGTAGGGAGGTGTCTGGGAGGACTGAATTAGGATAATGGTGGTAGGAGGTAAATGGTTCCATGGTCTAGTCTCACCATCAACGATCTAGTGAGCTGATCCTGTTCGTGTGGTAAAATTATTGGTGTTTCAGAAAATGCAGATGTATTCACAAGGTATGTATGAATAAAGAACTGACCCCTTGGCACTTTACAATATAGTGAAACATCATGAGTGATCATTAACTTCCCCTGGAGATCGAAGCCGCTGTCATTGTGGCGGAGTAGCTAGCGGGGTGTGGCTGATGCTGCCCAAACGTGACTACTTGGCACGTGTTCCCAAATATAGTAATTTCCCTCTCCAGTTCCCTAGTATATCGAAAAAGGAAATGTGACTATATTAGCTATAGATAGTTCTAGATTTTTGCTGGTATTTACTAGAAATCCAATAACTCATCCGCAGGTCCCCGTCATCCGCGTCTCTGTCACTCTCTGTCCTGGTTCACCAGTACTCTGTCGGTAAATCCTCTGTGTACACCTATCGTTACAGAACTTAGGGATAAGATAATATCTTAAGCAATATAGCCTCACGCAGCTATATAATTTGCTTTTAGATAATAAAAGTAAGCTATTGTCGTTCTTCCTAGTGAGAGGGTATGTGTTCCGGAATAGTTTTAGGATTTAACCATCCCCGTTAAATGCTAGGCCTCTATATTGATATATATGTCGGAGAAATGAAGGCTTAAGATGGTATCCCCAGAATTTTTGGATAGTGGGCAGCTGTAATGACCCGAGTCGATACTCGTTTGGAAGCTGCTGCGAGTATATAGATAATGAATGTACCCATTACTATAAACAGACCCGGTAGTATGGATAGATTTGGAACTAGGAACAGGCTTTGCAGTGGGAACAGATCTAGGAGAACAAATAAACTCCGTAGTAACAGACCTGAAGTGATGACCTCGTAGCGGGAATGGACTTGAGGCTAGTCGGCACTAAATCGGGTTGTATGCAAGAGGAGCATAACCGGGCACAAAATGTCCAGGTGTCAGGTCTTACTGTATACAGCAGCACTCGGTTCGTCTATCTCTCCATGTTGAATTCTTTTGAACTAAGCCGAGCAGAACCGTTAATGCACCCATTCACATTTCATCCCTGTTAATGTCTTCATTGTCAGGCAACGACCAACGCCTGAAAAAGTCCATAATAATCGGTGTTGCTTCGAAGTATGTCCCATCAGGATTATCATTATTGGGTTCCGTGCTCGGCCAAGCATGCCCCAATCCATCAATACGGTAATGAGTCACAATTCCCAGCTTTCCCTTATGTCCATACTCAAATTTCCGAACATTTCCATCATATAGCTTCGTGGTTTTGCTGTGCAGTCCATATCCCAGACGCTTGGACCATTGGCGAATAAAATGTGGGATAGAAGGAAGACATTTCTTGCGTTGAAGGAGTTGACCACCTTCATAAGGGACTATAGTATCGACTGTACCATGGAACTCAAGAATTGGAACAGAGGAGCGACCAGGAGTACATTTAATGGGCACAGTGTTTGGATGGCAGTCCTCTTCCGAGACGTCTTGAAAATAGCAACCTGAAACTGGAGCAAAGGCTGCAATCCGGGTAGATGCTATTTTATCGCAGGCAAGGACATTAGCAAATCCACCTCCATCAGATTTGCCTGTCACGTATATCCTAGTGGGATTAATACAGTATTTATCCTGAAGGTCATCGAGCAATTCCATTATGAACGTGATGTCGTCGATGCCTTGGTACTCAGAGTCTCGTTGCCACCCCTTGCATATATTAATAAGACCTTTTACGTGGATAGGAAAGGGAAAAGGCTAGTAACATACAGCACGCCCTTGCTCCCGCGCCTGGGGGTAAACAGCAATAGTATCTGGGTTCCATGTTTCATTGCTGAATTGGGTCAATGACTCCTGCCATTCAAGGGATCTATTCCAACCATGGAATGAGAAGATCAATGGAGTTGGCGTATTTATACTATAACTGGAAGGGATGTAGATTCGATAGGGCCGATGGATGCCATCTGATGTGGTGAAGATCACACTCTGGCTAGACCCAGGGCCCTGGTTCAATGATATGGACTGTCCACAACCTGCTGAGCCGGTAGCACTGGCTATTCCAATAGTAAGTATAAGGACTGCCAAAGGAGATCTCATCGTAACCGTATTTGAGTAGGAGTTTGTGTAAGGGAACTGTGTATACAGGACAGATCACCTAGTGGGTACGTGAGATTGACTTATGCCAATTCATTAAGACCAGCTGCAATATTGCAAAGCTTGTTGATACCAGGGGAGAGTCGCTACGTGACAAGGACAGGCTTGTCGAGTATGATATACTAGGTAACATCATGATTTGTTTCATGAGGTCATGACTCGGTTCTGCAGCCAGAACTACACTGATGGCTCGGCGTCCCAATCGATGATCCATCACAGTATGCAGTTCCCTAATAGAACTTGAAGGTAACTCAAAAAAAAGTCATAAGGCACCCCATTCCCACGAATGTTGCTGCTTTCGGGTTATAATGGATCATTAACTTCCAGGTTGCTGACCTCGGAGCCCTCGGAGCCCTACTAGACTTCCGCTTTCGATCTAGCCTTGGCACTGTTCACTAGTTCAGGCAGCAAGGCACCGTCTCCTCTGTTTGTCAACTTGACAAACAGACGTAATCACTCAATTCGAGCATCGTTCTGGAGACAGATCCAGACAATACCCTACCAGAGGTAGAAGCAAATCAATTACATACGATGAAATCAAAGCCTATGTCTTCATCTATATGAGAAGGTCGGGGTGATCGGAATTTTAGGTCCTAAGGGAAAATAAACGATTGCAACCCGACTTTCTACGCCTTTGGTAGCCACATACCCATAGGGAATAGGAATACATCAAAGAATCCTGGGAGTAATTAATCATTACGCGAATATGACTTCAAGGTCGCAGTAGCCGCTGAGATATTCATTCTCCACATAAGTGTAACTGAGGAGAAGTGACAAGAACGGCCATAGTAAGGTACCCAACCCAGACTGTTGGTCGAAAACCGTCGCCCTTTAAAACAGTGGACAATGAAAGTTCAATAGTCGTAAAATGCGATGGGGAAGTTATGGTAGTATCAACTACACAAGTATTCTTGTGTCGACTACATCTCCGTAGTATCTGTGTAACTCTTTTTTTAATCCCAAATGCTCTGTGGATCTACTGCTTCTAGTTTTTTGGCCGAGACTCCTTTGACTACCGATGATAAATCGGGGAAGGCTACCACGCTTAGAGAGCTCGCATAGGGGAAATTCAGTGGCTTCCCCAACGCCTTCTATACCTTTTCAAAAGACAGAAAGCGCCACAATTGAGCTTTTCAACGGTTACAACGTCAAGAGTGACCAAAAAATACCTTATTACGTAGGCATTGACTCATGGACCGTTTGACATAAAGCCACGGAGACACCTTCAGGGGCATGCGCAGCACACTGCACACAGATGATATGGCAAGGACTTACGGGCGAATGTGCGAGGGCCAGAGTGCCAAAAGAATAATATCTCTTGATATCACAGTTCATGTCTTAACACCGTCAATACGACATCCGGTGCTTCTTGCGCACCTCGGAACTCGGCCGATGCTGCTGAGGTTATGATACTTTCGTAAAGTTGCCCAGGACGCTATCTTCTCTACGGGCCTAGAACGTGATCTTCGGGTTAGCTTAAGTGAAGGGATAGCTCTCCCCACTTAGACCTTTATGTCCGCCGACTACGCTCTTGCAGACAGTTATTTCAGAGGCACACTCCGTAAAGTCGGAATGGGGCGCCAAGATCAGTGAGGTCAGCAAGCTAGTAGTAATGAAACAAAGGGTTACATGCTGTGGATATGATACAAAACCCTTCAACGCTTGGGGTAAATTGAACACGGTCAATAGAAAGGATATAGAAAAGATGATCGAAAAGTGAAGAATCGGTAGCAGATAGATTAAGGTCACGTCGGGCTGTCATACAGTTCTTATATCACTTGACCAATCATAACGGGCAAGTCATGTGCGCTACACGTGACCCGTGACCAGGGGTGTTGCCAGCTCGGACAGTATTCCCTACTTAGTAACGGAAGGAATATTCTACGGGTCCGCATGCATCGAGAATCGAGATATGGCGATGCTTCCCTTATGCTGGGAAAAAGGATCTATTCTCCGAGAATTTTTCGATAGTTCCCTTTAAACCCTGTCAATAACAGCTACCGTTTCCCATAATCTGTAGTTTCAGACGAGCTATGCTGAAAGGATATATGTACTACACATGTGCTCTGTCTGCACCTGTCAAGATTCATTCACAGAGTTCATGCACCCAGGATCCTTCGGCCAAGCGGATGCATACAGCCAGTGGGATTCACAAATTGCTTTGCCCACGTTGGGAGGGCACTTCTCAGCCTGCTAAATTGGAAATCATGCCACTGATCCGTGTCGGTTCCCTACTGCAGACAATTCCTGAGGGATGGAAGTATAGAACCCTGAGATAAAACCTCCGTCCCCGCTAATAAAGACTTGCGGCGGAGTTTCGGGGAAACTGAGCCGCGGATGCGCAAAGTAAGTTACAGGAAAGTTTAAGACTCGAGGGTAACTCCCGACGTGTCCTTATTTCTGCCAATCCGTCCTTGTGCCTTGGAGGGCATCTAGGTAAATAGCAAAGTTTAAAGGTGAAACCCGCGCAACCCGGCAGTCCGGCCGGGGGACCATGTCAACGCACTAGTGCATGCGCCGGTGTGGTTGACGTTTGTTTAATATGTGAAATGCTAACCCTAAATGAGGGGTAAGATAAATATCTCCGGCTACTGTGTGGCAATTTGGGGGCGCTCTTTCAAGTAGGAGTATTGAACCACTGAGTAAACCCCCACCCACATTTGCTTACGGATTCACATTGTACTGTATGTCTGACAAGGCAACGACTTACAATGTTCAATCATACAATACTCGCTTACAGTGGGGCTGCTACGCGATACAGAAAACGTACTCCCAGGCTGTGTGCTCAATTGCTTTCTTTTACTATGAGACCGTCGAGAGAGCCTAAGATGATCCTACTTAGATGTTATTTAATAACTCCTTCCTCCGTAAACCTTGTTAATTAGCGCATGGGGAAAATTGACTAAGAGTTTTTGACATGGAAAGTTAATGTACGAAGTTAGGAGAAGCAGGGTTCAGTGCCAAGGACTCGTAGCGGATTACACGTGGGCCTACGTAGTACCAAGAATCCTAGGGTATGTATGTACGTCTTGATCGTGGTAGATCCAGATATCGGCACTCAATTAAGTTCTGTGGATGTGTGTTCTGTTCTTATTGTCTGATCATCGAAATGGTCCTGTTAGGTCATCCATTGTCATGTGAAAAGAAGAGCCGCGCGGGCTCGTATTTAAGTGTAAGTAAGTATTGTGGATATCATTGCTGCCCACCCAACGCCCTGGTGGACTATATATGTGGGTAGCTGGGAACAACTACTTATTTCTGAAAAGGAAAAAGAAAAAAGAATTAAATACAATATCTGACATACATAAGTATGTAACATTACCCTATCGATGTGGGAAAAAGCAGGGGCCATGGATGTTGTGTTCGGGTAAGTAGTTTCTTGTGCCTTGCAGCGATAACCTATTGTAAAATGGACCAGGGTCAACCGAGGGGAATGGTTCCTTTGACGCGAGGAACCCATCCGAGATTAGTAGGGGATCGTAGATAGATAGCATTAGCTGATCCACAGCCGTTTGAAATCGAAGAAGGTCGGATCATATCATTGCTCCCTTCCCGAGTCTAAAGAAAGACGTGGTTTAATATAAACGACGGTGCGGACAATTGGGCGGCGAGGAATCTAGATCCGCATGCTTGAGAAAGGCGAAGGACCCGGAATGGCTCTGTGCGCGGGTTTGGTACACTGTCCGTGCTTCTACTAAGGCAGTTAGAGGGGCTCTCCTCCTTTTCCCTTTTTCAAAATTTTTATTTTATTTTCATATTTTCCGATTTTCAATTTTTTTTTCCTTTTTTAACTCATTTTACATTCCTTTGGGACCTTGGGTTGTTGCATCTCGACCCCCAAGGGGGCATCATATTAATAATAACACCTCATCAACAATAGTTGATAACTACTTTGACCCAAAAGAAATTACTAAACGACAATGCCAATCATTGATGCCCAGTGTCTACCGTCCTGTATTAATTGTATTCAGTTGGCCTCGTGTTGGTCATTACCATACTATGTAAATTATGATGGTTTATCTATACTCGTATATCTGTATTTATATTTATTTTATAGTATTTCGTATAGGAATGTTGCACAGATAAGGCACCCTGACTTACATATCTCTTGTATTCATGCATGAGGAGTCATATTAAAATCCTTAGTAAGATGTCCTACATACTCAGGACTGGACCTAGTGCTCTTACTGAATTCAGTATACCGTGAGAAAGGTCCATTGTCATGGCAGAGGATATTTAGTTTACTTAGTTAATTTAGGTCAATGAGAAGAAATTAGCCTGCGGGGCAACCGTGAAATTTTTTTAAATTCCTTTTTTCCACCTCTCTCCCCCTCTCTCCCTCTCTTTTTATTCTTTATTATTTATTTATTTTTTTTTCTCTGCCCCTAAACTTCCTTACTAAACCACAAACTAATTTCTTAGATTCATGGGGCGACCATGGTAACAGGTACAATAGTCTTATATATCGTAACGCTAAATCGGCCGTGCTAGTGCGAGCATCTGCCACACTGGAAGCGCTCTCCAAAGCTCCCCACCTTCCGACTCCGAGGCTCGACTAGACTGAAAGTTATACATAGTACGCCCCTCGACTACCTCCTTTTCGCTCCAATAATGTCCAGGAAATTTGGGTCCTGATTGTTTGAACCTTTCCTAACTTATCTCGTCTGCCGACCCGCCCCGTATTTTATTTCACTATTGTGCTTGTTATTTAGTCCTATTTCGCCTTTCTTATACCGTGGAAAAAATTGCTCCAAATTCAAAATACCAAAAAACCTACCCTCCACAAAATATTATTAATAAAAATAAATTAAAATTAGTCCTCAACCAGCAAGTTCAAATCGGCAGTTCTCTCTGGTTTTCCTACCTTCCCGCAACCATCGCAGATCATCATTCTTCTGTGTATGCGTTTTCCCCTTCTGGGTGGCCTTCTTTGTCCGGTTTCCTCCCGGCTCCAGTAGTGAATCATCTACTGGTGTAACTCCTGCCTCCCACATCTCCCCCTCTCTACCTCTCTCATATCACTCTCATCCGGTGTCAACCCAGAGGCTATCTACCGTCCTCGCCCCCTTACCATTATCCGGTCCTCCCCCTACGTCCTCCCCGTTCACACAGACTCCCGTTTCATCATGGGCCTTTTCAAGCGCAAGGATTCCAAAAACTCGATCCAGACCGAAAGGGATGAGCAAGAATCTTTCGTATCAGCCAATAGTGCTCGTACCTCCAATGCCTCGTTGAGATCCCCCGGTTTCAAATCAAGTGGGTTGCCAGCGTCCATCCCGGAAATCTCGATTGCCAAACCGCCCGACCCAGCCTTAGATCCGGCAGCCTACCTGCGAAGCATACATGCGGTCCGAGAACGATCTAAATATGTCCTGGTGAAAGCAAAGAGGAACAAGCTCAATCACTTCGATGTCGATATGAGCAAGTTCGAAGCCACCGCATCCTACATTGTGTCCATCATTAAGGTAAGCGAACCAACCCCTCCAAATCATCAGGTGATATCCCTCAATATAGCTGACTATCTTCATTTCACGTGAAGAGAGATTACGCACCGGACTACGATTCGATCCCTCCTCATGGTCGCTGGCAGCATTTTGATGTTGGCGGCCGACCCCGCATCAATCAGTTACTGCAGTCCTGGCCTAGCACAATCGATGCGCAAGAGCGAACTCGGCGATTGATCGACCTCTTCGTCGTTTCGGTCCTTCTTGACGCTGGTGCGGGGACTAGATGGTCTTACAAATCGAAGGAGTCTGGCAAAGTCTATTCGCGGAGCGAGGGGCTGGCTGTCGCCACGCTAGAGATGTTCAAGAGCGGACTTTTCAGTAGTGACCCTACGGAGCCTTGCCAGGTGGATGGTGCCGGTTTGAAGAAGGTGACGGTGGAAGTGTTGGCCAAGGGTATGCAACATTCAGAGAACAACCACTTGGCGGGTATCGAAGGACGTGCGGGGCTCCTGATTCGCCTTTCGGAAGCATTGAACAATCAGGATTTCTTTGGGGTCGATGCTAGGCCAGGAAATATGCTTGGTAAGGGACAAACTAGCCGTGAGAGTCGCGTGACTAGCTGTTTTGCTAACAAATACCTGGTTCAGACTACCTTCTTTCACATCCCTCGACACAAGCGTCATCGGTGCCGATTGTCCCTATTACAACGCTCTGGACCGTCCTCATGGATGGGTTGACGCCAATCTGGCCCCCTTCCAGAACACAAATTGATGGCTTGTCGATCGGGGATGCTTGGCCGTGCTCGGATCTACCCCAGTCTCCTCCAGCACAGCCTTGGGAAACCATTGTTCCGTTCCACAAACTCACACAGTGGTTGTGCTATTCCATCATGGTCCCAATGTCGAAATTGATGAAGATCCATTTTGCTGGCAGTGATCTACTAACAGGTCTTCCGGAGTACCGCAATGGTGGCCTTCTGATCGATATGGGTCTGTTGACTCTCAAGGAAGAAGATGCCCAACGAGGTATTGCTGCCTATAAAGAGAACGCACAGATCAAAGGTCAACCGAATGTGGAAGTAGTTCCTCTTTTCTCTACAGGCGATGATGTGGTTGTGGAATGGCGAGCTGTCACCGTTGGGTTCTTGGACGAGCTGCTTGTGGCCGTTAATTCTCAATTGGGGTTGGTTGGCGAGGACCAGTTGACCCTTGCACAGATGCTTGAAGCTGGGTCATGGAAGGTAGGTCTTATCCCCAATTTTGTAAGTATATCGCATTTTGGCTGACAGCTTTCTCAGGGTGGCCGTGAGATTGCCGAGGTGTCAAGGCCAAACACCAAAGAGCCACCGATTATGATCCGCTCCGATGGTACCGTTTTTTAATATTTAACACACCCTGTCGATTCGTGATACCAGACTCCGCCAGCTATGTCTATTAATCGGTGGCGGTAGTCCTTACGACTTTTTAATGACCAGATGTTTATGTCTTCAATATTTTTCCCGCTTCCCTCCATCGACTTTTGCGAAAGGAGCTTTACCTTCTTCTGCTGTAGAGCTACTATTTGGGATGATGCTACATTCTTGTACATTTCTTTTTTGGTGGGGTGTCTCTAAAAGTACGGATGACCTTCGGACAGCTACAGATTTGCGTCCTGCCTACAAGTTGAAAACTGACGCCTACGCTTATCTAATATGGCGCGCTACAGTGATACGGCCCCGGTTGTGTGGCCTTGTCATGAATGTCAATACAACCATAATTGACTACTTCAATTCTGAAGGATAATCACATTTGTAGTGTTCTGTGGGTACAGTGGAAGATAGCGCATCAGTCAGTCTACTAGTACGGACAATAGCGTGGTATATTGAAAGTCACTAGGCCGGAACTAGGGGTTCTCATCTATAACCAGACGTCCTATACTGGATCGACAAACCATGCATTGGGCATTAAACCTTCTAGACAGTTGCGCTAGTTACCAGTACACTGGTACACCAATGAGGCGAAACAGTTAAGCTTCACGAGCTCAAAGCCTACACACGATTTAAGGAGCAACAAGAACAAAGAGAGACGTCAAAGAAAGTAAATATAAAAAATCGGTCCATTAAATCCTTATTTCCATGATTAACCTCATACGAGCAAAAAGAAACAGTACAAAGTAGGCAATCAGGAATAATGTGATATGTTCAATGGCTTGGGGTATCTAACACAACAAAGAGCTTTGACGATATTCCGACAATTTTTGCCTCCCCTTCCCTAACCTTCTTTTTTTTGTTTACACCTGGTTTGGCATACGGTCTTTTTTTTTCTTTCTTTATTTACTTCCCGTTGGGGTTTTCTTGGAGAGAACTATGGTTAACCATTTGCATGGGAATTGTTGGCTATTTCACCGTCTGGAGAGTCCGGTGCTGGGAGCGGGAAGCCATCTCCATGACCCATTGCTGCTGCTTTAGAGAATCCCTCCCTGGCTAACATTGTATTTAATACCGCGCAATTATAGGCTGCTTCGCCTGGGGGGACGACGAGGAAGATATATGTGTTATCGGTGAAACGACCCAAGAAGACGTTGAACTGGGGGGTTTTGGTATGCATGACGACAAAACCGGCCGACGCAGGCGTGGTATGAGTATTGCGAGCGGCGCAGTGTTTGAACGCCTTCATGATATTGGAGAGGCGCTCGTGGCGATCGTAGATGGGGTTTAGGTCGCCTACTTCGGAGGCGACGGAGGTGACGGTGAGGAAAGTGGAGCGCTCGAAGAGGATGACCTCCTCTGCATCGATGCGCTTCGCGAAAGCGTGCAGGAAGCGTTCGATGACGGTGAGATTGGGGATGAGGCGGTGGACGATGCCGGCCCAGGCCTTGTACAGCGATTGGTCCCAGATGCTGCTGCCGAAGGTGTCGATGGAGAAGTTTTCGGAGCGGCTGCGGATGAGGGCGGAGCGTTCTTCGTAGATGCGCTGGCGGTGCTCAGCCTGGATGAGGTCGAGCTTGTGGACGAGGCAGAAGACGTAGGCGTTCGGGCTGTACTCTTTCAGGGCGGCGATGATGGCGTTGTATGTGTCGAGGTCACGGTCTACTTCGCGGGATTCGATGTCGAAGACGTAGATTAGCACGGCTACGTCCGAGAAGATGTTCCCTCGTTGTGAGGCCAGATATGTCTCCATGAAAGCGTCTTGGCCTCCGCAGTCCCACAGGTTCAGTGTCAGGTTCCCCATGAACTTGACATGGCTGTGCTCCACGTCAATTGTGGCTCCTAGGCGACGGACATCTTTGGCGACGTAGTTACTGAAGATTATTGATCTCATGGAGGATTTTCCTGAGCCGCTCTTCCCCATTAGGAGAACCTTTCTCTTCTTCTTTCGTACGTCCATGGTTGCTTGTCGTTGGAGTTGTTCCCGGGGGGGGGGTTAAGTAGTACCCCGCAGGATGCGGGTAGTGTTTCTTGCAGTTCAATGGGGGGGACGGGAGCGTTGTGGGATGGATTCGGGCATTGGTTGAGTTCTCTGTTGCGTCAATTGCTGGAAATTGGGCTAAGGCGGTGCTATTATTAAAGGCAATGGTCTAGTGCTGGATGAGCACTTGACCCCAGCCTCATCGTTGCATGATGAGGGTCAACGATGATCCGGCACGTCACGTGCGAATCACGGACCTTTCATTGAGATAATGCGTGCATACATCGTCACGTTTCTTCTACCGAGGATTGGTCACAGTGAACTTTAAATGGTGGTGAACTTGAGTTATGGCTTTTATAAGAGACTAATAAAAATTATTATCCTTAGCTATCAGAATTCTAAATTCGGTACTAGATAGATAATAGTATAGGGTAAATAACTATGCGCCTTGAGCGTATGCGAAACTACATGTATGTATTTTCCCCCAGACTAGTAACTTTCTATATAAATCATTAATGTATAATCGAAGACAAATGCTATGATCCTGAGTGAATTCAACTGATATACATATCAACTAGGTCCCATTCACTGACAGTACTAGATCAGTTATGCCTCAACAGAGCCATCTCTTTACATATGAACCTTACGCTGCAGATCTAACAAGTTGGACAAGCTCGTCTTGCATATCACAGAATATATTGATAGCCTGTATACTGTAAGTTAATATAGGTAATAATAAACCGTCTACTCAGCCCACTAACCTGAGTAAGCTTCTCCTCGCTTGCTCCATGGAGGTCTCTGGTGAATGCAAGACGATACGCCGACTCGTCGTGGATGAACGACAATGGCGACGAAGGGCCTGCCGCAAGGGTGTCAGAGTCGAAAAGTGACTGAATCTGCGGCACAGAATCGGGCTGTGAGAGCTGCTGCAAAAGGTTTGGTGCGATAGTGATATGATGTACACCAGCCATAGCGAAAATCTCATCTGTTGAGGTCAAACTGGCCGGCAAAACCTGTGTCTTAGCATTGACAGATTCATAGTACTTCTGGATGGCAACACAGAGAGGCAGCAGCTTGTCCAGGTCCGTGAAGCTGAGCGACAACGTCAGTGGCGTTTCTTTTGGGACGCTTACGAATGGCTTCTGAGGCGTCTAACTCACCCCGGCTCGAAATGAACTTTTAGCTGATTGACATATGGTGCAATATAAGTACAGCCAACTTCCGCAGCAAGCACGGCCTGAGTCAAGGTAAAGAGGGTGGTAGCGAGCGTGTGTACTCCGGCTTGTTCGAGAGTCCGACAGGCTACCATACCCTCCCATGTACTTGGTATTTTGATGCAAATGCGTGACTGCTCGAAGCCAGGCTGTAAATATTGGAAAAGTTGAATGATTCCTGGTAGAGATCAAGTGCCAGTTGATTAGAAAGGGTATGATGTTGCAAGGGATAGACAACATCTTACTGAGGGCATTGACAGTAGTCTTCTCGACCGAGTAAGAATAGTATGGGTTTGTCTGGATATGGACATGGCCACGGATATGGGGAGCAATCCGCAATGCCAGCTTCACCATCTATATCCGGGTCATTAGCCCTACTGGGGTCTCATAGCTAGTTTGACGAGGAGACGAAATACCGCTATCTCTATAGCCAATTCCTCCAAGGAGAGGCCCGGAAACCGAGATAGAATATTCTTAGCCTCCGAAATAGATGTAACGACCAGTTCCTTGTGTTCAGGTTTGGAGAGTTCTCCGAATGCGATCGCTTGATTAGAAGTACAGTCTTGAAATGGTCCTAAAGTTTTGGCAACTACAGCGCTGTCAATACCAAGCCTAACGGGTGCCACCGAGTAAATTCTAGAGTATTAGTATGTGGAGCGAATACCTTCTTCGTCCATAGTATCGCAGTCAACAATGGTCCTCGTACGGAGAACGTCCAAGCCCGTTTGAGCAGTCATGTTGATAGATAGTATGATCTACACAGAAAATAGTTGCGGGAGATTCAGGTGAGGGATAGAAGGCTTGACTGACTGAATGGAAGGATTATGAAGAGGGACGAGATGAGCTAGAAGTGACATGAGTTGGCATCTCACCCAACAATGAAAGCTTGATAACCCCAATTCCCCTCATTCTTCTCCTCCACATCTCCTGTTAATTAGCCTAATACTGGACGTCACCCGGGTAGTACGGAGTAAATAAGCCGTCATTCGGTCCAACTTCTCCCGGCATTTATCAAGTAGATTCGGAGTCTAGACCTTTATAGTCAGTCTTAAGACTTCAGACACAAGCGTCCAAAATGCACCTCCGACTGTGTTTGGTATAAGAGCCAAAATAAGAATTTGAGACCGGGAGCACACTACTAGTAGCATAAAAATGATCCTTGTCCAATTGCTGCGCAAGGCTCGTCCGGGTAAAAGCATAGAATGGTGTGCAACAGGATTCCCCGACACTTTACTAGTACTGCTTGCCCTTCCTGTATAATTACTCTCCGTAAAAATTGATTATACGTATAGGATGATATGATATGTAACCCTGATATGAAACCCTTCCATCTCATAGCAAAGAGAAGAATGGGCGATTAACGACGGGACTGAACTCCTTCTCAGGATCTCTTAAACCTCGGCGGTCGCGACAGAAAGCCGAAACCAGTGAGGCCTTGCTTAGCACGTCAACATCATCCCAGTAATAATGTGGTAGACAACGTGGGCTGAGACCCTTGAGAGAAGGAAAGAAGAAAAGGAGAAAAAAACACACAAAGTAGAGAATACCCGAAATCAGTAAGCGGGGTGGAATGGAAGAAGAATCTTCCGGATGGTAATCAAACACTCCTGATTCGCTGAGTCCCGTGACTGGAACCTAGCCCGAGGTTGTCCGTCCCGTGATTCCGAAGCATTACGAGTGTCGGGAATTCGAGGTCTTTCTTCGTGGACGACGACGACGGCTACTTGCTGGCAATATCAAGCTCTACACCGTCGAACTTGTGTCATTATATTCACCATGCTTTCTCAGAAGGTTGCTCAGCAATCGCTGCGGCGACGTATGTACTCCCTTTGGTTACAGTAATGTCAAATTGAGCTCACTAATTCGTTGCAGTTGCCGTCCAGCAGCCCTATGCAATGCGCTGGTCGTTGATGAACTCCGCATCCCCCGCGGCTGTCGCTATGGGACGGTTTATGCAGACCCGGTGAGTGGTTGCTTTTTTCTTTGGTTGTTTTTTGCGACAGTGTCTGCTTTGGGGGGTCATTGATTGCTACGTCATGGGGGGCTCCCATTTCAACCCGCAGGATAACCAGCCATATCTACAGCGATCAATGGCATATTGGTGCTAACTTTAATACTCAGGCAAACTGCCTCTACCTCGAACACCTCTGATCCCACCAAAATCCTTGCGCAGCAGCGTCTGAACCGCCCTGTTTCTCCTCATCTTTCCATCTACCGCCCCCAGATCACTTGGATCGGTAGTAGTTTGCACCGTATCTCCGGAGTCGCCCTGTCCGGTTCCCTGTATCTTTACGCGACCGCATACCTTGCCTCGCCATTGCTCGGTTGGCATTTGGAGTCTGCCTCCGTGGCTGCTGCTTTCGCTGCTCTTCCTATTGTTGCCAAGGTTCTCCTCAAGACCACCTTGGCGCTCCCCTTCACCTACCACTGCATGAACGGAGTGCGTCACTTGGTTTGGGATCTTGGTAGGGGAATTACCAACCAGCAGGTCATCAAGTCTGGCTGGACTGTGGTGGGCCTGAGCATCTTCAGCGCCCTTGCGCTTGCTTTTCTGTGATTTTCTTGTGCCATACCTTTTAAGCTGACCTTGTTTCGCTAAAACTGTTTTCTTGTGCATTATATCTTATACCAGCCTCAATCCAGGCTGATTCTTGAATCTTATGATCATCTTTTTAGACCTCCAGGTTCAGAGAACCGTTGTTGGGCTTGAAGACGTAGAAAATCTAAACATTGCGGGCATGAAAGGGTGAAAAGTAGAAGGATGAGGTGAAGAAAAAGAAAAAGAAAGAATTCTAGAAGACTTAATGAAGTATTGGCACTAATGGATTTCTCTTGCTAAGCATCTCTGAATGAGCCTCACATTCGATCGCGACGCATCCAACATTATTAATCTAGAGAAACCCTTAATTGAAATGTGAGTTTGTATTTGTTAAGCTCTATTAACCCCTTCTTCCCTTTCTTTTTTGTGATATTAGAACTAGGTTCTTCTTTAGATAGCAGTTAACAATGTTCCAATGCAAGCCAACTGATCACACACCCTATAACTTTGTTTGTGCGCAGAGACGCATATCCACTCTTTCGCCAGGACCCCTATGCTATACCATTGCTGTACAGGTGCCCCCCAAATCGCTTCTATATTCTATAGCCCCAACGTCAGCATTTCTATGCTTTTCATGGTGGACAACGGTGCAAGCCGTTTCAAAACACGACTCAAGCATGGAAGAAATGTCTTATACAACTCTCACCCACTATGCAAATCTGGCCTTCAAACAGGTCCCCTCCCCAAACAAAAATTCGAATTAAGCAGGGCTCGGTGGCGGATTAGGTGGATATGGTGGTGGTGAAGGCGGGTCTTGCACAGAGAAATCACTCATTGAGATATTGGTAATACTACTGAGATGATGTTGTTTCGATAGCTCATTTTCCAAATAGGTGCTAGATACGGTGGCGTCCATGTCACGATAGGCCACCTCGTTTGGACTAATCGATGTTCTCAGCAAAAGCTTGCAACGATTCAACTTGTCTGAAGTTAGTCGAGAGGTATGATACAATAAGGAGGGTCACTTGTACTTCGAAAACTCAATGGATCTTCGATTTTCTCCCAAGATATCTATTTAAGTAAGTCTTCAAATCCTCCGACGCTAGATTTAATGAGCTGTAAACGAAGGTGTCTGAATTGCCAGGCTAACACTCTTCGACTAATAGCCCAGCTCTTCAGGCCAATCTCCGACTGGCGGCTTTCACTCTTACCAAGTGTACACCGCCATCCTGCTCTAAACACCCGATCAAGGAAATGGCCGCGTGGATCTGACACTCCTGGCACTCTAAAAATGGTTATTGCAAATGGATTCAGATCTAGAAGGCCGCGTTTTTGGCTCTCCCTGCAAGGGCCCGGCGGAAGGTCGATGTATAAGGCGTTGGACGGCGTACAGAGTACCCATAACCTCCGGTCATTCCTACACGCTGGCTCTTGTCACGGCAAACTAAAGCCAAGCATATGCAAGCGGATTTGCACAGTCTGGAAACAGGCCGTTGCTTCGGCTACCTTGACTACCCGACGCTGCATGCCCCGTCATGGTTGGTGATACCTGGAGAGCAAATGCGAGATTCATGACCTCCGGTGTGCTCCTTTGGTCAATCATTTGATGGTCTCGTTCAGTAAAGCAGCCAACCGGAGCTGCTTGCCACGAATATTGATGGAGGAAGGCCCAAAGAAGTAAAGAAATCCTTTTCTCCTGACCCTGTTGGTAACCCCAATAAAGTCATGCAAGCCACGACTACTATTCATTTCGATGAACTCCAGAGCGTTTGACAGCGTCGGTATACAGCCTAACTAAATTTCTAGCCAACGTTCTAAAACTCCTGGTTGAAGCAAACAGTGAAGACACAAGACATTGACACTGCCAATAAAAAAAATTTGAACTCTTTGGGTCCCGAATACAGTACAAAGGATTTCGTGAACCGAATGCTTAACAGTAACTATACACTCTCATCAGGCTGTCTTAGGCGTCATCGGTATTTACTCGTCTTTTTGCTGATCTAGGTTTCTGCTTTTTGTGAGTCCTGGTGGTCACTTGAGAGGCTAGGCTTAGGACCCCTAGCGACTATGTCCTAAAATGCAGTCGAGGAAAGCAAACAACAGAGAAGCCTACGAGCGAGTATGGAAACAAGCCCTCAAGCAACACTGGCCCCATAATATGAAAGGACCCCACGATATGCAAACACGTGGACGATTTTCCAGGTTGTCCTTGTGACACAAAATTTAGGAAAGACATATAATTATCCAATTGGATTACACGTCTTAAGGTCTGGGACGCCTATCATCACTTACACTCGTAGAAACCGTAGGAGCCGAGTATCTTCCGCGGCAAGCGCTAGCACACTCTCCACACCGGTATTTTGACAACATCATAATCCATTGTCGATAACCGAAAAACCATCGATGCGTTGTACCTTTATCCCGGGACCACTCGGACTACAGTGCATTGTCTATGTACTGCATCAGCGGGGCGATGGTTGGAATATTGTTACTGCTCTGGAGTAATAGGCCGTTAATAGGCGCCCTCGCCTGGTAAATTTCAGGGCCTGAGCGACAGATTCCGCAAGGGATGTTTTATGGCAGGGAGTCATGGATCGCTTGCTGTTTTGGGCTTGCCATTCACTTTTTATCTAGTATTCCCGGCCTCCTTCAATGCCTTTGTCAGTCTCTTCCAACTCAGCAAGCGGGTCAGATCCTCGGGACCCTCAACACTTTCGACGGCTCCTAAACAAGTTGTGTTAGTCAAAGTAACCTATTTCAACGGGTGTGGTATCGGCCATGGGTAGCTGACTCCGTGTCACCCTGGTATATCTAGGCTTGGAGCGTACACCGAATGCTTACCGCCAATTATGTTGACACGGAGATGATCATCAGTTTTGACAGACAGCAAATGAATCATCTATGCGCTCGACGGCAACAGCAGCATCATTTACATCTAGCCTCTCCGTTTCCGGACTGCTACTGGTCGGTTCCAAGAAAAAAGAAGAAGCCTCACTAGGCCCTATAAAGTGAGGCTGAACGGTGGACTGTTTTTATACTGATCCTTGAATTTGTTGGCGGGCTGTAAAATTCTAAATGTCTTACAAACGGGTAAAACACATTCAGGAGGTGGCTACCAAGTCAATGTCATTGTCCAAGCGTTCTGTGGAACGCATCAGTAGTGGTCCATGCCTATGCGCACGCGGCTTGAATGAAGCCAGCAGTTAGGTCTAGATGGAAGGGGAAGCACACTAACGTTTATTTTGTGTAAGTCGACTCTTTTGGGTCTAATCAGCGTATGTAGGGAGAGTTACCCCAGGTTTCCTCCCAGCTCAACCTAAAGTTCCTGTACTGGAGTATTGTTGTGGGTAAGCCACCTGAAGCAACGGTGGGAATACGGAACGACAGTAGCAATACTCTTTCTTAGCCTCACTCCCATCTGTCGAAATGTATAAACAAGATGGACTTGCTGTTGCAGACATGTACATAGGAAATACACTAGCTTGTATTATGACTAGCTGTTAGGTTGTTTGCTGATTTCAACGGCGTGCCCACTTGGTCACCCAATTGCTTTGAGCAGAGCTCTCCATTCCTAGACCAAGCCCAGAAGGAAGAAGTAGTAGTAATAGTAGAAAGGTGCTACCAGGCTAGGAGATGTTTCGTCAAAGAAGAAATAGGATTCGCTGTCCGTAAGGGGAGTACATGAGTATATGGCCGGCCCGCGCTATCCCAATCGGGACTAGCGCCGCATCTCCGAAATCTTTCCCATCGCTCGATTTCCATCGCGGCCGCTGTGAAAAGCCAGGACAGGTGGACTGCCTCAGTTTCTCCCACACTCGCGCATTTCAGCCCCTTGATCCACGCAATGGCTTCGATGCTACCAACTCGGGCGGCCAGGACCATCGCCTGTTCCGCATGCCGTACCTTCACCACCCCCGGCACAATTGGATCCGCCTCTCTCCTCCGACGTGGTTTGTCGACATCAACGGAGGAGACGCCGGTCGAGTACGCAGACAAGCCTCGCTGGTCTTATACCCCGCCCCGTGCGAAGGCTCCCTTCAGCCTGCGATTGAACAGCAAGAGCCATGATTTCTCGGTCAACACCGATCCGGACGTTCTGGACCAATTCTACATCCGCATGCTGGGTAGTGGCGGCGACAAGCTCCTTTCGGACGAAGTCAAGTGGCTTGCTGTGACGCACAAGAGTTTTGACCAGGGTCGGAGAGGGTTCAATGATCGCCTGGCTTTCTTAGGTGTGTAGGAATCTGAGGCTGCAGTTTCCCCGATCATCCAGACACAGAGGGCTAACCTGCAATTGCACTTTTAGGAAAGCGGATTATTGAGTTACAGGCTTCGCTGGCCTTGGTGCAGAGCCCTGGAAATGCGGCCACCACTGCCACCCCCGATGCTTTTGATCGTCAGCCCTTCACGCATCCGGCGCTGGATAACTTGAACAACCTCTCCCCTGAAACTAAGAACCTCATGACGAGCAAGTCGAAGCTTGCGGAGCTTGCGCAGAAGTACGAGTTGGCGAAGGTCGTGAGATGGAGACCTCGGAAGGTGAGATAGTCTAGTCTTTGTCTTGACTTTCTTTCATCTATGATCCTGCACCATGCCCGCTGCGAGTGACTTGATAATCCCCTACTGACATCTATGCACAGCCCAACAATCTTGAGAGCTCCGGAATCGACCTTGTCTATGCCCATACGATGTATGCAGTTATCGGTGCTATTTCTCTGGAGAAGGGCGGTCACATTGCCAACAAGATGGCCCGCGAGCGGATATTAGAACCCTTGGGCTTCAAGGTAACGGCTTAAGTCGGAATTTCTTCGTTGGGAAATGGCCGCAGGAGCATTTCGAGGCGTTATCTCCTTTTCGCTTTCTTGTCTTTTTTATATCTGTATGTGTTGGGGGTTCTGGTCATCCACCATATATGTACTTTTACTACGACCATGTCTTATATTGATTGATATTCGAATACCAATCCCTTTGAACGTCAGAAGCCAAAGACCAGACTTTTACGAGATTTTAAATTATTTTATGATAATGATAGGAATGTCCGGTTCCTCTGACACCGCCCGAGTAACAGAGTAAAATACGCGGCCAGCTCTTATGGAACCCTCTTTACGATGCATAGTCTTCGCGCCACTGTATCGCAAGTCAGCAATGAAACACTAGGACTATCGCACAGAATGTACGATAATCCCAGAAATCACAGTATGTAATTTGTGCTGCCTTGTACTGTCTATTGGGTGCGTTGGTACAAAAGAAGAAAAGAAAAAGATCAGAGGGAAAAATTCGCGGAAGAAATACTCTAGTGCGCAAGGGACACTAGTCGGGAATAGGTACAAAGTGGACCTTGTCCGGTGTCTCGCCGCTATATGCACGCACTTTGATACTCCTAAGCAATATAAAGCGGCGTGTAGATATCGTCTGTTCTAGTATAGCTTCAAGTTACCCTACTGCAGGTAGCATGAAGGTGATATATGATGAATAATAAGGCCCTTGATTGCCAATCCTTGTTTCCTACCCTTAAAACAGTCCGTAATCATCACTAGGCCACCTATCTTTGCGAGGGGAAGAGGAACTTGATTAGGTACAGAAAGGAGGCCGAGGCAGGCGGTCAGTAGGGCGGGTGCTTTATTGCTGGCAGTGCTTTCTATGTTAGTCAAACCGAACTGAACGTGTATTGTATGTACAGATGGACAGTACATAGAAGCTCATCTTCGCAAAACACTGACAAGTATTTTCAATCTAGTGCTCCATTCCTCTTCCTGTTAGTCTCTCCCTTAGTAGCCCATGGTCTATCCTTGTTTTTGTTGTTTGTTGCCAGATGATGCTGATTCTCAGCTAAATTATTCCATCAGAATGTCCGGTTAGTGTTTCGTTGGCCTCTTACCGTTGGACTTTAGCCAGGAGTCTCCCGCGATTCTTTGCTGCCCTATTGACACTCACTCTTACCTTCACGACGCCCACACGACCTATAAGCCTCCGCGATGGCGTCGGCTATCTTCTTTCTAGACTTGAAGGGCAAGGTACATGACTCCCTGACCATATCTCATTTCAATGACCGCCATGCCCACCATACGTTCGGGCGCTGACCGTCAAGTAGACCCTTCTAGCCCGAAACTACCGCGGAGACATCCCCATGTCCGCCGTCGAGAAATTTCCTATCCTCCTCAGTGACGCCGAAGAAGAAAGCTCCGCCGTACCTCCGTGCTTTTCTCATGAAGGTATCAATGTATGTTCTGTCCGCACTCGCATCGCCTTACGCACCTGTTCCTACCCGTCCCCGCAGCCCGCTTTATCTATCCCCTATAATTACCCGCCTCTACCGACTGCGACTGTTTCTTCTGGGAACCGCCGACCATTGAACTGTCTTCAACGGTTTGCTAATGCGCCATGGCCTGTATAGTATCTCTATATCCGTCACAGCAACCTTTACATCCTCGCGTTGACAAAGAAAAACACCAATGCCACCGAAATTCTACTCTTCCTCCACAAAGTTGTGGAGGTTTTCACGGAATATTTCAAGGTCTTGGAAGAAGAAAGTATTCGTGACAACTTTGTCATCATCTATGAATTGCTGGATGAGATGATGGACTTTGGATACCCGCAAACTACAGAAAGCAAGATATTGCAAGAGTAAGACAACGATTGTAATAAGACCGGGGCTGAAGGCAATGTTACTCATCTCGTATTAGGTACATTACGCAAGAGTCGCATAAGCTTGAAGTCCAAGCGCGGCCCCCTATCGCCGTCACCAATGCGGTCTCCTGGCGAAGCGAAGGTATTCGCTACCGGAAGAACGAGGTCTTCCTTGATGTTGTCGAATCTCTGAATCTGCTGGTCTCTGCGTCTGGAAATGTCCTGCGATCTGAGATTCTGGGCGCTATCAAGATGAAGTGCTATCTGAGTGGAATGCCAGAGCTTCGCCTGGGTCTTAATGACAAGGTTATGTTCGAAACAACGGGCCGCGCCACAAGAGGCAAATCAGTTGAGATGGAGGATGTCAAATTCCACCAGTGTGTTCGACTTTCGAGATTTGAGAACGACCGAACAATCAGTTTTATCCCTCCAGATGGCGAGTTTGAGCTTATGAGCTACCGTCTCAATACACAAGTGAAGCCCCTTATCTGGGTTGAATGTCTGGTAGAGTCGCATTCGGGCTCGCGCATGGAGTATATGTTGAAGGTAGGCGACTCGATCGCAAACAAAGGTGCTCAAGCTCAAGCTGATTTTTCTGTCTGCCATAGGCCAAAGCACAGTTCAAGCGCCGTAGCACGGCTAATAACGTAGAAATCCTTGTCCCCGTACCGGAAGACGCAGATTCGCCGCGCTTCCGCACCAACATCGGAACCGTTCACTATGCGCCAGAGAAGTCTGCTATTATCTGGAAGATCAAGCAGTTCGGTGGTGGAAAGGAGTTCCTTATGCGCGCCGAGCTTGGCCTCCCTTCCGTCAAGGGAGATGATGAGCACGGAGGTGGTATGACTGGAGGCTTCGGAGGTAGCATGGGCGGCACTGGAGGAGGCAAAGCCAAACGGCCCATTAACGTCAAATTTGAAATTCCTTACTTCACTACGAGTGGTATCCAAGTACGGTACTTGAAGATCACTGAACCTAAGGTATGTTTCTTTGCTACCCTTCTTGCATATCAGCGACGAGTCAGAGACTAATGGTCATGTCACAGCTCCAATACCCCTCCCTACCCTGGGTCCGATATATCACGCAGTCAGGCGACATTGCGGTCCGTATGCCAGATGTACAATGATTTAAAGCGTTTAATAGTGTCAATAGATATTTTCTTTCTCTTCCCTTTCTCTTTTCCTAATATTTAGCTTTGCATCACAAGTATGCCCTAGGCTCCCGGTCCAAAATAGCTGTACTTATTTAAACCATCTAATAGGCTCTCCATAGGTAAGTGCATAGGACCAATACCTGGTACTATGTATGTAGGATATTCCAAACCCTTGCCTTGAGTTAATATCTATCGTGCAAGCACCCTGCTAAAACCTTATCAATTGCTCCAATCACAAACCACAAATATCATTCCATCAACTTGGAACCACCACATAATCCACCTCAACGATACTATACAACGATACAATGCCCAAACTAAGCCCATATCAGTCAAGCGAACTGTACCATACTCCGGAGTCTGAGTAATCCAGAAAACCGGAACATTTGCTCTTGGCTTATGTAGTAAAAGTCCATAAATCTAAATATAGAAGACAGGTGCTTTGGTCTAGTGGTAGGACGTCACGTTGTGGCCGTGCCAGCCCCGGTTCGATTCCGGGAAGCACCACGTATCTTTTTGAAATTTTTTGTTCTTTCCTTCTATGAAGATATATAGTCTTCCCAACTCCGTGAAGTATAGAGTAACGAGCTGACTAGATAATTAGGCCTTTCACCGCTTAACCTGGCTTCGACTTTTGCGAGACTACCAGGTGTACAACTGGGGTTCAATTTGTTCTTAGGGGCTGCTTTACTTGTCAGATGACTAAGCGGGAATTATCAATTCCTTATTCCATTTTATTTTTTCTCAGGTTTATTGATCTAAGTTCAAGAAAATGCGTACGTCATAAAGATAGCTAAGAATTTGAAACGTTGGTCAGCCCGGTATATGGTTATTTATCTTGGCGGATGGAGGGGTCTACGTAATGGAGTGATGGTTGATTGAAGCCAAGATTTGCTTGTTCTTATGTGCCTGGATTTAGGTTGTTTCTTATTTGAAGAAGTTTGAGGCAGGGAGCAAAATGAGACAGTATTAGGAATAAAAGAAAGGAAGGAAAACAATAAGGATATACGGAAACAGTAAAAAAGTAAAAAAAATAAAAAAAAGTTGGGTGATCCTGGTTTCGGATATCAGTTTTCATAGATTGATTGATAAGATCGATGACCGACAACGGAAAGAAATCAACCTGTCGGTCAGCGTGAACAGTATTGACCATTAGGAAGGGACATAAGTCTCGTTTCACCTTGGGTACCTTGAGAGGAGATCCTGAACTGACAATGTGAGAGAAATGATTGGTCTTAAATTCTGGGTATAAAATTCAACCAAGTCAAAGGGGCAAGAATTGTAATAGAGCCCCAACCATAGGGGCCAGTGGAGCAAAGTTCGGAGGCGGAGAGTCGTCACTCGTCAGCACATATCGGGACTACATCTGCCGGACCGGATTACATATTGTGTTGTTGAAGCACACGACAGAATGCGAACAGTCAGAACTTACTCAATTCCCTGGATTTCTCTCACTTGGGCCACACTATGGGCGTTCACAGCCGCCACACAAAAGAACACAGTGTCCTGACCTCAGTCTTTGTTTATCTGCGCTATTAAACTGCCACTATTAACAATTAGCACTGAATTGGACTTACGTACCCGGCCTGATGCCGCTGACGCACCCCCTGCGGTGGAGGGCCCATCCAACATCAACGCCCGGATCCCCATCCCTCCTTCGCGGTTCCATCGGTAGGTTTCGAGTTGGGCGCGCCAGCTTCGTTCTATCTTGTCGTCCTCAGCTGCGTGTGCTGCGCACGTCGGCCACTTCGTTTTCTCTGCGCCATAAGAACTCCGCTAGATCCCTCATCCCTTTTAGCTCCGTCAATACTTCCCCCGTTCCGCTCCCTTTATTAAAAACCACCACCACCACCACTACTACAACGAAGGCACCTCTGCATCTGATGGCGACACAAACTAGAAGCCATGGTGGTCACCACCATCACCACCACCATCATCATCACGGTAACGTGTATCTGACCTCCACAAACAAACATGATGCGGGAGTTCGGATCACGCGGATCGGCCTGGTCGCCAACCTCGCCATGGCAATTGGAAAATTTATCGGAGGCTACGTCTTCCATTCACAGGCCCTGATCGCCGACGCCTACCACGCACTTACAGATCTAGTCTCGGACTTCCTCACGCTGGGTACGGTCGCTTGGTCGCTCAAACCCCCTTCCGAAAGGTTCCCGAACGGCTATGGAAAGATTGAGAGCATTGGCGCACTAGGCGTGAGCGGGTTATTACTCTGTGGAGGCGTGTTTATGGGCCTGAACTCCGGTCAGGTTCTGTTAGATCAATTCTACCCCGAGGCAGCAGGCGCAATCTCTCACTTGGGACACGGCCATTCACATAGCCACGGAATCGACGTTCTTGGCCCGAGTATCCACGCGGCATGGTTAGCTGCCGGGTCGATAGTGGTGAAGGAATGGCTCTATCATGCGAGTGAGTACCTTGGGGGCTTGTCAATTACGCTTCTGCGAGCGCTAACAGTTATCGTGTAATGTGACAGCCATGAAAGTCGCCAATGAGCGCAAGTCGTCCGTCCTGGCTTCGAACGCAATTCACCACCGCATTGATTCCCTGACCAGCATCGTCGCTCTGTTTACCATTGGCGGTACTTACCTATTCCAAGATGCCTCCTGGCTGGACCCCGTGGGTGGCCTCTTGATCTCGTTGATGGTCATCAAAGCTGGATGGGGAAATACCTGCTCGTCGCTTCTGGAGCTGGCCGATACTACCGTGGACGATGACATCAAGGAATCGGTGCAGAAGGCTGCTTTCAAGGCGCTTGCGAACTTGAAGGACAGCAACGCGATCAAGATCCGCGACATTCAGGGCATGAAGTCCGGCCAGAATTATCTAATGGATATCGAATTGGCGGTGCCGGGCGCATGGCCCATCAGTCGGTCTCGGGAGATTGAGGAACTTGTCCGAACAGGAATCGGAGCAGGTGTCCGCGGCGTTAAGCGAGTCAAAGTGCGATTCATTCCCCTTGAGCACGAAGAATTGAACTTCTCCGAAGAGTTCATCCCTGCCGAAGTCACATCCAAAGCGAACCCGGAACCGGAGGATGGAGATGCGGAGGCGCACGAGCATGAGCACGAACACGAGCATGAGCATGATGTTCGCAAGAGGCGTTAAAGAGGCATTTTTGTTTTTGGTTTCCCTTTCTTTTGCTTATTTAGCTTTGTATCGAGCCTATTGGAGCTCTTAATTGTGCGATTGCATTGTTCGTGTCCCATTTTGCCTCGAAGGATCATGTGATACCCCAAGAATACACCGGCTGGAGGGAACTTGGTTCGGTTCATGTCTTGCTTTTGCTGTTGGTGACAGTTGGATCATGCGAAAGACGAGAATCGCTGAAGAAACACGAAGACACTAGAGAAGGGTCAGCTATGGCTGACAACCTATGTATGTACATATGTACACTGGCTGCATAGAATCAACAGACGTACTGCGGACACGATCTCTCATAGTTCTAGAAACGTACCCTCCAGTTTTCTCACGGCCAGCTAGTGGAATGAGCGCCCTGTCTCGGTTTCTTTCCCCGATTCATCCTACATGTATTAGATCGTATCCAGGGTACTCGGATAGAATACGATTGGATGACAGTCCATGTGACTAACGAGGTACAAAATACTGGGAGGCGATTTGTGATTATTTCGTCTTTATATCACTCTTGACAATCCTGTAACCCTAACGTTCTTGCTTCCTTATTCCTGTGGTGTATACTCGACCTATCATCAACTCATATGTTTACCCCATTATCATCCCATCTTTGCTGCAACAGAATCTGTGACGTGGACCAGATCATGTGCCTCTATTTATACATCCTTGATAGACTATTCATTCTACTTGTAGACCGACTTTACAACTCTTGTGTAACAGACATATATATAATAATTGGAATACACAACAGAAGAGAGAGAGAAAGACGGTAATACTTTTTCTCTTTAAAACTCCTTCAAAACATCCGACCTAGTCAGAGTCAGAAATCCTCCGTTGTTCATGAGGTATACGATCCATGTCCGCGTGAACCAGGATCAAAGCGTTCTAGACTTTTCTATCTTGGCGAGGATTATATAAATAAGAAAAAAAGAGAAGGAAAATACCCTGTCTGGTGTGGAAGATCCGGATTTTAACAGAGCCCTGGTCACTTGTTCGTCGGGTAAATTGGGTAAATCCCCGGTGGTGGTGGGTCTAGACTTGTATCATTTCCTTAGAAAAACAAAAAAAGATACTTGAATTTATCCTAGTTGAACATCACCATATTTGCAATTGCAGTTCAATTTTGGCAGTACTCGGGACCGTGAAAGATTGAGCGGATAAGGCAAACTTGGGGTAATTTTACCACTGTAATTCCGGTGTCCAATGCTCCGAAGTAGTACTTACTGTACTGAGTATCTGGAGAAGGGATCCATAAATTGCGGGTTGAATGGAGTGGAATGTTATACGATTTAAAGAAACCTCCCCAATTGAAATATTGAAATGCCCCAACTTTTCTGCTTTCAGTGGAACTTTATTTAAGATCTTCTCTTCTCCTTTCTGTTCTCCCGGCGTGCTTTGTTTATTTATTCTCTCTCTCTCTCTCTCTCTCTCTCTTCATCTTGTTCTTTATCGGCGTGACTCCTGATCGACGTCATCTGCACTAACCACTACTGTTTCTCACCGTCAATTCAGTTCATACTTGAACTACTGCAAAACACCCCACCATCCAATTGATTGGAATTGAATTGAATCACAGGACAGAACGATAGACAAGAAAAGATACTTCACAACCTGTGCTACAATGCAAGGCCCTTTATACATCGGCTTCGACCTGTCCACCCAACAACTCAAAGGTCTAGTCGTCAATTCCGAGCTGAAAGTCGTCCACATCGCCAAATTCGACTTCGATGCCGACTCCCACGGCTTCCCCATCAAAAAGGGTGTCATCACAAATGAAGCCGAGCACGAAGTCTACGCCCCAGTGGCATTGTGGCTGCAGGCCCTCGACAGCGTCCTGGAGAGCCTGAAGAAGCAGGGCCTGGATTTCGCCCGCGTGAAGGGCATCAGCGGTGCCGGACAACAGCACGGAAGTGTTTACTGGGGACAGGATGCGGAGCAGTTGCTCAACGGATTGGACTCCGGAAAGACCCTGGAGAGCCAACTGAGCGGAGCCTTTTCTCACCCGTACAGCCCCAACTGGCAGGATTCCAGCACACAGAAGGAATGCGATGAGTTCGATGCCTTCCTAGGCGGCGCAGACAAGCTGGCCAATGCTACGGGCAGCAAGGCGCATCACGTAAGACTCTCTCTATTATATCCCCTATTCTCCATCAAAATATTCAGAACCATACTAACGACCAATCCCCCCAGAGATTTACCGGGCCCCAAATCCTCCGCTTCCAGCGCAAATATCCAGAAGTATACCAAAACACCTCCCGAATCTCCCTCGTCTCCTCGTTCCTCGCCTCCCTCTTCCTAGGCCGCATCGCCCCCCTCGATATCTCCGACGTCTGCGGCATGAACCTCTGGAATATCAAACAAGGCACCTACGACGAGGAACTCCTCACCCTCTGCGCCGGCCCCTCCGGCACCGCCGACCTGAAGCACAAACTCGGCGCCGTCCCCGAAGACGGCGGCATAAACCTCGGCCGCATCAACCGCTACTACATCGACCGCTACGGCTTCAGCCCAGACTGCACCATCATCCCCGCCACAGGCGACAACCCGGCCACCATCCTAGCCCTCCCCCTCCGCCCCTCCGATGCAATGGTCTCCCTCGGCACCTCCACCACCTTCCTCATGTCCACCCCGAGCTACAAGCCTGACCCAGCCACCCACTTCTTCAACCACCCCACCACACCCAGCCTATACATGTTCATGCTCTGCTACAAGAACGGCGGGCTCGCCCGCGAACACGTCCGCGATGCCATCAACGCCCACCTCGGCCAACCCAACGATGACCCCTGGACCCACTTCGACAAAGCCGCTCTCGAAACAAACCCCCTGGGCCAAAAGAACGCCTCCGACCCCATGAAAATGGGTCTCTTCTTCCCCCGTCCGGAGATCGTGCCCAATATCCGGGCCGGGCAGTGGCGCTTCGACTATAACCCCGTCGATGGGCGTCTGCACGAGACGCAGGGCGGATGGGACTCGCCTGTTGACGAGGCGCGGGCTATCGTCGAGAGCCAGTTGCTTTCATTGCGGCTTCGCTCGCGCGGGTTGACGACTAGCCCCGGGGAGGGTGTTCCTGCGCAGCCGCGGCGTGTGTATCTCGTCGGCGGTGGGTCGAAGAATAAGGCCATTGCGAAAGTGGCGGGGGAGATTCTAGGTGGGAGTGACGGGGTGTATAAGTTGGAGATTGGGGATAATGCTTGTGCGTTGGGGGCGGCGTATAAGGCTGTGTGGGCGTTGGAGAGGGGAGATGGGCAAACATTTGAGGATTTGATTGGGCAGCGGTGGAGGGAGGAGGATTTTATTGAGAAGATTGCGGATGGGTATCAGAAGGGGGTGTTTGAGCGGTATGGGGAGGCGGTGGATGGGTTTGAGAAGATGGAGATGCAGGTTTTGAAGCAGGAGGGGGAGAAGAGGTGAATTTTATATTATTCGGGTGGTTATATATATATAGAGAGAGAGATGAAGTGACGGTCTGTTTACGATATGATGTGAGGATATATATTACCTATTAATGGCCTTGATGTGCTGTCTCTTTTTTTTGGGTTGTTGGAAATGAATTGGCTAGAACGTTATATAGCTATGCTTGTGATGAGAAAATCAAATGATGTGAGATCTAATAATGATTTATGTATTCTTAGTGTCCTTCATTTCTATTGCTAACTATCTTATCTCAGAAACGTCCACATCGTCTCTCATGAATAACCCGAAGTCTACATACAAAATGCATCGCCTCCATATGGTTCGTAGAAATCCAAAGATGGCAGTAAAAAGGTCCCATATCTGTTGAGCTCGACAGGTATCAATCAATCAATCAACCAACACCCCCTACACCCACCCCTGTCCGCTGCCTCGACCATAACACGCCACCCTCTCATTGCTTTTCTTAAGGATTTTCGGCTTCGTTATATGGAAATGGAATGTCTTTTTTGCGCTTTTCCGCTGTGCTGAATAAAGGCAGTGATTATGCTCGGTAATCAACGCCTGATGTATGCAAGTACGCATCACGAACTATATACCTTTTCGTTTTTCTTTGTTTTGCAATATGACAGGAATTTGCCGGCGACAGAGCTATCAGTGTAAAATGATCACATGAGAACATCAGTCATCACACCAAACCGTGGGGGAATCTAAGAGGAAGAAAAAACAGTGAGAATGATCGAGGAGCATAGGGGAAAAGAATATATGAAATGCAAAAGGATTATGCGCTCAATCGCTGGATAAAGGACTGTATGGTCATCGGTTAGCTAGAGCACTCCTGTATCAGCTGCCGCCGGGGAAATACATACCGGGAAGAACTGCCGGAATCCCTTCACGTCTAGCCGGCTCAATGCGTTCAAGAACTCCTCTATGAGTTCGGCACCCATTCCCATACCAGGCAATTCCTGGCCCCGAAGATACTGGATATACTCCATGCCGGTCTTGCAATAGATGGTGCGCTGCAATCCACCGGCTTCGGCGAGAACCTGCTTGGCCTGTGCGTCTTTGGGATTGAAGGACGGGGTGGCGGGAAGTGCCCAACATAATGGCGACATTCGGCTGATCATGAACTGTCCGAATCCAGGCAGAGCAACCTGCGCGGTGCCGTTCGCTGCCTCTGGTGCGACATCGGGACCGCCCCAGGAGCTACCCATCTTGGAGAGCACCAAGAAGGCCATCTTCGCGGTGGTAAAGTCCTCGACATCCTTGGCGAAGTGTTCGATGGTGGTGATGACGGTATCAAACATGGGTTGGTTTCCTGATTGTGTTAGTCGCTGCATAGTAATCGCAACGCGAGGAGTAACAAAACTTACTCTCACTAATGATCACAGCACCCAGATCATTGTTCAAAACTGCTAACAAGAAGTTTAGGTATTCTCGTTTCAACTCCGCGAGTTGAATCTCGTCATCGGTACCGGTAGTGGGCTCGGCGATTCCGGAGAACACCCGTTGTAAAAAGGGTGTCAACAAGGCGTCAAGAATAGTGTAAATTTCGCTCTTGAACCCGAAGATAACTTGGTCCAAGAGACGCAAGAAAAGAGCCATCTCATCCCGAGTCGAAGTCTGGGTAATGAGGCCATCGATCCACCTCGGGAGCTGTGGAAGAATCCGAGAGCCAAGGACACCGATAAGTCTGGAGAAGGCAAACCGAGCAGCTGTTCTAACGTTGAACGAGGTTTTAAGGGATTCCAGAGCAACGAGAGTAGCCTCAGACACCTGCAAGAATGCCTCGGACACTTCCGGCGCCGGCAGCGAGTTTGGCGAGCTGGTTCCGGGCATCCAATCCGAGAAGCCCCTCGCTAGTGTTCCGAGGGCCATGATGTCGTGATGTATTTGCAGCAACGCTCTTTCATCGTTGGACTTCGCCGGTGCCAGGTGCTTCTCCATGTCCATGAACACAGGGTTTAGTACCGACTGCGCATACATGACTTGCTTGTCGGCAGGGACGGTCGGAGTGGAGCAAATGATGCCAACCGCTTCGAATAGATAGAGCTGGCTGTTGAAAACAGCGTCGGCGGACCCTTCATGATCCTCCGAGGACATCTCATCACCATCAGAACCCTCGGTAGAAATTTCCGCTTGTATCACCAACAGGTCGCCTAGAGCTTGAACAACTGTGTGTGCAACGTTGCCAATATGGTTTCTCAATTGCTTGACTAAACGCTGGAAAAGATACCAGGATCTGGTCTTCACCTTCTTGGTGGGATGATGAACAAGTTGAAGGAAGCTTTCCAATACACCGGGGATGAGATGGGTGTGATACAGGAAGAATGAACTGTAACGGACACAAATTTCCATGTATTGCAATTGGGTCGCCGGATGTGTGAAGGACCGAATATCTGTATATTGTTAGATGAGCGGGCAATGCCCCTGATGGCTGATACTTACCAGATTCTACCATCCTCAACATCATCTCGATAAGTCGTTCGGCTGCCTGATTGTTGGGTTGACCTTTGTTGTAGAGACTGCCTGCCTTCACAGCAATGTCGCCAAAGAGGAACATTTCATGTAGGGCAAGGTCCAAATCACGCCAGTCCAGCTGCGCACCCGACTGCCGTAGGTTCTCGAAGGTTGTCGCAACCACCTCCGAAACGGCGTCTACGTAGAGCTGTTCGTTGACCGTGGCGACCGTTTGCTGCATAACGGCTAGTCGTTTGCGGAGTTCCTGAAATTCCGCCTCGTCGGTTTGGTCATCCTCGTCGCCCCAGGATGAGGTGTCGTCGTATCGCATCTTGGCAATGATGGCTTTCAAGATAGGGAGTAGGATGGGGGTATGCTGTGCAGTGAAAGAAGGATCGGTCTTGGATACCTTTCTCAGGTATTGAAGAAGATCACCGCCACAGGGAATGACGGTCGAGCAGACCTCATCGTACTCATCAGAGAAGTACCTGAGAATGTGCGGAAGAAACGCCTGCAGAAGCCCATTGGCCTTCTCCCTGCATTCCGCGGAGATGTTCTCCTGTTCCAAAGCCCGTACAATATCAGCCACTGTACTGTTGACTAGCTTCGCCACTGTCTCCGCCAGATCTGTATCGTATTTGAAGGTAAACCTATTCTCACAAAGAGGGGGGCTGTTGGAAAGCTGAGACACGATGGTGTCAAGATTCAAGAATATAATCATATCAATCTTATCTTCCGGCTTCATCTTCTTGCCGATAATTTCCGTGAAAACGTCGACAGCCGCATCCCGAACCTTCTCCTCCCCCGCCCGGAGCTCCGCTTTCTGTGCCCGAGCCAGTTGCTGGAACAGGAGATCAAGCATTGTCTGGTTGACCACAAGACCGATATCGATCCAGCTCACCCAGCTGCCCACCGCCTTCAGACACATTTCTACGATCACGTCGTTGCCGTCCCGCCATCCAGACAAGATTTGTTGCCACGAGTTTGCGATCTTTTGCATGTCCCTCATCCGGATCAGATCCTTCAGCGAGTTTGCCCTATCCTGTTCCGTACGAGATCTTGACACGAGAACATCACCGATTTCATCATGGATTGAATTGACAACCCGGAGGTAAAATATGATGCCCAGCGCATTGTCGGGCGTGCTGGAGCCATCCTTGTATGTCAAGCTCAGGAGATCATCGAAGAAAGACTCCCAACCGCTACCGTAGAGGGCGGAGAAGAGGAAGGTAATCGTTTGGGCGATTTTGTTCTGAATATTGGGGGGATCTGGGTTTGCGGTTTCCTGTCCATAGACCTGGCGGAGGTAGGTCAATAAGCCGTCCCGGACATACCCTAAAGCCTGAAGGTCAATCAGTCCAGCCTGGGCGGCGCTGTTGACCACCTCTAGTGCTACATGCCGTATGATCTCGGAGTGTTGGGGGGTCTTTGTGAAAAGCGCGAGGCACACTTGCCATCCCGAAGGGTCGGTACGAAGTTGGTTCAGGTAGTCGAAGGCTTGCGCCTTGAGGGCTTGGTCTGAGGAAGGATTCCAGGCGATTTCTATAGCATTCGCTACCTATTTGATTACATGTTTGTCAGGTTCCAGGGATCATGAAGGATTTTTTTTTTTTTTTTAATTGATTGCTTATGACAATATGCGCAAGGAGGGGGCACGAGGGGAGAAGAGGGGGGAATGGTCGAATGGTGGGGTGGGCGCTCTTTTTTTTTTTTTTCTTGTGTTCTTTTTTAAGAAGGGAAAAAAAGGGTAAGAAAAAGAAAATAGAATAAAAACATTGAGAATATATGTGCAACGTTGGATCCCATACCTGTTCTTCCATCTTCGACCAGCCGAGATGCCTGCGGAGTCAGGAAGACTCAGAAAGCAAATCGAATGACGGTGTTCAAGGGGGATAGGTCGATGTAGTTGGGTTAAAATTCAATGGCGGCGGAGAGTCATATCACAGAGAGGGCCGTTTATCAAACCATGACTAGTGCGTTGGAGCAGTTTAAACTAGTGCGAGAGACCCAGTTAGTCGGGTAAATGAGAGAGGAAAAAATTTTGTCGATGGATCAAGTACACTCACCGGACGAGGACAACGGATGTAAGAGATGTGAACCCGTTCTCGAGATGTACACACACTCTCTGTGACTACGTCACTTGTGTAGATGAAACAGGGGAAAGGGAAGAAAAAGTTGAGTCACTTTTAGGCATTGGACGCAACGAGTGTGCGGCGGCTCTCCGTTGGTCGCCGAAAAGGGAAAGGGGCGCGTGCCTCAGCGAGTACTCTTTGCTGCCGGCAGATTCAGGCAGACCTATGGGAAGCTTAGCCTTTACTTTACCCGCTCCTAGTACTCTTAGCAGACAATTTATATATATTGACACTGTCTATTCAATGATCCTAACAAATCTTTCACCGCAACCTTCGACAAGCGTTTTTGTTGCTCCAAATACTCATATGCCTCTTGCATCTCCCCTACTCCCAAGAAACCCGTTTGCTTTAACGTCGTTGCTGGTTGTTACTACTACTGTTGCGCCTGAGGCTAGGGCAATCTTCAGCTGACATCCACAAAGCTGGGATGAATTAAAGGAATCTCCCAAAGGAAATACCTACAGAGTAGCAACAGAAGCACGTTGGCTACAGTAACCGGCTTTCAGAATCTCTGTGTTGTGCGCCATAATGATATTTCGTACTATAGATAAAGTTACCGTCATGCACAGTAATGTTGACGAAGATATCCATGGATGTATAAACCCAGCTTTGGTTTCAACCGCTGCTTCTCTCTTCTCCTTCCTCTTCCGCCCTGTTCTTTATTCTACTGGACAATGATGGGATAACATGCTAACGTGTGAAAAAAGTACCGCTAAGCTCATAAGGCTTTGATGGAATATTCGTTACGCATACATATTCTGTGTCCGCTATCCTGGCCCCCTATATCCCTTCTATGCTCAGCGAGATCCCCTCTCATGCTGTATTCAACCATCACTTCGCAGTGCGTGCGAGCTGGAGACTACTAGTGATGTCAGAGTACGCGTATCTGTCTTTGAGCGGGGAAGACGACCTTGATTAGCTGGAGCTGGCAGAGGACGCTTTTCGGCTGCTGGGATATGACTGACCAGAAAGAAAAAGGTGAGACTTGTTAGTCAACGCTCGAAAGGGTTCCAAACATTGGTTGCTTCTCCCTCAGACCGGGAATGTTTGCTCAAGGAGCTCACCTAGCCGAAGCTGGCGATAACTCGGCCTGTCATTTAATTTATTCACAGAGGATTCATCTCACGAGAGTCAGACTTACTACCTATTGGGTGTTTTGGAGGAGTGAACGAAATGTTGCATATGCAGAACCGTGAAAGTTGTATAACAGATACACAAGGTCGGAATGTTGAATACGGATGGTGAAGAGGGAATGATCGGGGAGGAGAAGATGTCTTTAGAAAAGACCTTCAATGGCACATATCATTGTGGAAGGTGTGGGTTGAACTCTACAAATGGCAAGTCTACTGAGCACCATATAGCAACTAGCAAGTCATTGCTTCCTCAGAGTAGCTTCATTTGGGAAATGCGGAAGTACTATCCCGAGTCCATCTTCCTTCTTTTATAATTACCTAGTGATGCCAAAGCTGTAAGTTCATAAGGTACATGCGGCCCACAAGCTCCTCTAGGTATGGAAATTCTCGTTGGAAATGAATGACAGAGAGGGAGTCTGACATTGGCTGAGGGGCGTTCGTCTCTTCCGGCTCAGCATCCTCGGATCATCAGATGGCTCTTCGCTCCTAAGCTAACATTTCTTAGTGTTCTCGCTTGGTTTCCTGATCATTTCAAGCTGTGGGTCTCTGTATTCTGCAATCTTACCGTTTTGAAACCCAGCACTCATGTAGTACAAGTTCAGTATTCTTATATTGGGAAGCGAGCCGCTTCGATGCAAGACAGATAGAGAGCTTTATAGCAGCGGCCGTCTTAGTAAGGTATATCGAACTTTTTCATTGCCGCTATGATACTGGAAATAGAATGTATTGTGGAAGAATTATATCTGGTCCGCCATACTGTGTAATAAACTCCAATGTGTTTCTGAAGAGCCTGGGTACCTTTTTAAAGTCCCATAGTTGTAGTCTATCATGTACCGCTTACTTCACTTATATAATATCGATGTTAAGCAGCGCCTAGATGCGCTGCTACATGACCAAAGCAATAATGATCTTTCCCTTTTTCCGCTCCAGGAAAACGAATAACCACAATAGCAAAAACAAGCGATGAGACCAATCTAGATCAGGTTCGCTAGTTCAGAGCGAAGCCTAATCCAACTCACAAGAGCAGCACTTATCGATCTGGCCCAGAGAAGCATGCATAGCAATATACGGCTCCTGTTCCGATATAAGGTTGACTTGTTGGATCAAAGCTTTGAAACCATCACCGAGTCTAGGAACTTCAGAATGTAACCCTCAAGAGTCCGTGGGAATGGCTCGCAAGGCTAAAATCCATGAGATCTGCTATTTGTCTCCCTATGGGTACAGTCAACTGTATGAAGTGCTATGTAGGATGGTATAAGTACATGGCTAGGCGAGTCGCTTTCAGGCAAAGGCTCTTCACTATGGAGCATCGGTTCCTAGAGTCTTGGCCTCGCCTCTATCAAAGCCCGAAGTTTAGGTGTGGTAAGTACCACATTATTGTGCGGAGCTGTGGTGATGGAGCAGTTCATCTAGTAGGGGATTGTCACATAGTTGTGATCGAGATACGGAGACCATCATGGCCAGCCCCGGAATCTAGGAGTATATGTTTGTTGAGTACATCAAGACCACTACGGTAGGCAGATGTGTCAACTGACCCTTTGGTGCCTTGCGTATCTCCCAGGGGTCAGCGAATGGTAACGGACTCGTTTTCTTCAGAATTGGCACACTCGTATTTGCCCTCTTTTGGCATGTGGGGTGGCTAGGAATGGTAACGAAGGTTGGATACTAGTCACCGAGCAATTTGACACATCCACATGCTTTCGAGAAGTAGATTTTTCGGCCTCGTTTACATGATTTAGTGTAGCGTTTGATTGGAATTATTTAGAGCTTCAACTGGGTAGCAAACTCGGTTACTACGTTGCGAATACGGACGCCATGTGACTTTCCTAGATGTCAACGAGTTCAGCGATATACAGAGACCAGCAAAACCAGTCTCACCACCTAGCAGACTCCTGCTCTTTCTGAACGCCACTGCCAAAACTCTAGCCACAACACTAGGTGCATAGAAGATGACAGTTGTATATATAATGCAATACAATATTCATCAGTCACGTGCATGATATAATCAATCACCGAGTGGGCTGTGGAGCTGGTGATGTTGAAGCTATCGCATTGATCGAAATCATTTTCACCAAACTTTTTTTTGCTCTTTAATTCGTTTTCGAACACTATTCTGAGAAGCACCGATCTATTCTTAGCCGCGAAGACCGCTACGGTGCAGGAGGCTGTGCAAGGCTGAAAGAGGACGACGGAGGCGGGGTATCCATGAAGGGCTGTGAACTTATATACATACAACACCATCCGCGCTCATTTCATTGATCGTAGACCTCAAACGAAGTCAACTGCAGTGTGGAAATGGATCGAGTCTCCAATGTCGCCGGTCGTTTCCAAAGAAACTTGAAAGAATTACACACGGTATGCGAACCAGCCATCAGCCTCGAGAGGATAGATGTGAAATCCTAATGCCAACTCGGTTTTCCTTGGAAAGCGGTATCACGAAGTTGGCTTTCAATACCTCCCCTTACAAGGCTCTTCGGACATCCGTCTACTCAGGATCCAGCCTGGAAGGCCTAGTGATGGGATTCCCTGCTTGATACGAGTCGTTAGCCTTGACGAGAACCCAAAATACACGGCTCTTTCTTATACCTGGAGGAAACAGCTCTCACCCTTGCGTGCTGGAGCCCTCACGGCGTTCGAAATCATGAAATCGATCTATCAAGGGAATTTATTTGATATGCACATCCCAGAGGCTGAAACAGAGGAGCGCACCCCCAAGACCATCCTGTGCAATGGCAGCAGAATCAACATATCTTTGAATTTATATGACGCCTTGCTATCACTCAGAGAGATACAACCAAAGAGTTGGTATTGGATTGACGCGTTATGCATAAACCAAAGGTACCTGACACCTCATATCTGATGTGTCTAAATTGACTAGAGAAAAGCAAATGAAGCATAATACTAAATAGTTTATCAGTGATACTGAAGAAAAAACCCTTCAGATTCAGAAGATGGGCAGAATATACCAATCTGCTGAGCTTGTTCTTGTCTGGCTCGGTGACTGCTCGTCAAAATTAGCTCGAGGTCTTCCCAGCTTAGAAACACTCGCGAAGAAGACCCAAAGTGAACTACCACCACTGCCCAAGTTCAAAGGGCCTGGTGGGGATTTGCAAGCGGCGGCCACGACCGCACTAGATCTTTCCTGTCGGCAATGGTTCAAGCGGATCTGGGTACTGCAAGAATACTTTTTAGCAAGGAAAGTCAACTTCCTCTATGGTAACCATGAAGTTAGCTTGGGAGCCTTACTGACCGCTTGTATATGGGTATGTCATGACCCTGGCGCTGTAATAACACCCGAGCTGCCGTTGAAGGCTGAATCGATAGAAGCCCTTGCCCACATTAATAACATCCCCAACTTCTTGTTGGCTCGCCAAGCCATTGGTCAGGGCCGCAGGTTAACCCTCCGCGAATGGCTTCAGGCCTGTCGAAGGCGCTATGCTAAAGATCCCAGAGATTTTGTCTTTAGCGGCCTATCTCTGATCCACCCTGAGTCATTGAATATAGATAATCAGCGTCTTCAGCAGGGAGATCATGCTGGCTTTGAAACCCAGGCACCTATACTGCCGCTCAGGCCCGGTACGCAGACTCACAAAGACAATCTATTCACTGCAGAACATCCCACAGCCACATTAAAAGCCCCAACGTCATCACCACTCATACCCGAGGGCCTATGGTGTTTCCTCAGGGTTGATTATGCAGCCAGCGAAGTCGAGGTACTTATCAATGTTGCAGCATGCCTGCTTTCCCAGAAAGGACAACACAACCTCGATCTGCTTTCCATTGCAGCTCGTAGGCCGCCGGATGACTTTAACGCAAGCAATTGGTTTTGGCCTCGTGCTCATCCTATTCTCCCATCTTGGGTCCCGGCCTTGGGTTCCAGGGGTGTAAGTGCATCTGACATTTGCTCGTCTCATCCACTTTTATTTTCCCCTACCCTCTGTCAACGCAGACAACGGCGCCTACTAACCTAGATATCTACAGTCTCTTGAACATAGCAGCCTAGCATCTACAGCAGAAGCATCAGGTGATGGTGGCACAGCCTTTGCAGCTGGTATATTAGGACAGCCGGGCCCATCACCTAAGATCTCTCGCAACGGGAGGACGTTATTCCTTGAGGCTGCACCCCTTGACACAGTCGAGGATATAATTTTAGATAATACTCTTATGACAGATGAGTACATCGACATCCTAATTAGGTTCCTTGAAACTATTGGCGGGATGCCCCGCACTTACCTCCCAAGCGGTGGGACGAGCTTCGACGCGGTCGCAATATCCCTTGCCTCTTCGCTGTTCTTCTCGTTTCCCAGCACCACAGAACTAAACGTCATTAAGGGCCAAAATGTTGAACGAATATTACTATCATCTGTACATGAGCAGCATGCGCGTTTCTGGCTTTGCGAGTTTATCGAGAGTGAGGTGCGCCACTGGGCGACACTTTTACGAATGACTCGCGACGACTATGCTTTGGCGCACGGAGTTGAGTGCTCAGGGGCGAAGTGGCCGGAGGAAACTAGTATAGAACGGCAGAAGAAACTAGATAGCCTCATATCCGCTTACTGGCAGCTGAACGAAAAGTTTGATGATCTTCCATGGTCTAGGACAGCAGATGAAGGCGTGGCGGCACCAACAGCGGCAACACCGCCCAACGAGACCACGTCCAGTCTATGGGACCTACTGGAGACCTTCCAGTCTGCTATTGATGAGAAAAGATTTGTTTGGAAAAGGAAGCTGTTGATCTCTCTCGAGGCGCAGCGATATGTTACTGCCTTTTCTCTCGAACTTAAAAGGCGGAGCTTGTTTATAACGAAAGACGGACTTATTGGAATGGGCCCTAGTTGGTTGAGCAAAGGGGATCGGGTGATGCTAGTAAGAGATGCCATTGTTCCTTACGTGTTTAGGCACGTTGATGAGGAACTGAGGCACCAAGTGAAAACAATGGAGACGAGGGAGGATACGTTGAAAGAATACTCGGTCGAAAGGAAATATAGTCTATCACGGCAATTTATGCGGCCCACCCTTGAAAAGCAAATATCAGACTTGAAGCTGAAAATTAACCACCTTCAAGCCGGCAGGAAAGACGCATGGATTTTGATTGGGGAGGCGTATATTCCCGGTGTCATGCGAGGAGAGGTTCTGGAAAGAGGGGGTTCTGAAATTTTTAGGAGGATTGCCATAGTATGATCCTTTAGCTCTGCTAATAAGGTTAATGCCATCTTATGGCTCTCCAATTGTAAGGGATCATAGCCCGTTGTGTTCCTCATAGCTAGGGTACATATAAAAGGATCTTTGCGCAATGCAGCTGCTCTCATCCGGTTCACAGTAGCTAAAAGTAACCTGGGTGGGCTGTTTGAGGTTATATATGTATTTCAAGTTTCCCACCCCACGTTCGTCCCCGTTTCATGCTAAAATACTACGCCACAGATGCCTGTAGGATCATTGATCGCAGTGTCACCAGGCTGTATGTCATAAGTAGTGGATCGAATGGCTCCTACAATGCCAACCATCACCCCAGCTTGTGTAGCATGTTTTTAGAGGTCATTTAGCGTGCAACTTAGTCTGGAGGCTAGTATCTTGGCAGCGTCGTTCAGAAAGAGGAAGAGTGCGTAGGTGGTGAAACTGGTTTCGCTGGTCTCTATAAAAATCGCGCACCTCGTATTTCAATTATGGATTAGCTATCTTGGCCCGGTGGACAACCTTTACGTAGAAAAGTCAAAGCCACAAAACATATCCAAGAAGGTGAGTGATCTGACGATACATAATGGAGCATAACGTAAGGGTAGTTTGCTGCCTGTAATAATGAGTTTGGGCGAGGGAGCCTAAAGAGGAATACGAAAAGGATGACTCTTCCAGCGAAAATCGATATCCTACGCTGCATCATATATAAGAAGTGCTTAACTCGCACACCCACCTAATCTATTCCTATTTCACAGTTCGCAAAAAAAGAAAAAAGAGAGCTGCTTCATACAAGCTTTTGCTCCTAAAGCCCATCTCTTAGAATGCCACGCTTCTCAAGTCCCTTCGATGGAGCGCAGCTGTTCTATCGCGATTACAAACCTTCTCCCAGTTCATCTGCATTCCGCGCAAACATGGAATATGATGCGAAGAAATTGCCTGCTCTAGTGTTCCTCCATGGATGGCCGTATTCGTCGCAGATGTACGAGGAGCTGATGGTGCCTCTTTGCGAGACATACAGGTTCCGATGTATCGCACCCGACCGACGCGGTTTCGGGAAAAGCGATTGGGATGGTCATCAAGCAACCGACTTCCAAATCACCTACGAGGTGTTTGCCGATGACACGGCTTATCTATTACAAACCTTGGATATAGGATCATTTGTCATCATTGCTTCCAGTATGGGACCTGGAGAGAGTGTACTAGCTCACTCTCGTAGCGAATATTTCCAACAAAATTGCAAGGTGGACATCATCTTTCTCAAAACATAAGTCGTTAAAGGCTGACCATATTCACTTTAGGGCTTCGTCTGGCTGAGCCCAGCCCTTCCATACCCGCTCCAGACACCAAATAACCCCTTAGCCCCATCACAGGCAGTCTGGGACTCAATTCTGGATGGGTTCCGTAGTTCTCGAGCGGACTTTACCCAGGGTGCTCTTCCGGGTGCACTTGTTGGAGGAACTGGCCTTGAAATCCCTGCCCCCACGCTGCAACGCTACGTGAACATGGTGGGAGAGGCTGATGGACTGGCTCTTGAGCGGTGCATGGTTATTGTTCCTCATACTGATTTAACTAGTTTGTTGGTAAAGCTTGGAGAGACAGCTGCACCTCCTATCATGTGTATCCACGGTGACTCGGATGCGGGTACTCCATACGAAGCGACGGCGAAGCTCTTGAAGGAAATCTTGCCTGAGATGGGGCTCAAGCTTTATGAAAAGGGCGCGCATGGTTAGTTGTCCTAGATCACAATTTGCTTTCTCCATTCATATCCTAGAATACTAACGGGATCTACTTTACTAGCTTTGCAAATTACGCATAAGAGCCAACTACAGGACGATATCCTAGAATTTGTGACTCAGAGAATCATTGCGAACTGATCAATGTTGCGGCTCTGTGGTGTTACTATCAAGATGGGCTCAAGCTCATCTGTGTATGTGTTATTGGATGGGTAGACACGCATGCTCATGGTGTATCTTTGGAGATCTCCGGTTGTCAGTTTCCCTATACGTCAAAAAAGATATCGTTCCCCGGAAACGTTGGTGATGTGAGCTTAATGTGTTGCCAATAATGTAACATATCTTCCAAAGAGAGCCTCAAACAGAGGCTGCCTTATTTAATCCATTTCCCTCCACTATATGCTAGAATGAACATACAGGTGTACAGGTGTACGTTCTTTAGTACTACGACATCTTCTGCAGAGGGCGATACAATTCAGTGCCAGCTGCATGGCCAGGGATGTTTTCTTTCCTTTTTTTTTTTTTTTTTTTTTTTTTTTTTTTGCCTAAATCTGCAACATCGAACGACCCCTTGTGAAGATTTTCAGAGCCTTAGGAAGGACTGAGAATGTGCTCAGGCACTGGGAGGTGATGAGTGAACAAATCCAAGAAGTGGAACGAAGCTTTTCGGCTTTTGGGGGGACACTGCTCGCAACGTATTGTTCCTGCTACGCGGCCTTCTAGCAGGGGGTATCTTGGCTTTTGCCTTCGGAGCCAAGCGATGGTGTGTCAATTACGCCTTACCACAAGTAGGGAGCCACCCACAAGACTTTCAGTCCCGTATCATGCTAAGGACAATCCTACTGTACGTTCGGAATTCGGCCACCCTGATGTGGTTATAATACCACTGAATAAATGGAATCAGTATTTGCCTGCAACGTTGTGGCCAAGTGAGTAGCAGTTGGTAAAGCACATATTATAATGCACTAATGCTTAGCAAAAGCTCCTGGAGAGCTATTCTTCTCCGCTGAGGCCGATGTCTAGCATAACAAGGTTGTTAAAAGCCCCCTTGGGGTGCGAATATCTATGTCTGAACTAGAGGTGAGAAAGGTATCGAGATCCCCTCATAATACCCGGAGACAAATAGTCTTTCTGCCACAATCCAAGATGCCATTGCAGCATGCGAGAAAACGGGAATAGGATACCCGTGGGTGTCAACTCGGTTTGCATAGATCGACAAAATCAAGAGGAACTACAAGAGCAGACTATCCAGATGAGTCTCATCTGCGGTAGTATCAATTGCACACTAGTTGAGACATCGGTTGTAGATTCTAACTATGGCTTGCCTGGAGTACTCTACCCTGGGCTCGTCCGCGGAAGCGGAATACTACTAATTTTCGTTATATTAGTCTGTTCAGTCCTTGGTCGGGTCTAGATAAGGTTATTTAAAGCAGTAGATCATCGTCTAGAGGCTGGATGCTCCAAAAGGCTATTTTCTCTCCGAAGCTTCTCTTCTTTATTGATTATGGTGTTCGTTACGCTTGTACGATGAGTCTAAATGCATGAGTAAGTCGTATGCAGAGACGGGTATCTATGACGTTTCCCTATAAGGCGGTTTACAGTACGAGAAAGAGGTCTGTTTGTCTGGTAATTTTGGTTTGATCTGATTTGGTCTAAGCGAGTAAGAAAATGTTGACTAAACGGTTAATAAGCAAGCTTGTATTTAGATTAACTTAGCTGAGATCTAACACAGGTTCAGTGGTAACCTTGGTCACACTGAGAGCTCAGTCCAGGGCTTTTGCCCAAATGTTGTATAATAGGAGCAAATATCGAATTTAATGCGTCAGGTTGCGATCTATTCGTGGGGCAATTCGAGCCCGCGTCCCTCAATAAACTTGCCCGAAAAAGCAAAAAGCAAATAGTTGCCAAGTTTGTGGAGCGCGGGACGAATCAAACCACATCTTAGTATTGGATGAAATTTCGTCGGAGCTGAGGTAGGGGTTAAAGAAGTAGATTTGACAGTGTCATCCAAATGAGATGGCTTTGGAAAGTTTTGAATCCGCGTAATTTATATACTCTTGATACCACCGAAACTCTTCTACCTGCTTTCTACCGAAACTAGCCAAGCTGAAAAGGAACCATTTGATACTCCGCGCATGTCTTCAATCTAGCTGGACGGGAGAAAGAAGTTGACCCACAACCACTAGAATCTGGCGAACTGTAACAATGCAATACAGATATTCAGATTGGCACGCAATTGTCGAGCCTTTTGAACGATGATCGTTCTTGAAGAAACGGGTACTTGACATTGCGAAGGATAACCCGGATGATATCGCCTAGAACGCGGCGGAACTAGCCGTGAGATATATGCATGCTACCACGGACCACCTAGAAGCAGGGAACATATGTTGATTATAGGTTAAAAGGATATCTGGCCCTGGTGGCACGTGTTGTATACTTTCTAGTTGGGGTATCTTACAAGTATGGCATGGAGATTACGAATCCCATCTCATATACTGTATTTTCTGCATAAAAATGGAGGTCTTAGATCAACCTATGTTGCCATAGTGGCTACAAGGGGTTAACAAACGAGTGGTATGGTCGAAATGGCAACTCGATGTTGCAGAGACGAGGGGTAGATGAGTTACGTCTAAAGGTCTTTCCCCCAAACATTAGGCTATGGAGACCAATTATATCCGGAAATCCGGGTATCTAGATTTACACCGGATTTATATTAAAAAAGTCTTTTAATAGGTGGAGTTGGGATATCTCCCCGGAAAGTAACAATAGGATGACCGTGGTGCGCTATTGATATATATAGCTCAGTGCAATTAAGATAGTCTCGATGCTGATGTTATACAATTACCTAAGATAATTAGTATATCCAGCCATTTTAGTGATAAAAAAAAAAGAAAAAAAGAAGAAAAGAAACCTATTTCTAATATAGTTAAGTTACTATTTGAATTTTTATATAAAGACCAAAAGATCACCCCAAAATATCATATAGACAGATGGTATGGAGTAATGTAATGAATATCTTAATCACGGGAATTGTTAAAAGATTCTATAATTAATAAACTCGCCGCATAAGATTGCCGAAAACCACCCATGGTTCGTAATGATGACTATTTTAAGTTCACTGGTCTCCGAGCGAGACAAAGTAAAGAAAAAGAAAAATTAACAAGGATTGAGGTCACGTGTAGACAACAGTTTCCTGGAGGATCGGAGGTGTGAGCTGAGAACGCATCCAAAAGCTATTGATTGTGGCATCTAGGGCTGTGTGATGTGATCTATTCTTTCAGCTCGCCACTCCACCCTTGGGACCCACGGACTTGATTCTTATTCCATGATCGTCTTGCGGTCCTTTCAGTTGAGCATCTTTCGAAGTCTCTTTGTACATATCCCGCGACGCGGGCTTCAAGGCCAATGGCTGCCAACGAAGAAACCCCCTTGCTGCATGCCCACGAGGCCGAGCACAAAACTAAGTCCGATCGCGTACGCGCAAAATTCGCGTTGTATGGTTCATTTCTGGGTGAGCAACATGCCCCATTGCAGGACACATCGTTGCCTTACTCATACTATTACCTAGGCATTTTACTCGCAGCTGCAGACGATTCTCTCGTTATCACCACATGGAGCGTGATCGCATCGGATTTTCACCGTTTGTCGCAGGGATCATGGCTACTGGCCGCGTATAACTTTGGGTGGTGTGTGTCATTACCGGTGGTCAGTCCGACGAATCGTATCAGGAAGGATTGTAAGACTGACCCTAATGCGGGCTAGTATGGTACGCTATGTGAGCTACATGGACCGAAGAATATCCTTCTCACTGCGTATACGATTTTTGCCGCCGGATGTCTCGCTTGGTAAATCGATCCCACCACAAAGATTCGTCTCCGTGGGAATGTTCTAACAAAGTGCATTCATACAGCGGACTTAGCACGTCCCTGGTCCAGCTGGTGTTGGCCCGAGTGCTCGCCGGAATGGGTGCAGGGGGAATGGTCTCCTTAGTGTCTATTATTCTCACTGGTATGTATTTCTATGGTATGGCGTGTCAGTGCTGACCTCCCTGTTTATTCTATAGATATGGTCACCCCCGACGAGGTAGCCGTTCTCCGAGGCTATGCTAATGTATCTAATGTCGTGGGTCGGAGTTTAGGTGCTCCACTAGGAGGCTATCTCATCGGCGCAGTTGGATGGAGGTGGTCTTTTCTCGGTCAAATTCCGGTGGTAGCCATCTGCCTACTGATTGGGCTGTACGGTCTTCCTTCGTCATTCAATTCGGCCAAGTCCGGAGACGTTACAGATGAGGGAGCTGCTCGTCGGTCTGGCATTACGCGGTTTGACTTTAGTGGCCTTGTCAGCTTTGCTATCGCCATCATTCTTTTACTGTTCCTGGTGCAGGATTTGAGTGCCGCACCGGATTATCTCCTAGCACCACCAAGTATACTCGTCCCGGCTTTTTCCGCGGCAGTGATCTTGTTCGTCGCGATCGAAGCGTACTGGGCTCACAACCCATTGATCCCATTGCACCTAGTCAAAACTTCGCTGGGAGGGTTTTGCCTCAACCAGGCTCTGATGATGTCGAGCCGTGTAGGGGTAAGTTCCACGTCCTGAGAACGTAGGCCCCAACGTAATCTAACCGGTGTCTATCGTAGCTGCTGAGCAACTTGACCCCGTACATGATTCGGGTCAAGAATGCAACAGATGCATTCGCCTCGACGGCCTACGTCTTATCTGCGGTTGGCGTATCATTCGGAGCGTTGATCGCAGGAAAGGTTATTAAAAGGTAATGCTACCACCCCCTTGAAGCAGTTATATGTATGTATCTGAAGCTCACTAATTTAGGAGTAAACGATATCGAACAATGACTGTAATCGCTGTGGGTGGCGCTATAGTGACCTATCTGCTGATTTTTATCCGTTGGCGAACGGGCTGCTACCTTTGGGAACTAGTCTACCTGTTCCCCAATGGTATGGCGATCGGCATCCTGTTTACGACGCAATTCATTGGTATGTCCTTGGATGTACCGAAAGAACACCTTTCCACGTGTATTACCACGTATTATCTCTTTCAGCAGCTGGGCAACGTTGTCGGCCCCTCGGCGAATGTCGCCATTGTACAACGAGTGTTTTTGGGGCAGTTGAAGAAGAATTTAAACGGATGGGATGAGCAAAAGGTTCGTTCGTCGAGTTATACTCTAGCTATGGCTTTATACTAACTAATCGTTCTGGCTCAGTTTATCGGGCAAATCATCAATGAGAACAGGTTTGCCCAGCGCCTGTCCCTTCCGGTCCGGCAGATTGTTCGATGGAGCTACCTGAACGCATTCCAATGGGTGCCATGTGAGTTTCGCCACATTCTTACATGTGTCAAAAGGACTAATGAATATAGTGATCTCAGCCGCGTGCGCTCTACTCATGCTCCCTACTGTTCTATGGGTGAAAGAACAGAAAATCGAATAATCCCGCTACTGCCTATACCAGGTTTACCTATGTACCTAATACTAAATATATGAAGATGAAATATAAAACACGGAATAAGAAATATATAGGGCAAACAGTTCCCAAATCGACCGGGGAGCTAGATACCATGCGCTATGATGAATAGACACGAAAACCGACTTAGACGGGTTTGGATGCGACAACGCTAAAGACAAAAAAGATCGTACACATCATAGTCCTCGAGTCTATCGACCGTAACAAGGAGCATTAAACGAGGCAAAAAAAATACCTCTTCTCTCAAGTGGCCTGTACCAAACAGTTGATGTTCAGTCTTACCGCACAACCCTCAGGGCCCCTAACTAAATCCACCACGCAAAATAATGCCGCAGATTTGAATAAAGCGTCTTTTGCGCCCTCGACATATCCGATTGACTGATCACACAGTACACAATCGGCTCATCAGCCGCTACACATCAGTCAGCACCACTGGCCCAAAATCATATCAAACCAGGAAGGGGAAAAAAAAAAGAAAAAAAGGAAAAACATACCATAAGAAATCAAATGTACAGGAATACAACACGCACTCAAGATCTCAAAAACACTTGCCAACACCTCACTACTATTCTCTTTCGATGCGATATGCACCGACAGCATCACCATGTCCCCGGCCACGGCGGGCCGGCTATACGGCCGCAACTCCGCCTGAGCGATACATAGCACCTCATCACTGATGGCGTTGGTGTCAATGGCCATCATGACGCAGTTGTCGCTGGTTAGGAGTAGCCCGACAGGGATGTGCAGATCATGGATGATGGCGAGGATGCGGGCGTAGAAGCCGTAGTGGGTTAGTGTTCTGTTTGAGTGGACGCTGAGCAGGCTTATGTTTTCTTTTGCGGAAATGGAGACTTGGCGGTCTTTATATTGGGGCATAGTCTATAATTATGTTTAATTGGTTGGTTGGTAAAGTGGTGGGTTCTATGGGTTGGGGGGGACTTACTTGTTGTTGGAGTGGTTGGCGGAGTTTCTTAGGGGGTTGAAGGTGTTGGGGGAAATTGGGGAGGGCGCTTTTTAAAGCCATGCTGGGTTTAATCGGTTGCTTTTGGGGGTACTTGGATGTCTATGGTTTGCTAGAACGGGAGCAAGTTAGGGAGGAATTGGAGAAAAAGAGAGTGACTGGCAGCTATTAAAAGAAAAAACAAGGTAGCAAGAGGCTGGCTGGTCATGTATGCAGAGAATGTATGAAGAGACTGAATGTAGATCATGACTCAAAGCAGCGCGAATCGTAGAATCTTTAAAATAACGCCATAATTGCGGGTCTACTTATTGACTTCCCCGGAGGCCGGAAAATGCCGCACGAGAGATTCGGGAGATAGTTCCCGGCTCCAACTTGCTTTCATGCACTCATGTATCCTTGCATGAGCTGTGGACATGGAAAGAATGGAAATTATGAGCAGAGGGAGTTGTTTGAATTGTTTGGGAGGGGAAAAGAAAGAGCCGAGTCGGTGGAGGAGAAATTCAAATTAAATGCCGGACCCGGCGTATTAGAATTTATAAACGGGCTAACCTCCCGACGGACTGGTCCTTGATCTCCCTAGGATGAGAATTCTCACACCTTTGAGGATCGATTGTACACCTGGAGAAGGGACAATTGGTGCCTAGCTGGAAGAAGAAGTGTTTTGGAATGATTCATGATATTTCTGCAATGCACGTCTGTTCTTGACTATGCGGGGGTGGTATTTGCTCTTGAACTGGGAGGCATGCAACCCCTTGCAAAAAGAGCTGGTCCACGTGTTCATCTATCCCATTGCCGCAGTCAATACCGGTTCTTGGGGAAGCTGTTTCTGAAATTACTAGCCAGGGTCTGCGTCTAGATTGACATGTATCCATGATGGGGAATATGCCACTTTTGCATTGACCCGTCACTTTTGTCAAGATCTTGGGATCCACCCAACAAACCAAAGATAAACGTGTGGGCAAGTTGTAACCGTCAGCTTTGCCCCTGTCATTACGAAATATATTGAAATTGCTGCTGCCTATTGGCGACGCATAATTGTGAACAATCAGCAAGCGGTCCCTTTAGCTCTAGGTAGGAGATCATGCGCAACCCTAATATACAGCCTCGTGCTCTGACTGGTCGCCTCAAATGCAAACCATCACTTGCAGGAGCACAGCCTCAGGGCCAGTATAAGATGATGGGCCCGCACACCAAGGACGCTTATCTTGATGGACCCAACCCTCATCTGCAGCCATGGTTTCTCTGAAAAATATTTTGAAATTCTCCCAGCGTCATCGCGGACCCACTGCCTCGGCATTAAGAGCGTCCACTGCCGCCCCCGCATCAGGCTCCCCGTCCATCGACAATTCGCAGGGTGCTTCAGCCGCTGTGGCGGAGCTGTCGGATGCTCTTGGTACTGTTTTTGATAAAATTGACCTGGATGGTGAGATAGCGTTTCCTGATAGCATTCTTATAATGATATACCAACTGTTAATTGGGAATAGGCGACTTAAATGGCCAAGCCCATGCCTTGCTGGAGCGACTTGATCAAGAGGCTTCCCAATATGGAAACTCTCAGTTGAAAGATGAGCAGTACCCCGATTGGGAATGGTACGGAAATCAGATTTCTTCGATTACTGTATGTCAATGCTAATTGATATGTTGTATAGCTCACAGGACAAAGCTCGATTAATTTCCGTCGCGTGGCACTGTGCCCGAACGGTGTATGAGAGCTCATCGAGTCTACCACCGAACAACTCTGTTCACTGCGGAAACTGGAATCTCGAGCCAAGAAATTGTATCGTTCCATCGGCTGATGGAACAATCAAGGCTGTCTCCTTTAGCTGTGTGTCAGCTACTGTGCCCGGAACAGCAGAAAATGGTCTTCCAGTATTAATAGTCGCTATTCGAGGGAGCGCTAGCGCGGTCGACCATATGGTAAACGCTAACCATGAGCCGCGAAATGCGGATAACTTTATTGTGAGTCTAGCTGAGTGCGGTATATGTGCTAAATATGATTATCTTGCTAACGGATGACAAACGTAGGATTTATCTCGACTTGCGCCCGAGAAAACCTCGACCCTTCAGGCACATTCCGGGTTTTTGAATAGTGCAAAGGCTCTAGACAAGACTGTATCACACAATATAACAGATTATATCCATCCTAATGAAGGCAGATACAGCCATGTCCTATTTACGGGCCATTCGGCAGGGGGCGCCGTGGCGTCACTTTTGTTCCTTCGGTACCTGGCACTGGTACACCTTTGTAAGAGACTCAGTTTGACCTGCCAGCCTGAAGCTCAATAGTGCTAACATAAAATCCAGACCCGTCGACTCGATTTTCGTGTATCACATTTGGGGCGCCTCCAGTTGTGACGGTTCCCCTCCTGGAAAGTTCCAAAACGGACTTGTCCAACGGGATGTGTCTAAATTTCATTAATGAATTTGACCCTGTCACTCGAGCAGACGGGGCATATAAACATTGCTTGGTGGATCTGATCCATTCAATGCACAGTAATCACCGATCGCTGTCTAGGTCTGAGACGTCGAGTACAACAGTCGACTCATTGTTTACCGATGACAGTGAATGTTTCTTGAAAGGAAGGGAATGGCCTGTTTTGCCTTCAATTTACTCACATGTTGGTTCTCGGATCATGCTTCTCTTTCGAGTTAAAAACAGCCTAAAGCAGACTTCTCTCCGGTTACGCGCTGTCGAGGTCCCGCGGGCTGACTTTGACAGACTGTTGTTCTGCCGGGTTGCAGTGCATCGACGGTTGTGTTATGGGGAGAGAATGGAGCTGATTGTAAAAGGGGAGTATAATGGGAGAGCCAGCTGGGATGAAACTACATGTACATGAGATAGTGAAATTGTAAGATAGAGGGACACAGCTAGTTGTACCACCACCAATGACTGAATGTATTACACGCATCAACGCACTGGAAGGGTAATGCCCTTCCGTCTTGCAATCTCAACGGCTCTATGATAATGCACATCCTCCTCCACCCTCTGCACAAAATCATCAGCCTCAAGTTCAAAATCGTCCACAATATCCACATCATCCTTGGTTGCAAAAGCTTCCATTGCAGATGAAATGGCTTCACAGTCCCAGCAAAGACAGACGTGATATTGCTGTCCAAAGACCACACTGAATAGGTCATGCGTTTTGTCAAACCGGCGATGCAAGAAAGACTTCCCCAACTTATCATCATGGTTAACCATTCTGCCAGTCCGTTGGAGCAGGCTTGCCCGGTACTGCTCCGGGCTGCATAAATGAGTATGCCATGCCAGATCAACATCTAGCGTAGGGACCATCGTCCTGTCGGGATAATCGCGAAACAACTGAAGGAACTTTTCATAGCGGTCAATAGCACGACGGATTGTCCCTTCAACTGCAGGGCTGCGGATCCAAAGATGAGCGTGCATCTTCTCTGCAAACTTCAATTGCCGCTCGACATTTTCGACTAAGGGACTATTCTTGCGAGCTTCGGACCTGGTGACTTCAACTATTTGAGCGAAAGAAATCTGACTCCGAGATACCCCCCAAAGATCACGGATGAATTGGGACAAAGGAATCCTCCCCTTCGACTCAGACCTGTACTCAGAAAGGATATATTTGCCACTGGGCTTTTTGCCGATTTCAACGAGCTCTTGGAAGAGATCGGGCGCAACTTGTGTATTTTCTTGTAGCCAATCTCCGTGAGCCTTTGGGAGGCTGTATGACCAGTTCCGCGAATTTATAGCTTCGTGCTGTTTTGTATTCTAGTTAGAAAATGTTCTGTATGTGACTAGTTCCACGTTGAAAGCGTACAATCTGTAACCATGGAAGGGAAGCTTCGCGCATCCGTTGCAACCGGTGCTTAACACAGTAGAAGTTAAAGTCATTGGGATTCAGTAAGAAAGCATGCCACACCATAAGGACGTCTGCATTATGTGTTAGTTAACTTTTTGTGGGTTTCGCAAATCTATAGCTTAGCAGGAAAAAGATGGCCTTACCGACGGGCGGTAATAGCCCCAACCCTAACGGTGAGTCGGCACTTTCTGTGCTGGTACTGGATAAAGATATTCCGTCAATAATCTTGATCCATTGGACGAATCGGCCGACTGCAAGCTCTAGGAAGTAGGGCCATTTTTGTTTTCTCCTTGTTTGGAACGTGTTGTCCTTGATGCTGACTGTATAAGACTCATATTTGCGTTTTGCAGACGAATATCGCTTGCGGTAGACCGTTTTTATGTTAGGTTTGATGCCAAAGCTGTTGTCCAGCTCTGTGGATTGCAGGACTCTTTCCCGGAGAGTGTGGAACACTTCAAGAAGCTCGAGGTGGGCAGCACATTCGCTGATGGTGGGGAGATCATTTCGATTATTATTTGGCGATGCTAACGGTTGAAATAACTGGGGCTTCGGTATTTGAGGCTCGTCTGGCCTGTGCAGAGGCTTCTCATAATAATGTGAATCTAGTTTCACTTTGTTAATTTCAGCGCCGCTTGCGCGATGAAGGGAGGCAATATGGGAGGGGATAAAATGTGCCATGATTTGAACTGATCCCTGATATCCTGCTAGTAGATTGTGGGGACAATGATGTGTTTAATATAAACATTTAGGCGCATTAAGCTCAAGGTTTAACACCTGAACAATCTCAGCCCTAGTTTCCAAGGGCTGCGCATTGCTAAGCCGCATCTCCCCGAATACGAGGCGAGGTCCGGAGATCTGGGCAAACAGCAAGGCTGTACGAATGCCTCGCGCGTGATAGGGGACACCTTGGCACATTTCTCTAGCGCTAAACACTCCTAGTTTGTACTTATTAAAGCTCCTGTTGATCACTTTCATCGGTGGGATCAGTACTAACATCATGAGATATCACAATGAGTTCGAGACATAATGATGCATCATGTGTAAAAAAGTGCACCGAACCGATCCTAATTTGTCTTATCTACGCGTTAGCTATTCCAATACTGGCTTTCGCGATCACTGCCAATAAGCTGCCTTCACAGCCAGAAGTGAGGTATCTGCTGCATAGAATCGATCATGGAGAGTTATTTCTTCAAGGGTTTAAAATGGTCAGGGGAGTAGTATGTGCCATACAAGAACAAAGGACCAACGACAGCTCAGCGCTAATGGCATCTTTTTTGTAGGGCTGGAGTTTATTCGGCTTGGCAGTGATTATGTTCGCCTCGTTCGCGGTGAAGGAATGGCACATAGTGCTTATCGGGGTGATCAAACTAGCTCTAAGTGCTATACTTGTAGCCGGGATAGCAATGCAGTCAAAGGTTCTCCCGGGCACTTTTTCTGGCTGCAGGAGTACAGCTACAAGCTGGCATGAAGCCTTGCCCTTGGACATGAGAGATTCCAGAACAGCGACTGAAGCCTCGCTGCATTCCGCCTGCAAAACAATGGTCGAGCATTGGGCCTTTGCGATTGCCATTGTGTAAGCTTAATAAATATCCCTGTTCTACTTTGCATGGGCTTATGAGAAGAAGGGTCTTGTACCTTTTCTATTCCCTGGTCATAATCCTCTATGGTGCCCGAGGAATCATGTATCCTCGTCCACCTCGCTATTCCCGGCCTAAACCTATCAAACCCGAAGCCAACGTTCAAGCGGGAATCTACTTCGCTGTAAGGTACATGTCGAAGTTCTTCCAGCGGCTCCGATCCAGATCTGGAAAGCCACCCGTGCAGGCTGTGACACGACGGGGCAACAGGAAGAACCATCGCTCGAACATTTGGACCAGTACTAACCGCGGGGAGAAACTTCCTTGTCATCACCGGCGAGTTTTGCCTTCTAAAGTGCTCCTTAATATCGCTTCGCACGTTCATTATGTTGATATCGTTAACCTGCATACCGCGTACGGCAATCTATTCCGAGATTATATCGGAAACGAAGATGAAGAGTCCAAAGTCGAAGAGCTTCGAATATACACCTGCACCACAGAGGGGATCAAAGAGGAGTGTCGAGTCTGCCGAACCCAAATTTGCAAGGTAGAGTCAATTCTCCCCCTTCGTAAATATGCCTGAACACTAACAAAGGCTCCTAGTCATGTTGCACATCTGTGCCTATACCGCAAACAATACCTCTCGAGCACTTAGAAACATGCAAGCTCTACTGCTCTACATGCTTCTACAGAGACTATAATCTAAAAGCGTCTAGCTCATGTTGGTTGAACGCTACTAAGGAAGGAGGAACTTCCACGTATCGGAAGGTCTGTCGAGACTGTGCGGCCATGACCGATGCTGAAATATGCCGGATAGTGGAACTGCAGGATCAAGTGGAGATGTACAAATTCTCGAAGTATTCATTATTTTGCGCGGAGTGTAAGAACCAGTTGCCACCGTCGGGTCCGCGTTGGTGGGTTTGTTCTTGTGGAAGGGAGTGTCGGCATCATGTTCATCCCCCATGGGGCCTAGGAAGCAATATCTAGAATATACAGGGGGTTTATGTTATTGGATAGATACTATATGCTAGCAGTTCCGCAGTCAGACAACAGATGTCTATAATGGTAAAGATTTTATATGGTTTATGATCAAAGGATTGTGCAGATTAGCCCTGCATTACCTGTACCCAATAAGATCGTAAATGGTTGGATGAATTTAGGGCTGTTCTATCTCCGAAGGGAAAGCACGTGGGTTGTTGGAGCATACCTGGAATACTGCCCGTATGCTGTTACTAACTCTTACAACTCCTGCGGGCAACACTACTACAAAAGAATTATTAACTCAAACCAATAACATAAATACCTCATCTTTCAGCCTCACTTTCCAGTTGAAGACAGTTAGGCACAAGGCAGAAAATAAAACACCCACTGATGCAATGCAGGTACCCCGAAACCGATCGCAAAGCCGTTCCCTTGGCGTACCCTCGCCCCAGCCTCGCTAGTCGGCATTGGGCGCAGCTCGTATTCCGCGAAGTGTGCTAACCAGAAAATGGCCAAATTACGCGAAGGCAGAATGCTGATCGATCGGTGCTATCGTGCATGGTTGTTGTACTATCGAGCCTCGTACTATCGAGCCTCATTGGAATGAACTCGTGACTCTCGGCTTTATGAGGCTACCTTTCTCCGATCTATATCATAGCTATGTCTATGCTGGGGGATACTATTCTGGATTGAATATTGAGTTCTTGAGATATCTGACAGCGGACTCATCATGTCTCGACTAAAGACTTTCCATAGCTTTCAACGCCCGTCTCAATCCTTGCAAACAAATATCACTCAAACATCGGATAAACCATGGGAGCAGATTGGGCCGGGGAAGGATTACCTTCTCCAAGAGCTCGAGGATCTTTATTGGGCAGCTGTCAAGGTCGAACTGGAGAATATCATTCGTACTCTGAAAGTCTGGCAACAGCCGGAGTATGTGGATATTTGTATCAGCGATGAGAATGATAATAACATTCACGGCTTTGACACGTTTCTCGATCAGGTCTGCCAGGAGTCGAGAGCGTTCGCTATTCGCTATGGTTGGTTCCGCCCTCCATGACATTGGAAGTGTGTTCGGTAGAATGTATCCAGGTGGTACTGACAGCATACAGGAGAAACGAAAGTGGAAGAGATGGTCAACGAGAGATCAGCGGAGAGATTCTTGCCGCGTAACCTCTCTTACAAGGAGGCGCTAAGGAGGGTCTTGCTCGATACTCGCGCGGAGTATTTTAGTAAAAGAATCAGAGAAGAAGTGAGGGGGAATCTTCACAGTGAGTCATGTTGTGTTCTTTGCGTGAACAGTGACTAATACGGCACTTCTGGTAAAGCCACTCCCAGACTGTCAGGCGTTGAGCTACGCGCCTGGATGCTGCTTCAGAATGCTGGTGAGTACGGATATGGTAGCACCAAGCTATCCGTGGTCATACTAAGTAGGGCTAGGTTTCCTTGACATTGACAAGCTGATTGAGCACCGGCCACCATTGGATAAACTGGGTTTCTGGAAACGACCAGCCATCCCTCAACGTATGCTAATTCCACCAATTGTGTACAATGAACAATCAACTAAACAAAGTAGTCACCATTTCTGACTTCGATGAACAATGGGTTCCTCAATTTGCTCCAATGCAATGTGCTGAATGTAGGGGCATCATTCGTGGAAGCATGTTCATGAGCCGGAAACAACCCCCAGACAATATTGCGCAAAAAGGCGCCCACACCATCTGCGAAGATTGTTATCGGACTTATCATTATGGCGACGAGTCGCTTTCTAAGAGATACAAACATTGCGTCCTGTCCGAATCCATACAGCCCGCCACAAGCAGAAAGATGTGCGCATGTAAAGACGTACCTCATTTCGATACAGACGGGCGTCCGCGCAGTTTATTCCCACTGAACGAAGAAGATAACCATATTGCGTACAAGGCAGGCTATCGGTGTACCGTTTTAAAGCTCTCGGAATTGGTTCCGTATGCAAAATATCAAGGGCTTCTGAGTACAGCCAAATTTAAACGCAAAAGAAAACGTCGTTTGTCTGACATCCAGTGGATCTCGAATATGGTTGATCGATCTCGAGGTAGGACAAACGTGCAACGTGCAGCCACACAGCGAGGGCAGACTCACAATCAATCGCCGCAAAATGTGACTAGACTAAGTAAACAACCAGCATTGCGGTCCGTGACAGAACAAAGCCGTCAAGGTGACCAGCGTGATCCTGTGTCAAGTAAAACGAGTGGAGTGACGGAAGCGCAGGCCAACGAGGACATTCCCCTTTTTTTTCGACAGTTCACTGAGAAATACCCCTTCGGAAATGTGCATATGGCGTTACGTGTAGGTCCTTTGGTTATTGAGAACGGTGTTTCCCAGTGAGTTCACTTCTCCCGACAAGGAACATTTACAAGGAGACTGATCGGTCTTACCGCAGCACAAAAGCGGGTGCACTCATTACTATGAGGGAAACACCGGTATTGAATGACCGTTTTACACGCGGGGCTCATCGACGCAGTCTAGCAGTAGGCGGAGACCCAGAAAGACTTTTATGGCAGCAAGAGCGACAGGTCGGCCAGCCAAAAAGATACAAGGCCGTTATGAAGCAAATTGTCGGTGCGCCCTTCACAGGGATTCTTTCACAAGGACATGAGAGTAAGCAAGAGAGAGAAATAGTAGAGCTGATGGTGGCAGCCAGTAAACAGCCTTTTGATAATCCCGGCTTGCCAATCATGGAAAAGCAAAGGATCCTCGACGGGGCCATGAGCTATATCCTGGAAAAGCTAAGGAATCTACTCAACTCGAGAGTCAAGATCTATCTTAATAGCATTGCACAGCATCTCCTTGATCCCGGGAATACACTAACGTGGAGTGCGACTAGCAATAACTGTCAGAACTTTTGCAACTCTCTAATCGACAGCGAGCTATTCGAGCCCCTGGTCAACGGCCTACATATGCAGTCTAGCGAAGCACCCTCGCCGCTCTACCTGATGAGCTTCGTCTGCCCACCGGAGGGATACCTGAATAATAAAGTCATCAGTAAATTCGACGTGCCTAGTGGACTGACTGAGGAGTACCTCCTTCGGTTTCATTATGGCCGCCATGACGAGGCCGACATAATTGACACCCTCCAGGAATACTGGTACGATTGGGGAGCTTTCGAATCTCCATTATATAAATACCAAGATCTCTTTCCCTGGGACTGCACAGAGGCATACATGCGGTATCCAACTAAATGCGGAGACTGCAACCTATCCAAACACGTCTGGGCATTTCCCTTCGATTCATGGTCTATCATCGCCCTTCACCATTATCGTGATAAGCACATGTATCAGCCCAAGCTAGATCTAGACTCCAAAGGGACCGACTCTTGGATAAAAGACCGCCTCACCATCCTCACCGCGTCGTCGATACTCGCTCGCGCCGCAACTGCAATGGCCAAGTCGGCCACATTCTGCAAAGCGACAGCTTGGCTGCATTCCAAAGAAAAAGGCCTCCGCCGCATTGACCCTTCACTCGCCCGAGTGAAACTAGGAGGTATTCACCGCGCCCAGCCATTCAGCCATTACTTCGAAGCAGGGACCTACAGCCACTATTTCCTGGCCGAATGGGCATTAAAAAAGAAAATGGATAAGATAAGGGACTACGAGACTCTTCGCGACGGCCGCGCGAGGCGGCCGGATATATCTTCGCGCAGCGGCGGGAGGTTCTTGGGGACAAGTAGGGAACCTTCGAATTTCGATCGATTATTCGACGGGTTCCGGGGAATGGATGGTACCGATCCCGACTATACTGGCTGTGATGATCGGGGGCAGATTGAGACCGATGCCCAGTTCGATCAACAGACGGCTGCTGCTATTGCTGCTGCCCTTATCGCTGATTCTCAGCTGGATTGCGTACAGAATGCCGAGCATATGGTGGCAGAAGCTGCTGCTGCTGCTGCGAACTGTGGGTCCGGCTGCGGGAGTGTTACGGAGCCGTCTCATGTCTGTGGCTCTTCCTCTTCTGGAGGTGGTTACAGTAGCGGCGGAGGGGGCTCTAGCAGTTGCGGAGGAGGGAGTAGCAGTTGTGGAGGTGGGGGTAGTAGCTGCGGAGGAGGAGGAAGTGGTGGTGGTTGTGATTAAGCTGACAGTGTTATATCTTACCAACGAGTTTCAATTGAAACGATGTATATACATGTCAATGCCCCTATTTCGCCCATGTACTCCTGCTACATGAAACCAAAGTAGACATTATGTGTACTGTTGACCGGCTTGCTGTATCTTTGTGCATCCATATATAGTCAAACGTATACTGGTCAGTGAAGTTGGTTGGATCCTGATAACTAATATAATCCCTGTCAACAATCGGACTTTTTCCGCCCGTACCCTTCTCTCTTCTTTCAAAACGCGCAATGTGAACGGGCATTTAATCCACCCCCAATGGGCTCTTAAAGGCCTTGGAAAACTGCAGAGCAGGTAAGCCATCCTATTTTATTTTCTTTATTAATGACACCTCTTGCGTGATGATATTATCCTACTGCAGCAGTTAATGCTCTCGGATATAAAAAGAAAAGATAGCGGAGATAATAACATATGAATACCCTCAACCCGGCTCTCAGCTCCTACAGCCTCCTTCGCAGGCATCTTATACCTCATTTGCCAGCTGGCTTACCTGCTATTAGAGTGATGTGAAGCTGGGTCATGCTCTATGCTTGCCCTGAAGGCGTCGGCATCAACTATAGACTCCTGAAGGACGCAGATTTCAGAGCTTTTACGTGGAACATTGTGAATAAGGGGCCGCAGGCCTTGGGGGCCTAATGGCTGGGAGAAGTACATCGGACACGAACTGCTGTGTCGCGCGTTAGATGCTGATCATCTCGAAATGGTGGCACCGGGGGCGGGTGCATTTGCTTTCGTGGTGCCATGGAAGAGAGCTTTTAGGGTCTACGAAGTAGGAAGGCAGTTCAGAAACGAGAGCATCGACCTCACGCACAGCCTAGAGTTCCCCACTGGCGAGTTCTATCACGCATACGCGGACTACAACGACCTAATGGATCTAACGGAGGACCTCATAACAAGCATGGTTAAGTACATCGTAGTGCTACGAGACCACCTACCACACCCAAGCTGGTGACATCTATACCATCAACTGGAAGGGGCCCTGGAAGCGGATAGATATGATCCCTGCGCTAGAAGAAGCCTGCGGCGAGAAGTTTCCCTCCAGAAGCGAACTTCATACCCCGGAAACCGGAGAATTTCTCAAGCCGATACTAAAGAAGATGAACATGGAGTGCTCACCCCGCTGACCAATGTCCGGATGCTGGATAAGCTGGTCGGCGAATTTATTGAGGCGTGCATCAACCCCACGTTCATTATGGGGCATCCGCAGATAATGTCTCCTCTGGCGAAGGCGCACCACAATCAGCCTGGTCTTTGTGGGCGCTTTGAGGCGTTTGTGTGAATGGCCCTGTAGCTCTAACAGTTCGGGACTCAGATACTTATGGCGAAAAGCGCCACTAACAAATTAGCGAACGCTTACACGGAATTAAATGATGTGAACCCCTTTAACCCTCTTAGCATTTCGAGAAGGCTAACGTGTCCACAGCCTTTCGATCGGCGCATGCGATTCGAGAAGTAGGCCAACCAGAAGGCCCAGGGTGACGACGAGGCCCAACTGATCGATGAGACCTTCTGCCAGTCTCGGGAGTACGTACGGCCTGCCACCTACTGGCGGCTGGGGTATGGGCATCGGCTGCCTGACTATGTTCCTGACCGATAACCACAGTGTCAAGGGGGTCATGACTTTCCCGATAATGAAGACAAGTCAGCGGACAAAACACCAGTAACATGAAGAGAAGTGTACTCGTCTAGGGAATGACCCACTACCATGTCCGCGGGAACGCCACATGTCGCCAGATGAAGCGGCTGTACGTTTCGCCAGAGACGCGAAGCATGGGGCTGGGCGGGGCATTGGTGGATACAATTGTGCGATGAGCCAGAGAGCTGGGGTTCCGAGAGATGGAAGCTTGATATGCTCCCTGCGAAGAAGGGAGCTATCCATTTATATAGGCGGTTGGGCTTTGTCAAGATAGACCTTTATTATCACACGCCGTTGGAGGACAGGCCGTTATTTTTAGGTTAGATATGTCTTGACAACTGCATCTTACTTGGTTCTCTGCTTTTCGATTCGATACTTAACACCCGTGGAAAGCGTCACTAGCGGGTAGACTATGTCGATGAACAACAGAAGGCTATATATAAATTAGATATTTAACGAAAAAGATGTATATATTCTCCGTTTCGAACCACTCTCTGATCGTGAGGAATACATCTCGGGCAAAACATCACAGACCAAACACCTGACACTCGAAAATTGCTTGTAACGCAATCAAAACCGCTTCTCAATGTCCTCCATCCGCTCCACACACTCCCCTGCCTCATCCCGCGTATGCTTCTTAAGAGTCTTCTGGGTCATCACCCACTGAAACCGCTTCTTCCAGAAATCCCATCGCTCCCTGGACCAAACTTGCTGACCCTTCCACGTTGAGCCCCGAACGTTCTCCAACCGCCCCTTCTGCTGGTAGATCCGCGAGCCGCAGTGGCGGATCCACACCGCAGCGGCTGGAACATACCCATCCAGACTCCCCAAATCCCACTGCTGCCACTGCCTCTCGAGCGTCCTCTGCAGCACCCAGCCGCCACGACTGATAGCCCCCCGATGGGGGAGCCCGATTGCCGCCAACTTGGCGGTATAGGCGTTCAAATTGAACCAGGTTTGGCGGTTTTGTTGCCGACTGCCGCCTCCGTCGTGGACTGATCAATAATAGTAAGTGTCTTGTTGACCATAGAGGAAAGGGAGAAGAGGAGAGGAAGACAAACGGCCCCACGAAAACTCATCAATGGTCATCGCTAATCCATTTAAATTCCCGTATTCCCCACTCGGAAGCCCTGCTAATGCCTCGGTGAAGTCCACCAGCCGGTCGTTCATATCGGTCAAGTTCTTGACCGCATCTATGATCATGGCATAGAGGATATCTGTGCTGGGAGGCGTCGGTTCCGGCTCGTAGGCGTGCTCCCGTGGAGGTGGGGTGACGGCTTCATGTGCGAGATCGATGGCTGGGATGGTGGGATCTATCAAGAGCTTAGTGAAGGCGGAGAGAAGTCTAGGAGGGGCGGCGGATTTGGTGGGGATGTCGTTTCCCTTGGCCCAAGCATTGAGAAAGGCGATGCAGTCGTCTGTCATTTTGTTATAGATAGTATCTATCGTATTGGAGACTTTTGGGACAGGTTAATTGATTTAATTAACGGCATCGGACATAGAGCTGTGGCTGTGTGGCACTGCAACCCGCGCGGACCCCAATATATTCAATACTAGTGGGATGATCATTCCAGTGACGTCTTTTGAGTATTTTAATAATAGAGTCAGTATATGCCCTGTATCTCTACTGACATAGCTCCCAGCAGTAAGGCATTATGGCTAGGTCAAAGAGAAGATACCGTCTTAGTTAATTTTATCAAGCAATAATACATTTGCGCTAAGCAACGACACATGCGGAAATGCCAATGGTCTTCGATGAGGATTCCTTACAAGCTGCTCTCTACAGACTAGAATAAGTGAGTCTGTCAACAAGGCTATCGAGGTCAGTGATAGACGGAGAGGAAGGTATGAAGATGGGGAGATGGGGACGGGGGAAAGGTTCTGGTCCAGGGAAGAGCAGTACGTTCAATATGACCCGAGTAGGATCTACTCCGATGAATGGCAGGGGAGTCTGCGAAAGAATTCACACCTTAGTAAGTAGAACGATTTGTGCATAATTCAAACTCAACAGAGCTACACTATTGAACCAGATATCGCATTCCGAGCATACCCAGAATACATTTATGGAATAATGGTAAACTCCTTTTTCTTTACCTCATTAAGAAAGACCCTATAATCTATCTTGGGACCTTAGCCAAGATCCGTCCATCTCAGACCTTATTGGATGGTCATTTTGGACCTGTCCTGGTTCTTTAGCCTATATTTAGGACACCTCCATGCTATATCACGACCAACCTCTATTGATCTCAAAGTGGGTACCTTTATGTTCACATACTCGTGCCCAAAGCTAAAGTCTACATAGCGATCAATAACCTACCGGGTGTTTACTTCGGGAAATAATCCGAGACCCCATTATATGCCACTTTTTAATCGGCCTTGGAGACGATTGTAGCGGTTATTAGAGTGGGCTCTGTTCATTGCATTGTTCATTACTCTGTCCGTTGTCCGCCCTTGTCCCATGTTGGCCTGAATGAGTCACAGCCGGACAACCTACAACCTCCCAGCTAGTATACCTACTTCCTTGCATTACTGAAACATGCAAGCATCCAACTAGCCACTCCTGCCATGGGCCCACAAGCCCTAACGAGCGACTACTCAGCACCAGTGTCAATTAGTATAAGCCTAAACGGATTTCTATTTAGATGAGATATTCTTTGTGAATATTCATTGGAAGCCTTCCTTAATAAGAATGTCATAACTTGGTCTGCCCTTTCAAGATGTTGTAGAAAAGATCAGACACGCGGCCTTGATCGCCATCGATAATATAGCTCTTTATACGTTCAACTATCTCGGACTCGATTACTTGGACGTCTCCACCTCTTACAGAAGCTTGAATGGAAAGACATCCAAGTCAGCCCCGATCCCGGCCTCCTGGCTGAGATGGAGAGACTCCCAAGAGGCTCCATAATCTTGAAAGACAGACTAGGGAATCTGGGGAGGAAGCATACTAATGAGTGGCTACAAAAAGTCATACTATATATCGCCCCTCCAGTCGCGGCTTGGCGCTTTATTTAATCTACTGGTCTGCAATGACATTAATTTTAAGTCGGAAATCCTGCACGCACAGTATCGTGTCAAGGTGGTTCTTCGCGATGACTCTGGATTAATGGTCCAAAGGTCGAGACATGCCGTGATTATACTAGCATTCATAACTTGAGCACAGAAAAATAGGATTTGAAGTAGGATAGAATTTTAAGAGAACATTCCAGGAGAGTAACACCAGCTGCTCACCTCAGAACGAGGTAAATCGAAAATTAGGGTTCTAGAGTTACAAAATCGTGGACTCGCTTTCCCTGCGTGAGAATCATAGGGGCGGTATCTAGTTCCTCCACTTCCTTTCATTAGATTTTATTTGGAACATCAGCGACGGTCATAATTCGACCAAGAAAGGTTGGCAGCTTCCACCATCGCCGATGAATTACCCCGTCTTGGTAGTGCAGGCGTCGACAGAGTCAACACATGAGCTGTTGGTTTGGATTGCGTTACTGGAGTTGAACAAAAGGACCGAAACTGGTTGACGATCTTGATGTCAGATGGAACGTCTATGTATAGACCTTGCACTGTGCTTATAATGGCAGACATCAGCAAACCGCAGTAAAGAGTAACCCCTCTGTACGCATCAGCCATTCTTTCAACTCATGAACGTGTGTAGGATCTTTTCTGTACATGAATTATTATCCAGACCAGGAACTTACGGCCTACCTTGGATCCGAGCAGCTATTCCTTAAAGGAGGATGCCTAATGGACATGGATGAGAATATATCGATTATGGCGAAATATTTCCGGGAGTAAAAGGTTGTCGGCCTTGTTATCTCGGTCGCGATGCTGAATTAGAAGCACCATGCCATGGTGCAGGATAATTTGACCTATATTATACGATAAAATCGGGACTTGAATAGTCAAAAGGTGTAAGGAAGGCATATACTCCAATGTTCTCTCTTTTTAGTAGTTGTACAGAGTTTAGAACAACGGCGACTTGGTAGATTATCTTGAACAGATGCAATATTTGATGATTAACTGTTCATTCGGCCTTGCCTTCCTGGTCTAGTATAAGATCGAGGTTGGGAGGGCTAAAAATAAAATCGATCTGCATAACAATTGCTACTTTTCCGATGAGCAAGATATATTGTTTTACTTGCCACCCTTGCAGTTGGAATACTGCTGTGGATGGAGGGGCAAATGTTTGAAAACCCCTTCTATTATATGGTTCCCAGTGCCATGATGGTCAAGCTAGGACGGCTTTTGGGAGACGCAAAGGGAACGAAGCCTGCGATTGGACTTGGTGTGTGTGTTTCTTAGGGCCTTGTATACCCAAAGAGCATGTTTCATGGCCCATGGTAAAATTATGGTTGTACCATGGTTGCGCTTTACTTGCTACTTAAAGGCAGCAGCGTGATGTTGAGATTGAAACATTTTATTCCCTGTAGGATAAATCAATCCCATTCTTTGTATAAAAGTAGAATGCGTAAGAACAATGATAGATCAATGCGTTTACTACAGCACAACGTCTCCAACATATGTTGAATTTGTCCCATTTAGAAGCAGTACAGCACCTTGAGTATACGATGATGGTGAAGCAACCATGGTAAGGCCAATTCAATATCAAGGTATAATTCATACGAAGTGGCTCCTTTTGTCAGCCGCTACAGATTTTTAAAAGAAGGCCGCATAATCATCTTGCAGAAACTCTCCTCGTATTTATCTTGCAGCTAATCCACAATGATACCAAACTTGACCCTGATCCCTGTGGCACAAATGCCCCAACAAGTAGGCGTTCGGGTGTCCCAAGATGACTGGACACGCATCATTGATCGAAGCGCACGAAGAAAATTGCAAAATCGAATCAACCAAAGGCTATACAGTAAGGTACGTCGCCATTGCAAAGGCTTGCTAATCTGAAAATCCCAAGACAACGGCATTCACAACGCGTCAAGGCTAGCAAAACCCCTAGAAAGAAGCAACAGTACTATTATCAGTAACTCTCACACAGCTAGTCGCAATGAGGACAAAGATACTGGCGATGACTTCAGTTGTACAATGGGACCAGTGAACATCCGGTCCGTGATGCGCGATTTTGAATCTCTAGCTCTTGAAAGCTATTGGACGAACTCTCCAAACCGTGACGTGACCATCTTCTGACTTTAGCTAAAGTCAACACCTAACGCGCTATTATCGATAACATGCGCTCTATAGGTATGGCCAAGGAGTGGATGAATCACGACGGCGCTGTATCTATCTTCAGCATGCAGGTTCCTGGATTCTCTGAGACTCACATTCCACTTAGCCTTCGTCCGATAGTAGTTTAGCGACGAATTCCCCATCACCCATGGCTAGACATCTTTCCCTTACCTAATCTAAGGGATAATCCCATTACTGTGCAAGATGATCTTGACGACGAAGAGTTATGCCATGATCTGATGGCTTTCTGGGATACGCGGAACGCAGGTGCTATGTTGTTGGTCTGGGGTCCGTCTTGGGAGCCCTGGATCTGGGAAATGACAGAGGCGTTTGTGAAGAAGTGGGGGTTCCTTCTAGACGGCTGTGAGGAACTTTTGGGAAGTACCAATTATTGGAGAATGAAAAGGGGCGAGCGGCCGTTGTCTTTGCGAGACTTCTCCCTGCCCTATAGATTACATCCTTTCTAGTGGAGTCTCGCGATACCATCCTCTTCCGTGGCCCGTTTGTCTTTGATTATCATATCATTCAGCAAAACATGAGACTTGTGTAGGTTTGATGCTGACGGATATTTTGTAGTTATTTCAAATGTAGACGCAACCAAAAGCTTCTTAAGACCTTTTTTTGGTAATATCTCCGAGAATTTGGCCGTAGGCAAACTGCTCACGGACGCCTCAGACATTCGCGACTTAGTTTATGCTGGGGCCCCATATACCACATTGCTTGCCATTGTCGAATGGATCCACCCAAGCATGTTGCTTACGGGGATTACCCTAAGAAGCTCGACTTATTTAAGGTAGGGTGGGACGCAGGGTCCGATCATGGCTGCTAGTATTGATAAGCAACAAGGAGTGTAATGCGAAGCTGAACCTTGAAAATCACTTTAGCGTGGGTGGTGGTACTCCTGATAAGTGCGACTAACATAACATCCTTCAATTCAGACGATGTTCAAAGGGTTTCATTTTGACACGCACATACTCAACATTCGACTCATACAATGTCTCCTGTATTGGCTACTTTATCAACAGGTGCAAAATTATGGGTGAACATAGGTCTGCATTGAATCCTATCTACATTATTGTATGACTAACAGCGTCATAAGCTTATCAACCTGGGGATACTTGACCACACCAGCAAACGTACTTGCAGGCGCAAGCCAATTCCCAGTTGACCTTCCACCACAGCCTCATGCGATGCAGAATGTGATTATGATTGCGGCCTTGATTTATCAGCCCAAGGTGTGGCCCATTCCCTTTGATACGGGTGCGTGTGAAGATATGATCTCAAGTTGGGGTACAAAAGTGGTAGAATGTGCCCCAAGGACTTGGGACAAATCAACACATGGTCTACCTGAGGTTATCAGAGCTAGTGGTGCTGATGAAATAACAGACATCAGGGCGGCTGTCTTAAGCCACTTGCACTATGATCATGCCGGAGGCTTGGAACATTTTGTTGGCGCAGGCTGGTGTAAAGGGATGAGTTTTAACTTGGTCTATAATACAGACCTCGAGATTTGGTGCTATGAGGAGCTTAAGAATGCTTTCTGGACTGATGCGACAGGCCCGGAGCGAGCAACCTATTTGAAAGACTGCCTCTTGGTTGTCCATATTTAAGTGGAAGGCCTTTCAGGGCCAACCCTTCGAGATCTTCCGTGGTATTAGCTTTCACCGCTACCCTAGCCATACGGTGGGCTCGATTGCGATGGAACTTAAGCTTGAGAAAACAGGCTTGGTTGTACTAACAGGCGACGCATTTCACGTAAAGGAGAATTAAGAGGGAGGCATACATCCAGGTACATTAACAAGGGCCTTTAATGAGTGGCACCGTAGTCGAGAGTATATCCGGACCTTGGTGGAGAGAAAGCAGGCTACGGTAATGACTCTTCATATTCCAATGCGTTAGAAGCTAGCCCAAGAGATATACAGAATGACGCCTGATCAAGGACTGAAAAGTTGCGGTGACAAGGCTAAAGTTGAGGGTGATCTCAGCAAAGACTGTTGGGGAAATGGATGGAGAATTATGCTACAAACCTGTTTATGTTCTACTGCAAACTGCGCAACTCGTTGCCGAGGTAAATGCCTGAACTAGTAGACACATAATCCTGAGCGTTTGTGTGTGAAGGCTAGGTTCACGGTATGATTAATGGAGGTATGATTGGTGCCGTTGGGCTTAAATAGCTGTCATGTGTTTGGCGTTCTGTCTGCATGCTATACAGAATCAATCGGTTAGGCACCCAAAATGAACTACAATCTTGAGATATCTCTGCTATCTTAATATTAACCTCCAGCCTCTGCTGGCACTTGGATCCGAGCTGCTTAGACCAAAGTCAGCATGTATGAGCCTGTCAATTGGCTACATAACATACTCTTCCATCTCATCTTCTCCCTCTGACCCTCTTGGTTCCATGTACGCTTCTTCAATCTGCCTATAATATTTCCTTCCACGGATTTGATGACGATAGCATCTGTAGTATGAGTATAATTTGGGTTCAGACAGATCGCGTCTGTCGGATAATTCTATCAAGATATAATTATCTTCGCAGAGGCGGAATAGTCGTTATATGTTTAAACAGCGGCTCCTCTAGGACCTCACGATGACACCAATTTACTCATGTGCTGCATCGGGTGAGACATTCCCGGTTACCAGAGAGGCAGGTAACTTCTGGCTACATAGAAGCATAATAATGTTGTTGTTCATGATGCCCAGACAGCATTTTTAATAGGCCATCAGTACCGTTAACCACCAGAGTAAAGCCTATGATCAGATTGGAATTCAGGGAAAACACCGAAATAACCAAGCCACTTCCAGCACACCACACAGTTGTTGATAGTACGCGTCTTGTATCACCTTTAGTCCATCACCTTAGCGCCTCAGAGCTTTCAATCTGTCGCGTAACTTCCATGAGCCTCTCAATCATACTATCAAGATCAGGAGTCGCTATAGGGCTTTCCCTCCTTTCCCAACCAAGTTCAATGGGAAGACGTTCATTCTCTGGAGAGCAGTCACATTAGCCACTAGCCAAGATCCGAATCATGCTAAGATGCCTACCGAACAGGTACTCCACCCAGGATCTATCAACGGTCGCAGAGACCCTATCACCAAAGACAAGAATATATGTTGATGTCTGTGCATAGCTAAACCGAAGACGACTCCCGGAGAGGTCAAACGTCGGATTGGTAGCCTTGGAAGTATTTATTCGTGCCAGACGGGCGCGCGCCCCAGCATGTAGGTCAATTATCGGCTCGGTCCAGTACGATCGTGCTTCGTCGAAGATTGTCTGGTTGAAGGAGTGATTGTCGCCGAAGTAGAAGTCTCCGCGGCTGGATACGTCAGTTGTTCTGTCTTTCCGATAGTGATCAAACGACAAATTACCTCAAACTCCCATCATGCTCTATAATGTTGTGACGATTCAGATCATCAAGGGAAAAGGTCGTCGCATTGGGTGTTGGGTTCGTTTTTATTGCCATTGCGAAGAGGATCTGGGAAAGCCCTTTATCGACATTCAAAGCTGAGCCTAAGGCCTGGATTGTATCCTGCTGCGAGATGTCCTTTCCATCGTGTTGGAGAACGTCATGATTGGCGAGCGCATTCAACACGGGGCAAGGACTGCGCACTATTGGTCTTCAGTCATCTCGTTTATTCATCTACTATGTGCGGAGTTACCATCATTTGGTCCCGGAGGTGTCCACGGGAGTGGGTGTGGAACGTGGGTTAATGTTTTCACCAGGGTGGCCGACAACAACGACAGAAGTAACCACATATTGCTGTTTTCTCTGACCCTGGGCTCTAAGCTGAAGGCGTGTTTAAGACGCACATATATATCTGGGGCACGGAATTAGAAAAATAGCAGATGACTTTCGCACATCATACTACTAAGGAAGGGCGGACCCATCCTGCGGAATCGACCCAGTCTAGGTCATGCAAACATTCCTGCAGGCAATCTATCATCCATAGTAGGATCTATCAAGAACAATAGCATTCTTCGGAACCAGGGGACGTCCATTCTTGCTAATACGAGCTAGGTCATTGGTCCTAGGTAGCTAGCCATCCGATGGCGCAATGAACAGCACCACAAACCAGTGAAACTATTGAAACATTCGGAAGGTTTATAATCTGTCTCATGCCGGTGTAGCTCCTACTTTGGGATGTCTAGATTGGTGTATCATATTCCCCATGCCCAGAAAAGGTATTCCTTATGCAATATGACGAAAAAATAAAAGAGAACCTTGGATTGTTGCGCATGCGTATTTACTAGTGTTGCGCAGGAGTTTTGAACATTAACGAGGGTTACAAGCCGACTACTAAGTTGAATTCCTGGAGCAATGTTCAGAAAATTTCAGCCCTCGCTCCGTATCAACTAGTGCCCTGAGATTGCCCATAAGATGTTATTGTTAAGCCTCTGCATTCGCGTAATAAAGATAGAGAAAACCCAGTGTATGATTGCTACAAGAACAAAACCCTATCCCAAGGCTTCGACCTTCCAAACTCCGACTTGACATCTCCCCCCCCCCCAACAATACACCTAGCTTGAACAAAAAGTAAATAATACTATTATATTCCTCCATAACTCCTGACCCTTAGTTCTTCCGGCACTATTCGCAGTATGTCAGCGATCTTTTTTAGATCTTTAGGACTGTACGTGTTGCGAAGTGGGTCTCTTACGTAGCCCCAGCACCCTGGGCAGTCAGCAGTACAGTCAAGTAGTGGACAGCAGTCAAGTCCAATCGCCGGGTTGCAGCGCAGTCCAGGTCTATCCTGGCAGCTAATTACAGGTATATCCTGATAGTTAGAACCCCATGGTTCATCAAAGTGCCTAGCAGCCAGAGCTAAAGCTGTAAATAGAAGGACTGCAACGAGCTTCATAATGAGGTAGTTAATCGATATTGTTTGCAAGGATGGGTTGCAACTAGGAGCATTCGCTTCTTTAGTTGAGATGAAGTATCCTCTTTATACGTTTTCAATTCAGCGTAGTCATTTATGTCATAGATAGATCATGCCTGGAATGAACTCATTACCTCGTGCCATGGTTCTAGACATCTGGTATATGCGTCACTTAGTACCATGCCGTTGCCCGTTTGGTGTGTTACTTCAATAGCAATGACAATTTCCCTCCCCATAAACCTCCTCCCCTCGGTAGGCTACATGATGTGTGGCTTGCTCGTTAACAAAATCCGACAAACTAGGGTCATGATGCACGCAAAATGCTGAGAGTGAGCTCACCTGTATGCATGACTACTTCGTGGGCTCCTACTTGACTAGGCGTAGTAGCTCAGCGTTACATCCGGAGGCTATCAGCGGAAGTTCGATTTTTCTATTTCAGAGCCATGGAATCTTCTGCCGCTTGACGCCGACCGAATAGTAAGAATTTTTGACAGCTGTAGGAGCAGTGGAGCTCAGATTCTCCACTCCCAGCTTGGGTTTGCAATTCTCATCATGGATACATCATTGTAAAACCCGTTAAGGGATCTAAAATATCCGCTTGACCTGGTCCACCACAATCATAAGCAATATCAGGTCACATAAGTCATTATCCGTGTATTAGCGGCAGCTCCAACTTGCGAGTGGCTGTAAGGAAGTAGTTATCTCTGCTTTCGACATCTTGTTTTCTGTCCCTCTGCTGTCTTCTCCCCTTCCAGCACGTTGATGTCTGCTTGACGAGCTATAGTCCAAAAGGGATGAATGTAGGTTATGAATTTTGGCCCTGTTAAGCATTATTCTGATATAGTGCATAGTACAATATAGGGTGTCCGAATCCCGGGTCACCGCTTATACTCTTAGTAACCCTATAATAAAATAACACTAAGCTCCTTGTAGATCATATTTACTTTATCTATTTCTTGCTCGTTCTTCCTTTTTCTGCAATATTTTATCTTGGCTTCCTTTTGTGCTCTTAGAGAGCTTATACGTAGTTCCCAGAGTATTGATCCTCACTTTTCTCATTGTGAGTTAACCACAATGCTCTGCTCCCCGCGAGGCTTGGACAATGCCATCCTGCTAAAGATTGTCCGTCCTAGGCTTCCTGCCATCCCCTGCGGACAGGTTAGACAACAGGCGAGGACAGCGACCAATCCAACAAAGTCAGTAATTCTCTCATCAATTGGCCCTCATTACAGTGTAACCAAGGTGACTGAGCTAACTGTCTGGGAGTGTGTATATGCTGAGAACGTTGCAGCAAGGCCAAGAGATACGGTCTATTTGTCCCTGAAGAACGACATCATGTTCACCCGCTCGTCAACCCTCGTCGAACCAAAATGGACGAATCGTGCGTTTACACTCACCTGACCCGGTGGATTTCGTCTACAGCTGACAGATGATCAATTAGTTTCGTTGGAATGACAGGGGCAGATCTTCCATCAAATGATGATCGCGCACGACGTGAAACATATTTGTATGTAGCGGCTCCGCTCTAATGGCGCCGAATACTCACTTGACCACGGGTAGTCGGTTGTCCTGGAGGGGCAACTCTTCCTGTATTCTACGCCATCTATAACTCCAAGCATTTCAATTTCGTCTTGTCGAAGCACGAGCAAGGAGCAGGCCACATGGCTGAGGGCTACGCCCGTTCGTCTGGTAAACCCGGCGTTGTTCCGGTGACGAGTGGTCCAGGCGCTACCAATGTGATCACGCCGATGGCAGGTTCGTTGGCAGATGGAACGTCGATGGTAGTCTTCACTGGACAGGTCTCCACTACTGCCATTGGAAGCAACGCTTTCCAGGAGGCTGATGCGGTTGGGATATCGCGAGGTTGCACCAAATGGGATGTGATGGTTCAGAATATGGCAGAGTTACCGAAACAAATCAACGAGGCTTTCGAGATCGCTGCAAGTGGACGTCCAAGCCCTGTGCTGGTCGATCTGTCCGGAGACATCACGGGTGAGTTTCTTCGGAAAGCCATCCCCACGGAGTCGACCTTTCCTCCCGCGACTAGCGCCGTTGCTCGTCAGGCGGTGGAGTTACAAAAGAAACAGGTGAAGTAATCTATTCGGAGTGCGACCGAGATCATGTACAATGCTGAGTCTCCTGTGATATTTGCCGGCAATGGCATTATCTGCTCGGAGAACGGGTCCAAGTTGTTAAGAGCATTGACTGATAAAGCATCTATCCCTCTGGCAACCTCTCTTCACGGTGTCGGTGCCTTCGATGAGCTGGACAAAAACTCCCTCCATATCCTTGGGATGCATAGATCTGCCTATGCTAATTTGTCCATGCAAAATGCAGATGTTATAATTGCCCTTGGTGGCCGCTTCGATGAACGTGTTATTTGCAATGTGGCCAAATTTGCCCTCAATGCTCATGCTGCCAGTAAGGCAGGACGCGGTGGCATCATCCTCTTCGAAATTATGTCCAAAAATATCAATAAGGTCGTTCAGGCGACCGAAGCCATGGAGGGAGATGTGGGCGCTAATCTAGAACTTTTGATCCCGCGGATCAAGGAAAAGTCCATGACAAGTCCGCAAGGCTTGGTTTGACCAGATCAATGAGTGGAAGCAAAAGTCGCCACTTTTCGCCTACGAGAAGGCTGAGCGCTCTGGATTCATTAAGTCGCAAACACTTATCGAACAGCTGAGCAATCTTACAGCCGACCGCAAAGACAACACTTCTATATCAACGGGTGTCGGTCAGCATCAGATGTGGATCGCTCAAGCATTTCCGTTGGCATTACCCTCGTACCATGATCACCTCTGGTGGCCTTGGGACAATGGTTTATGGTTTGCCTGCAGCAATCGGGGCGGAGGTTGCGAAACTTGATGCTCTTGTTATTGGTATCGAGGGTGACGCGTCTTTAGCGATGACTCAAAATGAGCTATCAACCGCCTCGCAGTTTGATATTGGTGTAAAGTTTATTGTCCTGAATAATGAAGAGCAGGGCATGATTACGCAATGGCAGGACCTCTTCTATGAAGACCGTTACGTTCACTGCCACCAGATGAACCCCGGCTTTGTTAAGCTCGTGGTAGCTATGGGCCTACAGGCCCGCCGGTCAGTAAAAGCGGACGACGTAGTGGACAGTTTGAAATGGTTGATCGACACAGAGGGGCTGGCGCTGCTCGAGGTTATGACCGATAGGAAGGTATCGGTGTTGCCAATGGTCCCTGGAGTCTCAGGACTACACGAATTCATCATGTGGGATAGTGGTACGTCTTCAAATTAAACTTTACTTATATGGACAAATGTCTTCTATTGGCGAAAGGTAAAGCACGCCGGGAGTTGATGCGGCAACGGACACTCGGACTGCACAGCTAGACAAATCTGCGAGGAACAGCATCATGACCATCTGGGCCTTTTAGGGTATAGTTACCATGAAGTGTTTGGGTCCAGGAAAAAGGGAAAAGCTTCCGTGTTCAGCCTTGTGTGATGTGCATGCCATATGGATAGCAGTAAATATAGTAATAGAAGAAAAGACAACTTGGATTATTCCATACTCGAATGCATAGAAGCTTTGATCTTATAAGGGAACTGTCAACCAAAGTTACACTAAATTATCTCAAAAAGATTGACCTGAGAAAAATGATGGGGAAGACCTTCACGGTTCTGTTGGACAACATAAAGCGGGAAACCGACTGAATCCACCAAGCAGAACATAGGGCATCATGAGTCAGATGATGTTATATCGTATGACCGCAAAAGAAAATCCAGTTAACATGATACGAATCATAAAATATAAAATGAAAAACAGCGATGATTCTATTCACAGCTAAGGATTACATATAATAAATAACTTCATCGTGGCCAGAACATGCCTCCACCTAGAAATATAGATGTTCAGGATACAACCTAGCCATTTCTTCAGCTTGTTCTAACCTACTGCTACCTGGGCGAAAGGTGTAAGCTGGCATTTAATGTCGATAGTGGCTCTTTAAAATGGCCACCCTAGCCAGCTGACCAATCGGCCACGAGGTTAAAGCCCTCGGGTGATTCTGCCGCCCTGGGCACAGATGGTCGATTTACGACACTGCTTGTACTGGAAGATGCCAGGGACTCAGCTCCAGGATTGCATCCGGCTTCTTGAACAATTCCAGCACACTCCATGCCCAAATCGGAGTGGTCAAGCTCTCCCGTTGCAGAGAGGTAGTCCCGGAAGGTAAGCCCAAAAGTTTTGACTTCAACAATTAACTCGACATTATTAAGTGTTTCTAGATTCATTGGTACCTCACAGAATCCCAGGGTATGCTGATGGTCAGGTGCATCCAGCTTCAGTGATGCTGAGGTCCTATTAGGTAGCTGCCACTTTTCCTGCCGGTATTGCTGTTTTGCTTGGCGGACTCTGTCATCCATGGGAGTATCTACCGACGTGGGATATCTGTAAGAGACCATCCTTGACGATAAAGCCTGTCTCGTAATCACTACTAGGTGAAGTTAGAGTCCTCGTTACTATGAGGGATATCATACGGCTGCGTTGTTCGGTTCTCATGTCACAACCATCTATGGCAAACTTCCGCGGCGAGGTCGGACGCTATCGACCGACCAAATCCATCTCGATAGCCTGAATTACTGTAGGATGGCGTTGTCAGCGCTGTCCTTGTTTGGGATGGTCATAGGGTCCGAGGTAGATCAGAGCCGATTAAGTGGAAACATGACATTGAAAGATGCTTGTCTCTGAATAAAGAGATAGTAATATTATGATGCTTTTTCCATGATATGTCGAAAGACCATTGTGGTCCGGCGGTGTTCGAAAATATATCTAGCATGGTGGTCGACCGACCTTTCTCGCTCACCACCTAGGCGTACATTGAACAAAAAAAGCCCCGCTAAGCCAGGATCTATAATATTGATGCCACCCATCGGCCGTGCCTAGAACATAGAATGGCGGGGAATCTGACGAAGCAGAATGTAAAAGGGGGGAGTGTGTTACTCTAAGGTCATAAAAAGTGTGAGTAATGGAAGCCCCTTTCCGTTTAACGGACACGTCTTTCTCTACTACGGAACTCATACTACTGTATTCTCCAACACGCTGCGCATCATGTCTATCTAGCTTAGCTTAGGCCACTGTTCGAAAGTGATGGTCATTATCCAGCTCATGGTGATCAGGGTATCATCACGGCCTTAGGACACCTTTCCGATGCGGCGCGAGAGGAAGCGTAGAATGACCGCCAGTGTCTCCAGCCCCATGGATAGGATTATTGTGCTGTAAAGGATGGTCTGCCTGCTCTCATAATAGAAGCTTGATGATACCTCGTTGGGATCCTGAACCTTCATTTCGCGAAACTAATCGCTGAAGTTGCGACAACGTGACTTGGGCAATCGCAGTGTATTTTCTTAGTATAAGGTAGTCACGCAATGAGTGTGCTAGTCAGAGCTGTATATGTTCCGAAGATGGCAATTTGATACCTGTCGAAGATGTATGGTGTGGCAGTAACTAGAACGGCCTGCTCGCGCAGTGACGGTGCATCTATCCGCCCTGACCCTCGCATACCAATTAGGGGCTGTTTTAGATCTGTAAGGGTGTTGAGTGAGAGACATAGTGTAGGGCTATTTGTTTGTCTCGTTCCCAGGATTCAATCTTGTTTGAAGAGGGTTTTGCAGGATATGGCGTTGGTCAGGGTAGATGCCCTTGACCCCAAAGTATGTGTCGATGTTGTGGCCCCTCAGGCTAACATAAACAGACAGATCCCAGGTAATATCACGGTGTATATACAAATAGTAGCAACTTACACGCTCCCACTTGGTCGCATTCGAAATGTGGCACAAGTACACCTGGGTGGACAGGCGAGTCCTGTCCCGAACACATGTTGGGGATATACACCGAGCTATGTATGTGTTTCAATAGATACAATAACATTCATGACCCTGACGCCTTCCGTCTATTACCAGTGTTATCTCACTAGTTATCTGTGTCTCCCACAGATTAAGCATATAACTTCTCCTCGATCAACGGTGTCACCTCGGTTCCAAATGTCGCATGCCCAACCTCCGATCGTTGGCCATGTTCCGAATCATTAATCACGCCCCATTGCAGTTTCTTATGCACCAAATCTTCTGGAAATCCTTCCGGATTCTCAGCGTCGTCGCCTGGCTTGGCAGGCTGACAGGCCGCGGAAATGCTGGCGCTACAACACCCAGCCAAGGGCATTGTATCCGGATACTTTTTAACAATGCTGATGAGGAGAAGAGCGAAGAGGATAAATGGCCCCATCGAGATGGTGATATACTTCGCAATAAGCGAATAGAACACATCATTGACGGAGTTATCCGGGTCAACTTGGCCATTATTGACGTCGTGGACTTCGATACGCGCGAAGAAGACTGTTTCAGAGACGGCCCAGTGGAGCACTGCAATGCAGGCGGTGATGGGGATTCCCCATTTCCAGGGGATCGAGAGAAAATACGTTGACTTCTGCTCTGTCTCGGGGGCCGGTAAAGACACACGGAGACCCTTGGGTCGGTTCTTGGATCCGACCGCATAGCTGCACCATTCGGCCATCGCAAGCATAGTAGTCATGATGTTATTGAGGGCTAGGTAGATATAGGATACGATGATCTGGGGAATATTGGCAGCCAAGAAACCTACGGCGATATTTGGGACACCGTCCGATGTAAGGGAGAAGCTTTGGTGAGGTTGCCCTAATCCCATACTCATTACGGCCGAGCCGATTGCCTTAGAGCCGGTGCCACGGCCCAGAGGGTCGAATCCTATGCCCACATAGGGAATCACAATGCATACAATCACGATGTAAGGGCACCATGCCCACCAGCGGACAGCTTTTCCCCATCGCCAGCGTCCGCCAGTCCAGATATCACCGACATGTGTTGGCCTTGTCCTCCATTCCTCAGATCGCCAGAGGAAGGTCTCGTAGTCCTGTTTAGCGACAAGGCATCGACCTTCGGTGTATTGGTCAGGTTGCTTGATAAAGGATTGGATGGCGTCTCCGGTGGTGCAGAGAGGCTGGTCTTTCCTCGTAATGCGTAGAGAGATTATGAAACAGACCAGCTTTACCACATTGCAAACGATGACAACAATCAGAAAAATAGGGACTATACTCGCCTTGCACTGCTCTGGCACAAGTTGAGAATAACAGTGCCGAACAGGCGACTCGGGTAACGGCCCCAATCTCTCGCCGTTGACACCAATACCGCCTGGCATCCAATTATTGATACTGTGTTGGAGCAAGTACGCCGGGCAGTTCCACGCGGCCCCATTCCATATCTCCCAGAGTGCGTCCGACCAAGGACACATCCAGAGAAACAGTGGATACGTATCCTTGGAAATCGAGTAAACATTGTACCAAATAGTTATAACTGAAGATCCCTCATCCGCACTATTTGACTCGTCAACGACCAAAAGAACATGCCTTCGTTCCGGTAACATATCAGTTGAATAGGACGTCATGCATTTCTCAACTGGAAGGAACTCAAGTTCGGGCGACGACTTCCCCGAGCCGCTTCCTATTACTTTCTGCTGGAGCTCCTCGACAATAGTGCTGTAGTGGGCAACCTTTTGGTTATCGGGCATAAAGTCACCCGGATGGGCACCTTCGCGCAACGTGCGATTCAGATCAGGGATCTTCCATGACCCTCCGTTGAGAAAGTCTTTGGTGACTGCAACAGCGAGATAGTTGTTTGTAGCGCGGGTCTGGAAGACAGTTGAGTTCCAAAGCATATGCAACGGAACTGAGCTAATGGCCAAGACTACCCATAGAATTGTTTTTGGCGGGGACACAAAAGCCAGGTTTCGCAGGTTGGGGACACCGATACTCAACCAATGTTGACGAGCATGAGCGGTATCCACTTCCTTTCGGGTTGGCGAGCTCAGACACTGCATGCTGAAATTGCTGGCGGCCAGAAGGAGGGTGCTCAAGATGTTGATGATAAGATGTGAGGCCACTGTTACTCTGCTCGCCGTTTGACAACTTCCCGTAAAGAAGGTGACAGTGAGGTCTTCAGCGCCAAATTTCGCGTACATCACGATCAATGTAATGACATTGACCAGCAATATAACGGATGCTGCCAGAGCACCACTGGTCACTGTAAATCGCCATGCCTCTCGAAGCTCAGTGCGGATTCGCGGGGGTGAATGCTGTTTCTCGGGCCCTTCGCGTCCATTGTCATTGAGTTCATTGAGCTGTATAAGGGGAGTTTCCGCAGCATGCATATTGAGATGGTCAAACAAAGTTGCCCACCGGGGGATTGACGAGAAGGGTTATATTCCCTGGGGGTGGGGGCCGAAGGGGGCGAAGACAAGGCTGAGCTTTAAGCAGTCAAGCAGATTAAATCTAGACCTAGTTCAGAATAGTCGCCTGCCCCTTCCTCAAGACTGCGCTAGACAATTCCAATCAATTGTGACATTAAATGTTAATCAGGATGGCAGTATTTCCCCAAGGGTGGCCATAAGTCAAGATTTGGCTGTCGGATGCCAGCTGGCGAACGGGGTTGTCCAGCCAGATATCATGTTCGAAATAGCAGCCAACTTAGACCGCCACGGTCAAGAGGCGGAGCTGTCAGGGTACGGGAAAACACGCACGCAATATTGGCGAAACGCTTCCTAGGCCGGTGTATACTAAATGTTTCGTGGTTCTACCTTCATCGCAAGGTATATTGTCCGAGTCATGAACAAGAAAAGTGCTGGCGAGACACCCACGATTAATTATAAATCGTCCATCACATGACCACAAACGAATCATATGGAGTTCGAGTTGAACCAGCAACTCGGAAATACCAGTCCAGCTATATGTACGATGGGGGCCAGTCGACTGAAAAGAGTAACATCGCTCATAGCCAAGGGATATGGACATTGGTAAAACAGAAGAGGGAGGGAAAGTTGCAAACGATCCCCTCTATTTACATTGGTATTATCACATCTGTACAGGAGTGGAACCATGACAGTGACTCATCGGATAGGTTGAAGTTGTTGTTTCCAAGAGCCTTCATGATCAAACAGAATCAAAACAAAGGTCTACATCTGCAGTAAAATCAAAACGCTGAAAGATGAAGCACGCAATTCGCTATAATCAAAACACATCATTCGTGCGGAACGAACATCGTCCCTGTGGCTGATCACCAATGGCAAATACCTCCTTCACAGTCATCCGCCGCCCATGTACCCGACAGCCCGACAACTTGCAAGTGGCCGTCAGGGTGCTCGCCAACCTTGCTCAAAGCCGCGAAACTGGCGTCGGCGGGTGCGTTACTCAGAAGTCGTCGAGCCCACGCATCGATGGCCGGCTCCCCGGTCTCATCGCGTGCCTGTTTCAGGAATGGGATCAGAGCGGTCCCTCCGGTTCCTCGCAATTTCTTGTGCTTTCCATCGCTGTTACGAGTGTTGGCCAGATTAGTGGCAGACGCATGCCTCCGTGGACTTGTCGGCCGAGGGGCTCGGCCTCTGGCATCGCGGGATGGGATTATGATGTACCGGGACACCATCTGAATGTGTTTGTCCCGTAAGGTCCGCAGCATTGAAAGACAAGCATCATACGCAATGCACAATGCCTTATCCGAGCGACGAGCTTCCACGTAGTCCCGAATGTTAGCCACCGCCGTTACATGTTCCAGGAAACGACGATGAGGTCCTGGCATATACGATCGCATTTCTTGGATAAAGCCATGCCGAGGTGCTCCAGGAACCCCGTCTTTATCGTCCTTATCGGATTCAGAGCGAGATTCTCCCGTGGGTCGGTGCTCTACGCCCAGAGCGATGTCCCAAAATTGAATCAAGGAGCTCTGGGCATTACTACCACCTCCATACTGACGATACTCGGGCTTTGCACTACCGTCATCGTATAGCAGGCCATGAGGAAGTCCTGCGTCGGCCATGTTTTTGCTGCCAGCGAGATAGGGTCGTATGCGGTGGTAGAAGACATACGGATCACAGTTCTCGTACATCCGTTCCAGTAACGTTCCTACTTCGTCTATAACCTCTGCGAGCTTCTGCAAGGATTCTGTCACAACCAGGCTGTTTCCAACCCGGGCTGCAGAAATTGCTTGTAGCGCCAGCGACAAGGATGGCGCACCCCGCGCTTCGATCGCTACGGACACAAGGTAGAACCATTGTTCGTCCAATGAGCCCGTGAAGGTGTTGAGACAGCTCAGGTTATTGAGGTCATCTGCAGCCTCTTCCGGGAAGATAGATTTGTAATTCCATAAACATACTCCTGCATATGTGGCCACTGGAGGGAGTTCCAAGTGCTTGCAAACCGCTAGCAAGGGAACAGTAATTTGAGGAGGTACTCTCTATTCGGCGTTAGTATAAATTTAGCAAAGGGGCCCATTAGATCACCTACCTCAGATGGGGTGCTGCCGCCCCAGACATAGCCATGAAGAATGAACCCAAGAACAACATAGGCCCTTCTCCACTCCTCTTCTGACTGAAGATACGATGTAGATAAAATATGCATACGATCGACAACATCCCGAATCCTCTTACTAAGCAATAGCGATTGTAGATTCGAAACCAGCCACTCCCACTTGGCATAGTAGGGATCTGGTAGGACGTTCAGGGGCGGCTCGGAGGGAAGAAAGCCATGGTCCGGCGAAATGCCGTAGTCGGGCAGTGCTGGAACCGGAGGAAGCATAATGATCACAATCAACGATACACCACGGTGATTGATTTAATAGTATCGACGGAATAGTCGGTACGCTTAAAAAGCAAGGTAGCGTCTGTGATATATTGCCTAACGACCTCGTACAGGGGTCCGAAAGACACCGCTAGACTTTGCCAACGTCAGCACTGACGTTGCGTGAGATTCATAAGAACATCTCAAACAGTCAAAAAAAAAAAAAAAAAAAAAAAAAAAAAAAAAAAAAAAAAAAAAAAAAAAAAAAAAGGAAGAGCATACCTTGCGAAAAGTCTATCACTATTTGAACAATGGTCGCGTGACGCGTTGGGTTGACAACTTCAAGGTCAGAACTAAGTCCCCAATAGAGGGCAATCTCCAGATTGAAGGAAAGATGAGATCAGCTCAGGGTTTTGACTCGGTCATCCCACCTGTGAGCAAGTAAATGGGAAGACAGAAGGAGGAAGAGAGGGTTGAGGCGGCGATGCTCTGAAGGTCTGTGTTGGTGGAACACCTGCCAAAACCTGTAAAACGTGGCAACAAACCTGAAGAGGCGAGGCACAGTTCCAGAAGTTTAATGAGCCAGCAAGAAAGGGTAGAGAAGAAGGGAGGGTAAAAAAAAAACTTTGGAAACACCGGCAAGAACCGTGGGAGATGCGCGGGAAATGAGGAGAATTAATCAGCGGTTTATAACGGTGCCACCGGATCTCCTGAGGTCGGGGCCGTAGGCACGGGGGAAATAATCCCCTCCGTTACCGTTGCTCAATAGGAGAGGTATTGGCTCACGGTGTGCTGGATGCGCAATAAAGGGCATGGGAGGGAGTGGGCCACCTGCGACTATAGAGCACGGAATAGATGGGCAGCTTCATCTTGCCGGCGACCACCTCGGAGACCCAGACGAGGGTCCAGACAGATGGTTCTCTACATTAGTTCTGGGAAGGGAGTATGGCTTTGATGGTGCCAGTGGTTCGGGAAGAAGTTGGATGCATCTAAGTAGACTCAGGAGGGGAGAAATGAGTATCGTGGAGCTATCAACTGGAGCTTTGGAGAGCTAGATGTATAGAAGTATATACTCGATCTTGATCCCAGACCAGCGCGGAGAATTGGGTGCACGCGAAAGGGGTGTCCCCGTCACGTGCACTAGCCTGAGTGCTAGAGAATGAACCGGAATCCGCTTCCATGGGCGGTTGAGTGCGATTTCGGACCCGCCGGTCCCCGTTAAGCGAGAGACTACGTCTGTTCGCTCGCACCCACGCCACCCCATTGAGGTCTGCGGTGAACGGCAAGGGACCGCCCCCATCATTATCAATCATATCACCTTAATTCGAACCTCGGGCCTCTTAACCCCGGAGTATCTCCGACCCCAGTTGCATGACAAGCATATACAGAATACAGCCAACTACTCGCCGAAACCTTTCTAGAACTAAAAGTATTCACCACAACAGTTTACCATATCGATTCATGGCATGCACAACGAACACTAAGGTGCAGAGAGCGAATTTCTACTCTAGAATAACTGATACGAGGACCTGGAAATGCCCAAAGCATGAAGGCATGTGACTCTTGAAAGTGGACGCACCTCATGGTGATACAACGTGGAGATCCCTTGCCCTCCAGGAATGATGCAGTCCATCCTCCCGTGATCGAATACTTGTGTGCAATGGCGTCACATTCTCATACATCTCAAACCGATTAGCTGGAGTACCCGTACTACTGAGACCAAAATCAATCGTCGTCAGAAGATGCATTCTTTATACAAATTACTCAGAAATCGTCATCCATCCGTAGTGTTATCCCATCCAACGCCATCCCGTGGGTGATATCGGGGAATTGAAAAAGAATAGAACCTATAAAACAGGGGAGAGAAATAGAGATCCAGACCACGGCCCGATACAGTCATTCTGGAAAATCGGGGACCCCATCCGAAGCATATTACAATTTAATGTTGGCTCCACTCGATCGTGTTCAGATCGACGCCCTCCTGCACCAACTCCCACAGAGGGCTCAGCTCCCGCAGAAAATGGACGCGGTCCTGTACAGCCTTCAGCACGTAGTCGATCTCACTATCTGTGGTGAAGCGTCCAATCCCAAACCGAATGCTACTATGGGCACTCTCATCGCTGCTGCCCAGGGCACGAAGGACGTAGCTAGGCTCCAATGATGCAGAGGTACAGGCACTACCAGACGACAGAGCAATGTCTTTCAGAGCCATGAGAAGAGACTCTCCTTCAATATAAGCAAAGGATACGTTAACACATCCGGGATAGTGATGCTCAGGGTCTCCGTTAAGGTGTGTGTGCTCCATGGATAGGAGCCCGTCGGTCAGGCGCTTCGACAGCCGGTCGATGTGCTTGGTGTCATACTGTTCCCGATCATTAGCTACTTCACTGATGCGTAGGCGTTTTTGAGGCAAACAAAACAATCGCCAACTCGACTCATCACCCCTGCTATGAACGTCATAAGCGCATGGGAACACGCACGAAGCGTGTCGCTACCCCCACGGGGCCTCAGAAATCCATATTTTGCAGTATATAATCATCGCCACATTCGACAAAGGAAAAGCAAAATAAAAATCATAAACTCAAAAGAAAAAAAAAAAAAGACCAAAAGAAATAATAATACATACCTCCATATCTTGGGCAGCGATACGGCAAGCCTCACCGAATCCGACTACCTGGTGGGGGGCGAGAGTGCCACTGCGCAGACCTCGTTCCTGTCCGCCTCCGGTGATAAGGGGGTCAAGGCGCACCCTGGGCCGACGTCTAACGTAGCAAGCTCCGATGCCCTTGGGGCCGTAAATCTTGTGGCTCGAGATAGACATCAAGTCGATGTTCAATTTATTCACATCCAGAGGGATCTTCCCCACCGCCTGGGCAGCGTCAGTGTGGAAGAAGATCTTCTTCGAGCGACAGAGCTTTCCGATTTGTTCCAGAGGCTGAATGACACCGATCTCATTGTTCACAGCCATGATGCTGACCAGGGCCGTCTCGGGACGGATGGCCGCCTCAAGATCTTCCATCCGAATCAAACCATTGCTTTGCACGGGCAGGTACGTAATCTCAAAGCCCTCATCCTGAAGATGCCGACAGCTGTCAAGAACACACTTATGCTCAGTCTGGGTTGTGATAATGTGCTTCTTCTTGCCGGTCCGACCGAAAAACCTCGCGACACCCTTAATGCTCATGTTGTTGCTCTCCGTAGCGCCGCTCGTGAAGATGATCTCTTTTGGGTCCGCGCCGATCAGCTTAGCAATATGCTCTCGAGATTGCTCGACCGCCTTTTCCGACTCCCAGCCATACGCATGGGTTCTCGAATGAGGGTTACCGTAGATGCCGGTCAGGAAAGGGAGCATGGCGTCAAGGACGCGTGGGTCCATTGGCGTCGTCGCCTGCATATCGAGATAGATTGGTCGCGTGCCCTCATCCATGATCGTAGCTTGCTTAAGAATGCCGGCCGTCGGACTCATCGAGGCGTCACCGGAAACGCCAGCGCTAGGGAGCTTAACCTTCTGCGGCTGCACCCCTGTTTGTTTCATATACTCCTTCTGTTCTTGCTTAATGGCGGTATCGACCGACACCTGGGCATTTCCAGCCTTCGTTTCTGAGACATAGAACCGTCTAGGCGGAGTGGCAAGCACCCGTCGGGGAAGCATAGAGGTAAAGGAGCCATGCTGCGTTGACGACAGTCGACGAGCGTAGGCGCGAGTGGCCTGTTTCAAGGCAGACTGGGTAACATTAGACATGATGGAACCCCTGTGCCATATATGGTGGACAGTTGGGTGATAGATAAGAGGAGATGGAGGGAAAGGGATGAATGATGAACGATGGGAAAATCTTTGGGACCGGTTATATCATTGCCGAGCCCACTAAGCCCGATCGGATTTATCAGATACTCCGAAAGGTGTTTTCCCCTTTAGGGAATTGCAATCGGGCTTTTCAGTTGTTCCTGAGCATGCCTCAGTCACCACAACCTACTAAAGAAATATATGAATTTCCCTTGTAGCATCATTTAACAGTTTTGTTTTCTCCTTTCTATTATATATTGTATCTATTGATTTAAAAAGGAAAAAAAAAAAAATTTACTCAAAACATAAAGAATGGTATTGAAGGCCAGGTAAAAACAAGATTTATAATCATACACATATATCTCTCGGAGGGGTCTCCGCGGGAAAGTAGTACTAGTTGTTTGCGGTAACTTGTATCCATTGAAGAAAATCAGCATTTCATCAGGGGAGCAGGAGCAACTCATTGCGGGGAATAATGCTCCAAGTCAAAACACCGAGTAAGGTGCAAACGATGCAAACCGCGGAAGGGGAAGGAAAGGGAGGGAATAACTTGTTCCAGTCGCTCAGCCTTGTTCGGATACTCTGGTGCCTAAACCTAAAGAAGAGCACCCACCCGTGGCCAGGGGACGAACCCCCGTGAGATGAAGCGGATTAACACTTCGGCATTGCTGATCCGCTGTGCCACACCCTCTGAGGTCTGGCAAGTTGTTGCAACATTTAAGGGCTACCGCTTTCGGGTTTGACGCTTGGAATCTCAAACTCGACTGATTCCACATATGCATACCTTGTCACCTGCGTCTACTTTACATATATATGCACCCAAGTAAGGTGAGGAGATGATAGATATTATGTCATAGCACAGCCACAGCGCCGAGCCAAACGAACTGAAAGTCTAACCGTCACCGGCTTCTCCGCCGCCCTACAAGAACTGAACTACGCCAAAACGAAAGATTACTTCCCCCCCACCTCCGCCGCAATTCGATTCCTCCTACCCTCACGGTTACCTTCTTCTGACCTCACTCTTCATTGTTGACCCTCTTCCCCTCCTATCGAACCTCTCCTTGGTATCCATTTCTTCCGTGGTGCTTCGCCGCCTCCGACGGAATTAAAGATGAGTTTGAAGGGCTTTCAGAAGAGCATTGTCCGAGCGCCGCAGCAGTTCAAGGCCAAATTCAACATTGGCGAGCACACCAAAGATGCGGTCTATAGTGATGCTGAACGCCGTTTTCAAGAACTCGAAAAGGAGACGAAGAAACTGCACGATGAGTCGAAGAAATATTTCGATGCCATTAATGGTACCGTCCCTTCATTCCTCTCAAGCGCCCGGGCCGACCCGATGTGCCTTGGCTAATAGATTCCCTTAGGCATGCTAAACCACCAGATTGAATTCTCCAAATCTATGACCGAACTATATAAGCCAATTTCCGGTCGCGCATCGGACCCGAGCTCGTATACCATCGAAGGGAACCCCGAAGGCATTCGGGCGTGTGAGGAGTATGAAGCGATTGTACGGGAACTGCAGGAGTCTCTCGCGCCCGAATTGGAAATGATCGAAAGCCGCATCATCAGTCCGGCAGATCAGTTGCTGGAGGTGATCAAGGTAATCCGCAAGGTGGCCGTGAAACGAGACCATAAGCAGCTAGACTATGATCGGCATAACAGCTCCCTCAAGAAGCTTCAGAACAAGAAAGACAAGTCGCTCAAGGATGAAAAGGCTCTCTATAAGGCCGAGAACGACGTGGAGCAGGCCACTCAGGAATATAATTACTACAACGACTTGCTCAAGGACGAGCTGCCTAAGCTGTTCGCTCTCGAAGCGGAGTTCATTCGACCACTATTCCAGTCCTTCTATTACATGCAGCTGAACGTCTTTTATACCCTTCATGAGAGGATGCAGGGCATAAACATTGGTTACTTCGACCTTACGTTGGACGTTGAAGAAGCATTCGAGAAGAAGCGTGGTGATGTGAAGGAACGTGCGGAAGAATTGACCATCGTCCACTTCAAAACCAAGGGGCTCGGTCGACAGAACTCGAAATTCGCTGGTAAGGACAAGTTGGCAAACGAGCACAAGGGCAAATTTGCTCCCCGGCAAAAGGATCCCGATGTTGTTGAAAATCCTCCCCCTCCTTATTCCGCTGCAACAAGCGGGGCCAGCAGCAGTTTTGTTGCGGCAGCCAAAGGAAAGCCGGCGCCTCCGCCCCCGAAGCCGAAGCCCGCCAGATTTGCTGCGCCGGTGGAAACGGTCACGGCCCTTTATGATTATGAAGCACAAGCGCACGGTGATCTCAGTTTCTCGGCGGGAGACGTCATCGAGATTGTGCAACGGACCGACAACCAGAATGAATGGTGGTCTGGTCGGGTTGATGGGAGGGAAGGACAATTTCCTGGTAAGCTTTTCTTTCCCCGCGCCGCTAGCTACACGCCGCGACTAACGGGTATCACAGCGAATTACGTGCAATTAAATTAGTCCGATCGTCCTTCCGCGTTGTATATCGCTTCTTATATCGTTCTTGCGAATGCCCTCTTAGTGTAGCAGGAGTTTGCGGTGTAGCACTATCTCCCAGCTTGCAATGCTTTCTCTTCCCGGTCTCCTTCCTTTGAACTCTTGCATATTATCTAGTGCGTCGCATAGAGCTTTTGCATGGTAATACTCGTTCGCATGTATATATTAATTTTGGACATCGCTTCTTTACCCAATCAACAATGACTCGATTCGATGACTCCTGGGATGTTTACAAGGATGTTGAAGACATTATAGTATCACTTCCCAAACAAAAATTAAGACGGGAAAAACAGAAAATTCATCAACCCCGATAATATCCAGTCTCATGTGATGCCCTTCAACTTTGCGCGGGTTGTCATTGGACAGTTTGTGGAGTTCATTGTTCTATTGTTAGAGCCCATTGTGACTCTGTTTCTTTTGGTGAGACAACTAGAGTAATATAGTAGAATTGTTGTTGGATCTAGAGAACGGTAATGGCTAGTGTAAGGACGCGGCAGTTAAGAGATCGTGGATAGGAAAGGATAGGGCCCGTTTTATATTCATGAAAGAGGCAAAATGAGGTAGCCTGAGTCTTATGAGGGTCTTTAGGATCCCCTCTATTCTAAAAGGGGTGTTCCTTTCTATTCACTGCCTGCTTTGTTGTGTGTTTGTCCTTTATGGAGAACCCATACTAACAACGAAGAATCTCATGTACAGTGGAACTTTCCTAATGTCCCACCACATAGCCTAGTTGACTGCTATCTCACCTAAACACCTAGGGGTCTGTTAACAATGCATGGCCTAGAAGCTCAATTAGTACTTAAGGATAGGGAAGAAACCGTCTGCAGCCACCTACGTGATAACCGCCATGACTCTCTTGCGAAATTCCTCTTGGTCCTCATCTTCCATCCAATCCATGTTCTCGAAGCTCGCTGGGAACCATTTCTCTGCCTCGATGTAGGACAATCCCGGAGAATTTGTCGACATCATCCGGAAGATATCTTTCATGTTCTGGTATTGGTGGAGGTCGTTGCCATATTCATCGCCTAAATCGCAAAGCTCTACACAATCCAGAATTAATGCTGCAAGACCTGATGCTACCGCAGTCGCGAAGGAACTTCCCAATGTTATCTCCGAGTTGGCACCGGTATCGCCTGCCCCATTTTGCAGAGCTTTGGCTGTACTACTCCCTCCAGGGAATAGGAATTCATATCCATGTGAAAAGTCATCTGGCACTCCGCTTCGCCTTGCAGCTCCGATACGGAAGACGCCTGGAATCTTGCCTGGGAACGACATTTCAGGCTGATTCAACCCTTGATCGCTAACTGAAGCAAAGGTCAGAATTCCATTATCGTGAGCCTCTTCAACCACATCCCTTAGCTTTCGGGCCTCAACATCTCCAATCGTAGAAAGCGTCCAGCTCATCGAGATGACATCTACCGCATTCGCAGTAGCCCAAGAAATAGCCTAGGAAGTAATCCACGGTGGTTAGCGGCGTATCTATAAATTACGACTTGCTAGCTTGAATTGCAACTTACCTTGATTGCAGACTCAACAGTAGGCTCTCCGTTCACCCCCTGGTCCAACCGAGCGATGCAGAGGTTGACATTGGGGCATAATCGCCGGATAGTCTTTGCCATCAAGGTGCCATGGCCATTGGAGGAGAAGTAGTATGGTCGAGTAACAGTAAAATTGTCCTTCTGAGATGAGAAGAAGGACACTCCCGCAATGATACTGTCTTCAAAGTCTTCCTGAAGTTTATCGACTCCATCATCGATCACTGCTACCTTCGTTGGACGTCTAAATTCAGGTATGTTTCTGACAAAAGATACAAACTTATCCATGTTTTCTAGCCAAGTGCTCCTATCGGTCACTCCATTAGCTGCATAGGGATTTGCGGCAGCCCAAAAGTTACTCACGTTTCAGCTTTGTCCTTCCCTTGGATATGCGTCTGGCCGTTAAACCCTGGCAGCAGGCGGGTAACAACATTGATTGGAGGTCTACTGTTGACCCTATTCTCGTGTATTTTGTTGGAGAATTCTTTTAGATACAGCCTGGTACGTTTCGTACTTTCAAATCGTGGCTGTACGAGTAGATTGACGTCTGTTAACTAGAATGATTCAGAGTCAGTCTAGATGAACATCGCAAGGGTTCAGGTAAGTTTCTTGGTTACCTTTTCAAGTGAAATCAGTCCATCGGGTGCTGACCAGCTTTGGAGGACCGATCTGTTCCCAGTTGAATAGAGGGATACCTTTCGGGCATTTCCTGCCGCTTTGAGAATCACACTGATGCATAAATCCTTCCGTTGCCAGTCCCATTCTTCAATATCGAACTTCTCCAAGGACTCAATTACTTCATCACTATAGGGGTTGTTTCCGTCCTCATGAACACTGATGCTGATAATCTTTCGCACCCCTTTCTCCCATAAAAGGTTGAATATGTCTTCCACGTTGATCTTCTTCACAAGTTGCTGCTTTTGTCCAGTGCATATTGCTTCTCCATGCTGCTGTGAGTTGACAGTGACTTCGAAAGAAGGAATCCGCACATGTTTTAATATGCTTTCGTAGTTAGTTTCCCGGAGTAGGCTTTTGAAAGTGGCCTCTGATACTGCTTTCTTCTTGTTCTCAAGGTCAATGAGGTCTAGATAAATCTCTCGCTCTAGAGAATGTCAATGTCAACTCATCACCATCAGAAGGAATTGCCAACTCGCGTACTTTGAATTTTCCCGTACAGAAGAGATATAATCACTTCGTGCTCATTGAGACTCATTATCTTTTCTTTCAGCAAGGCGAGAATTTTATCGTCCACCAATTCCACTGGCTCTTCATCGAATTCCAGGGAAGAAATACTCTCGTCATCCGCGGTCTTGTTCAAGTCGGCACCAAATGTCCGAATCCGATGCTGATAAGCAGACTGGTGCTTCGTATTCGTAAGGCTAATGACATATGGGCAGTATGTGAGCAGATTGTGGATCAGTCTAATGCGTTTCTCGTTCCACTGTTCCAAGTCTTCCGAGGATTTCCACTTTTCCACGCCGTACTCGCTCACGAGATGCAAAAGTGTATTCTTCTGGCTGTCTGTAGTTGCAAGGACGGCCGGGTTGAGCCTGGCGAATATAGGCCCGGAACAATCCTGGTCTATCATGGCAGAGACAACGTTCAGGAGTGCAGAGTTATCTTTTTCGATCATCCTTGCAGTTTGAGCGGGATACTCTTGGAGAAAGTATGCCACGTAACCCTTGGACCAGGACCTCGAGTTTGCCTCCACTAGCAAGGACTGTTTTTGAAACCGGTTACCAAGTCTCAGACACATGTCTGGGTAATTTTTCATTACCCAATGGAAGAGGGCGACAGAATGTGACCCCTTCCTTCCCATCATGATCAACAAGCTCAGGAAGTCCTGATTGTACACACCCAGCTTGGGCAGTGATTCTGCAATTTTGGACTCCTCAGCTAGCCAGTCCTCAAACGCTTTCACCGTTTTCTCGTGTTGTAGACTGTCCTGAGTATGGTCTGAGGGTCTGGAAAGACTAGACGTCTGCGATCCACGAGATCCTCCATTATTCTGCAAGAGTTAGACTATTAATGACCGCCTTTGATGCAACGTAGAACGTGTATTTCGTTCGGATGCTAAACTCACCTGCTTCCAGAGCGTCCTAAACTTCCTAATAGCCATCCTATGATGCTCTCCGATGGTATGCATTGGGAATATATCCTCGTCGTCTTCAACAGCATCTTGCGATGCTGAAGGGATTGGGCTTCTGTTATTCAGCATAGGTCTTTCCTTCTGCTGGCCAGAGATATTAGAAGCTCCAAAACACTCGAATATCAGCTATAATCCACGAATATGGCCAAGGATTTGGGGGTTGATCAAATACATGCTGAGTTTATTTGGGTCGATACACCTAACCCATCTATATATCTGTGGAAAGACCTACGCTCCGGACCATGCCTTAGGCTTGTAACTGAGCCATCAGCAGCCGTTAAACCTGCCATACTTACCACCAATAGGTAAATATGTTGTCGAAATCTGCAATAAAACTGTTTTGCTCAAACACCCAAGTCCCTTTATTCTTAGGTCTTGTTAGGACTTTGATGACCCAAGCGATCGTCTGTGATTTCTTAGATAGAAGAGTACAAGTAAAAACAAGAACCCTAAGAGGAAGAGGGGTACCGTATGGTTTAAAAGTCTCTCGCCCATGAGAAGGCCAAAGCATCCCTGCAGCTCTGGCTAAGCGCGCACATCCAGCCTCGCCCAGTTATCCATGACAATTGGTCCCAGCAATGCTTAAGATGCATAAATTTCTCCCATTTGCTCTATATTGCCGTGTAATTATATCTGTTCTAAAATTGGCCGAGTGTTTCCGGTACTATGGTATGCTCCGTAAGTGACTACGCTCAGATAACAGGAGACCTTAGCAATCTCTCACAAGATTAACGCCCCTGTGGCTGTAGAAGGTTCTCCTTCACGGAATAGCAAGTACGCCTTATCTCTTCTCTAGAGAATATGTTAGTCGGATTTAGTTACCGTACTATTGTTCATCGGCGTGTATTCTACCTGTCCCACCTGGATAACGGGGTTTATGATGATACTATAATCATAACAGCGCTTAATGCCTTAAAAGACATCTAAGAGAGGCTCAATGTAGCTATTAATAGCCCAGGGATCCTCCAATTGCTACCCTAGCCGTTAATCACCAGCTTTCTACACACACAAGGATTTCAAGCATCTCTAGGTTTAGGGCTTGCACATAGCCGCCGGGGTTTCCAGTCCGATATCCAATATCCACCCAATCGCTGCCTCACTCCTCAGGCACCAAATAACCAGATACCCCACCAAAACACCATCACCAACTTTTTTCCTCCAACCCTCATTCACTCCCTCACTATCAATCAATCAATCAACCAACCAAACAACCCTCACACCCACCAACCAATCCATCCCCCACCGATACCGCCAGCAAAATGCCAACCGCACCGCAAGAACCCTACACCCCACCCCCCCTCCCACCCCCATTCACAACGACAACCCCACCCCCAACCCTCCTAACCCAAGGCGCCGAAGCCCACCTCTACAAAACAATCCACCTGACCCCTTCCACACCCGCCGCCCTGAAAATCCGCCCCTCAAAACCCTACCGCCACCCCATCCTCGACCGCCGATTGACCCGCCAGCGCGTCCTCCAGGAAGCCCGGTGTCTGGTGAAGCTCGTCCGGGAGGGCGTGAACGTTCCGGCAGTCTTGGCGCTGGATTGGGAGGGGAATGGGAATGGGGGCGCGTGGTTACTTATGGAGTGGATTGAGGGGTTGGTTGTGCGGGTTGTTTTTGAGCGGTGGGAGGCGTTTATGAAGGCTTATGGGGAGGAGTTGAGTGAGGAGAAGCTTGGGGCGGAGGAGGGAAGGGTGAGGGCGTTGATGAGGGAGATTGGCGGGGTTGTTGGGGGTTTGCATAAGGCGGGGGTCATTCATGGGGATTTGACGACCAGTAATTTGATTCTTAGGCCGAAGGGGGCTGTTGAGGTTGATGATGGGGAGAGTCCGTCGATGGAGGGAGAAGTTGTTTTGATTGATTTTGGGCTGGCGGGGCAGAGTTCTTCGGAGGAGGATCGCGCGGTGGATTTGTATGTTCTTGAGAGGGCTTTTGGGAGTACGCATCCTCGTGCGGAGAGGTTCTTTGAGGAGGTGCTTGTGGGGTATAAGGATAGTTATAAGGGGGCTGCAGTTACGTTGAAGAGGTTGCAGGATGTTAGGATGAGGGGGCGCAAGAGGAGTATGATTGGGTGAATTTGGGGTTTTTTCTTGCATCTTTTCGTTTATATTATGAGATTGGGTTCGGTTGGAGTTGAAGATTGTTCTATCGGGGAGAATATGTTTTCATTCATCGTCAGTGACAAACACCACGCTTTATCGTTGCAACGCAAGAGACAGGATATATCTCCAAGGGGAACCCGGGAGAAGAGCAGAAGAGGCAAGATATATAAAGGGCGGCTGAGAGGGGAATGTTTTGAAGGGGAGGGGCAGGATCAGGAGGACAGTTATTCCAGACGGGGTTTGACACAGCTTCCCATATCGGCAAGTGCGAAATAACCCTTGTTCTCAACGACTCCGCGATCCTTCACAACAGCCGTATACTTGACAACCCACTGTGGCTCGATATCGCCCTGAATACCGTCCTCCGCGCCCGGAGTGGAAGCAAGGATTCCCGCTCCCTTCTCGCCCGGGCCAAGCAGCTCCCGTATGGTGCCTATGGGCAAGATGTCCATGCAGTCGTTGTGGGTCAGGAGTTGGATATTCTCCTGTTTCGCATATAGAATCAACGATTTCGGCACGACACAACAGTCCTTGAGGTTAATCTGGTCGACCGAGGGTTTAACCTTCGTATGAGGCAGGAATCTAGCGAGCCTCTCACTGCCAAACTCCGCCACACCTAGCTGGGAGATCATGCCCTTCTCCTGCAAGTCCTCCAGTACCCTCCATGTGCGAATCATACTGTCAAAATCATCCGGCTCTTCACTCCCAGTATCCGATTCTACCTCCTCCTCGCTATCATCTTCCGCGTCAAACAAAATCCCGGGGAAAGAAACAATCAGAAGATCAATAGAATCCACATGTAGCTCCTTCAATACCAAATCAATGGCCTCCCTTGTATGCGCACAACGTCTCGACGCCGGAATCCCAGGCAAGTAGAACAGTTTCACTGTAATATCATACTGCGCCCTCTCCTCCGCCAGTCCATGCTGCGCGAAATCAATCGCCGGAATGTAGAGCCCGTCCTCAGTCTCCCGTGTCCAAGCCCGATACCGCGGGGTCGTTGTCGTCTCGGCCGAAGACAATTGTTGCGCCGTCAGGAAATTGGACCGCAGTGAGTTGATCAGCTCGACGTTAGATTTTTCGGTGGACGGCTGCCGGATCACAGAGTGACCTCCGGACGTCATGAGATTCCTGGAGGGTATTGTGTTAGTAGACTCGGGGTTTGTTGCGCCGCGGGGTTGCTTCTTTTCGCGGAGGGGCAATTCCTCTTTCCGGCGACCTTGGGGTCGTGAGTATGTATGGCCACTTACGAGGTGGAGAGGATGAGCTTCATGGTCGCCCGTTGAATGAGAGACGACCTATGATCGGGAAAGAAAAATATTGTCCTGTGGGAATCTAGGGTTTGAGAGGAAGGGAACTGTCGCGAGGGAAACTTTCGGATTGCCTTGCATTTTGTAATTGCTAAGCAGCCCCGCGGGGCCTTCCGTTTACGGCAATCTATCACAACTTGGACGTACCCTAATCTCCGCTATAATTTCAAAAAGATATTTGATAAAGAACACCACACCAAGATAGTATATATGAAACCATCGACCTATCTCTGCCTATATACTTACCCTTCCAACACACACTCCCCCTATCTAATCAAAATCCAACGTAGGATCCCAATCCGTCGGCGAATACTCCCCCGTAAAAAGCCTCTTCATATCCTCCTCGTCCAACTCGAAATCAAACACCTCCGCATTCTCCCTAATGCGACTCGGCGTCGCGGACTTGGGTAAGGGAACAAGGCCCTAAATCGAATGAGTCTCACCCTCAGTCACACAACCTATATCAAAACTCACCCTTTGCAACCCCCACCGAATCATAATCTGCGCAGGCGACTTCCCATACTTCGTCCCCAGCTCGGACAACAACCTCTCTTTCATCCGACTCCCATGCGCAAGAGGCGAATAAGCCTCGACAACCACATTCCGCGCCTGAAGCCACTCAACAATATCCTCCCTCGCACACCACGGATGAATCTCATACTGCCCAACATCAATCGTGCCCCCACCCCCTTGCCGAATATACTCCTCCAACTCCTCCAAATGATGAATCCCATAATTTGACACCCCGATCGACTTCGTCTTCCCCGCTTTCTGCGCCTCCACGAGCGCACGCCATGAACCCAGCCGGTCCTCTTTCCCGCCGTATGGCGCATGGATCAAGATCCTTGTAGTCATCACCTGATTAGCATACACGTGCCCCCACATTCCAGCTCCAGGCCCATAGCACGTAGACATAGACTCACAAATCAAAATACCCCACATCCGCCTCGCGGAGACTATTCTCCACGGCGCGTTTAGTCCTCTCGTAGCCCATGGACCCGGGCGGGATCTTGGTGGTGAAGAAGACCTTCTCGCGATCTAGGCCCGAAGCGGCGATTGCGCGGCCGCAGGCCTTTTCGTTGCGGTACATGACTGCAGAGTCGACCTTTTTTTTTGGTTAGAATCGTGGTATCCTATATGAGAATGAGAATGGGGGGGGTTGGGGATACGGTATGTATGTACGTACATGGCGATAGCCGGATTCGAAGGCTTCGAGGGCGGCTCTTTGGGTTTGGGAGGAGGGGCTGGTGGTTCATTGTTAGCCTTTTTGAAGGAGTTTTCCGAGAGGGGGGAGACTAGAGGACGGACATTAGATAGACCTGGTGGTGGGGGTTAGAATTATTTGTAGCTATAGATGGATGAATGTATGGTACTTACGCCGTAGCCGAGGATGGGGATCTCGTGGCCGGAGTTGAGGCGGTAGGTTGACTGGAGGGTTTGGGGAGGCATTTTGATTATTGGAATAGAGAAGGGAGTATAGGAAGAGTTGGAAGTGCCGAACAAGAAGTGAAATGAGAACGTTTTAAAGGTATGAGATCATAGCTATGGTGGGGCCTTTGCTTCTCGATAGAACCCAATCCGGTAGTGGATTCGCATCTACGATGTAAAGCACAATCAAGATATACATATCATCGTTTGATTCATATGGTAACAAATAGTACAAGGATAGGATTTACCATCCATCACTACCACCTCTGTATCGCTAATGCGCAAACCGGGAAATGATCATGAACAGCCAAGCAAAAAGAAAAAAAAAAGAAGAAAAAGACAGATGCACACTTATCCAACGCCGTGTGATGCACTTTTGTAAAGTATCAAACAGCCAAACCTATGAGGACTTTTTTGCCTTTTTCTTTCGCAGTGGAGTACAATCAAGCCCGGGCCCTCCTCCTCGCCCTAACCTTGGCTTCTAGAGGTGCTTCGTGGATTTCATTCCATGCGTCTTCGAAAGTCGTCTTCTTGGCGCCGATCTGGCCTTCGAAGAAATTCATCCGACGGACCACTTCCATGGCTCCGGTACCAAGAGACACCGTCTTACCCATTATGATACACTCCGAAACACCTTCAACAAGATCAGCACGACCCGCTCCACCCGCATCAAAGAGATGATCGGCGGTCTTCTCGAAGGAGGCCAGCTGAAGGACGGAATCACGCATCTTAGCGAGACCGAATCGCGTGATACCCAAAACTTCACCCTTGTAAGTCATGACATCAGCAAGAAGCTGCATGTGTCGAGGATCGATGTCCATGTCCTTCATCACCTCACTAATTTCTCGAACGATTGTCGTCCGGGCAGCTTCAATACCAAGGACATCGCGCATCTCCATCACGTTGTTGGTAGACGTGTGGAGGCCGTCAACACCGATAGTGTTCATGCATGCCCTGAGACCATAACCTTCCACGAGCAGAGTATTGGTAGTCGACGTCTCATCCGTCCGAATGATTGCACGGTAGGCTTGAGGGTGGCCAAGTACCTGTATGTCGGGAAGGAGGCGCTTGAGATGCTTCAACCGCAGGAAAGGATCGGCACTCGTTGCAGCAATTTCCGTCTTTGAGAGGCCGAGCTTACTAGCAGGATCAACATCCATATGAATATGGATATGAGACCGCTGGTAGCGGAACTTCAGGTCGTCAGACTTAAAGCGTCTGTGGTTCTTGATAGCTGTAACAATATCCTGGATCTTCAGCTCGAGGGCCAAGTCTTGAATGGTCTTCCAGTTGATCTTGACAGTGATGTAAGCCTCTTTGCCAGTCCAGGTCTCTCGGACATAGTGGATAATATCCCTGAGATACGTCTGCTCAATACGTCCCTTCACAATCCGAGCCGCAATAACGTTGTCTTTAGTAACAAGTTCGCAAGACACGACCGGCGTACTAATTTCCTTGGAGGCGTTGATAATTTCTTTAATACGGGGTACACCCTGAGTAATACTCATACCAGCGACACCAGCAAAATGGAAGGTTTTCAGGGTCATCTGAGTACCTGGTTCACCAATGGATTGCGCACCAACTGCACCCACCGCATGGCCGGGCTCGACCTGGGCCTTCTTATACTTCATCAAGCATGCAGTGATGAAGGTCCTCAGGGTCTTCTCGGTCAGCTTGCCGGTATGGTTCAAGCCCTGCTTACTTCTCTCGTCCGAGGGGTCGATGTCACCGCCTCGAGAGATCAGCTTATCTGCCTTGGTAGAAACGTATTGCTGGATAGACTCGAGGAAGTCGCGAGCACTTTCAAACTGATCAACACCATGATTGGACCGGTCCATGTAGCCAAGCTCAGTATCGAGCAGGTCTTTCCGGACCAGTTTGGCACGCTCCTTAGAAAGCATCTCCTCACAGACTTCCATTATCTCAGCGGGCTGCAAACTGCGCTCGTCATTTTCATAGGTGATCGATTCGGAGTGAATAAACGTCCGGTCGAAGTGAACGGGCTTAGCCTTACCCTCCATGTCCACGGGGTCCAGCTTGTCATCACCGTACTGGAACTGGACAATATGACCGGAAGAGTTCCGCACAGTGTCATCGTACCGTGAAGAGAGATCTTCCAAGGACTTCATCAAACGACGAGACATGTAACCAGTTTCGGCGGTCTTGACAGCCGTATCGACCAGACCTTCACGACCGGACATGGCGTGGAAAATGAACTCGGTCGGTTCCAGGCCGGAGAAGAAGCTGTTGCGTACGAAACCCTTCGAGGGAGGTTGGCGAGCATTCTTCGGGAAATGAGGCAATGTTCGATCTTGGAAGCCGTCTTGCACACGCTGGCCGCCGATAATTTGTTGACCGACAAGGGCAACCATTTGGGACACGTTGATACTGGAACCCTTGGATCCAGATGTGGCCATGATCAGTGGAGAGTTGTATTTGCTAAGCTGGGCGATACATTCGTCACCAGCCTGCTGTCGGACCTTACTCAGAATACCTGAAAGCTGGTTTTCCATAGTCTGCAGTTCATCACATCCAGGGAACTTCTCCAGGGTGCCCGCCTTAAACTTGGCAATAACCTCGTCACACTGTGCGTATGCTGTTTCTACCAAGTCATGCTTAGAGCGTAGTAGCTTCTCACTAGGGTAGACGTCTGTGATACCGATAGAGAAACCCATGTTCGTGAACCAACGAGCGGATAATCTCGACAAGCGGTTCATGCCCTCGGCCGCTGCAGCAGGACCGAAATCTCTCAGCATAATATAAAAGACATTGTCCTTCTTTCCTGAACCAATTGTGGATTTATCCATCACCCCACACATGACCTCCGAATTACGAATAACCAGCCATCCATCTTTCGGATCCAAATCTTTGGGACGGCCATCCTTGGGCGCCTTATATTCTCTGCACGCGGCGTCCAAATTGACCATTACAGGATCGTCCTTGTTGGGGCGCATGAGAATGTTAAAAACCTGCTTTCCTGTCCAAAGCATCTGTGGCTTAAGCACAGCAGGTGGAGGCAGATCAAAACGAGTTTCCGAGCCAAGCATGTAGAGGCAGATCTGCGTGAACGAGCGACGATCAAAGAAATTGTCCTTGCTACTCAAAATGTAGGCAGCACTAATGAAATCTTGGATAGCAGAAATGATGGGTTCACCGTTTTTGGGCGTTGCCAAGTTGTTCTTCACGCCCATCAACTCCATAGCTTCCGCTCTCGCCTCTTCAGTCTGAGGTACGTGCAAGTTCATCTCGTCTCCGTCGAAATCGGCATTGTATGGGTTACAAACACACTCGTTCAGCCGGAATGTTCTGTGAGGTCGGACCTTGGCAAAGTGAGAAAGAATACTGAGTTTGTGAAGAGAGGGCTGACGATTGAAGAGCACAATGTCGCCATCCTCGATATGTCTTTCAACAACGTCTCCCTCTTGCAGCTGGTCGGCAATCATGTTGAGACTACCGTACTTCAGGAAGGTCTTGAAGGTTGAACCTCTCTTGACGAGGTAGTTTGCTCCCGGCCACTTCTTAGTTCCGTTTCGAACCCTCTGCTGTAGCTTCTCCTTGTTATACCGCGTAACCACCTCAGGATACGTCATGTTCTTTGCCACGAGCTCGGGAACAGCGACCTCGTCAACCCGCAAGTTTGGGTCAGGTGAAATGACAGTTCGGCCAGAGAAATCAACACGTTTTCCAGACAAATTACCACGGAATCTACCCTGCTTTCCTTTCAGTCGTTGCACAAAACCACGAATAGGCTTTCCTAAGTCCGCCTTGTTTAGACCAGGGACGTCACTGTTGATGTAGACCGCAATCTGAAGCTGCATGTAGTCCCAGCATTCCATGATGGTCTGGACAGGCGCACCCTTGAGTAGTGCGTTCTTAAGGTTAATGTTACTCTGGACAATATCGCCCAACTTAGCAGTCAAGTCATCCTCGGTCGAGGAAGCATCCTGGCCTACAGAAGGACGGATACACACGGGAGGTGCAGGGATATACTGCCAGAGAAACATTTCAGGTCTGGCTTCCTTCGGATTCAATCCCAATAGTTCGCAGTCGGTATCGGAGATTCTCTTAAAGAGGTTCAAAACACGCAGAGCATTCATATCATCCTGTGCTTTCTTGTAGTGCTTTTCAACTTCCGCATTATGGCTTCTAGCTTCTTCGAACGATCGGTCGAAAACAATTTTGCTCGGGGGAGGAATCTTCTTAACAGAGGTGGAGGCATTGAAGGCACGAAATTTATCGTGGGTAATTTTGAGCGCGCTCGTTCCAGCCTTCTTGACTACACCGTTGACAGTACCGCACTTATCACAATGCCGAGTTTTACGGCACCGCTCGTTGATACGCTTCGCTATTTGCAACCTTCTCAAATTATCCAAGCCCGGGCGTCGCATTTCACGGAGGAAAGCACGTCGTTCGCCCTCGGGGAGCAATATGTGTGAGCATTCTTTGCAAATCTCCTGCAAGATGGTAATGACGCGCTTGAAGTACCCTACATGGAATGCTGGTAGGATGAGTTTCACATGGCCGAAATGGCCGTTACAAACTTGAAGGGCACCGCCACACGTCTGACACGATGCAGATTTGCTGGACACACCCATACGCGAGTCGAGGGGGCCATGGGCGACGACCGACCTATCCCGGTCAAGATCGAAGAACTTGCGGTCGGAAACTTCAACCACGCCTTGGCTGACAATATCATCGTTGGATCTATGAGTTAACGCGCGAACATGTTAGCCAGTGCTCAACAGCCCACAGGATGCCCAATCGGGGTTCCGTACAAAACACCGAATTTCAATTCCTTAATGACTTTGGGGACACGGTCAATGACCTGGGCCTTGCCCAGGTCGACCTGCACACCTTCCGGAGGCTGCATCAAGGATGTCAAGAGCTGAACATGGCAGGGCGGCAATCGCTCAAAGAACTGTCTCGTGAAGCGCTTTAATCAGCGCACAACCGCAAAGGGACCTTGTCAAGATGATATTAGGACAGGGTACCCCGAAAACCACTGTAAAGAGCCGTCGAGCAAGGCAAAATGTCTGGTGAGACAGGAAAAAAGAAACTGCAAGACATCACAGCGGCGGGGTTGGCGACGAACTTTTCTGCGGCCAAATTGGTAGCTTCCGCGGCCCCTCCGCCGCGCTGTCCAATCAACCATTGACATACATCGCTTACCTAAACATTGAATGCTCGACTGTTCCAAAAGGGTAATCATATTAAATCGGGGAGGCATCTGGGATATCCCATCATATACATACACAAACCCAAAGGGTATAATACATTCAATCTAATATACATGTCTATTTAGACAAGAAATTCTGGAAGGCCTTCTGTTCAATGACCACGTTGCCCACAGCCCTGAGCCTCTTCCGGCCTTCTTTCTGCTTCTCAAGCAACTTTCTCCGTCGACTTACATCGCTTGCATGGAGCTTAGCTAGCACATCTTTGCGATACGGCTTGACAGTCTCTCTTGCAATAACCTTGCGTCCGACAGCCGCTTGAATGACGACCTCGAAGAGTTGTCGGTCGACATGCTCCTTGAACTTCGTCACCCACCTCCTTCCGAGTCGTTCGATTTGGCTATAATGAACGACCCGCGCGACAGCATCCACAGGAGCCTTATTGACCAACAGCTGCAATTTCACGATATTGCTCGGCTGCCAAGCAGACTCCTCGTAGTCCAATGACGCATACCCTTTGGTAGATCCTTTGAGCTTTCCGAAGAAATCATCAACCAGTTGTGCTAGAGGCAGCTCATACTTGAGGATGACTTGAGTAGATGTAAAGTACTCGAGGCTTTTCTGTTCGCCTCGGTTCGCCTCGCACAATTCGATCACCTTTCCAAGGTACTCATCGGGGAAGGTTATGGTGGCCAGAACATAAGGCTCGTGGATCTCTGCCACTTTAGATCGCAGGTCGTCCTCCTCCGGGAAGCGAGCCGGGCTGGTGATAATCTCTTCGCGTCCATCTTTCCAGATGATCCTTACCGGTACGGAAGGGGGCGTTATGATGATGCTAGCACCGTGCTCCTGACGCAAACGATCTTCGAAAACTGAACAGTGGAGAGTCCCGAGGAATCCCAGTCTGAAACCTGCACCCAACGCTTCGGATGATTCCTTTTGCACTGTGATACTCCTATCATTCAGCATAAGCTGGTTAATGCTATCCTCCAGGTGCTCGAAATGGTCCGCGTCTACGGGGTAGGCGGCTACGAAAACCATCGACTTGGGCTCTTCGAAACCAGGAAGCGGCTCCACGGTTTTCTCACAACCCACTTTGGTGTAGGTATCGCCAATCTTTGCTTCCTTACTCCGTTTCATACCCGGGTTGAAGAAGATATACCCAACCTGGCCAGCTCGCAGGACGGTCTGCGAGGTCTCGGTCGGATACATGATGCCGACCTCACCCACGTAGTATTTGATGCCCGTTGCAAAAGACACGAGTTGGTCTCCTGCACGAACTTCGCCGTCGAAGATCCGAACCAAACAGATAACACCTTTGTAGGAATCGTACCATGAATCGACGAGTAACATCCGCAGGGGCTTCTGGGCATTTCCCACAGGCCTATTGGAAGGTCAGCACAACGGGACAACTATGGTTTGAAGGGGAGAAGCATACGCTGGGATCTTCTCAACTACAGTAGGAAGCAATTTCTCGACATTGAGACCCGTCTTAGCAGAAACCATGACCGCATTTTCCGTGTCCAGTTCGAACGAAGCTTTCATTTGTTGAAGAGCTCTCTCCGGTTCAGCCGACGGCAAATCTACTTTGTTGATCACAGGAATCAACTCCAATCCCTGGGCAAACGCAAGATAGAAGTTTGCCACGGTCTGTGCCTGAATGCCTTGGCTAGCGTCTACCAGAAGCAATGCTCCTCCGCAACTAGCATAACTGCGCGAAACCTCCGCACGGAAATCCACATGTCCCGGTGTATCGACAAGATGCAACAGATAGTCCTCTCCCTTATGGTTGTATATCATGGTACATGTTTGGGCCTTCACGGTGATACCTCGTTCCCGTTCGACATCGAGTTTGTCCAATACTTGCTTGTTTGATCCCGGCTGGATGGTGCCCGTGAGTTCGAGTAGTCGGTCGGAGAGGGTACTCTTGCCATGGTCAACGTGAGCGACGATACAGAAGTTGCGATATCGGTCAATCGGAATCTGTGCAATTCGATTTTCAAGATCAGAGGTGGGTTTGCTCGCGCCTGTTCGAGCTCGCGACGCCAGATAAGCGGAACTAGCGAAAGACCGTGTGTAGTTGTTGCAAAAGCCGGATGGCACCTTGGGAAGGCTTGCCGCCGGGCATTTCGGTCCTGCGTTCAGCCATCTGGCTAACTGCAAGCATCCTCGCATCGGGAGGTCTGCAAGAGCATGGGAATTATCTCTTATCGATTCAAATGTCTTGCGCGTTGTCACTGAGAATCAATTGCGGGTTCTGGTTTAGCGGGCAAAAAAAAAAGAGTGCGGCTCTGCGGAGAAAATGATTGGCAGATTGGCAGGCGGTCGATTTGGATTTATCGACTTTAATTGCTGCGGCGACTATCGGAGTAAACAAAGGCTCCCTCAAAGTCTCTTTTCCCTCCCCTCTCGAAACCACAATCAACCCACGAATTTATCCACTAGCGTCACATCAATTCACCATGTCAGCAACGAAGGACAAGTCTAAGGTGCACAAGCTGTCCCTGAAAGGTGAGAGACCCAAAATAGCAGTTCGTACAGTTCAAGAGCTCACCCCTACATAGGGTCATCCAAGCTTGTGGCAGAATTCGTAAGGTTCCCTCTCAAGTCACATCAATTCAGGAATACTAATCTGCCTAGTTTGAATACTCCATCAACTCAATTCTGTAAGCCTGCGTGTTCGGCCAGCGTCATAGGCTATTTCGACGAATGCTAATGTTGACCCCCAGTTTCCAGCGAGGTGTCTACCCCCCTGAAGATTTCACAACGTGAGTACTTCGATCACAGTCCGCTGTTAAGCTCTTTGTATTTAACTCGATTTAGTGTCAAGAAATATGGGCTCAACATGCTTAGTTAGTCGGGCCTCTGCTTTCTACTCGGCGCATCCGCTGACAGACTCAGTTACCTCGGATGATCAGGTCAAGGCCTACATCAAGAAGATCATGTCACAGTTAAATAAGTGGATGATGGGAGGCAAGATCTCCAAGCTTGTTGTAGTAATCACAGACAAGGAGACCGGGGAACACGTGGAAAGATGGCAATTCGATGTAAGAAGCTCACTCGTTTGTCAGGCGTATATATCAGAAACTAACGGGACATCTCAGGTGCAAATATTCGCGAAACACAGCAAGAGCCAGAAATCCCAGACATCCGGCGATAAGGAAAACACCGGCTCAGAGTATGCATCTTCGAGCCACAAGCAATATAAAGAGCAGCACAATACTAATTCTTTGTAGGAACGCGGACCCGCAAGCCCCTGTTGAGAAAACAGAGAAAGAAATTCAAGAGGAGATCCAGGCAATTTTCCGCCAGATTACCGCTTCAGTCACCTTCCTTCCTGTCCTAGACGGTGACTGCACATTTAACGTCCTAGTATACGCCGACGCCGACTCAGAGGTACCGGTCGAATGGGGTGACAGCGACGCCAAGGAGATCAAGAACGCGGAGAAAGTCCAGCTCAGGAGTTTCAGCACGAACAACCATCGTGTAGAAACATTGGTCAGCTATCGTCTTGCGGATTAGGCCACCGTACGATCGATTAAGGTGTTTTTTGGGAGGCGTTCAGGACGAGGACGACAGGCTCAGTTCAGCATATTTTCGGGGCTTCTCTTGTTTCATGTTTTTACAATCGGGAGCATATCAGTAATGACTAATGAATATGCATCACAAATCAATATTTCAAAACTAATCAGACGATATAAGTAGAATCCTACCATTCAGTTCCATACCTAATACCAGGGCAATTGCTCCATCTTAAGAAACCACTCATTCCCATCCCGTCCACCATCCCACCGAACCAACTCCTCAACTACCGGCTCCAAGCCCACATTAACAAAAAGACCCCTCTCCATCCCACGAACCCAGCCCCTCTTAGCCCTCTTCTCCGCCAATTCCGCTAAAACACCATATCGATCCCTCGTCCACAACCCAATCCCCCGCTTCTCTTCTCCCTCAATTAACGAAGCCTCCGGCGTCACATCTTCAGGAGGATTAATCCCAATAACACCCACTCTAGCCTTACCTTCAAGCTCCCGCCCAACAGCAGCCAACCCAACAGCCGGAAAATGATACTCCATGAACCGTCTCCGCTTAAACTCATGGGTCACAACCGTCACTCGGGACGGATAGGCGCCCGTATACTGTTTAAATCGCAGTAGAGAAAAGAGCACGTTTTGGTAAGAGTCCGTGGCGTGTGTTTCGGGTATGATCTGTGCAGGTGGGATGTGGTAGGAGAAGTATTGGTTTTCTCTGGCGAGATTCTATTGGTGTATGTAAGGTTAGGTACGGTTACTAAGGAGGATATGTGTCTTTTATAAGTACTTATTTTTCTGGAGTTGACTTACCAGATAGGATTCGCCCTCTGTTAAATCGGTGATGTTTCTTTTGGTAGCGCCTCTGCTGGGATGTTAGTGGTGTGCTGTTATTCGACTCAGGTATTATATGTATATATATATATATATCTCTCTTGAGTACCGATCTAGGACCTTGAAGTCAATTACGGTATGTACATACCCTGAGAATACAAGCAACGCAGACGGGTCATTCGACAAGGCTTCAAGTCCAGCCCTGATATGAGCTGTGAATGTAGGGGTTTCTCCCTTTTGGAAAGGTTCTATCAGCCTGGTATGTTCTGCGGTTAGAGATGCATGTATGTTTGTGTTTATATATATAACCGTGATTTATACGGCATAGATTACGACTGCGTGGACAAGATACTCATGCAGTAAAAGTTAGAGGGAAAAAACACTAAAGACTTACCATTCATCCTCGGAGATGCCGTGAGTTGGTCCACCCCGGTATATGGCGTGGCAGCAGACGATGATCAGATGGCTGCAAAGCGTTTTTTGGTTCGATGCTGTTAGAATTGACATGATTTTGCTATTTCGAGGAGGGACATCAAGGTAATGCATGGAGTGAAGCTTTCTTCACAGTACACTACTGAGGCTGGGAAGCTTGGGAAAGTGATCACCAAAAATGTTACAGTATGAGTGTTTCAAAGAGAGTTGGTCGGTCATCAGGAGATTTATATTACCTAAGCCGGTGAGAAAGGTAACTTAACAGTTTCTGTATTAATGAGCCGGATTGCTTGTTAAGGTCAAATCGTTTCGTCGCAGATTAAAATCTTGTCCAGTAGGACATCACTCTAATATACATGCATGATTGTCCTTTCCATGAAAATAATGTAAATCTCGCGCCGAAGACACAATACCAACCTGGCCAAATTCTGTCCTTGTAGAATAGCATAAGCCCACCGGAAATGACAGAACTCCTGTATCATGGTAGAATACTGCAACAGACAACGCTGAGATGACCGATGCCGAGGAAAAACAACGCCGTGTGAACTCGCCCATAATGCACATTTATGAGTCAACATACATTTGCAACAATTCAGAGAGGATGTAGAGACAAATGGGATGACAATACAAATATTCGTTGTTGTATGGAATGCTGACAAGAAGAAAGGATAGGGGGTATCAAAAGTAGGAGATATGGGGGGAAATAATTAGTTAAGAGGATCGTGACGGAAAGTGCACTCATTGCCTTTGCGGCATTTTCCTTCAGGCCAGTATCTACAGGGAACCAACCCAACCTTGGGCTACCATACATAGTTAGCAACCAGTTGACATCAATGGACAGTAGGCTGCGAGGAACTTACATGGCTCTTATTCGGTCCGTTGGGCTTGTTTCGTTTGTAATAAGCGTATCTATCATCCTCAGGACCATCAAAACCCGAACCCTCGCGCATACGCTTGCGCTCAGGGTCCTCGTAGTGGCCTGGCATTTGAGAGAGGTTGGACCCCTGTTGGCTTGCTCCGGCAAACTGGGATATGATTGCAGCCAAATTTGGTGCAATACTGGGCTGCGACGGCTGGACCGGGGGCGCGACAGGTGTTGGCTGTTGGATCTGTTTTGAGGCATTGATGACGGCCAGGATTTTCTGGAAATCGATGCCCTGTGTTGCGGGAGGCTGACTCGTGGTAGGAAATTGAGGCATCTGGGGCGCTTGGGGCTGTGGTTGAGGCTGCTGTTGCTGACGGAACATACTGATGGTTCGCTCAAGATCAGACATCGGTGCTTGCGATACAGGTGGGGGTGGCGGGGGTGGCGGGGTTGACTGCTGTTGCGGAGGCGCCTTCTGTATAATTTTGAGCAAGTTCGAGATGTCGAATTGGTTGTTTTGTGTGCTTGGTTGAGCTGGAGTTGGCTGGGGATTGACAACGGAGTAATACCGCTCCTGTCGAGCCTGTCACAGTATAATCATGTCAGATTCAAAGAAAGAGAGAAAAAGAAAAGGACAGGAAAGCAAGCTTAGGCCTACCTTGACGTGATCTGGTAGTTCTCCAAAGGCAACGGCTTCTGTCGCTGGCTCTTCTTCAGTGAGCGGAGGAGGTTCTTTTGGTGAGGAGGGCACATCTGCTGGAGAAGTGTAGAAAACCATAAGTGTCGTGGCTTCCCGGTGCTCTTGAGCTTCTTTCTCAGGACTAATTGGCTGCTGAGTACCAGCGCGTTTGATATTATTTCGAGCACGATCCTCAGATGTGATGTCCGCGAAATCAATTTCTACCCAAGTTAGTATGGCACTTCTGACGAACTCCGGTAATAACTTGCCTGACGCCTCATAGTATTCACGCAAACTCTCTTCGTGCACAGCGCTATCTTCTTCCTCGTCGAACTCGTCCAGATCTCTATGGAGTTTGAGCACACTACCTTCACCCTTGACATCTCCCTGCGCACGATCCCCGGGTCCAAGTTCTTCGTCAGGGTCATGTGTAAACAAACGGACTTCGGTAAGAGAGTCATCAGGCTTCCACGTGACACGCAGCTTCCGTCTCGCCTCCTTACGAAGTCTCTTCGTTCGTTCTTCTTCAGACTCCAGGGGCAGATGCTCAACGGGCTCGGACGGGGCAGGTTCTTTCTGTTTATTGAGGTCTGCCATAATATCACCAAATGAGAAGGTTGGTCTGGGAGGCGCCGGCTGAGACTCTTTCTTTTCCGTAGGCGTGCTGTTTAAGATTAGCATTAGGTATTGGGGTTAAGCTCGATACACTTCTGCGTACCTTGTCTTCGCCGCGGCAGCGGCCGCGGCCGCTCTTTCTGCATTTGAAGTTCCAGGCCGCTTTGAAGCGGATGTCAAACTTCCAAATAAATTGGTCGGCTTTGGGGCAATTATATTGGCCTTTGGACGGGCGGCGGCGACTGCTACTGATTTGTTTTCCGGCCCAATATCCTGAGGGCGTTTAGCAGGGCCAGCCATAGGAACGTTGCTTGATTTCAACCCATTCTTCAGATTCGACGTGACCACCACCCGCTTTGTGGCTGGTTGGCCATTGGCCTCACTATCTCGGGGTCTTTTAGATCCAGCGACCTCCAATCGCTGACCATCAGCAGGCGCTGGCGTAGGCGTAGCATCGGACGCCGAGCTCTTAGAGGGAGAAGACTCTTTAGATGTTTGTTTACTGTTCTCCTGCTTCCTCTTAGTAGAAATAGCAGCGTTATCTAAGATCTTTTGCGCGAGCCCCCTAGCTACTTGCCCACCCTTTTTCACAAATCTCGGCAGTAATTTGGAAACATTTGTTTTCTGGAGCACATCTTCATCCACAGTAATAAATCGAGCCAAGAGCTATTCAATATGTCTTAGTTATGATTAACCACCAGTTTACGTTAGTATACGCACCTTTAATAGGTTCAAGGTGAATGCTCCATCAATGTCGGACGCTTGATGTCGATCTAGAAGAAACGAATACATGGCAGCCACCGCCATTGGATGTTCTCCTAGCCTAAAGATTTGGGTTAGCCAATGATCATCGCACAAGCCAAACAAAACAAAGCATGATATAGCGGGAGGCTTAGAGTGTCAGCTAGTGTGGTAGGCCAATCTGTACCATCGAGAAGTCCTAGAGACTCTTCGAGAGAGGTGACTATGCGGTCAGACTAGGGACTGCCGAAAGGGAACAGTTCTTTAGAGAGAACAACCCTTCCTTATTTCCTCGATTCTTTTCTAAGGACACATAGCTAGGTATGGATTGGCCTTGGGTGCAGGGTAATCCCCACCCTTACTTATGAGCACTCTTGTTTTAGAAGATATGCTGAAATCCACACTAGGTAAATTACGCGGGAGAGGCTCTCAATTCGTTTCTGACTTCTATGGCCATGACAACGATATGCCAAGATGGTAAGAGAAAGGAATAAAGTAAGAGAAAGGACATACTTCTCGACGATTGTGGGGTGCCCCTGTTCCAGAGTGGTACTAACAACCACGTCCATCAGGCGCCGCTGAAGGACGACGTCCTTCTTGATCTGGGCCGCTTTGTCATTTTCGCCCTTATTTTCCGCCATCTTCATCGCTTGCGACTTCTCTTTCCATGTATCTCTTACAGCTTTGACGACGTCTTTGAACGCAACCAGTGCGCCTTTGACTTTGTCAGCATGAGGTCGCCTATTCCGCGGTGACCACACAGCTTGAAGGGTATCATATCGTGCGGCGGCTTCCGGCTCACTGGGACGAACTGGGGGTATAGGAGATGGCTCTTCGGGCGCTTCAATTTCTAACTCCGAGTCAGACATATCGCTCTCGGATCCAGAAGAACCTGAAGCCCTCCCATCAGCCTTTTTGCCGGGCGCCTTAGCCGAGGCTTTCTTGGGCGCCTTCTTCGCCGTGAGCTGTTTCTTCCGTAATTCCGCTGCTTTGCTTGCAACTTCTAAAATAGCTTGCTGGCCTGTTCGAGTAAGAATGAGGTTACCAAACGATGAATTGAGGAAACGTACGGTTCTGATTCATGGGTATGACTACGTCTACGCCTGGGGTCTGTGCAGCAGCAACACTGGGATTGTTCACAGCAGGTTGGCTCAGAACCGATGGCATTTGCAAGTCATTCCGGTAGTAGTCGAACACCCTGGAGGGAAAAAAGTCAGCAAATTCACAGGAAGCAAGATAAAACCACAGTTCGTTTAAAAGATATACCTTTGATCATCTTGTCGTTCAAATCCTGGGTTTACATAGATGAAGCTATTGAGGGGGCCATGCTGGTTGTTGGTTTGCTGAGCCGTGTTGAGAAACTGGGGGTTGATCGTTTGATGCTCATGGACACTTGGCGCAGAGTCGGGAAATTCACTTGTATACTGCACCTGACCATGCTAGTAATTGTTAGCTAGACTATCATCGGGCGAGATAGTTTCGAACAGGCTTACTGAAGTCTCTTCCGAATATCCCGTAGGGATGTTGTATGGAACGATCGGGGTTTGAGGAGTGTTAGACTGATAAGGGGCCGGTTGAGATGATTGTGACTGAGTGGCTTGGGGGGGAGGCGTTTGAGAGAAGGTGTCTGGCACTGACAGATGCTGTGAAGGATAGTAGTTTCGCGGAAACGCATACGATTGATAAGGTGGATTCTCCGACGTGCTGAGAGACTGCGATTCAAAAGGAACTTGCCCCTGTGAATACTGAGGCACCTGTCGATATTGAACCGGTATCGTAAATCCCTGTGGGGTCGACATCATCTGCTGAGGATGCAAAGGGTTGGGTCGCCAAGACTGCGGAGTGGATGAGGTATACAAGCCATGGCCATGCTCCTGTTGAAGGGGTAAAGGGCTCCGTTGCTGGGGTGCTTGGCCGAATACCGGATGATCCCAGCTGATACCCATGGGCTGCGGTTGTTGTGGTTGTTGCGATTGCTGTAACTGTTGCTGTGGCGGATGCGCATGCTGATGTGGGGGTTCCGGGTTTGCATACAGCGACTCCCAGTATTCCGCAGGCAATGAGCCGGGATCTACCGGGGCATGAGGCAGTCCGCGCATCATATTCTGCGGCGGCGACTGCTCCATGCTGCCGTCCATTCACTTCAATACTCCCCGACGTTGATTTTCTGGGGGTAGTGGGAAGCAGAATTATTTGGTAGAGATACTTTAAAGGGAGATGGATAACCCAATATGGCAGGTATAAGTCACATGCATCCACGTGCTCGTTGCACCCAATTAGGAAAGGTGTGTAGACGCCGGTCTTCCTGAATCGCAGTTGGTGGGAAGACTGGTGTGGGGGGGGGGGCCAATTCTAAATAGCCTTATTGGACAGAGCCTCCCAATAAACGTTAAGAAAGCGAATCACACCGGACGAATCACCGGTCCGATCAGACTTTGTCAGCGGTGAAGGATTCTGATACGCTGAGCGGGGAGAGCGGTAAGGTCAGGCAGTAGCGATACTGATTTCCTGCCGCAGTGCTGCAACAAAAGTGTGTAAAGGAAATACCAAATGGTTCCAGTATGACCCGTGGCAAACTGGCCTCCGCTTTGCCAATTGTTAACGGGGGGTGGCAAGCTCTTAAAAACCTCTTTTCTTTTTTCTTTTCTTTCTTTCTTTTTTGGCACAGCCGGAAAAAAAAATATTAAAAGAAAAGAAAAGCAAAAACAGTTATTCCTGCCTGTCTGCCTGAGGGAGGCTCCTTAGGGATGGGTATCCCGCAAGTCGCGTTCACGTTGTGCTGCGCCCAATCTTGCAACCTTTTTTTTTTTTAGAAAAAAGAACCGCTCTTGATGCACCAAGTAGGTCAACCCTTCGAATACACCGACCAAGTACTCCGTATAGTAGACGTATGATAAAAAAAAAACTTGTCTTTCTTTGGAACCCCTTTTTCTTTTTCCAGGCCCTTTCTTTATCTTTGGATTTGTTTTCAGTTTCTTTGCTGCCTTGTCACTCCTTTTCCCTGCGCTGTTCTTCACAAGTGACAATCCAGCACGTACAACCTGTTCCTGTGGACCTTTTCTTCTCTTAAATATGTCTTAAAAGATGAAAAGAAAAGGTTCTCATACAAAGAAGCACTTTGGACTGCAATTAAGCAGCCTAGTCATTCGCTTTACGAAATGGATGGAAGGGAAGGGGGGGGGTTGGGGAGGCAAGTAGTGGTGGTAATGAGACTTAAAAAGCTCAGCTCGGTTAGGTGACGGCCATTGGGAGGCTTGGCCAGCCACGCTTATACCCGTTCGGTCTAGCACAGCGCACGTGAGTTTGCGTCGTTTGTATCTGTTGGGCGGGTGATTGAACTCGGAAAGGGGGGGGAGCGTCAGTACCTTATTTAGTTAGTAAGGGACCAATGTAACCTTATTGGGATTAGTCAGATTACGTCAGCCTTCATCAATCGGGAGCTTCTCTTACAGGATGCCAAGTGGAGAGACGGAGAGAGGCGTGTACAGAGGAGTGGATTGCGGACTGAGTGATCGAAGCAGGAACAACTCTTCAGATCGGGATTGATTGTCTGATATCGTCCTGCCTGCTTGAGTGCTTACAGTTCCTTTTATGTCATGAACGTCATCCCAGCCAATTAATCGCTGTGAATATCTTCCTGGGTGCAGACTATACTTACCATGGCGTCGCATCCAATGCCTCTTCGCGACCTTCAGGTCGGTAGGTTTTCGAATGATACATGTTCCATCTTCCTAAGCTAGCGTACACTAACATGGTCCTCCTTCAGTTTCCATTCAGAAAATCCTCAATTTGAACCATGATCCGCAGACAGAAGACAGCCATCACGAATCCTCCGCGCAAGGCCTCATCTCGACCCCCATCTTGAACGAGGATGGCGACCCGATCTGGAAAGTTCTGGTATTCGATAATATGGGACGGGATGTTATTAGTAGTGTGCTCCGGGTCAATGATCTGCGAGCTTGGGGCGTGACGATCCATCTGTATGCGCTTCCATCCTTTCGACGATTTGACTGATGCGACTAACCAACTTGGCAACTTAAGAAACATCAATTCCAATCGATATCCGATTCCCGATGTCCCAGTCGTCTATCTCGTTGAACCTACGGCTACCAATATTCAAATGATTACAGACGACTTGGCTCGCGGACTCTATACGCCTGCCTACGTGAACTTCCTATCGTCTGTGCCTCGGCCGCTTCTAGAGGACTTTGCCTCTCAGATAGCGACCACGGGGGCATCGGAGCATATCGCACAAGTCTACGATCAATACCTCAACTTCATCGTCGCTGAGCCAGACCTTTTCAGCTTAGGCCTAGGGCATGACGCTTACTGGAAGATTAATAGTGCGCAAACAAGTGATGAGGACCTAGATGTAATCATTGATAAGATTGTCAGCGGCCTGTTCAGTGTTAGCGTTACGATGGGTATGTAGGGCCGGCCCATGCGCATGTTTGTTACTAACTACCTGGCACACCAACAGGCGCGATCCCCATCATACGATGCCCTAAAGGTGGCGCGGCAGAACTCATAGCGACGAAACTCGACCGCAAACTCCGTGATCATATCCTTAATTCAAAGGATAATTTGTTCTCAACCAATAAGAAAACTGCCCCGGGTGTCCCTTCTTCAAGACCTGTGCTAGTCATTGTCGATCGCAATGTGGATTTGGTTCCCATGCTTTCTCACTCGTGGACATACCAATCCTTAGTGCAGGATGTCCTCCAGATGCGCCTCAACCGGATCACAATTGAGACGACGGATGAAACAAATCCTGGCAAGGTCACCAAGAAAGCGTATGACCTCAACAGCAACGACTTCTTCTGGAAGCGTAATGCCGGGGCTCCCTTCCCTCAGGTAGCGGAGGATATCGACGCCGAGCTAACGAAATATAAGGAGGATGCGAACGAAATCACAAAGAAGACTGGTGCTTCTTCTATTGAGGATCTCCAAAATGACACCAGTACCTCTGCGCAGCATCTGAAGGCTGCTATCACCCTTCTTCCGGAGTTGCGGGAACGCAAATCCATTTTGGACATGCATATGAACATTGCCACTGCGCTGCTGCAAGGGATAAAAGATCGCCAGCTCGATAACTTCTTCGAGCTTGAAGAGAATATCACGAAGCAATCCAAGGCACAGATCTTGGAACTGATCAATGACCCAGCCAAGGGCAGCGATCCGACGGATAAGCTTCGACTCTTCCTGATCTGGTTCCTGAGCACTGAGACCGAACTAAACCGCGCCGATATGAGCCAGTTTGAAGAAGCCCTTACCCGTGTTGGCGTCCAGGACGTCAGCCCTATCGCCTATGTCAAACAAGTCCGCGAAGTCACTCGCATGACTATGATGACTACTGCCGCACCGCAGCAACAATCCTCTGATCTATTTCGTGGCTTCTCGTCGCTCTCGAATCGCTTGACAGATCGCATCACATCTGGGGCGCTGGGTGCCAATTTCGACTCCCTGATCTCCGGTGTCAAGAATTTCCTCCCTGCAAACAAAGACTTGACGTTGACCAACATCACCGAATCGCTCATGGATCCAGCCTCCGCGTCCAGCTCCGCCATTGCCAAAACTGAAAGCTACCTCTACTTCGACCCCCGCAGTGCAAATGCCCGTGGTGCCATGCCCCCCGCTTCCGCTTCTCGCAATACCCAATCGCCTGCCACCCTAGGTACCCCCGGGCCAGGAACAGGTGCCAGCTTCGGTCAGCGCCGCCAAGCCTTCAACGAAGCGATCGTCTTCACCGTCGGAGGAGGCAGCATGGACGAGTACGGCAACTTGCAGGACTGGGTCCGTCAGACCAGCGGACAGCCTGCCAGCGATGGTGCAGCGGCCGGTCGGGGAACAGCATCCCAGAACACTCCCCGGCGAAGAGTCGTCTATGGCAGTACGGATTTGATGAACGCTAACGAATTCCTAACAGAGTCATTGGCTAGGTTGGGCCGCGAAAGCTGAAATGAGTGAAAGCTCGAGAGGAGCATTGAATTTGAATGTAGCTTAAACAAATAGAATTTGTCTTAAGACATATACATTAATGCATCATTTAGGGATCCTCCTTGCCGTTTGGATCTACATTTCATGAAATTGGGGAATGTATATTAAATTACTCATCAGATCTAGTAAGGTAGGGCTAGGCTGCACCTTCACTCTACTTCACCTGACAATACCATACCAGGACCACTGTCCTCGTGCAATCGTGTTTGCCAAGGCGACTTTTAGCAATCTATCTGCGTCTCAGGTTTATCATCCGTCCTACACCGAACAATGGCTATACAGACCCTTCAACGGTGTCCCACCAGCCACATGGGGAGTTTTGCGACACTGTCAGCCTATTTAGGCCCCCAAAATAGCCAAACGGCAGCCGGGCTCAGCAATCACATTGTTTGTGTGTTACCCAAGAGCACATCAGGAACCCTTTCCTTACACGCTTTCAACATTTACTGCGCATCGCCCCTTAGACCATACAACAAAAGGTAAGGGGTCAGCACAAAGGAAAGAAAGAAGCACGGACAAAACCCCCATCGTGGTCTTAAAATAATTAAACTGCTGACACCAGCGCCCGCCTCCTCCTCGATGGCACCATGCAAGGGCTACAAAAATGACATTAAACCTTGAAGCTGCAGCAGTGCTTAAGAGGTGAAGAATCCAATCACATTCCAATATCGGAATGATCGACAGCCAATAATGTCAAAAGGTTCTGTTGAATGAATGGGTATCCGGCACCTTAAAAGCCATCCATGGATCCGGATCCGGGTTGTGGACCACAATCCACTCTTCAACTGCTCGTTCCCGTCTTGATATTGTTCTTCTAGTATTGTCTGTCTTAACGGCTCCAAGTCTGGCCTCGGCTACAATCTAGTCTGATATGTCGACAGCGTCATGACTTACCCATTGTCTAGGGCTAGTTTCACTATAAAGCACAGTTGATATTGTACCTTCTGTTTCGGTTCAGCCGTACATATATTGTTTGTCTCAGGCGTTGCTTATGTACAGTGTAACATCTGATGCGCTCTATCAGCAAGACGCTCAGCGCTGAGGAACAATATAGTTCCTGGTGAATCAGGTCCCATCTTTCCCATCATGTTCAAATCCCTCTACAGGCTCTTTCTCGATCTGACGTGTTGTTCAAGTTCATACCGGGTTATCAATCTACTCATCGATCCCACTATCCACAGCGTCCTACAAGATTTCCTTTTTTGCCTGGCACTCTTCTGCCCATCGTTGCTCACTCACTCTTCTTTCGTCCCTTCCAAGTTTCTCACGACGTGCCCATCATGAGCTCAGATTTCGATCCATACACACAGAACCTCACCTTCCATGAGGCCGACGGGACCCCGTTCTTCGTACCCGTGGTAGTTCTGGATGACTTCTACCAGTACTGCATCCAGATCTGCATCAACTATGGGGCTCAGTTCGGTGCTTCTGTCATTATCTTCATTGTCCTTCTACTTCTGACTAGACCCGAAAAGCGTGCTTCTTCGGTCTTCTTTCTTAACGGCGGTGCTTTGCTGCTCAATATGGCCAGGCTGCTGTGCAATATGATCTACTTCACAACCGGTTTTGTGAAAGCGTATCCGTTCTTCTCTGGCGATCATTCCAGGGTATCCACTTCCGCATACGCCAATTCTATCCTAGGCGTCGTGTTTACCAGTCTGCTCTTGATCTGCATTGAAGCATCTCTTGTCCTCCAGGTTCAAGTTGTCTGCGCGAATCTTCAGCGTCGGTATCGGACTATGGTTCTCTGCGTGTCGATCCTGGTCGCTCTTATCCCTATCGGTTTCCGTTTGGTGTATATGGTTGGGAATTGCAAGACAATTGCGAAAGCCGACACTCCACAATCACTCGTCTGGTTGGAAAGTGCCGCCAGTATCGTAACCACCATCAGTGTCTGCTTCTTCTGCGCCATCTTCATAACTAAACTTGGGGTCGCCATCCACCAGCGAAGAAGACTTGGAGTGAGGGACTTCGGGCCGATGAAAGTGATATTTGTTGTTGGGTGCCAGACCATGATCGTTCCCGGTATGCCCTCTGTGTCGCTGGAAAGGCAACCCTCGTGCATGGGCTAATATTATCTAGCGATGCTTTCAATACTCCACCATGCGATCGTAGTCCCCGAACTTAATTCAAACATCCTGACCCTGGTCACGATTTCCCTCCCACTTTCCTCCATCTGGGCTGGCATTACCCTGAGCAACTCATCGTCCAGTGGAACTTCCCCCTCTCGCTGTGCCCTGTGGAGCCGTCTCGCAGTCTCGAACAGCATGGGGAGCAATCAAACATCATCCACGGACACGGCTATCGCCATGTCTTATCCGAATAATAAGTCGAGCACAGTCTGCTATGCGGATCAGGGCTCTGCTCGGAGACAGCCTGACCTAGAGCAAGGTAATGGGATTTCGGTTGAGCACGGAGTTTCCGTTCATAGTTATCAGAGGCTTTGATGAGTGGATTCGTTTGGTGTGTGAAGGCCGGTTTCTGGGATGCGCTGCACATTCTTAATTCGCTCTTTAATAATCTCTTTCGTGTTTTCATTTTCCTGCGTTCGCTTCAGCGCTCTATGGGGGTTTTAACATATCAAGAATATTGAGATACATGAACCGATTAATAGTATAGGTGTATATTTCCACGGTAACATACTAACTACTAGTATAGAGCCCTAATAGCTCGACTTCAAAATACGGTATGAAATTCAATTTTAGTTCGATGTCACGGGGAGGAGGGGGGGGAATGCCAAGAAACATGCGGGGAATGCGAACCTCTTGCGGAGTTTCAAACACACTCATGATCTTCAGGTTAAAGCTCCCCCAAGCTCCTTCGAAATGGCGGCCGTGCCACAGAGGACGCTCAATTGGCTATACAGTGTCCTGATTAGGGTATCTCCAACTGCTTTCTTTTTAGCTCTTCAATGTAAAGTACTGACCAACGCAGGATCATTACGATCCCAGACAGACTTATCAGGACCCCAACCGAACGTACTATGATGTTGCCCTTGTGCTCGCTCAGTATCCTTCCTTATCCCCACGAACCGAAGTCTACAGTCCGTGATATTCCCGGTGTCCCTTCCCTATATACTCTGGTGCTAATTGTGTCCATCTATCCAGCATATGAAAATGGTTACTCCGCCCTTCTATTGCAGCTCACTGGCACAATACCCGTGACATTTCGCGGCACGGTCTACAAGTTTCCCATATCATTATGGGTCCCCAACACTTACCCACGGGAACCGCCGATAGTCTACGTAACTCCGACACAGGATATGGCTGTTCGAGTTGGTCAGCATGTGACGTTGGAGGGAAGGGTATATCACCATTACCTGGCACATTGGGCAGAGGCATGGGAGGTAAGTGCCTTTCATCGAGAGTCGCGCGGGGCAATTCATTAACAATCTACTCGGGTCAGAGATCAACCCTCGTCGATCTCGTATCTATACTCCGGGAGGTTTTCGCAAAGGAACCACCGGTCAGATACAGGCAGCAGCAGGTACCGCCACGACCACAACAACCTGAGCCAACACAGACACCACCTCCACTACCTCCGCTCCCCCCAGAGCTCGGATTATCCACGTCTCATTCCCCGATGACCCAGGGTATGTCTTCACCAACCCCGGCAGCTCAGGCGCCGCCTCCCCCGCCTCCGAAGCCTGGGCAAGTGGTCGCTGCCGAGCAACGGCAACCGATTTCTGCGGCGCAGCACATCTCTTCATCAACTTTCCCTCCACTTCCGCCAAAGGAACAGGATTCTAGGTGGCAACCCCAATCTCGTGCGAATATTAGTAGTCTTCCGGGTCACCCGTCACAGTACCCACCGGAACGAGGCGGCATTCTGCAAGGCCCGACAGTCCCACATCGTAATCCTCAGCAACAACAACATGCTGCGACACATTTAATGTCAGCCTATTCGCAAGGCATACCCACTGTCCAGTCTGGTAGCAGGACGCCAGCTAGCGCAAATCTGCAGCATCTTCCCAGTGGACCTCAGCAGCAGCCAACCGTTAGGCCTCTGCAACAGGTTTCCCCCAACCAGCCGGCATATCAGCAGGCGAATGGCGCATATCAGCAAATGCCATTAACGCAAGCTCCTCAACATTCATCTCATCATAGCTTTCAGCAGCCACCTACAGTAACCCAACCAGCAGCGCGACCTAAGGCCGAAACTCCCGATCTTCTTACTTCTCCTTTTGAGGTTGAGCTTCCATCGTTTGCACCTGGTCCTCCCCCGCCAATTCCTCCCAATCCACAGAAGGATGCACTGTTACAAGCCGTGTCCAAGGCATTGGCCGAGACGCTACAGACAAATGTGTCGCGAACCGAATCTGCGACACAATCTCTACTTTCACAATCGAATTCATTGCACGCAGCGATCGCCACCTTACAAGGCGAGATCTCATCCTTAAATACTCTCAATTCAAGCCTGCAGTCCAACACATCCATCCTTCAACAATCCCTTCATCGCGCTGATGCTGTCATTGCAGATGCGCAGAGTCGCACATCATCATCTGCCGCTGCACAGTCGAGCTCAGACCCGGTTCCCTCTGGCCTTCCTCCAATCGACGAGGTTCTCGTCGCCCCCACAGTTGTGGGCAAACAGCTATACGACCTAGTAGCAGAAGAACGCGGAATTCAGCAGGCCATCTATGCCCTACAAGCTGCTCATGTGAAAGGTATAATCGGAGTAGAAACCTGGTCCCGACACACTCGCGGGTTGGCGCGAGAGGCTTTCTTGAAGCGAGCGCTTATCCGGAAAATCGGGAAGGGCATGGGTCTCGAGGAACATTACGCCTAAACTTGCCAGCTATGGATCTTTGTATATACCAACGAGTAGGGAAACGGCAACAAAGCTGCAAGAACTGTACATAAATCCCTATAAGCACTAGATTTCACGACTCAGTGACGGTTACATACCTCTTTCGCGTGCACTCAGCTTCTCACTTTTCCTATGATTCTTCCAATGTAGACCTTTCAGTCTTCTGCCATTGGCTTCACGGATTCATTTTGGCAATTTTTCAATGCCCTCTATCAACATGAAGCAACCCAGGTGAGTCGGTTTTCAGCGGGACTATTTCCAACGCTAGGGATAATTTCTGCTACGGGTCTTGAGAACCATTCACAGCCACGGAATCATTGGCCAATACTATATCGGTCATCCGTCAGCAGATCAACGTGTTCTATTCCCGTGGTGACTTTGCATTTGACGATGATGGGCAAATGTTGCTATCTGCCATTGCCGGGACAGGAGAATCGCGAGAGTGGGTCCGACGGTATATGATTTTTCAAGGAGATGATGGCGCGAGCGTTAATTGCCAGGAGATAATATGCAAGGGTTCAGTGCTGAAACGCAGGGGACTACTTCTTAGGCGGGAATTGTAGACGGCTCCACAGTGTAAGTGTTAGGGGTTGATATCTCCATGAACCTGCAACATGAGAAGCAATATAGCTTAGCCCTCACTACCACTCAATTTGAAATGATCAAGTACTATCTTAGTAACATTTATCATCATAGAAAGATCAACATATAAGCATATGTCAATACTTTTGGACCCCAAACACAGCCTCTCCCAACACATCTATACCGCAAGGCTGTGAAATGTTCGGCGCTTATTGGGCTTCAAAATCTGCGGCTAGCATCCTAGGCGGAGAATTAAAAGTTCCCGTCTCCTCAGCCATGTCCGTTGAGTGTAGATCTTTTTCTGGGTCTAATAAGGAAGACCTTTCTGCCGACTTGAAGGAGAAAGAGGGCCGTTGTTGACTCACCATTCTGCCAGGTTGGTTCACTACACCCAAGATGCCTCCAGAGCCGCATGTTGGAACTTCATGTCCAGTCTCTCCTGTATCGAGCGTGCACTCCCATGAGTTGGTAATGCGGGCCGAAGAGCGCAGTCCAGACACATATGGTCGCTCGCGGACTACTGACGAGCATGGAGCTGCCCCGGATCTGCCACTCAAGCTGTCCCCCGAGGTGCAGGAGACAAACCGACAGGGAAACGACCAAACCTGGACAGTGTGGTCTCTGATCTCTGACTGGTTTATCTGGGAAGTGCTGGCAGTGCTCCTCTCAGCTGTAACACTTGCCGCTATAGTCGCCATTCTCGCCAAGTTTGATCACAAACCACAGCCCGTCTGGAAGCACGTCTCCCTGAACTCGGTGGTCTCCTGGCTAAGCACCATCTCCAAGGGTTGTGTATTATTCGCGATCAGCGAGGCTCTGGGACAGCTGAAATGGGTGTGGTTCGCAAAGAAGTCGCGGCCCATGCTGAATCTGAGGGCATTCGACTCAGCTAGTCGGGGCTTTTATGGGAGCGGAGAATTGATGTGGGCATTACGGTTTCGGTGAGTAGATAGACACGCCTCTCCTAGTCGTTTGACTAACGGTACGTATCAGACATTTCGCGGTCTGGGGAAGCTTGGCTGTGATTTTAGCACTGGCTTTCGATCCATTCACCCAGAATCTCATCCATTACTTTCCGAACATGATCGAGGATGTCTCTCAAAGGGCTCTTCTGGCGAACAGCACCTATTATAATACAACCGGTCCGCCGTTGCAAAACGGAGCCCGTATGTCCATGTCTCCGGCCATCCTTTCCATTTTGAGCTGACCAGCAACTCAGTTTTCTGGGTCGACCCGTCGCTGAAGGCAAACGTGTATAATTCACTCTTCAACAATGACCGGTCGAGGCCATGGGCCACTCCCCAGTACGTCTGCAGCACGAGTAACTGCACCTGGGACCCGATTGCAACTTTGGAAGTTCGCGCTCGCTGCTCAAACGTGACAGACAGACTAGACATATCCTGCTCCGCCGTGACAGGCGATGACCTGGGCTATAACGGATTAACCAACTGCACAGCCTCCCTCCCAGTGTCGAACACAACCGCCTGGTTCCTCTCAGGCATGGCCGTGAAACGACCTCTATCCATAGCCACAGTCCAAGCAAGGTCAGCGCTAGTGTACAAAAACGCCAGCCTACCACCCATCCAGATGGTCGTACCAGACGGACTAGGCATGGACGGCACCACCCTAAGAGACAACAACACCAGATGGCAAGCAACAGAATGTTCCATCCAACCAATGGTCCACAGCTTCCGAGCAATAGTCAAGAACAACGTCTACAAAGAAGACTCAATCGCAACCTGGGAAACCAGCTGGGCAACATGGGACGAGAACTTACCTCTTTCGACCGAAGAGCTCCAGAAACTGACACCGGGGATGTACTTCCAACCACCTTGGGGCCCCGACCAGGGCGTCCACCCCAACACCACCTTCGGGTTCTCCGCCCAAGCCGGCCTCTCCCTCCAGACCTTCTTCCAAGACCTTTTCACCGGCTACTCGTTCATGCGCTCCATCTACAGCGCGTCCTTCATCCCGAACTCTAATACCCTCTACGCCGGCGCCGATTTCATCCAGGCCATGGCCCTCGGTAACATCACGGACTGCAACGCCACGACTGCCGATAAGCTCCGATGCGCCATGGACAACGTCGCCGCCGCCATGTCCAAGTCCTTCCGCGACTCGAGGTTCATCGCCGCGAACTCGGATCCCGGGACGGCGCAGATGGCGGGTGGTCGGGCCATATCGAGCGTCACGTATGTCGAGGTGCGTTGGCCGTGGATTGTTCTGCCGGTCTTGGTGTGGGTACTTGGGGCGGCGACTTTGGTGGGCGCTATGTGGAAGAGTCGGCGGGCGGGGGTGCCGAAGTGGAAGAATGATCCTATCCCTTTGTTGTCTTTGTATCAGGGCGATCCGGGGAAGGCGGTTCAGGCTGTTGGGGCTGGTTCTGGGGGGGGAGTGGCCAGGGATGATCGATTGGAGGTTAGGTTGTATGGGGGGAGTAATGGTAGGATGGTTTTGGGTTGATTAATGAATGGTAAATAAGATTATGAGAAATACCCCATTATGCATTTTAGTAAGCCTATCATTTTCTTTTCACTTTTCTGAATGCGACGCTTCAATCCAGTTATCCAATATATAATGTTTCTAGCCGAAGAGTATGTACAATACAGAGAGCTATGGTTGAAGGACGTATAGAATACCTACCCTACTAACTGAACATTTGACCCGCCGGCCGCGGGACGATGCACTACACTTTATCTCACACGACAATATAACTATTCCACTTTAAATCCAGTACTAGACCACAATACAAAAGAGAAGAAAAGAAGAAGACAAAAAAAAAGTAAACAATAACCGATCCAACTACGCAGAAATCAAATCCACAACCCAGCCGCATTTATCGTACAAGGTCACCACAGCACCTGCATACATCCATGTACATACTACAACAAGATACATAGATCTACATGCCATACATGCAAGCAAAAAAGCAAAAAAAAAAAAAAAAAGAAAGAAAAGACAATTAAATAAAGGTACATACAAGATCCCTACATCTACTCTACATCTACGTGATGTATCTAAATGTATCTACAGTACGTATTCCAATAAGCATAAACGTAAACCCCCTCCCTAACCCTAACTCAAATAAACATAGTACATACATCCATACATCAGAAACCATATCAAATCCACACCCCCCTCACATTCATTCCTCGCCTCCTAAAAGATATCATAACACTTCTAACCATGGTTATATACACTCCCTCCAGCCTTATTCAAGCTAGCTAACCACTATTTACACGGAGGAAAATACACACCACAGAATAGAGTTCACACTGAAACAGGACCGTATTTGGGTCCATGCTTCGGTTGGCTTTCTCCGCATTATCCCAAGATCTGGATGTGATGGGTGGGGGATAGGGCGTTTCGAAGTGAGGATCAGCTTTGAAAATAGGTAGGGGGTTCTGCTTATCTGTTTTATATATATACTGAGGGGAAGGTCTAACGAAGATTTGTGGTTGTCTTATCCTATCCTCGGAGCTTGATTTGGTTCGGACGCGAACCACGCGGGGGCCATGATTGGGTAGCAACGGGATTACATGGTTCTGGTGCGGGAAGGTTACTGAAGAATTATTGCGGTGGTACCATGGATGGCATGGACATATAGTTGGAGTCAAGAGAATATTCATTCTGATTCACGGTGGTGGTTCCTGAAAGATCGGACAAGTATAATCGATCGCAAAGCATAGCGGATCATAGGTACACCAAATCAAAAAGAAAATAACAAAGGATTCTATCACATGGTCAATCGACCTAAACTAGTAATGCTCGTACGCCAATAGTCGCCAACCAGGACCCAGACTTAACCAAAAGCAAAGAGAAGCAGACAGGAAACTCATTTCACCTCATTCGCGTCGGAAAATGGGCTCTCCGTTCGCTCGGGTGGAATTCGGCTACTTCGATTGGATCTCGTGCCCTCGTCGGTCTCTAGACGAGATGACAAGCGCGCCGAAGCGCGGCGGTTCGTCTGCGCATCGAGCTGATCCTTGAAAGGGCTCTGCTCGACAGCCGGTGAATCTTCAATCACTGTCGGACTCTTAGGCGGCGCTACGCCCTTTGCGGGCTCGGTCTGCTTAGCATGGCGGGTTGCGCCATCTTCCTCGTCAGAAGAATTGGTATCAAATCCCGATGTCGGGCCAGATGGTGGCTGCGTGCTCGATGCAGCCATGGTTGACTCCGGCCGTTCGGCTATCGTCGGCACGGCAGGTGAGGAACCGGGCGTAGTAGAGTTGCTGTTGTTAGTGTTGTTGTTGTTGGTGGTGATATTCTTCTTTTTGATGCTGCCCTTCACCATGACCGGCTTAGCGGTGACCGTGCGCGCCACGATCGAGCTGTTGCTGTTCGATTGGACGACACCGGCTCGGGCGAGTTGTGCCTGTGTGATGGCGGGCACTGCGGGCGCATCGGGAGGAGCCAAGGTATCCCCTGTTCCCGGAGAATTACCTCCGTTGTGAATGCTCACCACGGCGGCTCGGGTTCGCATTGCCTGCTGCGCTGGCATGGCGCTCACAATGGCATTGTCCCGATAGATCGTCGTGGCGACGCTGCTACGCAAGCTGGGAGCGATACTGCGATGCGTGCGGGACGTATCGGACCAGGTTGAGTCGCGCAAATCACCCGGCATGAAAAAGTGCTGATCGGGGGCAGCGCCCGGAAGCGGAGGAACCGGCGGCACGAGTGGAGTTTCTGGCGGAGAACGGTTGGTGACACCGGGAATGTAGGCAATTTGAATGACGTTCGATGCGCGAGTAAGGACAGTCGAAGCAATCGAGTTGGTGGACTTCCTCGCCTGGCGAGCATCGGCGAATGTGCTTGATTTCTCCCCGTCGCTTGCCCCTTGTTGTTGGTCGTATTGCGCGCGCTTCTTGCGGACGAAGAACCACCACACCAAAACCATTATGAGGCCAAGGGCGACGACACCACCGACAACACCACCTGCAATGGCACCCACGTTACTTCCTCCGGATGAGCTATCCTGCGAGCTCGAACTGCTGGAAGTCTTGATGCATTTCGTAGTGGCGCATTGGTCACACGACTGACTGACCATGGTACATATTTCACCGGCAGGGCATTTAGGACATGTTGGGGCGGTGGAATCGCACGATACACATCGTTTGAAGACAGATCGGGAGGATAGGACTTGAGGTCCACGGAGTCAGTACATCAATGGATGAACGAGAGCGGAAGAACAGATGACCTACCGTTAGAAGAAAAGGATGGGTCGGTTGGGTAAAGAGACATGATGAAGGGTTGAATAGAATAGGAACAAGAATACAACAGGGGATAATGGGAATCGTCGTTAATATAGAAGGCTAGCAACACAGTGAAAAAAAAGAGTGGCTGGCCGGTCAACGGCGGAAGGAGCGTGTGCAGAAGATTTGAAAAGAGTGAAATGCTCGAACGGACGTCAAGTCGTGAGCGTTACTGGTAGATCATACACGTCGGAATAAGCGTCTTTTATAGGAAAGAATGGACGGAGGGATTGAGCATAATCCTCCAGAAAGTGGGAATTAAAAAAAAAAAAAAAAAAATTGTATAAAGTTGATTTCGGTAGTCAATTGTGAGATTCGCTGTTGACAGGCCTGGAGAAGTCGAAAGGTCTGGCGAGTCAAGGCGCAGGGTCAAGTCAAGTTCTGCACATTGATAGGTGGATGTAGAGGTTGACGTCGGAGGACACGCGTTGCGGCTGTCAGGGACAGCGAGAAGATATCGGATACGATGTGTGACCCTTTCGTAGGCTAGGGTCAACGGGTATCCCGAATTGAGCGAGAAGAGAAGGATGGAACGAAAGATGTAGAAAAAGAGGAAGAGAAATGATTCAAGGTCCGAAGAAGAAAACGTAGATAAAAACGAGGGAAAGAAAGAGAGGACCTAATTGAGGAGAGGAGGAGAAGACGGGAGGAAGTGGAAATCAGGTGGAGAGTCTGACTTTCGTTTAATTAGTGGCCCTCCGTCCATCCACTCACTCCCGCTTTATCACCACGGAACCCCGGTGTGGATGCACGGGACCATGGGATGGATGTAACCTGAAAGAGGTGCTCAGTAAATAAGAACCAAGTGCTGACGTTGTGGCACTAGATTATGTCGAGTACGTAGGATTGTTTATATATATTATATACAGTACGACATATGGGGAGAGAAGGATATATGTATGCCATTATTTACTCACACTATTGGGAAACTATCTCCAGCTGAATTGATCTTTCCAGGGGAATTTCGTTAATTAATGACAGCATGATATGCGAGTCAAAACGTACCCCTGACATGACCCATGGTTGCCTTCTTTTTGCCCCAAAGGGACGGAAGGAGTGTAGTCATCAGCCAACCACACTATTATCGAGGGCCGTGGTCGCAAGAAAAACGAAGAGTGTCTGGAACTCGGCTACGGTCTGGACTCAACCCACGTTCCTCGCCGGGAGATTACTTCGCTGCCTCTGCACCAATCACCGTTGACCGTCCCCCGCCCGCAGTTGGCCTGAGGCATGGCACCCAGTCAAAAGAAGTCGCAGGGCTGCATTGCACCGCCCATGCACCCGGTTCCACTCACACCACCAGTAGCTCCTCGTCAGATTGCAACTGCGCCTTTCATGTACTACTATACTACTCTGTACTAGTAGCACTACTACCCCCTCCCTTCCACAACAAACTTTCCACACACCTGTTCGTCATGACAACTTTATCTGTCTTTTGTCACTCAGGAGATCAATGGAATGTTCAACCCTAAGACCAATCCGCAAAAGCCTAGACCATTCATTTGAGGGATTTGAGGGCCGTCACAGTCGATTGATTTAGACCATCGTGCCACAAGAATCTGCAGCGATACCTGCAATTGCTTCACCTGTACCATCTCTACGGAACGGAGGCGCTGCAGTCGCGCCTTTTTTCGACCGTGGTTCGTCGTCCATTGCTTAGCATGACCCGAAACACTTCGGAAGAAGCAAAGTGCCTTGTAACGCGAATAGGTTAGGTCTCGCTCCATTTCCCCCAGTCATGCTATGTTCCAGCATCGATAGCGAAATGACACTTCACATGTCCTTGTACATCTGGACGGGGCTCTCTCTCTCTCTGTGGGAATTGTCTATCTTCCCGTGGTAAGCCATTGAGTTTGTGGCGTTGGCTAGAACTGCTCTCGTGATGCTTTGTACATTCCGGGATTGCAACGTGCTCCGTGCAAGGCTCTTCCTATGATTTTCGCGAACACGTTTACAAGCCAAAAGAAAAGATAAAAAATGGACTCGGCCAGAGGCCCCTTCATACTGCGGTGGTATGTATGTATATGTATATGTGCATCGATGGATGAACCATGGCGGGGGGTGCCGATGGTTACACCCAATTGTAAATTGAACCGAGCGCCTGCGGAATGACCGCTCCTACATTATCAAACATATCATATCGGGACGCTAGAGATTTTTCTCCCAACTTATCTCTTTGCATAGTAAAATATAAGCCTGGTTGACACAAATTGGACGTCTATGTTGGTTTGTATATGTCTTACATCTAGGGCCAAATAGGAATATGGTGTATACGGCCGGTAGCATTGAGGAATTCCTCTGCGACGGCATGGCTAGAGGGATTAAGGCTATAGTGACTTTGCAAAAATACTGTGCAGTGTTCGCCAAGGCTACCTTTGCACTTTTTTTTTTCCTTTCCTTCTTTCTTGTGAACATTCCCATTACCATTATGAGTCCTGTGCTATGTGCCATTCTACACTCTGTAGACTCTATTCTTCAATCAAGGTAGCAGTACTCGCTGAAGTCATTACTATCTCGATTCACTTGATTATGGTTGCAAAACAATGGACACTATAGGTGGTATTTGCACTCGTCGTATGAAGCTGTATAGATAAGAGAACAATAATCTTATGATTAGAAGTGTGGTGTCAGTGTCGTAGTAATACAAGCATCTCCATATGTCAATATATATCTTCCCGAGTAGGGCTGAATATACCAAATCAATCACCTAACCGCCGTGCCGATTAAAAACTAATTTATACAATACGGGGCTAAGATCCAAGCTAAGCGCAATCTAAAACAAATCTGAGTACCCTTAAATTCTGCCCAGGTAAGTGTTGGTGTAGTCATATGCAGACTATGGCAACTACTCTATTTAGTCCACCGTTGCAGATAGCATTAGTAGAGACAAGCGTAGACAAGCATTGAAGGCGATCGACTGTGATATCATCTGAAGATCGTCCATTGTTACCATAGGGCAATGAATCACATCATAATCCCAAGTCGATCTTCTGCAATGGAGTGATAATCAGGCACTGGAAACACTGATGTGCCGAAGAGCAGTGGCTGAGCGTCGGATAAAGTGATCTGCTAGAAAAACAAAAACAAAAAATTCTCAGCCACATTTCCAACCACAGAATTTGAATTTAAACGTGAATTTTGATTTTCTTTTATCTTCTCTTTCAAGTTCTTCCCTCCCCTTCCACTTCTTTTTAGAATAGTACTTCCTACGAATGCGATCTTCTATTGCTGATGGATAATATTTCACGTCACTAGTTTCATGATAGTGGTACAGTTCAGTGGACTGTCCCAAAAATTTCCAAGAATAGCAAGCCAAACTCAACGATCGAGAGGCTTGACGACAGCTGAATCTAGGTTAGCGCACTTTCCCAAAGTGTGGCAGTGATCGTCACCAGTCTTGAGATACGGAATATCCTAGGGAAAAGGACCAATCCATGTCATGTTTGTAATAATTGAAAGGTTGGGTTGTGGGACGGGGTGTTCCTGAAAATTACCCTTAGCATTGACAGCAGGGTATGAAACCGCGGCTGAACAGCCCATCAAGGCTAAGGACATATGAACAAACCAAACTGTCAGCCATTGGACTCGTCCTCTACCTCCGACGAGCTTGGCTGATTTTAAGGATTTCACGCTAGTGCCCATGGTGGCGACGGGTCGACCAACCGCTGATTAACACGGTCTCTTGATGGTCCCCGCAAGACTATATTTGGGGTGCCGCTAAACCCCTCTGGGTCTCATCGAACGTAGTCCCGCCCCCTGAAAACTAGGTGATTAGATATGTATCATTCATTTCATTTTCCTGGACGGCAGTTGAACGGTACGGTATGTTTGGTAATACCGAACGTTGGAACACGGTCAGGCGGTGTGAGTCTCCATACACTAAGGTCATGAATCGGCTCAGGGAAGTTCCACCCTGGTTGGTTTTGTTGGTCTTGTTGGTCTTGTTGGTCTTGTTGGTCTTGTTGGTCTTGTTTCGCAGAATGTCTTTGTTTCTTTGAAGATCTTCTTGAATCCGTTGAAAGGGAGGAACGCCGATGTGGTCCTCCCTGTGGATCATGAGCGGTCTTCTTGTGTTTTGTTTTCTTTTCTGTTTATTTGAGGCGCCATGATGGATGGTCACCGGGGTATAGACACACATGACCTTGAATCATGACTATCTCTCAAACCCTGGCAGTCATGCTGGCGAGGGGTTGCGGAATGCTGGCCAGCAGGGAAAACCCCAACCTAACAGCATGATGTAGTACCTAGCCAGAATTGCCCTGTCAATGGAGGATACTGATCGAATCACCTTGTTACACGGACAGTCGGGTGCAAGCTGCTTATATCTTGTCTGTGATGGAACATCCTTCATCAGGGCGAGTTCTTCTGCCACCGGAGGGTTTATTTTACTTGACATTTGCTATCCAGGATGATGACCCTTAATTAATTCTGTTTTATGTCTATCTAGTCATGGATGACGGATGACGGCTTTCAATGCTGAGTGATTCAATGCTCGGCTGTATCAGCCGCGAGGGAGAATTAGAATATAGACCTTAGTTAATTCGGTTGAGTATATCGAATACTACCCTATCTATCACAGGAGACATGATGATGGATATGAATCCAGTCTAGTCAGCTAAAGATTCCGATTCCCCAGCCTAAGCCACTAGATATATAGTATAGAGAGCGAGAGTGTGGCAGTACTCGATTGTCAAGTACTTCTCATGGTTGTAGTGTGTGCCTAGTATTGATTGATACACTTACTAAAATGGGGCAAAATGAAGAAAAATGGAGCATGGCCTGGGACGGTATTGGCGATACCGGAATAAAATACGCGGATCGTCTCTGTATGGAGCCTTCTTGGAATGGGTTCTCCCCTGACTGACATCCATCTAAGAAAAAAGAAGGGGAAATTATCAACAACCATTTGTACAGAATGTAGAGGCATGTATGACGGACGATTCATATTGTCCGGATGATTTTCCCTTCGGGGTTTGTTATTTGATTTTATTTCTTCAATTATTCTGTAGGGAAAATACCCAAAACATCAGAACAAATTGAGATATGATATTGTTTTTTTTTTCTTTTTTTTTTTTTTTTTTTTTTTTTTTTTTCTTGGGTTTTGGCCCTTATTGTTAAGATCGCAGTTCCAGTGGATTGAAAGTGGACGCCCTAAAGCCGAACCAGTGGTTTGGTCAAGAATCCGAATCCCCACTCAATACCCCCAAACTTCGCCTGTTTTCCCCCTCTCCGTCAATACTAACTGGCTGAAGCTAAGTAAATTAAAATAAAAGGGAGAAAAAAGAAAATAATAATAATGATTTCTTAGAAACAAAAATAAAAATAAAAATACCATCAAATAAAAAAAAAATAACACGCCAGGACACACTTTAACGGCGTGAAAGGGAAAGGCTGTCTCCTCTTCGTATCCAAATTTTTTTATTATTACTTACTCGTTCATGTTGTACTGACTTGCCTCTCGTTTTTTTCCCTTTTCCTCCTCATCTATCACCTGCCACCCCCCAAATATCCCCAAACTCCTTTTTGGGAAAAACTTCTTACCTTCCTTCCTCAGGTTATATGACCTTTTCCTCTTCTTCTTCTTTACACTTCGTGGTGCATTCCTTTGGGATTGGGTTTTGATTAGTGATACTATACTGTCTTCACTCAATCCTCTCATCTTTTTTTCTTTTTTCCTGATCTGAGTACGCGGGCTTCTTTGATAGCCCTGGCGGCTTCTTCCACGTTCCTGCTGTGCCCGCAACCCCTCCGCCAGCTGGCTTTGAAATTCTTTGAAAGTCTCTGATTCTTTGTCTTATTTAAACTACGACCGCGCCGTTCGAACCCCTTCACCCTCTTGAGTTCGGCTGATGTTTGCCACGTTGACTGAATAGTATACAATCGTTCTGTTTGACGTTCCTCCGGCCCGGGGATCCATTACTCTCTTGTTTTTCTGATACCCCTTTCCGTTTTGCCTTGCGTTCTGTTCCGCCCCTCCTCTGCACTTCTCTCTGCGAGTTCAGTTTGCGCATTAGCATCGGTTCGTGACCATGGCCTATCAACCGCCTGGTAATAACAACGGTGCTCAGTCACCTAACTACAACGATCCCGGCCATCGCCTGGAAGACCTGCCCCATGGTTCCAACGTAAGTGCACCGCCATCCATGGATGAGTCTTGGGAGCCCCCTGATCGCGGCGAGATGAGTGTGATTGGATGAGCTGACATCGCGGTGTTCATCGGCCTTAGTACGAAGAAGAAGCTTCGCGAGGATTGCTTTCCAACCAACAGGGTGGTCCTTTCGGCGGTCCTTTCGATGACCCTCATCAGCGTGGCAATTCGCCCGTGCGACCGACCTCGGGATACAGCTTGACTGAGACGTATGCTCCAGATGCGGGGTTCCAAGATCCTTACAACACGGCGGGCTCGGTTTACTCCGGCCACTCGGCAGAGAACCCCGCGGCGGCCTTTGGTGTACCGGGTCGTGTCGCTTCTCCCTATGCCCGCAGCGAGACCTCCTCTACGGAGGCGTGGCGCCAGCGTCAGGCGCCAGGAGGTGCTGGCGGCGGTGGTCTCCGACGTTACGCTACCAGAAAGGTCAAGCTGGTCCAGGGTTCCGTCCTGAGTGTCGATTACCCCGTCCCGAGCGCCATCCAGAACGCCATCCAAGCCAAGTACAGGAACGATCTGGAGGGCGGTAGCGAGGAATTTACCCACATGCGATGTGAGTGGAAGCGCGGGATATGAACCGTCGCATTTGAAACTAATCTGTGAACCCGCATCATTAGACACCGCCGCAACCTGTGATCCCAATGACTTCACTCTGCACAATGGCTACAATCTGCGCCCGGCCATGTATAACAGACACACCGAGTTGTTGATTGCCATCACCTACTACAACGAAGACAAAACCCTCACGGCGCGTACCTTGCACGGTGTGATGCAGAACATTCGCGACATCGTGAACCTCAAGAAGTCCGAGTTCTGGAACAAGGGTGGACCTGCGTGGCAGAAGATTGTGGTCGCCTTAGTTTTTGACGGTATTGACCCATGCGACAAGGATACTCTGGATGTCTTGGCCACCATCGGTATCTACCAGGACGGTGTCATGAAGCGTGATGTCGATGGTAAAGAGACCGTGGCTCATATTGTAAGCTTCGTCTGGTCATATGGAGCAGGCACTTTGGCTAACGGAGAATAGTTCGAATACACGACACAATTGTCCGTGACACCTAATCAGCAACTGATCCGGCCCACTGATGACGGACCTAGCACACTGCCCCCCGTGCAGATGATGTTCTGTTTGAAGCAGAAGAACAGCAAGAAGATCAATTCGCACAGATGGCTCTTCAATGCCTTCGGCCGTATCTTGAACCCGGAGGTTTGCATTCTTCTGGACGCCGGTACGAAGCCCGGTCAAAGGTCGCTCTTGGCGCTGTGGGAGGGTTTCTATAACGACAAGGATTTGGGAGGAGCCTGCGGTGAAATTCACGCAATGTTGGGTAAGGGTTGGAAGAACTTGGTCAATCCCCTGGTCGCCGCCCAGAACTTCGAGTATAAGATCAGTAATATCCTCGATAAACCCTTGGAGAGTTCTTTCGGTTATGTCAGTGTGTTGCCTGGCGCTTTCTCGGCCTATCGCTTCCGTGCCATTATGGGCCGACCCCTCGAACAATATTTCCATGGTGACCACACTCTCTCGAAGCAGTTGGGTAAGAAGGGTATTGAGGGCATGAACATTTTCAAGAAGAATATGTTCTTGGCCGAAGATCGTATTCTCTGTTTCGAATTGGTCGCTAAAGCTGGCTCCAAGTGGCACTTGTCCTATGTTAAGGCCTCCAAGGGTGAAACTGATGTGCCAGAAGGTGTTGCGGAATTCATTTCTCAACGTCGTCGTTGGTTGAACGGTTCTTTTGCTGCCGGTCTTTATTCGCTTATGCATTTCGGTCGGATGTACAAGAGTGGACATAACATCATTCGTATGTTCTTCTTGCACATTCAGATGTTATACAACGTTTTCAACACTATCCTGACATGGTTCTCATTGGGTGGGTGCTCCTTCTGTCCTTTGGTTCACAGATTATGGATTCTCTAACCGTTTTACAGCATCCTACTGGCTTACCACCACCGTCATTATGGACTTGGTTGGTACTCCTAGTAAGAACAACGGCGACAGCGGTTTCCCATTCGGCAAAACTGCGACCCCTATCATCAACACAATCGTGAAATACATCTACCTCGGATTTTTGCTGTTGCAGTTTATTCTCGCTCTCGGAAACCGTCCCAAGGGCTCCCGTTTCTCTTACCTTACGTCTTTCGTCGTGTTCGGTATCATCCAGATCTACGTTGTCATTGATGCGCTCTACCTGGTCGTTCGCGCGTTCAGTGGAAGTGATCCCATTGACTTCAACACCCATGACGGTCTCGGGCCTTTCCTCAAATCGTTCTTTTCGTCTTCCGGTGCCGGTATCATTATCATCGCCCTGGCTGCTACTTTCGGCCTCTACTTCGTCGCTTCGTTCATGTACCTCGACCCTTGGCATATGTTCACCTCGTTCCCTGCCTACATGTTCGTGCAGTCGTCTTACATCAACGTTCTGAACGTGTACGCCTTCAGCAACTGGCACGATGTCTCGTGGGGTACCAAGGGTGCCGACAAAGCTGATGCTCTCCCGTCTGCCACGACTACGAAGGAGGATGGCGGCAAGGATGCAGTCATAGAGGAAATCGACAAGCCCCAGGCTGATATTGACAGTCAATTCGAAGCCACCGTTAAGCGTGCTCTTACGCCTTACGTGCCCCCTGTGGAGAAGGATGAAAAGTCCCTGGATGATTCCTACAAGAGTTTCCGTACTCGACTTGTGACCTTGTGGATCTTCAGCAACGCCTTCCTGGCAGTTTGCATTACCAGTGATGGTGTCGACAAGTTTGGATTCACGGTACGTGTACTCCCCGCTTCCTGGCTATGTGACCGAATGGATGAACTGACTCTTCTTCACAGAACTCTGCCACCGACCGAACCTCCCGTTTCTTCCAGGCTCTGCTGTGGTCGAACGCTGCTGTCGCGCTTGTCCGTTTTATTGGAGCCTGTTGGTTCCTGGGTAAGACGGGTCTCATGTGCTGTTTCGCTCGTCGGTAAAGGAAGCATGACTTGTAATGAAAACTGGGTGTCTTGTTCCCCGCGTGGATTGCAGGGGCTCGAGGAGTTATTCTTTGGCACATTTTTGTCGCAATTTTGTATTCTACATACGATCCGTTCTTTGTGTGTTTCGATTCCTTTGACTGTTTTCTTTTCGCTGTCATGGTTGGATTAGGCGGTTGACACAGCCGCAGACAATTATGTTTTATTATAAAGTCTTAGCGGTTAGAATAAATACTAGGATGCATTGATGGCGCGCAGCTGATCAACGGTAAAAATACAGTCGGTATGGAGTCCATACAGTACAGAGGTAATCACTTGACTTGAGGCTCTTCAGGCTCCAAAGTCTACCTAAAACGACCCGGTCCTAATTCGGTTAGCTCCGTTATCCGAGGGCTTGGCGCATGGCGTCAGTTCATTCGTCGCTCCGCCTTCAGTACTTTGCGCCTCAAGTTGATCGCCTGTTCTGTCCCTCCTTGTTGAATATCCTTTGTCGTTTCGGGGTACTCTACTTATAATAGCCGTTCATAGCCTCTCTGGCTAGGTTATATTCTTCCTAGACTCTCGAATTAAATCGTATCTACAAACCCTGTGGTAGTGATTCATCATGTTGAAGATATGGTCGATGGTACGCTCTGCAACTCCTCCGATCCAAGCACTTCGCCTCCGATCACTAACCGAGTCAAAACAGAAACAACAGCAGCAGCAAGCTGAAAATGCTGAAGGAGCAGCCGGCAAGAAGAAAAAGAAGGTCACCGCCGCTCAGCTGCGCGTACAGCGGGGTACGTAAACCCCCCCCCTCTGTCCTACTTCAATCTCTTCAGCGACCCCAAACCTTCTCTCCACCTCCTCATTTCGCTAGTATAGGTCTTAGAAATGGACTAAATCTAACGAGAACCATGCACAGACCTCCAAGAACTCACCCTCGGAAACACGATGAAAATGACCTTCCCGAACCCCGACGACATCCTGAACTTCACGCTCACCATCGAACCCGACGAGGGCATGTACAAAGGCGGCGCGTTCCATTTTAGTTTCAACGTCAACCAGAACTTCCCCCACGATCCGCCGAAAGTCAAGTGTACGCAGAAGATCTACCATCCAAATATTGACCTGGAGGGAAATGTTTGTTTGAATATTTTGAGGGAGGACTGGAAGCCTGTGTTGAATTTGAATGCTGTTATTGTTGGGATGCAGGTTTGTGACCCCACCCCTTTTTCCTCCCCCTACATTGGCTTATGGCTACGTTGGGAGTTGGGGTTGGGTGCTGATTTTTATCTTTCGTCTAGTTCTTGTTTCTTGAGCCGAATGCTTCCGATCCATTGAATAAAGAGGCGGCAGATGATCTACGTTCGAATCGGGATGCGTTTAAACGGAATGTTCGGACGTCGATGGCTGGGGGCACGGTTCGGAACATACAGTATGAGCGAGTGATGAAATAAGAGCTGTGGTGCTGAGATGGGGATATATCAATAGATTGTCTGTGGGCCGTCTACCTTGTGCCCGTGGGTTCTTTTCTTGCCCGTTTCCCTACTGGACTGGGATGTTGACGGCGTGTCATTGGCTCGGATGAATGGATGATATGGTCAAGTTCGCATGGAGACGGGGCAATGAGACGTGTATATCGGATTGGAAGTGCTTCACGGATTTTTCTTCTTGAGACCATTGCATTGTACTTATGGATTAATTAGCGACAGGATAGATTCTTACGAAAGAAATGACTCTGATTGAATATGATTTTTTGTAGCGCATCCCATCTTATCACTACTACTGTCCTTGCCTCCCTCCTTGAGTAACGGGGAAAAGGACGAACCAAATACAATCTACAAACTCACCATCCACATCCATATCCACAGCCACAATATAGGAAAAAACCCCCCCCCCCGCCAGGATCAAATATATATACAATATACATCCCTATTCAAACAACTCAACTAATCCAGATAAATCTCAAAAAAGTACCATCTACTTTCACATTCATTTCAATTCAACTCAGTCTCCATATCAAACATTCAACCCAACCGACCAACGAACACAAGTTCGGTCCCGACACCGATCCACAGGTATCTATCCTATCCTTTACATCTACCATATCATCTCAAGAACCAACCATCCCCCCGGACCCGAACTAGCATTCCCAGCCTCATCTTGACAATTCATGGAGTCGAATCTCATCATAATGGAAGGCACGTATTCATCGAAATTTCGGCAAGCGAAGCAATTTATGCCTGAGCAGCAGCGCGCTCCTGCTCCAAACGAGCGTAGTGGTTATCACGGGCGCGAACGCGGGGAAGGTGGTAGCCTTTTTTTTTATCACATTCAATTAGTTTTGAAGTCCGGGGGAGTGCCACTCATTCATTGATTGATTGATTGGAATAGAATGGAATGGATTGCATGATACGTACCGTACCACCAGAGGTAGCCGAAGGTGGTTCCGAAACCTGACAGATGGATGTATGTATTAGCTGGGGGTGGTTTTGGCTGGGTTGAATTGGCGATGGGCTGGGTGTCGCTTATGCGATGGGCTTACCGAAGGCGGTGCTCAGGTCGAGGACGAGGGTCCGGCGGAGCATCTATTTGGATTTTTTGTTAGTTTGGGGGGTTAGTTGAGAGGGTGACTGGGGTGTGACTGGGGTGGAATACGTACGCCGGTGATGGGGGCGACGGCGGCCATTGTGAGGGATTGATGGGGTGAGGCTATTTGGGGTGCGGAGTTGAAGTGATTCAGCAAATATGCAGATTGCTGGGGGTGGGCGTTGGTTGTGGGAGAGGGGAGAGGAGGGAGGGAAGATGGTGATGTGATGTTTGAAGTCGAGGTTGAAGCTTTCCGTTCCGGGCGTAAGCGACCGCTTTGAGTGGCCTGACTGGTTGGTTTGCTCCCGGTTGCTTCCCTGACGTCGCGACTTAGATTGTTTGGGGTTTTAATCTATGGGGTTGACGTTTAAGGTATCTTTTGGAGATTGGGATGTTTTGATTATGATTACTTTATTTTCCTTTTTACATCTTAAGATATGAGGCGAGAGTTGTTTCTGATCTGAATTGAATTGAATTTCATATTGCCCCAGGCATCTATAGCGTTCTGCCTCAGGCATGAAAAATATATTTAACCCACGTGACGGGCGAGCAGACTTGCTGTTTGTCTCCGTCACTTCGGCCCTTCTCCACGACATCAACATAATTCGCCATGCTCCCCTCCGAGCCCAAGGTCAAACGTTCTTCGTCGTCGCTGCTGGAGCAGCCTAATATCCCCAATCACAAGCGCATAAAGCGCCCCTACCACCACCACCATCGCTTGCAGGCGCCCGTTAACCCTGCGCTACCGGAGCCCGCCATCACCGATGACGCTTACGTCGACCACCTAATGAACCGGTCTATCGGGCAGGTTCTACGAGATTCGGGTTTTGATTTGGCCGATCCAGCGGCGCTAGAGAGTTTTCGCAATGCGGCGGAGGAGTGTATGCTTTTTCTAAGGTGGAATTGAAGGTGTTGTGAGGAAAAGATATTGACTACGCCTGTGCTTTTAGATCTGCTGAGGTTCGCGTCATATGTGCGCCAGTCGATGCTGTCGTCCCGGCGCACCCAACCTGTCCCCCATGATTTCGAACACGCTTTGAAGAAACATCGTGTGCGCGTAGACGATCTCCTTCCCCATGTGAAAACTCTACCGACTGCTGAGCCCGTTCTTACGACCTTGCCGAGCCCTCCGCTGGAAGATGACGATCCCTTCAAGACTCTGCCATCCCTGGGCCCGCAACTGAGTGGCGAGGATGACCGTGCCAGGAGCGCGTACATCCCGCAGCATTTCCCTGACTTCCCCAGTAAACATACCTACCGACATACCCCGGTATTCACGGAGCGCGAGCAGGACCCGCGGAAGATCCGGGAGCGTGCAACGGAGGATGGACGGCATGGCGAGGAGGCTTTGCGCAAGCTTGCACGTGCGGCGTTTAAGGATAACCAGCTTGGTTCGTCGGGTCGGGATAAGAAGCCGTGGGGTCGGAGGACGGAGACTATGGATAGTATGTTTGAGAAGACGATTAAAGGAATTGCGAAGAAGATGCAGAAAAACACGACGGTTTCGGGTGCTGCCGCTTCTATGGAGGTTGACTCGGGCACTGCCGATCAACCATCGCGGAACAAGGTGTCGCTGAGCATAGAGCTGCCGCCCATCATCAATTGTGAGAGAGACCTCTGGCGTCGGACGACGACTGGAAATCGCAGACCAGAAGAACGATCTTCGGGTAACAAAGAAGCTCCGGATATTTCGCGGGTGGACAGCTGGGTGAGCACATGAGCGATGGAGGACGAATAAATCGGAAATGGCGTCGGGCGTTTGACTTTTGTATTATAGTCGTATTCGAGAAGATACCCATGGAGCAGTATTTAATAAGTATTGAGCAGTCTAAGTCGAGATGAGAACCAGTAGCACGAACGCCAACCCAACTCCGTAGCGATGCATGTCCGGCAGATCCATCATTTGTCTTCCACTTTCGAGCTGCTCTTGACAGCCTTGCGCTTCGCCTCCTCCTCTAGACGGATGGGCTCCCACGCTGTCGTCTCGATCGTCAACCCGTTGGCACACCTAGAACCACCGTCAGCGACCCCATCATGGAGAGAACCAGTCAGCCATACCGTCTGAACAGTCGCACCACCGGCTTGCAGACCACCACTCCGGGGGCAGGAATCCCATCCTGTGGCGGATTACACGAGTATTGCACCATTTCGAGTAGCTTGCACTTCTCCAGCTCGACGGGACCGCCCTTGCGACGTCGCTCTTGGAAGTTTTTGCGCACGATGCTGACGTGGTCGGGGAGGGCTTCGGCGGAGAAGATGGGGACCAGGGGGGCCATTGTTGAATGATTTCTTTTATACTGGTGGGGGTTTGAATGTTATTGAATCAGCGAGAGGAATTGTTGTTTGTGATTTTGCCGCGTGGGAGGAGAGTTAATGGGGAGGAATGAAGATGAATTAATGGATGTGACGGAACGATTGTCGGAGCCGAACCGATCATGATTCATAAATCTCGCATTCTATTCTACTTTTCTTTACCCTCACAATCAAGCCATATTACTGAATGTATGAACACTGCAGACCACACTCCCTTAGGTTTCTTTAAAATGACAAAGTATTCATGACCCCATACGGGCCGTCAGAATGGCCGCCAGCTTTGGGGAGAAATTGCTGGGCGAGGTCTATGAGGAGGGTCTGGATGAGGTCAGTAGATCCCTTTGATATTTGTCTTACTTTATTGTGTACAGTTTAAGATGTTGCTATATTATAAAATTATTTAGAGAGTCTCTCTCTGCGTATGTTGATGCTAATTTCATCACAGCTCTTGCATGACTTGAATTGCCTCTATGAGAGTAGCAATAACACTCCAAGAGAGCGCCTAGGAATCCAGGCACTTGACGACTTGCTGGGAGTCTTTGTACCTTCTCCTACTGCAGTTCCCGGGGTACAAGCGCAATACCAGCCTCCAGAGCCGACCATTCGGGCCGACCTAGACAAGCAGGAGCAGGAGCAGGAGCAGGTCTCTCATGAAGAGCCCATCCAATCCCAGCTAGGACATGATTCAAATACATACTACAGAGAACAATTCCACCCACCAGTCCGTATAAAGAGTACAGACCCAGTGGTGGAAATTTCGAGCACGTCATCTGGTGCAGGCAAGACTCAGACACTGTATTATCTGGCTGCCGTCGCGATTTTACCGTCCGAGTTCAACGGCGCCAAGCTCAATGGACGAGAGTCTGCGGTAGTCTTCATCGACTCGGACGGCCGCTTCGATGCTGGGCGACTTTTGACCGTAGCTCGGGGCATTGTCCACAAGAAGCTCAAGAGCCAGCATGAGCGTGCAGTGTCTACTAGCGCATCAGCTACAGAAGGTGTACTGGAGTATTCACAAGAAGACCTTGATGCCCTGTTGGTAGCCTCTCTGCAACATGTCCATGTCTTCCGCCCTCAGTCTTCCGTGGCCCTTCTGTCTACTTTGCAATCCTTGGATGCCTACCTCCTTGACCTGGCGCGGCACTTTTCATCTAGTCGCCCGCTCCATGCCATTATCGTCGATAGCGCAAGCGCCTTCTTCTGGCAAGACAAGCTACACGACGAAGTTGCTCGGACGGAGGACATCGGGCGTCCCTACGATGAGATCGAGTGCGAAAGACGCGAAAAGAAGAGTTTCTACCTGTTTGATATGTACGCGGATCTCGTCACGGAATTGAAACGGTTACAGCGACGCTTTAGCTGCGCAGTAGTTTACACTACCATTGCGTGGAGCGGCCGGTCCATTCCCGGTCAGCTGTCTACGCCTAGACCTTCTGGGCCTTTTGCCCTGTTCGATCCGTCGGATGTCCCCGCTTCAAGGACCCCGTCTTTTCGGTCTTCACTTCCTGGGCCCTGGGGAGTGTTTCCGACTATACGGCTGGTTGTTCAGCGGGATATGGTGAGACCTTTCCCCCCTACGATGACAGCCATTGAGGCGCAGCGACAGGCTCCGAGGCGGCAGGAGGTCGTCTTGAAGGGGCGGTTCGTGGGATGGGTCAATGGCTGGGGACGCGAGGATTGGCCTCGAAGAGTGGTGAAGGGACTGGAGGAGAAAAGTGGAGGCATGTTTGGGTTTTATGTCGGGATGGATGGAGTTGATTTCGATTAATATCTATGTTCTGTCTAAGCCGCAATGTATGTGCACCGGACATGCCCGTGTATGTCCCTACAAAACGGACTTCTATCAACTGAACAACTTTCCAATAGCCTCAACCGTGGTATTTCCTCCACTAAAGACGATCCCAATATCCCAACCCTTGTCACCACCCTCCCTCTCCACAATCCTCCGAAAGTCCTCATTATACAAACAAACCGCCAATCCCACCACCGCACTCGGCTCGACCACCACCTTCACCCTCTCCAATACCAACCTCATCGCCGCCTTGATCTGCTCCTCCGTCACAGCAAACACGCCCTCGACCTTCTTCGTATCCGAAATCACCTCCCAATTCAACACCCCCACCGGCGTCCGCAACCCATCCCCAATCGTCAACGACTTCACACTCGTCACCCTCTCACCAGCCTCCAGCCCCCGCCGGCAATCATCCGCCCCCTCAAAACTCGGCTCAGCCCCAAAGACCCTCGTGCTCTTATCCGAAAAGAAAGTAGCCACCCCCGAATTCAGCCCTCCACCCCCGATAGGCGTAATGACCGCATCCAACCCCGACCCCGACGCACCATGCACACTCAGCCGCGGATCCCGCACAAGTTCCAGATATTGCTCTTCCAACTCGAGCCCCGTCGTGCCCTGGCCACAGATAATATTGAAATCGTCATACGGCGGGACCAAGATGGCGCCCGTTTGCGCCTGGACCTCGGCCACGACGGCTTCGCGCTCGGTGCTCGTCGACCCGCTGAAGAAGACCTTTGTGGCGTAGGTCTTTGTCCCTTCGATCTTGGCGGTGGTGCTGATACTCGGCATGACGATGTAGGCGGGGATGTTGAGGGTGTGGGCTGCGAGGGCGAGGGCTTGGGCGTGGTTTCCTAGATGTAATTAGCATACGTGTTACTCCAATATAAACCATAACAATAATAACACCAAGTGGAAAGAA